ACTTATTTAAAAATTATTTCTTTTTTTATTATAGTTATCTTTATTAAATTTAGTTATTTTTTAGCTTATATTATACGTCTAATATATTAGTTATATAGTATTATTTAAGTGACCTTAAAAATAGATATTACTTTTTTTATAAACAGTTTTAAGTCTTATTTAATAGCTTAAATAACAAAAATAATACAACTTTCAATTAAAGAGAATTACATGTTTATACATAGAGAAAAGTTAATATAAAGGTCAAAGAGGTAAAAAAAAGGGAAAGGTAACGACTTACTATGAGTAGTAACTCGCTATACAGATACGTTAGCTATATCTTATATATTATTAAGTTGTAATAGAAATCCTTAATTAATTAGGTTAATAACTCGTTTAAGAATCACTATTTCTTTTAGTTTAGTTATCTTTATTAATTTTAATTTTATTTCTTATTATAATAGTTGTTTAATGTATTAGTTATAAAGGGTTGTTCTTAGGACATTATAGATAAAAGTAGCCTTTTATATAGATAATTTTAGGTCTTTTTTAATAGCTTAGAGTATAAGGAGAATATAGCTTTTATTTAAAGTAAAACTTATTATTATATATAGAGTAAAGCTAAGAGGAAAAGGGAAGGTGTAGAAGGAAAAGGAAGTAGGTAACTCACTATGATAAGCAACTCACTATGTATGTACGTTACTTAATATAGATTATAATAATAATTTATTGTAGTACTTTAAGTAGTCTTAAAATAAATAAGTTAAAAACTATCTCTTATTATTCTAATAATATAAACAAGTTAACTACTAATTTTCTAGTAGTTAATACTAGCTATAAAGACCTTACTAGTTATAAACAAGTTATATCTAGTATTAATTCTTATAAGACTAATAAGAATAGGGTAATAAAGAGGTAGATAGTAGGTTAAAAGGTAGCTTTATTAATAGTTGTTTTAATTGCTGTGAGTGATAATAATTAAAATCTTGCCCTTAGGTAGGAAAAAGAGCTTCCTTATATAACTAAATTCCCTTAGACGTAAGAAATACTTTAATAGGGAATTTTCCCTTAGTTTAACTAGAAACTATCCTAAAACCAGTATTTAGGTAATCTAGTTTTATTATAACCTTATTATACTAATAATTATTATCTAGTTTTGTTTTAACCTTTACTTTTATAGATATCTTAGACCTAGTTTTATCTTTTAACTTTATTAGTAAATACCTTCTTTTAGGTATTTTAAAGGGTTTAGTTCCTTTTTTAGCTTTTTAGGTACTACTTATTATAGTACTACTACTTATTAAGGTAATATTATCTATTTAAGTTAATTATATTATAATAATAAGTATTTATTTTCTTTTATGTCTTATAGATAAAAACCTATTTATAATTATTAGGCTACTTTATATAAGGTCTTTTATAGTAATTAAAGGTTATAATAACCTTTATATATAATAATATTTTTATTTAAAAAACTTATCTTATTAAAAATATAAAGATTATTATTATTAATTTTATGTTTTATAATCATATTAAATATAAAAGTAAACTAACCTTATATAATTATAGGATCTTTAGCTAATACCTCTTATAGTTAATTTTATATTAAAAACGTATCCTTAGTTATAGTTAGTATTATATAAAGTTCTTTACTTATTAAGGTCTAATATATATTATATTATATTTATTAAAGAGATAATTAGCTGTATATTATATATTATTAAGTTATAATAGACATCTTTAATTAATTAGATTAATAACTTATTTTAAAATTACTACTTTCTTTAGCTTAGGTATTTTTATTCATTTTAATTACATTTCTTATTATAGTAACGTACACGCATAACATGTTACCCATCATAGGAAGTCTCCTACCTTCCTCTACCCTTCTACCCTTTTTATAAGTTAATTAAACTATAATATATAAAATTAATTAAAACTACTTATTACTTTTTTTTATTCTTATTTTAAACTACTTTATAAGTTTATATATTATATTTAGATTTTCTATAATTATTATGTTTTTATATATATAGTTTAATACCTTTTATATAACTTTTTTTAAGGGTTATTCTTTTTTTTAATATTAATATTACTTTTTTTTACTTATAATACTTTTATTTTAGTAGTATTAAGTAACCTTTTAAGATATAGTTAAGTCTTTTTTGCTCTTTAGCGTTTATTTAGTACTTTTATTTGTATATAAAGCCTATAGTTCTTAGCTTTAATAATAATAAGCTTATAAGCTAATTTATTAGTACTTTTAGCTTAAAAGTTAATTATTCTATATATTAGTATTAATTAGTTATTTTAATATATTTAGATCTTTTTTTTAAAAGAAATAGTATTTTATATGCTTTTTAGTGTTATAGTTAGTATCTTTATATTTTAAGAGCTTTAGTTGTTTAGCTATAAGGTTAAGGGTATTAGTATTTTTAGCTTAAAATTTAACTAAAAAATAACTATTTTAGGGTTAAAAGGTATAAGGCTTATTTATCTAAAATTAGCTTATATATTATTTTTATTTATTAAAATAAAAAAATATTATTTTAAAAGTAATAAAAAAGTTATTTTTAGTAATATATAAAATTTATATTTATATTATCTTTTTAATTTTTTTATTATATAAGTACTTTAATAGGTTAAAGTACTTAATATTAAGAGGCTAAAGTTTATATAATAAATAAAAAAGTATATAAAGAGTAATAGTATTTTATTTTTTATAGTATTTATTAAAGTTAATTAATTTATAGCTATTATAACTATTAAAGATTAAGAGGTAATAAAAGCTTTTTATATAAGTTTTTATATATTAATTAAAGTGTTATAGTTAATTTAAGTTAATATTATTTATTATTTATTTATTTTTATTTAAATAGATACGTTATATAGCTAAAAATTAGTTATAAGTATATTAAAAGAAAAAGTAATATTTACTTTTTATATTAATATATAAAGGTATTATTTAGTTATTTATATATATACTTTAAATAATAAAAACTTATTTTTAATTACTAGGCTATTTTATATAAGGCTTTTTTTATAGTTAAACGTTATAATAACTTTTATATATAATAATATTTTTACTAAGAACTTAGTTTTATTAAAATTATAGATATTATTATTAAATATTTTATATTTTATAATTATATTTTATATAAGTATAAATTAGTTTTATATAATTATTAGATTTTTAGTTAAAGCTTTTTAATAATTAATTTAATATTAAAATTATGTTTTTAATTTTAAGATATATTATATAAAGTTTTTTACTTATTAAGGTCTTATATATATCTTATTATATATATTTAAGAGTTAATTAATTATTTTTTATATATTTATTTATTATAAAAGGAACTTTTAATTAATTAAGTTAATAATTTATTTAAGAATTACTTTTTTTTAGTTATAGTTATTTTTATTAAATTTAGTTATTTTTTGCTTTATATAATATATCTAGTATATTAATTATATAGCGTTATTTAAGGGACCTTAAAGGTAAAAGTAGTTATTTATATAGATATTTTTAGGTCTTTTTTAAGAGCCTAAATAGCAAAGATAATATAACTTTTAATTAAGGTGGATTATATGTTTATATATAAAGGAAACTTAGTGTAAAGGTAGAAGCGGTAGAAAGTAGGAATAGTGGGCGACTTGCTATGATAAGCGACTCGCTATACGTGTGCGTTAGTTGTTTAACGCGTTAATAGTTAAAGGTTAAGAATAAGATCTTATAGATAAAGGCTACTTTTTATACAGATAGTTTTAAGTCTTTTTAGATAGCTTTAAGTATAAGAATAATATAACTTTTATTAAAAGAGGATTCTATAGTTATACATAACTAAAGGAAAGATATTATTAAAAGGAAAAGTAAGAAAGAAAAGGAAAGTAATCTACTTACTATATTAATCCGCTTCCTATATATATACGTTATAGTAATTATAGAAAGACTAAACATAATATATAAATATATTAGGTAGTTTAGAATAATACTAAGAAAAAGGATAATAAGTAGTTATAATTAATTTTATATACTATAGCTTATTTAACTCATTTAAATAGTATAAAGATAAGTATATATATATCGCTTACTATAATATATCGCTAACTATATATATACGTTAACTATATAGTTATATATTATATTATAAGTTAATTAGTTATATAGTTAGTACCTAAGATAAGAAGTAATAGTTATATAATAAAAGGCTCTTAGGTAATATAAGACAAAGCTAAAATAATAATTAATGTTAATAAAAGTTCTAACGTACCTGTATAGTAAGTCGGCTAACATAGTAAGTTGGCTACTCTCTTATTATACCTTAAAGAGTACTTTTTTTACTATTTATAAAATCTAATTCTTATTTAAAATACATATAATTTTATATATAGGCTTAGATCAAGGTTATTAAGTAAAAAAAATTATACTAGAAATTATTATTATACCTTAACCCTTAAAAACCTTATTATTTACTTTAATAAGAAATATTAAGTAGAACAAAAGGTTAGGGTATAGTAATAATTTATAGTAGATTTCTTTTTACTTAATAACCCTTATCTAAACCTATATATAAAGTTACTTTTATTTTAGGTAAGGATTAGATTTTTAAAAAATAGTTAAAAAAGTGCTCTTTAAGGTATAATAAGAGAGTAGCTAACTCGCTATGTTAGCCGACTCACTATGTAGGTACGTTATAAATATAATATAAGGCTATAAGCCTTATTTATAAGCTATATTTATTAGTTTATACTATTTTATAAGTATGGTTTTTCTAGCTAAGTACACTTTCTTTTTATACTGCCTGGCCTTGTATAACTTTCTGTCTTAAAACTATATGTATTAAGTAAGCATTAGTTACTTAGTATTATTTTTGTTTTTGACCTACCATCCTCAACGCTCCGTACGTTGGATGTCTTCCGCCGGACAATGATCTCAAGGTCCTGAATATTGTTGAGGAGCTGCTGTACCTTTGCTTCATAGAAGCGCTCAGCTGACTCCGTGTCCTACGATGTCATTAGTGTCAGTTGCTTAGCCGAAGTTTGCAATCAGGCGCGCGATAGATGAGAGTGAAACATGCCTTTTCAACATAGAAGCCGGTGCCGATGTCGACGATGACATGTTTAGGGTCTGACAACTCCCCACGCACATAGAGAGAGTTGGTCAAGGGAACCAGGACAGACTTCTCACCTGGTCAAACTATTGTGTCAGTAAATAATACGACGTCGACTGGGACACAACGGGAATTCATGGACTGAAGGGACGAACCATCTTGGGAGCCAGGGCGTGTCTTGACACAACGAAGACACTCCTTGAACTTAGCCTGGGCGCTGTGCAGCTGGGCAAAGGAGTTTGTCAAGTGTTCTAATTCCTCTTCTAGTTGCTTTTTGACTTGACTGAGTTGCTGGACATCCAGTGTCTCAAGATTGACTGAGGAAAACCAGTCAGTAAGTCAGTCTGGAACTGGCGTGGGCCGAGAACTGTCCAGGAATGGCCAAACGGGACACTTACTGCTCTCGGAACCTTGGGCGGCCATGGTGGGCTGTACGAAGCACGACTCGAGAAATGACCTGTGACCTCGTTCGCTTTCGGACCTCTCAATACGAAAGAGAAACGGAAAGATAAGCAACGTTCACGAAAAGTGGTTATTTCCGTCGGAGGAGTGAGATCTGTATCTGAGGTATTGACATGAACTCTCTCTTCCTAACCTTACCCCCTCCACCCACCCACCTTACTGCGCTCAGGTGAGTGCAGCGACTCACGTGACTGCCCCACACACCGCACCCCACCACAACCCACAGTGAAGTCTTCCTGTCACTAAGCTCACTTCTCATCGTCGCCCTCACATGGAACCCCAGGAGCCGGAGGGATATTAGATCCACTGCTCGAGGTCTTGTCATTCTCTAAGGCCTAGCATGTTTTCATAGTTCTCGTCGGGTATCGTAGATTGGAATATGTTGTATTATACATAGCGCTCATAGGAGAGGCATGGTGAGGATAATGGCTTGGTTTTGTACAGTTTGGACCATCCGCTAGCTTGCTCTAGAGCTGCTCAAGCAACTCAGACACCCGGCGACGAATATTCGTGAGCGGAACCATTTCGTTGATCCCCAGCCTCCTGCATTGAACCTCGCAGGTGCCTTTGTCCTTCTTCCACACCTTGCCCAGCACGACGAGAACTGGGTATCCTACAAGGTCTGCATCCTTCAGCTTCCATGTCAGTGACACTGTTCGGTCGTCTAGCACCGCATCAACCGCGCCGAAGCCGTTGGAGGCCGTCGTGATCTCGTCGTAAACCCCGACTGCCTCTTCAGCCAGATCAGTCGTAGGAATAACCACGACTTCGTATGGGGCAATGGCGCGAGGCCACTGAAGACCCTTGCTATCTGCCAAATGCTCGACTACAGCACCGATAAGCCGTGAAACGCCAATCCCATGGCAGCCCATCTGCATAAGAGTCGTGCTCTCCGATGCTCCAGACTGTGCCCTATCACCTGGGATCGAGACTACTGCCCCGAGTGGCTCTGAATATCGTGTTCCTAGATGGAAAGTGTGTCCCACCTCCAGAGCTTTCTGCACCTGCAAAACACCACCGTCACAACTTGGGCACCCGTCGCCAACACGAGCAGCCAGCAGATTGAGTAGCTGGCCATTGCCGTTCTTAATGACCGTGGTACACTCTACCTCTGCCTTGGCCATGCCTGATTCAGAAAAGGGCGATACTCTGTGCTCGTCTCGGAGCACTTCTTCAATCATATTTGCCAGCCTGGAGTCTACAACGTTGATGATTCGCGGTCGGCTGATTCCTGGGGCCTGCCTGCTAGAGAGATGTGCATCCCGCCATAAAGATGCGGCATCATCAATGCTAGCATCTAGGTCAGGGATGATAGACTTGATGGCCGGGATGCTGATATCGCCTGCGCCTATCTCAGTCATTTTGGGCCCCTCCTGAAGCTGTCCCGGATACCAGGCATTCACCAACGTCGATCGATCCCTGCTGATACCTCGCCAAACCTTTACGGGACGGGCCATAGGACTTTCCGTCGCCGTCTTGGTATCCAGTCCTCGTTCCTTCTTGACGAGTCTTGTCTCTGCAATCTCCGCGTTCACGGCGTAATCACATGTGTTGCAGGTGACCACGGTGTCTTCACCAATCGCGGTAGGGAGATGGTACTCGTGACTGAGGTCGCCCCCCATATCCCCGGAGCTAGCCCTGGCTACCAGCACGGGCAATTTTAAGGCGTTGAAGACACCAGCATATGCTGACTGAACCTTTTCATATGTCTTCAAGGCCGCCTCGGTGGAGACATCGAACGTGTACAAGTCCTTCATGGTGAACTCGCGGGTTCTGAGAAGTCCATGTCGAGGGCGTAGTTCGTCGCGGAACTTACGTGCTGTACACTCACTGTGAGTTTTAAGACGCCTCCGAGTGAGGAACGCCATTTTGGCAACTTACTAATCTGATAGAGGCGAAGGGGCAGTTCCTTGTAAGACTTGACAGTCTTTGCCACTAACGTAGTAATTTCCTCCTCATGTGTGGGTGACAACATGTATTTTGTTCCCTTGCGATCATCAAAGCTGAAGAGCTTCACCGAGTGATTAGAGCGGATGACGACGCATATTGAACATGGCGACGAACCTCAGGCTCTAATTGTGCTAGACGACCACTTTTTTGCCATAGATCCTTAGACGTGATGGTCGACAGAGCGACTCTTGAGGCTCCTATGTCAGGCATCAGCAGGACGGCCAGAAAATACGTTCCTCGGCAATAAACGCACCCAGTTCCTGCATATAGTAGTCGATGACATGCTCCAATTTGTCCTGGACGCGTCGGCCGAGAGGGAGGAGATGGAAGACGCCAGAATGAGACTAGGCAGTTGAATCAGCAGGATTATGTGACGCGGTTGTTCTTTCTGCAGCAAACTCACCTGCCTGAGAAAACCGGCTCGAATGAGTTTGTCATGCGCGTCTAATGAGAAGTGAGTCGTTTGTTTCTTTCGGCAACCATTCTCAGAACTGTGGACTTACCTTCATCTTGACTAGGCGTGATACCTCCAGTGGGAACCCAGATAGTCGAGAGCCGATTTCTTGTACGCGCTACATGGTAGCTACGAGCAAACATCTTGCCTCAGCGATTAGAAGGGGAAGTCAGTTTGTGTATCGAGAAACAGGTACTGACTTGCATATTGCCCACGTGCGGTGAGCCGCGGTGGCCGAGAATGGGGGAACAACACCGTGGCAAAGAAGCGAGTCCCCGTGCCCGAAAGAAAACCATGTTGGCAGAATTTAAAAGCGAGGGGTCGACGGTAGAACACAATTGGCGTGATCCGCATCAACCGTGATTTGCGGGTGGAATGGTGAGAAGCAGACAACAAATGCTAGATTAAGCGCTGCGGCGGCAATAGGAGAAGGGCTCGGGGTATTGGTGTGATATAGGATTGAAAACTGGCTCGCCTTAGCATCAGCCAACCAACAGCGTGGAGGACATCTACATTTGGCAACTAACACTTCGAACAGAAGGCTGCCTTATGGCACGGGAAGCGCTGGACTGGGGAAGCTCGGTGTGGCTGGGAGGTAGTGGCTACCTCAAGCAATAATAACGCGAGCGTCCGTTCCAGTCGTGAATGAGATATATTGTGTTCCGGTATGTAAGAGACCGGGCAAAGACGTGGTTCAAGATGCCAATGGAAGGGAACCTAGGTCCGACCGTGTGTCCAGCTCCGGACAAAGTGCAAACTGATATTGGTCTCTCAGTGCCAAAATGAAAGGAGGCCGACGCAAAGTGGGTTAGTTTTTGAGATATACCGTAAATATAAGACGATGATCCGGATCAATTCAGGATTGAAACCCCTGCAGGAGGGAGAAGATAGAACACCACGCAGAAGGGAATAAGTAAGGTATTTCGAAGCTCTGCGCAGCAAGAAGGTACTTTTGAGCTTCCACATCAATTAGCTTTTGAGGTGGATAACCTAAAGAGAAATTAAGGCACGTAGGTAGGTAGTACTGCAAGGCCCCATGCAGGTTCGCGCGTCTTATCGATAAGGCCATCGCCCCCACTTCTACAGTTGAAATCTACTTTTTTTTTTCTGTCTCTCACTTAGCGGCTTCACTTCTATTGCCTACCTTTCTGCGCTGATCTTGTCTGTCACATGCAGTTGAGCCAATTGTTCACTTCTTGAATTTCTGACGAGGATAGGCTGCGAACTTGTACATTCCGCCGACGGCAAAACACAACAGTCGCAGTCTCCTCTTATCTTTCTTGTTCGTCGCGCTCAGCGTCGACAATTCCTACGCCATGGCCAAGCCTAAGCGACAGTCCACTGGCAAAGATCACCGGTCAGAACAGTTGAACGAACAGTCGCTGTCGAGCTTGACAGCCAAGATTGAAAAGACCCTAGGCAAACCTATCAAAGGCGAGGACTCCAAGAAGAACAAGAAGCGGAAACACTCCTCCGACGAACCATCAGCGAGCCCCCACCAGCGAAAGAAACAAGCCCAGGCGCGTCAGAAGTCGACAAATGACGGCCAAGAAGCGCCGATCAAGCCAAGAGGCAAAAAAGGCGGCCCTCTCTCCCGCGATGATCTTTTGGAAGAGATTCGTGCCCTGGGCGGTGACGAAGAAGATCTGAAACTCATTGGGGACATCGATTCGGACCAGGAGGATAACGCCGGTGACGCCAGCTCCAGGTCTACCGCCGCTGTTGATGGAAAGCTCCAGAATGAGTTGGTTGCTTTCGCAGCTCAGCTCGGTCTTCAACAGTATCACGAGGAGGCCGCCGCCAACGACGCAGGAGGTGACGACGACGGCGGGGACGACGACATTGACCAAGATGAAGACCTACTCGACGGAGACGAGGGACTTTCTGGGGTTGATGATGCCAACGACTTGACACCCCCTTCTCCTCAAGAACCTGTCCATAAAGAGGCCAAGAATGCGTCCAAGAAGCAGTTCGTGAGCAGATCCCCAACCCTGGCAGCCTGGAACCATCCACTGTTGTACTAATCATATTGCATATAGAAATTCGAGCCTCGTGCGGACTGGCACAGCGCTGAATTGAGCCAACTTCCCGAACCAACCTCTGCCGAAGTAGACGGCTACCTGGGTGCCATCAACGCACTGAAAACCCACGCCTTGACACTCCTGGAGGCGGACGCGTCGGCATATAACAAGAGCGTCCTGGCATCATCCTCCCGAAAGTTTCTATCTACCATCATGTCCTCCGGAACCCTGTCCGATAAAGTGTCTGCACTTACGTTGGCAATTCAGGAATCACCATTGCATAATGTCAAGGCTTTTGAATCGCTGCTGGGACTTGCAGCAAAAAGAAGTCGTGCTCAGGCAATTGGAGCGCTCGGCGCGCTGGTCGATCTCCTCGGGCCCGGTCTCGTTCTACCTCCAAACAGAAGACTGCGGACCTTCCAAACCCAACCAGGCTTGATCGGGGTTCTGCAACGATTTTCTGTCAAGAGCTGGAATCCTAACCAGTCACTGCCTGGTCACCTGACGGAGGCGCACCTCATCCAATGGGCATATGAAGATTGGCTGAAGACATCTTACTTCAGAGTCATCCAGCTCCTTGAAGTATGGTGCAATGATGAGATTGAATACTCTCGTACTCGTTCTCTGGACTTCGTCTATGGCTTACTCAAGGACAAGCCGGAACAAGAAACAAACTTACTAAGATTATTGGTCAACAAACTTGGCGACAAGGATCGCAAGATTGCCTCGAGAGTCTCATATCTCCTGCTCCAGCTGCAGAATACTCATCCTGGAATGAAGCAAGTGGTCATCAAGGGCATTGAGCAAGAAGTTCTGCTTCGGCCTGGCCAGAATTTCAGGGCAAAGTACCACGCTACGAATACTCTGAACCAGACGATCCTAAGCAACCGCGAAGTTGGCACAGCGGAAGCGCTTCTCCGCATCTACTTCGACATTTTCGTCACCCTTCTCAATAGTTCTGCTCTTGGAAAATCACCTGCTGAAGGCCAACCGGAGCAGTCGACTACAGGAAAAGACTCCAGTGTGACAACAGAGACGGCTGATAAGCTGGTTACTGCAGTGCTGACAGGTATCAACCGTGCGGTGCCATTTGTAGCAGCGCAAGACCCCATGTACGAACCTTCACTCTGTTTCCTCCTTTTTGCCATCATGACGCACGAAACTAACTTTCGATGACAGCCTCGAGACCCAGATGGACACACTTTTCCGCATTGCGCATTCTACAAACTTCAACACCAGTATTCAGGCGCTTATCCTTATTCAACAAATATCCGTGTCAAGGCAGCTGGCGTCCGACAGGTTCTATAGGACATTGTACGAGTCCCTACTGGACCCGCGACTCGCCAACTCGTCAAAGCAGGCTCTTTATCTAAACCTGTTGCTAAGGTCTTTGAAGGCCGACGTTGACACGCGACGGATAAAGGCTTTTGCCAAGAGGATGTTACAGATTCTCAACATGCACCAACCAGCCTTTGCCTGTGGTCTGTTATACGTGGTATTCCAGCTGCGCGTTCAGTTCCCGGATCTCAGGGCACTCCTGGAGGAGCCAGAGGAGAACGATGTTGAAGAAACAGCTGGTCAACTTCTGGACCAAGAGCAAAACAGATCTATCTCTAGAGGAACAGCGTACGACGGCCGCAAGCGGAACCCGGAGCACAGCAATGCGCAAAATAGTTGTCTCTGGGAAATGGTATGGTTATGATATCATTCTTCCAGAACCCCAATCGCTGACGCCCGCGCAGATTCCTCCCCTTACCCACTTCCACCCATCCGTGTCATTGCTCGCTGCCAGCCTGTTCTCGGACGAGAAGCAAATGGCCAAACCGGATCTGGAGAGTCACAGCCTGATTCGCTTCCTTGACAAGTTTGTGTACCGCAGTCCCAAAGTGGCAGAGACTGTCCGAGGAGCGTCCATCATGCAGCCAGTACGCAATCCAGACTCTGGCAGCATCTGGCTTGCCAAGAGGACCGGCTCGGCAGCTGCTGCGCCCATCAATACACCCAGCTTCTGGAACAAGAAGGTCGAGCAGGTTGCAGCGGAGGACATCTTCTTCCACGAATACTTTAAACAGGCGGGCAAGAAGAATGAGACAGGCAAAAAGGAGGCCACATCGTCCGCACCCATGGCCGACAAGCCCGAAGATGACGCCGAGCAGGAGGACGAGATATGGAAGGCACTCACTGCGTCGCACCCCGACGGTCCAATTGACAGCGACGAATCTGACCTGGACATGGATGGCTTTGACGACAGTGATGCAGATTCCGATGGTGGCGTCATATTCTCTGACGGCTCCGATGCCGAACTGTCTGACGGCGCCGAGGTTAATGAGGATGCGGAAGAACTCGAGGACAAGGAGGATGGTGACGACGATGAGATGGACGAAAGAGATGAGGCATCTGAACTCACTGCGCTTCCCGAAGAAGCCGAGGAGGCGAGCGAGAAGAGCAAACGTGCTGGCCGGTCATCGAAGAGGAAACTGAAGGATCTGCCCATGTTCGCCTCGGCTGATGATTACGCCGAGCTGTTGGCTCAGGAGGAAGACGTTTGAGGGAACCGAGACGTTGGTGATAATTCAAATGGCATTACGCATCATAAAACAAATGTGTTGGTAAGATCAAACAAAGATGCACTTGGTAGTTTACTTCTCGCAACTCGGCCTTATGTGTCGAACCATTCCAATGCATCTTCCTTGGTGAAGATAGCCCGGTACGTCTTGTCTCCGTCAGAGTGTTCCTTCTCCTCTGTGTGAATGCTGTGGAGCTTTGGTGGTTCGCCTCCCGGCACAAAAGCGCGGAAGTGAATATAGGCGGGTCCAGAATCGGGCAAAGCTGGGATGCGAATTTTGCCAAAGAGATGGATTCCATAGGCCGAGACGGCGACTCTTACAGCTGTAAGGTCGTCTGGGCCGAAGGCGGCTAACTTGTGATCGTCGAGATGTGCCTGCAGCAGTTTGGATAAGAATGGGATGAAACTGGTGACAGGATAAAGACAACCACTTACCACGGCCTGGAAGTACTCGGGCTCGTGCTCTGGTAGGCGATAGTCAGTACAGTACCCTACCCGTAAAGATGCGACGCGTAGAGACTAAGCAAATTAGTATGGGGAGCGAGAGACGTACTCTGGTATTCACGGCGAATATGAAGTAGCTCCTTTTTCAGATCATGCTCAATCTCCTTGAAGACCTTGATGGACTCCTCCTTGGGCTCATGTACTTCGCCCAAGTCGACGGTTTCGGCTGTGGCCTATAGGCGGTGTAAGACGACGAGCCAGGCAAGCAGATCCTAATCACAGATGCGACTGCGGGGCCAGGCAAAATAAGATCGAGGGCCATACCATTGTGCTGGTTGTGTTTATGTTATGTCGCTGTACAAATCACCAATGGCCGTGTTGGGGTAAAATGGCGCTTTGAGGCAGAGTATCAAATATAGGAACAACGTAAGATGAGGCTTGGCTAATAAGCGATGAAAGCTAAGACTGGCAGAACCAGACCCTCTATTCGACGGCCATAACCGTGTCTTATAACATCATCTGATCTGTAGGGGAGGGCTGGAGATGGGTTGAAGTGAGGGGTATGAACTCCAAGGAACCTGGCAGCTTCAAGCTTAATTGCTTGACATTGTGGCATTAGAACCAAGAACCCCTGAAGCAAACACAGACAGGCACTGTGTTGCCGCACGACGAACGATGGGCTGCCACAGATAACCCCCTCCCCCCCTCCCTGTGGCCTATCAGGCGGTCTGTACTCTGCGGCAGTTTCAGGGAGGGCGTGATGTCATGTGGCCAGGGTTCGCTCCCTGATTGAGTGACAGAGTCTACTACAAGACTGGATTGCGCAAATCGACGGAGGAACAGACGCAGGAAAATAGCGGATGCAATCGCATCTTGTGGTTCAAGGCAAGGCGTTGGTTGCATTTAGGTGTTATACACACAATTGCAACTCCTGCAATAGAAGGCACATGATTTAGGCAGTACTCAGATGGGGAACATACGGCAGCTGGAATGGCCCATCCGCTCTACCTGGTATAATCTAAAGGCCGCAGTGAAGCAATTACTATCTATAGTGCGGAGTATGCCGTGGCACCACGTTCTTCGTATACGTTCCCAGCGGAGTAACGGGTACTTACATCCCAGAGCTTCAATTGATGCATATTTATCCCATGAGATAGACTATACCCTGCATGACTCGATCTCGTGCTTCTGTCGAAGTGCCAAGTGTATTTGAGCAGCACAAAGTTGTGACCTGTCGGGGGGTGCCTCCACTTTTGCGACTCTGACAGCTTCAACGCCGCTATTCTACTATCGGGGCCTGGCGCAGAGTTGTCGCATTCTCCTGTCCGATACCTCGGCTCGTGCGTCTAGCCGCACCAAAGATACTTTACCCTAGCTACATCCCTTTCGCCTGTGAACCATTGGATTTCTGCCTTCAGCCTCTCCATCTGACGACCTGGTCACAACCATGACCGCAGCACCACTTGCTCCATTAAGACGGCTGCTGATGCAGCCCGCATGGTCCGCCCCGACTGTGCAAGCCCAAATCTTGCGGTCTTCGGCCCACTGCCGCCAGGTCTGTCTTCGGCGCTACCACCCAGGCGTTGGCTCAGGTGAGCTTTTGTCGGCTTCCTTGGCCCATGACTTGCCCGGCTTATGATTGCTCAAAAGATCCTGCCGCGCAACCGTTACGAACCCCCTCCCGATTCCGCAGAGTCATCGCATTTGGAGCATTCGGGCTGCTCTTCGCAGGCCTAGGATTTGCTGCCGCCGCAAGTCCTCTCGTGCCTGGTCTGCTTGACGTAACAAGGCATCGGTCCGATGAGGATAGCTTGCGCGCCTATGTGCCCGAGGACGGCGAGGCACGGGCTGTTGACGACTTCATCAATAGTCACCCCCTTGCGGTAGAGATGCGACAGAACCCTAACATGGCCGAGTCTCGTCCTCATATGAGGCTCCCCAACGCTCTGCGACGTCACAACCTCACAGGCGGCACGCTCTTGGGTCCCGGCCGCATTACAGTGCCTCCTGTTTGCTGGACCGAGAAGGGTGGCAAGTCGCTCGTGTCCATCTCTCACCTTGGCACGGACATGTGCGGCCACCCCGGCATTGTTCATGGTGGGCTGCTCGCTACTATACTTGATGAGGGCCTGGCGCGGTGCTGTTTCGGTGCGCTTCCACACAATGTAGGTGTCACAGCCAAGCTTGAGATCAACTACAGGAAACCGGTGCACGCGGGCACATATGTTGTCTTGCGGGCGCGGACAATGAGGGTTGAGGGACGCAAGGCGTGGGTCGAGGGTCAGCTTGAAACGCTGGCAGAGAACGGAGAGGAGCCTGTGATTCTGGCGCAGGCTTCTGCACTTTTTGTTTCTCCTAGGTTTGCATCGGTTGGTGACTTCTCAACCATCATTACATGGACTTTAAACGCTGACAATAGCGACAGGTTCTGACGAAGCTCAATGCGACTTCCTGAGAGACCTTATTTTCCAGTGACGCCTGCGAGTCACAAGCATACCTAGGCTTGCCCCTGAACTATGGCACGAATCGCTTGGTGGGAAGGCCCAAACAACGTAATATGAACGGGGACGCACGCATATATGTTGGTCGATAAAATGGTCGATACAAATGTCATTAAAGCCGTCAGGGGGCCAAAGATAACCGGAGTACTTGGATTTGGCCAACTTCATAAAATCCCTAGGCACCAGGAATATGCATAGCGTGGGCCTATATGGAAAAGGGCTTTGATCAGGCACGGCGCCTGACTGTTGAGAGTGAAGTAGACGATACACCGTCGGCGATAGACCATCAGCTTCGCCTTAACCAGAGGCTTCTCACAATGACAATCTGAATGTAACGCCATGCAACCAGGCTAACGAAGAATAGGCGTTAAGAAAACATGTAATAGAAGTCATTTGATGAATCAGCTTTTCGTGACTTGATACGGTGAGATTGAAAAGAGCTGGTCCGCACGCGGCCAGGGTTCTGTGTGCTTGGAAGACCTAAGAAGGCAAGACACCTAGGATTTTTTGCAGGCTGCGGCACCGACGAGGAGGGCCGGTACGCCATCCGGAGACGGAGCGGAAGTCGGTGCTGGAACCGGTCGCAAGGCCCCCTTGCCCAAGGTACCTTACAGTAAGTGGCAGAGCGCTGTGACGTGGAATGGCCGCCAAGCGATGATCCACCTTTAGCCGATCTGACGCCATAGCTAGGCGTTCACTGCGCATCTCGCGTTAAATCTCCCCCCTTCGGTCTGCCATTGACACTATAAATGTGTGCAACTGCGTACGCTGTAGAGCAAGATGGGTACCAAAAAGTATGCAATTTTTTTTTCCTTACTCACTGCACCCGCTTCTTGCCTTGGAAGCAGACGAGGCCAATGCCGCTGTGCTCCACGTCTTTCTCCGAAAACCGCCTATGACAGCCATTCTTAGGCATTTTCGTAAGCGGGGGGGAGGAGAACGAGGGGCAATGTGGCCCCGTAGCATTGCGAGTGAGAACGTGGATGAGGCATGTAGATGTTGCGGCGACGCCTTTCTTCACTTGCGCAACACACCAGTCCACGCTACAAGGTATCCGTACTGGCTTAGTTTTCTCCTTGGCCTTACTTCATTCAACCCGGAGGAGCCTAGCTTATATAACGAAGAAGGAGGGGGAAAGGGGAGAAAAAAAGTGACATTACTCGGTCCATTGTCGCGTGTCGTGCCGCACCTTTCCACATGGGAATACTGTAAATACAGCTAGCTGCTGTGTCGTCCTCTCCCACGTTCGACTCTTATTCTTTTCAACCTTTCACCAACCACATTTTGTAGCTGCCCACGTCTCATATACCTAAAACATCACACAATGGCTACGTGAGTACACAACCATACAGAGATTCTAACACGTGTCTTTCATCTGATATAGATTTCCTCTTCTCTCTTCGCGGGACTAATTGTCCTGGTGTTCTCAAAACCCCGCAGCCATTCAAGCCGTCTGCCTTCGTTGCGCTCGCTACCCCGCCATGCTACCTCTTGTTGTCGTTTTTTTCTACCACCACCACTGTAACCAAATCGTAGTCGCTTTGGCTGGACAACTCATTTTTTACTAACATATGCCTTCCAACTCGACAGCAACATCACATGGCACCCCTCTCTCTCGCGCCATGAGCGCAACCAGCTCCGCGGCCAGCGCGGCTTCACCATGTGGCTGACCGGCCTCTCCGCCTCGGGCAAGTCTACCGTTGCTACCGCTCTCGAGCAGCATCTGCTGCACCTGGGAGTTGCTGCCTACCGTTTGGATGGCGACAATGTCCGCTTCGGCCTCAACAAGGACCTCGGTTTCTCCGAGAAAGACCGCAACGAGAATATTCGTCGCATCGCAGAGGTATGCTCCACGTCTCTCTCTCTGCCTGGCCCTTGAGCTCCATATTGTCCGTCCGATATCCGTCTAACCAATCTGCACCAATCTTGTACAGGTTGCCAAGCTATTCGCCGATTCCTCAACGGTTGCTATCACCTCTTTCATCTCCCCCTACCGTGCCGATCGTCAAGTAGCGCGCGAGCTGCACGCTCAGGCCGGCCAGACCAACGATGATGCCATCCCCTTTATCGAGATCTTTGTCGACGTGCCCCTCGAGGTCGCTGAGCAGCGCGATCCTAAGGGGCTTTACAAGAAGGCGAGAGCCGGGGAGATCAAGGACTTCACCGGCATTTCTGCTCCCTACGAAGAGCCTTTGAACCCCGAGATCGTGATCAGAACCGACAAGTCAAGTGTCGAGGAGTGCGTAGCACAGATTGCCGACTGGTTGATCAAGGAAGGTCTCATTTCCACGAGCAAAACGGCCTAAGATATATCCTGCCAACGAGCTTCGGTCGCCTCTCTCATCTCGCATTGCGCCCATGATTAGAAACTGTCAAAGTAGCAACATCCAGAGCCTTTCTATCCTTCGTTCCATTGTTCTCCCAATTCCATCCGCTGGATGCTCCGTGCATACGTACAGGTCTGAGGGGGCGGGCCATTCGTCTCCTTCATCTCACCAAACCGTCTACTTAGGGGAAGTCGAATTCATAGTACACATAGGCCGTGTACTCATGGCCCTCACCTCCACCCAAGCCAGCCGCCGCCATCTCGGAGGACAATGTTGCGTCATCCTTGGTGATCTTGCCACGCTTGTCTCTCCCAAAAGCGTTACCACCCAAATACGAGTAGTTGGAGTCCAATGCAGTCTTGACCTTCTTGGCCAGCTTCGAATTTGTCTTAAGCGATGAAGTCAGCATCCCGAGCAAATCACAACCATAACGTACATTTTTCCAAAGGGGGAGGGGGGCCAACCTTGACGAGGACACTAACGTAGTCGAGCGGGAGTCCGTAGCGAAGCACTGCTTCAACGAACACGCGCAGTGCAAGCACATGCAGCCAGATCATGACACTCTCGCTCCAGCCAGTCCGGCCAATTCTCAAAGCTTCGCCCCATGTCTTTTTCTCTTCGCGAGCCACCCGGTCGAGCTCGCGCTGCTCCTCCTCTTTGCCGCCCTCGACATACTTGTACTGACGTGGGGTCCACTTCTGCTCGCGGCACTTTTGTAGGAATTCGGCACTATGTTTCTTGAACGCTGTAGCGGCAAACAAGGTGAACTCTTCGTCGGAAGCAACTTGTACGGCAGAGCGGGGAACGACCATCGGTGCCAGTGTTTCATAACTTCGCAAGAAATCTTTCTTCGCGTTGTTCGGTACAACGATTAGATGCGTCTCGAGGTATTCAGAATCCTGGATGAGCAGCGCTGGATCAACGACAGGGGTAAGGGACTTGGTCGCAAGGTTGCCACTGCCATGGAACTGTCAGTAAACGAATTACTACGATGGGATCACCAGGAGCGCGTACGTCTGCTTGCGCTGTAGAGTGGTGAAGTTTGTCTTAACTGAGTTATACTGGTTGAACTTGCTCTTGACGTCGTTGTCGGTGGTAAAGAGTTCCTGACGACTGGTCAGCTTCCTAGCTGTTGGATGTCGGTGGCATTGCAACTCAGGCTGGCTTCCCCTTGAGGAAGAGCGGGGGGGGGGGGGGGGGGGGGGGGGGGGGGGGGGGAGAGAGAGAGCGAGGGATGAGTAAAAGATTGTAGTTCTCAGACACGAGCCATATTCATGTACCTTTTGCAAAGTATCGACGAGTTCGCTCAGGGGCTTGTCGGCGCGGTATCGGACTCTGTTCCAGGAGAAGGAACTAACGTATTGATCGGTGGGCTCTAGGAGACAGACACTTTTAGTGACATTTCGAGACCGCAAGTGGTGCAGCAGGGGCATTTGGGGGAGGAGGGGTTGAGTATGTCTCACTGTCATTGACCATCTTCTGCTGGGAGATCTTGTCCTCGTCGCCATCAAGTATCGATTTCAAAGAGTCAGCAACTTTGGCAACGACGGCCTCACAGGTAGATTCCAATTTGGCGAGGTCATCAGCTTGCTGGACTAAGGCATCTAGGGTGCCAATTTTGAAATCGGGTATGTTGAAAGGTCGGACATTGCCATTCTCGGGCGAGATGGTAGCGTTAAGAGAGGCGATGGCGTCTTCTTTATCGCTAGAGTCGAAGATGCCAAGCGGCAGAGAAACAAGAGCGTATCTGGTAGACATAGTTTTGTTTTGTTATCGGACGAGGGCTAGCTATCCATGCGTGTCGACGTTTGAGGGCGTAGGGGGAGGTGTTTCTGGGCACGATGGCGACGAAGACAGCACAAAGCTCGCAAAGCTCGCAAAGCTTTAAGGTGTCGAGGGGAGAAGAGCTAAGGTAGGTCGGTAAACAGCTGACGCGAGGCAGAGCGCCAACTAGGTTGGTCAGAAGTATGTTTGGGCGCTCGGGACCAAACAAGGGGGCTTACCTCGGAACCGATGAATAGGAAGTGCCCGCGGAAGCAATGAAGATTGCCAAATCCAGTGGGAGAGCGGTATACGAAGGGGCTGGCTTTGAGTTGGTCGAGGATGGGATGCAGTGGAAGCAGACGTAGGTGGAGGAAGTTCGGTTCAGTACTGAACTGGACCCCAAGTGGTAGTAGTGTTGGTCCTGAAGGTGAGGCCAGGTACCATACCTTTCCATTACCTACCCCGAATGCTGCCTTGCTTGGGGTACGGATACCGACAGTACTTCTGGCTCTCGCAATTTACCGTGCGTCTTTCATGTACCGCAACGCAGTACTTTTCCGGGCGCTGGGCAGCAGGTACTGCCCGCTTTTGGCCACTAACGGCGCTCCGTTAGCGTACTTGAGTTGATGTACAGCCACCTAGCCGGGGCAGACCGCGGGTCCAATGGACTGCCATTAGCCATTAGCTAGTCCTTCCTTATTGTATCAGATGGCAGGTGTACACCCACACTCTTCCTCTCTCTTCCTACCTTAACCCCTCTGTTCTGCATCTTCTATACTGCCCTTCTCACGCCGAACTCCGTCAGCTACTCGACAACGTCATCTTGGCTCTCCACGTCCCCTAAATCAACGTTCTCAACAAAGCGGTCCTGGTTTCTATCACGAAAGTCCCGGCGTCTTGATCGCCTTTCATCGCTAAGCTTAGTGCACAGCCCGAATCTGACTCGAACACATCCATCATACCGAGGCTTTCGACAGCATCTGCTCTTGCTGTGTTCAACGCGTCCATCTCTTCTGTCCTCCTTACTGAGTCGATCGACAATGACGATGGTCTCGAGTTGTTGGACATATGTGAAGAGGAGCTGACTCGGTAAATCACCGTACGATCTCGACTCCCCTCACTAATACCAAATTGGATTTCGTGATGTCCTTTCCTGTTATTACGAGCTCAGATATTCATTCCCTGCGCCAACCCGAACCCAAGACCCGCGGCACACTGACTTTTGGGAGCACATAACAGGGTCGCAAAGGTGTCTTTCTTTCCTTTGGGAGTGGAGCCTAGTAGCCCTTGACGCGACCGCCGTATATAACAATGGCTACAACTGCAGGTGTGATGTTGTCCTCTTCCCCTCAACCCCTTAGGCGTAACGTCCCAACTAACAGCAGCCTTGATAGTACCGCTTCAACCGTTAAAGCCCGCGGCGTCTGCCTTCCTCGAGAACTCTGGCACCAGTACCGGCACCGACACTGCCACCTCGATTGTATCTACCTTGCATACCCCGGTATCAGTCTCTACGAAACAAAAAGGTTTGTAAACTAAACCTGTCTGTTCGATGCTGCCTAGTGGCTGGCTGCTTGGCGTAAGGTTCTGCAATAAGCGCTGCTAACCTTCAAGTCTCAGGCGAAGCTCATGGTTTCGGTATCTTGCAGCATACGGGCCCACCCGTGCAAGATGACGTTCTGGGCCTCTACAGAGATGGGCGTGTCCGCAATCCTGTTCCCAGCAAGCTGAAAGGCAGAACAGATGCTAGAAATGGGAACTTTGGGGTCATGCATATCGACCTTTCCACCACCAACGAAACTCAGGAGCGTGACGCGGCAGCTAAGCGCACAAGCGAAGGAACCCAGCTGGCGGCCAAACTAGCTCAAACAGATCGCTATGTTCCCATTAAACGCAGCAAGTTTGTCTACCGACCAGAAGACCAGGTAGCACCCAGCCTACAACAGCCTGATGGAGCCTGGCAGAGGACTTCGCCGCTCACCGTGGCCGAAACAAAGGCCGAACAGGCTCGATTACTGACTTTATTGCGAAGTTTACAGCCTACTCTAGTCGTCGATCAGTTGTGCAAGGCGCTGGCCTTCTTTGGCGAGGTTTCCGGTGCACAGCCTTCAGCCGACGGAGCCTTCCCAGACAGTGCAGAAGCGAACGGATCTGGATCTCTCTTCGTAGGCTGGCTAGCTGAGATTTTCCCAGCCCTTGGTTATGGGTCGATACCAAATGCACAGCACCCACCGCTGAAACGCCCACGAGGCCGTCCTAAAGGAAGTAAGAATGTTAAGGGAAAGAAAGACCGGCTTGCTAGGAAAATATCTGGACCTGCTACTCCTTCAGTAATCGCGACAGGAGATAGCCACACCAATAGCGGTTTAGTCATGGAGTCCGCCGTGGATGACAGCTGGGTTGACGTGGATGATGATGCTGCAGACAACGAAGATGTTCTAGAAGGACAGCTTGTGCGAAATTCCACGACTACATCTCGCTACAATCGAGCCGTGTTCGGCCCAAGTGCTTCTGGCAGTGTGCTGGGGAGCGCCTCTGCCGAGCCAGCTACTATACCGTCAAACCCAAAGAGGCGAGGGAGACCCAAAGGCTCCAAAAATCGGCCGAAACACAAGATTGGGTTGAGCGACGATACTCAGAAGGCTCGGGACGGGCCTAGAGAAGCGATTGGTTCCGCCGTGTTACCGAATGCAGTGACGGACGCTGCGGGATCCTCGGCTATATCTATGCCGTCGAACGCATCAAGTGGTCCCGTTGGACCTGGAGTGCCCGGCGTCAAGAAGCGGAAACCAGGACCAGGACGTCCCAAGGGTTCTAAAAATCGGCCCAAAGAAGCGGCACTTCCATCTGAGCATAACCATCTATCGACCTTAGCGTCAAGGAACATCGACTATCAAGGAGAAGGGGTACTTTCAAGTGCAGTAGAGAGTGCTTCCCAGCCATCATCAGACATTGCCATTGTTCCGCCCGTGCAAAAAGAGTCACAGCATCAATCACAGCATGCCTTTGCGACCATATATTCCTCGTCAGTGCCAGAACCTGTCAGGGAGACTATTGGGAATTCTGGAGGATGCCGCAAGGCTATTAAGCGGAAGCGGAAGGCTGCCCAAGAAGGCAAAATGACAAGACCTGATGAAATTCCTTCGACCATTGCTCCAGCCTCAGCCCATAGTCCGGCCGAAATAGTTTCCACTGTTGCTTCGCAGAGTAGCTCTTCGCCACAGCTGACTCGATATCATGATTCTCCCGATCAGGGTAGTACACCCGCATATCAATCAGCAAAAAGACAGAGGGTTTCCACAGAGCTTCAGGAAGAACCCGCGTTGAGTAGCCAAATCGGACAGGCTATCCAACCCGAGTCGCACAGGCTACGACCGGATGCATCAGCGGGTCAACATGATGCCAATCTTGGCGGAGCCGCTGGCGGCAACTTGCAGATTTCTAGAAAGCAGATAAACATCTCTGCGAGTCGATCTACTCTCCAACAATCTCCCAATAATCAGCATTCTCAGCCCGATCCGTCTGTGGGATTCCGTCAAAATATTGCAACCCCAAGTACGGGCCAACAGGTCGAAAAACCAAAAGCCATCAGCCCCTATACCATGAACATGCCAGGAAGAATAGCACAAGGCATATATAATCAGGTCCGGCCTACTCAGTCACAACAGCAACACCAACAGCAACACCAACAGCAACAACAGCAGCAACAACAGCAGCATCAGCATCAGGACCAGCACCAGCACCAGCACCAGCTCCAGCTCCAGCACCAGCACCAGCAACAGCACCAGCACCAGCACCAGCACCAGCACCAGCACCAGCACCAGCACCAGCAACAGCAGAGTCATCAACCTCATCAACAAAAGCCGCAGCAACAACTGTCCCCCTCACACAATCAGCCAAATGTCAATCAGCATCGGCTAACCAACACAAGTGCTAGTCAAATAAATTCGACAGCTGGGCAAGATGGCACCCCCTTTACAGCATCAACTAGTGATGGAGGCTACCACGGGCTAACGAGCGTACAACAGCCATCTTTCAATGCGCAAATGGCAGTTACGGCAACCACGCAAGAGACCAATTATCGTAGTTCCACGTCACGCTCCATGCAGCATCACTCTCCTGCGTTTCAGACACGCCAGGCACACCGACCGCAGAACTCGGGCCTGTCTTCTTTCCAGGACTATTCCGATTCAACTTTTCTCGAAATGGCGGGACTAGACTCGGCCAGCCAAGCTAGTTTGAACATGAATTCAACGTCGTATGGTATTAGCGGCGGGAGTATGCAACGGGCTTCACCCAATATGAACTCATCCTATGGCTCAGCTTCAAGTATAAGTCAGCCATCTTTTGAGGGTGGTATTGCGGAGGGTGCGTTGAGGGAACGCATGTTCCATACTCTGAGACGCCAGTAGATAAGAAAACGCTTCAGTCATGGCTCTTGTTCCATTAACCCGGGCACCGTTCTGATCGAGTCATAAGTAACTGTGATTGGCTTATTAGATGTCACGACGAATATCGCTTTCCGTTTACGTATACAATGAGATATTCGAGCCACCTCCTTCCTACATATACTTTATTTCTAGTGAATTGAGTTTGTTTACGCTGACCACTGAACCTTAATGATGGTCATGTTTTCGTGTCCTTATCATCCGATAATGAATGATACGAGACGAACGATTAAAGATGTTGAAGCAAAGTACTTTGGATTTAACAAAATGAATTGTTGTAACTTAGTTGGCGGGTAAATAATACCGGGGATGTTCGATGTGAATACAAGAATTTGGGGGCAATAAAATGCTAGTATCTCTATCCAGATGTTTACCACCCTGTCCATGCGAGCCCCGACAAAAGAGAGCAGTGTAGTAGTCCCAATTATCCGGGGGGAGAAAAAGAAAGGGAAAAAAAAACCTAGGCAGCCCCTCGCCTCTGTCCCAACGACCATTTCCTTGGTCGACCTAAACGCCCGTAAATGCCCAACACGCCGTGCCATTGTCATGCGCCATCCATAGGATCCTCATCTATTGCCTCGAGCGGAGGGCGAACGGACTCGGGGGTACTTCGCCCGTACCACCACTCATCCTCCTCATCCATGCCGTCGTCACGAATCAGCTCCAACATGACTTGTGCATTGCGCTTGATGTCTTGGGTACGCTCCACAACGCCTCGCTCCAATATCAGAGCCTCGGCCGTCTTCAGCCAGATCTCCTGCAAGCTAGGCAAATCTGCAAGTACGTGGCGGACATGCTCACGCCCCAATGGCCCATGGGCATACCGGCTGCCAGGCTGGTGTTGAAGACCAAATTCGTGTCGTAAGGGTCCATAGGATCATCGAGAGATGTCCTTGAACCGCGGCGTGCTGGGAATCCTTCCTGTGGTGGTTTGGACGGTTCCTTAACAGATAATGTCGACTTCTTGCGGCCCAAGCCCATGATCCCACGTCGCTGTTTGGGGGTTGGCTCAGTCGAATCCTTCGCAATAGAATTGTACCAGACATCAACCGCTCCTCTCCTGCTGTTATATCCTTTGATCTCCCAAAGCCTCTCTACCTGTCGCAAACCGCCAACGCACAGAATGGCAACGTGGACCTCGTCTGGAGGCTTCTCCTTCAAGTAGCCCCTCAAGGATCGTTCGACGCGACCGGCATATGACGGTGGACGTAGCCGTCGACAGAACGAAGAGATGACGAGTGGAAAGACTTGGTGAACACGTAACAACGTCTGATCGTCGTACATGTTCATGATTTGAACCTCAATGGGGTTTAGTGTATAGGGCTCGTGTAACAAGCCGTGGCCGTCGTGTTTGATGATATGTTGTAGGTGTAGCTTTCGGTAGGTTTCGAAAAAATGGAATACAGTGAACAGAAGCGGAATGAGGCGACGACGCATGCGTTCTCGCTGCGGTGCGAATTCGAGACGTTGTACTTCCGTCGTCCTCAAAAATATCTCTTTCGTGATCCACTCACACATGAGAAACGAGAGTTTCGCCGCAACATGTAAGCGGTGCCACAGACCGCATAGATGATGAAAGTTGGCGCTAGTAGGGTCACTGGATGGATATAGACGTAGGGCATATGCCGGAATGTGACGCTCCAGATGATGGCGAACAATAGGGGCCTCGTTCAACGTGACAATGGCATGCCAAGATTTCGAAACTCGGCGAAGATTGAGAACATCGGTAAGCGGTAGGGAGGAGATAACCTGAATCTGGAGTTCGGTGGGTAAGGCAAGAAACAATTGGCCAAATGATTGTCTGTAAACGAGTTAGACATCATGTCAGTGACTTTGACCATGCTGTGCAATTCAGAGGGAAAGGGAGTAACAAACGTCTTTGGCCTGGAGAGCCCTGCAGTCTGCTCGTGCAGATCGGTATGTGATGTGGATGACTTAGAGTGAAGAATCGAGACCTTGGATCGTAGACTAAACAGGCGGCTTTTTTCGGGACGTTTCTGGTCTGACGGGCGAGTGGACTCGAGTTCGGATTCGTTCGCTTTCGATGTACGAAGTGGAAGGATGAAGGAAGAAGCCTGCGCAGGATGGGAAGGGGGCGACGCCGTAGAACATGGTTGGGAAGGAGGTGGTGGAGGATCGCGTAGTTGATGATGTTGCTGGGCATCGCGGGTCACGGGGGACTCGTTGAGTTGGCTTAATTTACTGAAGTAGCGCTCGGAAGCGAACTCGGTGATGTGAGGCGGATCCATGTTCATGCTATCGTGCTGGACGATGGCACAGCCTGGAGGACGAGGGAACGGGATCAAGCGAGTGCAGCATATGGTCGTCGAGAAATGCTGTCTAGCCGGAACGGAACTAGAGGCGTGTGGAACTCAGTATGTCGACGATGCCGAGTATTGGCAGCTTAAACATGACTAGACATTTGAGGCTATCGGTAGAATCTGAGAAGAGGGACGAGGTTGAGGATTGCTGTTTCTTCTGCGCAGGTTTTGTCGTAATTCAATCGCTGAGAGTGAGATGGTTCCCGGGAAGGAAGTGCCAAGGGTGATGGATAAGGTATCACGATCGGATATCGCGAGACGAGAGCCAACGGGCTACAGATCGAAGCCCACCTAACGAAAACGTTGTTAAGTGAGCGTAGGCGATGGAGCAAGTCGGGCTGCGAAGTCCAGGACGAATGATGTTGGTATAGGGCTACGGACAGTGGTGGTCGTCTCGGGCGTGGTGTTTGAAGTTGGTTGGGATGGGAGGAGATGCGAGGACGTAATGAGCGAGAGGAGAGTAGCAGCACAATAGCCGTCCCAGTGCAGGGCCTCTCCGCTCCGTGTCGAATGGGAAAGGCGTGGGTAGTGGTGGTGCAGGCGGGCTCCCTTTGTGGGTGTGGACGGGGGGGCGGATTACAGCTTTAGTGGGAGTGACCTTTTCCCGGGTCGTGACCCGGAAGGCACAGGGGTTGTTTCCCTTCTTTTTCCTCTGACAAGGTCGACAGTTGAGTGGTGAGGTCAGGTGCGGTAAGGTGACAGGACGGCTGGCGGGCGGGCAGGTGAGGGAGAGCGGGCGAGACCAGCACTGAGGAGAGGATCGGCCATCCGCTGATTCTGGGTGGCCCGGCGGTATGTGCGGCGAATTAGTGGAGAGGTCCAAGTGAAGAAGGGCACTTGCTTGTTCAGGGGGGCTGATGAGTCTGACACGGCCTGCGGCACTGTGCTTAGTGGCTTCCAGTAGGCTTATCCTCTGGGAAAGTATAAAAAAAATAAAAATAAAAAGAGAGAGAGTGAGAGAAGACATCGGAAGTAATCGATGAATACTCTGAGGGTAATCGGCAAAACGGGTCTGGACTGTGGGCACCGTGTCTAAGATACACACGCACAGTGTAATGGGCACTCGACGGTGGGAGCGAAGAAAGAGCGGCCGAGGAAAGCACCGTAAAAGTGCCCGGACGGAGCTCTTCCACCCCACAATCCATCCCAATTGTCCTACTACCTTCCTGAGGTACGTACCTACTTTACCTGCTTTACCGTGATCTATCCCTCCCTCTCCTGTACCCCCTTTGCGAAGAAAACCTGCAGATAGACTTTGTGTCGCGCGTCTCGAACCAGCCTTTTGCTCGCTTGTACACGATATTCGATACAACTGGCTACAACTGCATCTCGGCTGCAACAAAAACCACAGCCCTCGTTCTCGTTGTCAAAGAAACCTGACCATCGGGTGACATACGCTAGACTCACCTAACTGAGCTTCTTCGGCTGTTTTGTGGGCCCAGATGCGATGTGATTATCTCTTGCGTTATCTCTGTCTCTCTCTCTATAACTATCAGCAAAGGGGGGCCAAGGAAAAATATACGCAGACGGCTACTGCGACGTTGGTCTCAGCTTGCATCATTGGATCGGCTGCGATGCAGGGCCAGTCAGGCCAGGCGCGGCGGTACAATGACATGGTCGTTCGGTATCATTATCGTTCGTGCATGCCTTGCCTTGCCTTGACTATCCCACTCCAGTCACCTCGAGATTATATGTTGTGTCAGAACCCTCCACTTGGTGGCGTTCCAACGTTACCTTGTGTCTGTCTGCCAGGCGTCTGGCCTGGCCCGACTCGGCCTTGGAAGGGAGCCGTTCGAGCATTGAGCAACACGGGCCAGCTGCTGCGTGCTGATCTCTGCCCCGTCAGTCGTTCATTTGTTCCCACTGATAGCCAATCGTTTGTGAACGTCTGCCGTCCATTGCCGAGGGAATGTTACTGTTTCTACATTCAACAGAGCTACCTGCTAGGTAGGCCGAGATCTAGTTCCGGTCCCAGATAGTGCCTGAGACTGTCAGATACGACCATATATGCTCTGAGCCGAGCCATAAAGCTGAGAGAGATCTGAGTAAAGGTTACAGCCAAATAACTGTACGGATGTGAACCGCTCAGCCGATTCAAAGAAGTGTGACGTCTAAATGGGTACATCCAGTTACACGCGGCGCTCAGCCAACTTAATTTTCATTAGTTGTATACTGCATCGTCGGCCTGGTGAAGATGGATGAAGGCGAGTGAGTTCTGTACGGCACGCCATTCAAATCATTGCTTTCGTGTTATGCCCCCATCTTTTTTTATACTTATTTTCTTCCTCTCCCCCCTTTTGTGCCGCGCCGAACAGAACAGGCACAGACGGCCGTGGCCGGCGCCGCCGATCTGGGCTCGGTAATGCCCAGTCCACTGTCTTGGCCTGGTGTTCCATCCTGGCCATGTGCGGGCGGCTTGAATTGCGGGTCAGTGCCAAGTATTGGGACGCAGGCGGGAACTGTGTACCGTGTACAGAGACACGTTAAACCCCGGCACCGTAAACTGTAGTATGTTTGGGGTAGCTGTACAGAGAGGTAGGCTCTGCACCCGCAGACGATGGTTCACAGTATTTCTTAGGTCCGTCATTTGGTCTTCGAGGATCTTTTTCGAGTCCGGCGTCTCCAAAGATGCGCAATCAAGAACAACTCGACAACCACAGGATTCTCGTCGGCATGGAGTATTCCCACAAAACGGCCGGTTTAAGGAACGCGCAGTGCAAGACGGTGGGTATCTGTACTATGTACGCACGACAGTGCGTTATTCAAGCCTTGTGCTTATGGAAGCGAAGAAGGTCTTTCGGAAGACCCCTTGGAATTGGAACGCTGTAGATTCAACCGAAGTCGCCGAAGTCGAAGCGACGAAACTGACATAAGAGGCTTAGCGCCGTCTCGGATGGATAAGCTGCGTGGGAGCTAGCGGGGAACGGAGACGATGAGCTGGGGACAGTGGCACAGAGGGGCACCGGGGAAGATACGTACCGCCTTGGTCCCTCAAACCACAAAGTGGTGGCCGCAAGATCTAGATGGCGTGGGTGAGCGCCCCTCGGACCTACCGCGGTCTTTTTCTGGCGCTCCTCCCCCCTCGCGGCACACCATCATCACCAAACAAAAAGTGAAAGAATTCGAAGTACCGCGTAGTGTTTCCATTCTTGCGTCCTTTCCCACCCACTCAGCGTGGTTTCCGGCTGCTTCTGCCGTTAGTGGAGTACAACAGTTACCTTCCATTACGCTGGCTGTGAATGGGTTTCCAGCTAACTGGGCCTTGAACCTAGCATTGCCCGACCACGTCTCTCTTTCCTGGATACACTTAGTATGGGCGCTTCTGTATGCTCGAAAAGGCAGGCACATCACTTGGCTCTACTGCTGCTGCGCTCCCACACAACATACAGTAGCATGTCCTATGACCGTAAAATTCCACCGTATGGAGTATCTCTAGTACTTTATCTCACCATCTTTAAACACCAGAAATGGTAACACTCCAACCTGGAGGGATTCCTCACAAATCGTGTGTTGCCTATTGCGATGAACTGCTTTTCCTTCCCATCGCGGGCCCCTTTCCAGCAGTACCACTCGGCAGTCTCTCTCGTGCCTCATCACGACAATGGCTCAAATCATGTTGTGGCTTTTGAGTGGTCATCCGTCAGTAATGGACGTCAATGTCATAGTCGACCGAGAACCCCCCGGTGATTTGTGGGTTTCCCCATCGTGTCTTGAGCTTCTCCAGTAGCGGCTCCATTTCCCTCCATATTACTCCGCGTTTCCTCCGCTAACACCTGGGACGGGACGGGCGTACTGTACCGTTTCGTCAACGAAAGCCAATAAGCCAATTCCGACTCATCAGAACAATCCTCGTCCGGGTTGAAAGAGGGCCGAGGCGTTCCTGTTACTCTGTCGAAATCGCAGCTGAGGTTTGTATTCGTTTCAAGTGATACCTACTTACGTATCTTTCGACCACGTATCCAGGGGGCATCATCATGTCGTAGTGAAGCACTTCTTGCAATTCGATAATCCTCGAAGGCCACAAACCATCGCTGCCCTCTCATGTTCGCGCATAACCTCGCATACTCCGTTCGTGGTAGCCATTCACTTTGTTTGTTGCGTAACGCAGCTCAAGGATACTGTATTGTATGGCAGGCAGCAATCCCTCCCCCCTCCACGATAGCTTACATACTTTGGTTATCCCGTAGCGCCGGTCGCTGCTTGGGGCTTCGCAAACATGCCGGTAATTTGTTCGCAATGTCCCCTGCCTCAGCCACAACCGTGTGGCCAGCTTCCCATCTCCGTCTCCGTCTCCGCATCCCACTTCCCGCCAAATCTGGCTGGCTGGCTCCTACTCTTCTCCTCTGACGTCGTCCTGCTCATGTGTCCAAACTATTTGTGCCACTTCCACCACCACTTCGATCATCTCTTACTCACTTCAACTCCAGACCCCCCACCACCTGCGCTCGGTTGGCCGACCTTGATCCCCGCCCCTGTTCCTGTTTCGTATCCCTTGCTGCAATCAACCGTTCTCGTAGTCTCGCCCCTTGCCTACCTTGTCGAGTGTTGGCCTATTGTCTCTGTGTGCCGAATTGGCCCTCTGCACTCCTCTACAGATCTGATCAGGGTCGACGTTAAACTGCGCTGCCTTATGCATGGGTGTCTAGACTTTGCCGTTGCTTAGGTATCTAAGTAGCCCGCAAATCTGTCTCAACCCCGCACCGCATCGTGCTTCCGCTAAAACTACTTCGAACCGGACTCCGTACCGAACTACATCCGGCCGCAGACAAAGACATGGAGGCACCGGATGCCGCTCGGCCCTCTTCACCGCCCCGTTTGTCGGCGGTTGACCCCGACCTCCCCGTCCGCCTCACGGACGCCACACCAGGTCCCACCACCAACACCGCCCTCTTTGCCCTCGCTCGCTTCGAGTTTGAGGTAGGCAAAGGCAACGAAGGCACCAAGATTCTCATGGTTGAGTGGGATCCATCGGCTTCTCCAACTGCCCAGTCGCCGTCTGCTGTGTCCTCGGCGTCGTCAACATCCAAGGCCTGGGAAGTATCGTGGGATGGCAAGACAAACTACCTACCGGCTAGTGACAAGGTTACTGGAACAAATAAGCGCGTGTACTTCCTGCTCCCTCCTGGTGCCACCATTCCGTCCGTCGTTACCATTTCTCACCCGGACGGTGCAACATTTGTTACCAGGCCGTTGCCCGCCATTTTCCCCTCAGGTCTGGGCACTGGCAACTCAGACGTTGGGACACGGGGCATCCTCCATACTATCTGGGCCAAAAGGAGGTTTTCTGAGCTTGAAGAGGAGATCGAAGTCGAGATGAAGGCCAATGCCGAAAGTGTCGGCCTAGTAATGGTGCTTCAAGAAAGACAATGGATTGCCAGTTATTTTGGTATTACCCCCAAGAAGGATGCTGGTGAGAACGCAACGACAACCGCATCCCGGATTCTGCCTAGCCCGCATTCCCCCAGAGCGACAGTTGGCGGCAGACTCGGAGAGAAGCTCAAGGGATTGAAACTGGCCACGTCTGCCGCTGATTTGGCCGCTGGTAAGGCTGGTAAGATGCCTGTTGGCGGCTACTTTGCCTTTCTACGATCAACACAAACTGATTCGATGTCTACAGACAGCAACGCGCTCATGCGTTCCATACCCCTTTCTCCAGCATCCAGTGATATGGCGGTCTCGTCCTTCTCGAATTTTATGCGACAGACAACGCGTGACCACCCACCGCCAGGGGGTTCGGTCTCGTTGAACACTGTTGTTAACAACAGTGGCCCCCCCTCGAAGCAGCAAGACCAAGACCAGGAAGACGATCTATTTGCGCTTCCTATGAGCCCCCGGAGCCCTGACATGAAACGAAGCCCATTCAGCCTTGTCTGAATGATCGTCTTATGTTCCTGGCCGGGTTCAATCTGCACTTCTTCGCCTAGCGTGCCAATACGACAGACGCTGTGAAAAGACTCGTACGTGGCGTTAAGCCCTTTGATGATTCCTTACCACGGGCTACGGGCAATGAACGCAGCCATGGCATCAAAGTTAGCAGATTCCCGGTCGAGTCAACGCATAGCATGACGCGAATCTTTAACATCTTCCAGTGTATTGATTCGGCTTCTTCCGCCGTGGACTTGGTATGGGCCCTCGATTCTCCGCCTGTCGAGGGAAACCCCTCATCATTTATATTAGCACATATAGACTTTTTAACAGCTTAGTCTGCCCCACAAACACTGTCTCTCGCATACGGGATCGTTGAGTGGCAGCGTATCTCTCTCTACATAAGATACCCTTTGCGGTACTTCAAGTGCGACTTGTGCCGGAGACACACCCCTTGACGTGGCTCTTGAACAATGTTACATAACTCTCCTCCCACCAAGCCGGCTCGGATTTGATTACGGCTAGCTGCATTCATCTCCAGCCACCGACACGACCTTCGTCCCACCGCTCCTTTCGCTCTTGCCGAAGATAGTATAGTACCTTGGCATCTCTGTACCTCTTGATCCAGTCCAACGTTTCTCTCTCTGACGCATAGACACCGTCCCCCTCTCCTTCAATAAAGCTTTCCTCCAAGACGTGACACACTGAAGCCTGCTCATGTACACCTTGTCCCAAGCGCTGGTACATGGACGCCGGGGAGAAGGGTGCTAGAGCATGGTCCATGTCAGACTGTTTTTGCCGCCATTGGCGCTCGAGAGCATGTGTAGAGAGAAGTTGTGCCTGTGTTGTGGATCGTTGATGAGCTAACCGAGACTCAAGGTCGACCAGCCTTGAGGCGAGCTCGAGGTTCTCGGTCAAAGCCGCTTGGAGGGCCTGATGTGAGGATGAAAGAGAGGGGTGAATGGTACTCGGCGCGTGGGTGAGGGCGTTGAGCAGTTCTGGGCTTGTCGCTATGTCGGCAAGGTCTTGCTTCCTGCGGTGGTGATTAGCGACGAGGAAGGGGAGAGATCAACCGCAGGCCCGATATGCTTACGACTTGTCTTGCAACACCTTCGGAAGCCACTGGTCGCCTGGGTCAGGCACAGGCTCCGGTCGGGCGAACTCGAGGCCGGCAGGCTGATAAGCCGGATGCATCCGGCCTCCACCAGCACCATTTACATTGGGACCAGCGCCAGCGCCGGGGCCGGGTCGGGGCGAGTTGGATGTAATCGGCGTGCCGATGCGACTGGTCTCGTGACTGCCCGGCTTCGGTGGGAGAACAGGCGGGGGAACGGCATCCATGGCGTCGCTGGAGAGGTCGTAAGCTAGGCAATTTTGGTGTATATTAAAGAGATAGAACCGAGGAGTTCGTCTGATGATGGTAGCTGAAGAGATTGGCGCCGGTCGGTCGCATCCACTCCTCCGGACAAAGCGACGTCAGACGGTTGGCAGGTCGGTGCTAATGACATCTGCTGCTTGAGAGTTTCCGGGGTAGGGGGTGATCCATTGATTGATAAGATAAGGCGGCGCTTGAGCCACTCTACTGTAGTACCTATAATTATCTACCTTGCCGTGCTATGGCCCACGGCCACAAAATACGTACACGCGAGAACAACGACGATTAGTGCTGGGTCGAAGCAAATTGTTTTCAAGGCTTGAAAATCACCGGGTTTTGTCACTTTACTTATGTAACAATGAGTGTACTAGTCCTATACTCCCCATCCGAATGCCCCGCTCGTAAGCGGCAAGCTTTTCTCATGTAGCGCAACGCGCCTATTGATTAAGAGAGACCTCTGTTGCCAAGCAACTCTCCCTATTTCCCATTCCTGCCTCTATTGCTCGCTGCCAACTACTCCGTCAATGCTTTACTGACCAGAGATCTCGAGACCATCCCATTTCGCGTAGCTTCTTGCTGCTCGAACTGGCCGCCTTCTTCTCGCCTGACGCAATCGCCAGAGCCTTGCTACAGGCGGCAAAGCTTTCTACTAGTTCCTTCATGCGATTCGCCTTCATGAAGCACTCAGCAACGTCAGAGTCCTTCTCGGCGACAGTGGCCGCCAGTTCCATGCATTCCAGGAAGTTGTCCCTCGTCAGAGTCGTACCGGCGAAATGAAGGGTACTGATGTAAGCGAGAAGTGTCTCAGGCAGATACATGTCCCTTAGCGCCTCCAGCTCTCCGTCTTCTACCGAAATACAGTTAGTGCTTGCCCAAGAGACAGATAGGTCTTGAAGAAGTTACCCTGACTCCGCAGCCAATCCTTGAGCAACGGCCGCACATGCTCCTTGGCAGACTTGACCTCGTTTCCGACCTTTGTCCAGAAGTCTCTCTTTACGGACGGGTCCCTAGGACTGGTTAGCAAGGGCTACAATCAAAAGCATTCATTCCAACCTACTCCTTTGAAAGCTCTGCTAGTGAAGCAATGGTCTCCATTGTATCCAAGGCCTTGACTAGACACTCAAGTTCGCGGAATGCCCGTGCCTCCAAAGCAAGTTGGCTGGGCGAGAGATTCTTCGCACCCGCGACTTCAATCTGGCTAGCCCAGAATTCTGCATCCTCGGGCCACCAATGGTCGTTTTCGTCCTGCTCAGGGAACTCTACCTTTTGCCGCATGATGGCGCTGAATGACACTCGGCTGGCAAGACTTCTGGCAGCATTTAGACGCATAGTTCCTGTTCGCGTGTGAGCTTGTGTCAGCGGACGAATGCTCAGAATATCAGAATCATGATGTGGCAACGAACTGAGAAAGTATTTGTAAATATCCACGCCAACGCAGAACACATGAGGCCAAGCCTCGTCGACAAGCAGGAGCCACTCCAGAGAGCGAATCAGACGTTCGTCGATAGAATCAATGGTATCAGGGTCTTCTCCAAAAAAGTCTGTCCTAATCGAGCGGCCGTATTTGAGAGATGGCGGTCCGTTGTCCAAGATATGGAAATCCTGTGTCTCGGCGGTTTCAGCGTCCAGACTTCGAAATAGGGATGCTGGTTGGTATTTGACAAATTCCAGCACATCTAGTCCTGCCTTGCGGATGAGACTGAGCTGGACTAGACGAGCCTCGTTGTCAGTGATAGGTAGTAGGTTAGTGCTCAACACTTGGAGGGCTCTTTTGTCGAGAATCTTAGAGCAGTAAAGGGGTATCAACTCCTCCAAACCCGAAAGACGCAATAAGCTGATGTAAAGCGTAATCGTATTCTCTTGTACTTCGCGGCGATCGGCCCTCCAGCTCATCGTTGCTGAGTTCGGCGGCGAGTCGACGAGCTTGTCAAGTGTACCAAAGATGATGAGCGCATGGACGGCAAGTCGCAAACGGCCAGGATTCTCAAAGTCAGCAAACTTCTCCGGTATCACGCTGACCTCGTGGCAGGAATGATCGGGCATAAGTGCGGAAGCCTCTTTAGAATTGGCCTTGAGTGTGATGGCCACGCCCTGCTCATAGAAGTGTTGCTCTAACTCCTTGGAAATGATGGCGGCTTGAAGTGCCTTGACGGGCTCAAGGGCTTCCTTGCTCGTGTGAGGGCTGGTCTCGAGGCTATGGATCAGACGTTGCTCCAGCGTAGTGGCGTCGCCATGGTATTGTACAGCGTCGAAAGCGGTGAATGATGAGCGAAGAGATGTTGCTGTCTCGGAGGGACATTGGCTGAGAACGAATGTGTCGAATTGTGTGCGAAGGAGAGCGTTGTAGTGCATGAACATAAAGTCGTCCCAAGTCTTGCACACTTTTTGCACGCTAGGAATGTCTCCTGACAACACGCCGTAGACGGCTCTCTCGATATCATCGGCGCCACCATGACGTGCCGCTGCAAAGCACATGCGTCTCCACAGCGCAAGTGCTGATGGATCTTCCACAAAGCTTACCTCGCCATTTTGCGTAGCAAGGGGTAATGCGGACATGGAAACGGCCCTCCAAACTTCCGTCCTCTCTAGGCACCACTCTCTTATAGCCTTCAAACTGCTGCCCCTCCGAAGAAGCTGGAAGCAGCCAACCCAAATAGCCCGCTCGAAGTACTCGTCCTGCGGTTCCAGCTTTCGACCCTGCCTCGTCACAGAGTCTGGGTCTAACTCGGCGACAAGTGGCGCCTTGTCCGAATTGACAAGGGACCGTGCAACTTCGGGGAACTGAACGTCAAGGGGGCGCGCGGAACCGATAACGCCCTTTTGCAGCTTAATGGCAGACCTTGTGTGTATCCAGCCATGTGCAATGATGTCTCCTCTATCAGCATTCTGCTGTAGCTCCCGGACCAAGTCGTCGAGATCGGGACCAGTCCTTGCGCTCTGTTGCAACCATTCGAGAATGGTCTTTCTCTCGACGGCCAGCTGATCGTTTGCAAGGAACGCGCTCCAGAGGTCGTTGCCCTCTCCGCTCTTGTTCGTGACGCTCGTTGTCCGTTTGTCAGTAGCCTTTGGTGCAGGATATCTCAGTGGGATCAGGCGACGGATGAGATCCCACGTCTGTTTCTCTTGTTCCCATCTTCGAATTTCTTCTAGGCTTGCAGCAGGCTCTGTGTCTTCGTCGTCGTCCAAGTCCATTTCGGTCTCGCCAACTGAGCCCTGCCGAGCCTGTTTGCGCAAGTGCGCTAGAGTCTCGTCGGCATAGTCATAGTACGCATCCACCAGGCCCAGAATCCTTGTCTGCTTCTCCTCGACTGTGCCCTGAGGTGCGAGACAATCATCGAGTGCATTTGCAAACACTTCGACCTCGGGCCCAAGCGGTCCGTCCATCTTCGTTTGCAGAAGCGTCGATAGGCGCGCGGAATGGATGGCAATCGCTCGTGGATCTCGCGCGGCTTGAGGCAAGAGCGGCCTGGGGTTGGTTCGTGAGGGTCGGTTCGAGATGGCCGCTCGTGGTTCGTCAGTAAAGTTGCGTTTAAGACCAGGGTAGGTGCTAAGAGATCCCACTGCAAGCCTGGAAAGAAAGACCTTGGTAAGCCCAAGCTGTACTTTATGACGTTGATAGACTTTTTTGTAGAAGAGAACGAACCTCGTGCGATTTGTAAGGTGCAAGGTGTTGTGGGAAGTCGTGTATGGATCAAGTCATGAAACCTACGGCCTGTATAGAATTCCAGGATCCTCTGCAGCACCGAAAATTTAGGAAAGCTGCAGATCGAGTCTTGCACGCAGACACTGGGAGGTTGTCGATATCTGACGTCGAGTTCACTCTGCCGTCTCAGCGCTTGAGGGAGCTGAAAAGGTTGAGAGCGATATGAATTGCGCAATTCACCGGCAGGTACTGTCTCCAAGAGATTCGATGGCTTCTGATTGCCCCAAAAAACAACATCCAGAGCTTGATGAGGCTCTCAGGCGACAGTGGGAATCAACAGGCGCGTGAAGTGGATGGATCTTCTGTCGATCCGTGCGCCCTGAGGTCGCGTCCTCGGAGTAAGCGCACCTTGTTACGGTTGCCTTGTCGCAGGCCAGATGCCGTACAGGAAGAGGCTGCTCTTCCGCACAGTCCTATTGTGCCGCCCCAGCAGCATAATCTGACTGTGCAGAGGTAATCGAAGCACAGTACGGCCCCGCCCACCACTTCCTTTATCAAGGTGCGTCGGTGGAAATTTTCTTTAACTTTTCTTCTCTTTTTCTCTCTTCAATGTCAAGGCTTTTGTATTAGAGTCTCGGAACAGGCCACTCAATGGTTGTTCAGATCCTACGGGGTCTCTCAGCGCGCTCAACGAATGCCTAGAATAATTCGCCCTCTTTCTAGAATGTTGCCAGATTTCTTCTCTACTCGGGTTGACGTATTTACATGGAAGAGTGGTACATTTTCGCGCACACTCGGTGACTACTCCTTGGACTGCTGTCGCGACTCTTCGCGCAGTCTCTTCAGCTTCAGTTGCAACAGGTCGGGCTTGGGACAGCTGACTGTCGTTGCGTCATTACCCTTGGTCCGATAGAAAGCTTCGCAGCACTCATACAAGGCCATAATTACTGACTGGCACCGTTCTTCATTGTAGCCATTTCTAGTCAGGCAGTCTGCCGCCGGTCAGCTCTGCCAATGCTAAGTATCTGGTTTGATGCAAAGGACTGCAAAGAAGCCTCCACAAAAGAGGACTGACCTTGAATGGCGCACTATGTGGAAGAGTGGTTAATACTATTGACGCTACAAATCTGTAGCCTGGGTTGTAGAAGACTCACAGCACGGGGATGGCATGGAGGATTGGTCTTCAAGTCCTCGTTCAACCCCTGGAAGTCTATGTCAGCAAAGGATAAAACACAGAGGGACCAAAAGTCGAAGTCTGCAGCGTCGCAAACCACGGGAGTAGGGTTTCCAAACCATGATGTCTGCAGCTTTATCGTGCTGGGTTTCTTCGAAGGTGAGCGTGATGCGAAATACTACGATGATGTTAGCAACACTTTTCAGTGGTTCGGCCCAGGTTCTATACCCTCAATTCCTGCCGTACTCGACGACTGTATCTCAGAACCGTGAAGAAATAGGTGACAGTTGGCAAATAAGAGAAAACGATTGATGGGCAGAAGAAGAAGCTAGCCGGAACGACAGGCTGAATGCGAACGAACGGTACAGGGCAAATAAGTTCGCCTTGATCTGGTTCTGACAATGTAGGATACAAGGTGCTAGTTGGGAAAGAAGGCCTTTTCTTCAGACTGATATTTCCAAGCTCTTCACCTCTTATGGCAGTCAGTTGCCATCTAGCATAGGTACCTAGTCCCACTGCCGAAAGTTGCGCTCAAATGACAGTTACGTCAAGAGTACTTTGATTATCCCTTGTGCCCCAGCCCAATACCTTGGAGCAAAGAGGTGGGCACACCCTTCCAATGCTACAGCTGTCTTACATAAGCCATCAAGCTGAAGAGGGCCTGGAACGCCTGCCTTTCATGGCTAATCTAGAACCTGACCAAACTCAGAGGCAGGCAGGTACCTAGGCTCGGCCTCCTGGCAAGGGCAAGTGCAAACAGCAGCCTTTCAGAACCTTGCCCCACCACAGCGGCAGATCCAATCAGATTCCTTCCGTCCCACCTTCACCTATGGTCTTTAGTACACCAGTCTCTGGGATCGAATGCGCCTTCAGGCTCCCCACAATCTTTCTCCCGCCTTTCTCGTCCCTACAGGCCTGTCTGCGAGATACAACTTGCCAACTGCCCAGCTGCTTCGTCAACTCCGCAACTCTCCTTCTTGCGATACCGCGTGCTTTTCTCCCATTACACCACAGACCGAACGTCTGCGTATTCACAGCCAAAACCCAATAAATCGTTAAATTAACCGGACTCCAAGCCCCCGTGCAAGGTATGTAAGACGCCACGCGCCATTCTCTGTCTCCTCCATCAGTCTTTCTCTCAGCCTTCTCCCTTACCTCTCCAAAAAGTCGCACGACCAGCTTTGGCTAACTTTTCGCGCCGCCGCACGCGATAGTCACCATGTCTGGCGAACACGAGAACGGCAGCCCCTCCGCTGGTGGCCAGGACGCTGCGCCTGCAGTCGAACACCTGAACATCAAGGTCACCGACAACAACAACGAGGTCTTCTTCAAGATCAAGCGCTCTACTAAGCTCGACAAACTCATGACAGCCTTCTGCGAGAGACAAGGAAAGGCTATGAACTCTGTCCGATTTCTCTTCGAGGGACAGCGTGTGCAACCTACAGACACCCCAGACACGGTAAGCAGTGAAATCGCCCCTCAGCATGTTGGCGCGCGATGCTAACGCGGTTGGCCCACCAGCTCGAGATGGCGGACGGAGATACCCTTGAGGTGCACCAGGAGCAGGTTGGTGGCTCCTTCTAGTCAAAGCACGATGAGAGGAATAGGTATTACACGGCGGGAGAACTCGAGGGAGCGATGGAATTCTTGCTTTCCTAAGAAGGCTCTGGCCATCGCGAATGGCGTACATGGATGGATGGCTTACGCAGAAGGGCCATACGTAGACAACCAATGATGATTATGACGTTCACCACAAGCTTTCATTTCCTCGTCCCCTCGATTGGCCAGGTAATAGTGCTCAACGACACGCCATTGCCCACCAACAAGACGAAATCAAAATGCAAGCAATCCACTGGCAATCGCCCCAGCGCTTCTAACCGTTGACCCTTAACTCCTGCTGCCCTTGACGCTCAGTTGATCAATCTATTCGTTTCCCATTATGCCTTGAGTTCCATCATGCGGCATCCTGTACACAATACCATCATTTTATCTCCTACCTCCTTGGGAAAGATCTGGCCATCGTCAAAACCACCCTGACAAGAAGCGCAGCGGAAGCACTCGTCATGCCACTCGCCTCCCAAAGCTCTGATGTACTGCCCGATGACAGCAGTTTTGCACTTTTTGCATTTGGGCGCCCTTCTTTCCGTCCGCTTGGTTTGACACTTGACACACCACGCGTATCCATCCTTCTCAATGTGCGTCATGCCCTTCTCGAACGGGTCGCCGCACTCGGCGCAGAAGAAATGTCCATAGTGCCAGTGCTCTCCGAGTGCGACTACATGCTCGCCGAGGATGGGTGTCTTGCAGTGCTTGCATCTCGGAGCATAGAGCTCGTGCCAGTCGAGATGGCAGTAGAAACGGAGTCGCTCATCACCATCGTCAGCCATTGTCTTTCCCGGGGTCTCTTCCAGCACCTCGCCGTTGGTTCTGCGTCTAATCCTCTCCAGACGCTCTTGACGGTGAGCATCAGGCTCGGGGCTAATTTCCAAAGCCTCGAGGCCTGTGCCACAAGCATAGCAGCTGAAGCACTGAGGATGGAAGCGCTCAGATAATCCGGCCAGAGAGACAAATCTGCCTTCAATAGGGAACCCGCACTCATGACACAAGGTTGTCGAACGATTGCCAGCCACAGCGGCAGGTGACCAGTGCCGTTGAGGACGCTGGAAGGGTCGTGCTCTGGATGCCGTCTTGGGGTCGGGTAGCGGCCGCGGCGTAGAGGCCGGAGAATCGTCGTCAGGAGTGACTATAACAGGTATGCTCGGGCTGGATCCAACCGAATCATCTGCCCCGTCAATGCTTATGGACGGTACAGCCGGGACCCCGCGTGGTCTGTCTGACGGGGGCTCCTCCGGCGCCACCACGATAGAAGGAACCTCCATCGGCTGGCTCTTTTGGCTCGAGGCTCCCGATGTGTTGTTGCCGGAAGCCGATCCTGGCCTTACATCAGTTCTCTCGTCAGGAGCCTTCCACTTCGAATCGAAGCTTACAATCGGCCGTCCAGGGCGATCGCTGACGGCCGTGGGTGTGGGCAGTTTCGCACTGCGGTCCTTGAGCTTCATGCTCGTGGCACCCCTGATATCGTCACTGCGGATCTCTATGCCATTCTTCTTAGGTACTGTATCATCCACTGCGGGTTTGGAGGCGGAGGTGTTGGTCGTGTACAGGGGGTTGCGCGACTGCGATGGTGGGTTTCGATGAATTTCGACATTGCATCTAGGCTTCCAAGGAGCCACGCGGTCCGCCGGGGACGGCGCAGCAAAGCGAACTTGGCCTTGAGGGTTCTTTGGCTTGTCCACAAGAGGCAACTCTGATGACGATGCCGACTTTGTTTTAGACTTGTCTTCGCGTGGGGTGCCTTCCGGTTCCTCCCATATCTGATCACCTGAAAACGGTCTCTCGACTTCGCCGCTAATGTTTCGCTTCATGCTGCTGCGGCGACGGCTGGAGGATAGAGGTTTAGGGAGAGGCCGGCTAGAGCTAGAGGGACCTGATACTCCTGAGTCCATCGACGGTCGCTCGGGGCTGCGGCTCCCCCCCCGAAACTGTCACGCGACAAAGACAGGGAGGGTCGGCTTCGTCGAGAATGTCCGTCACTGTCGGTAGAGCTGCCAGAAACGGACCTCGAGGTATCTCTAGCTAGACCGGATGGGACCACGTCGTCGCCATACTTACCCACGCTGGCCGTACGAGCGTGGGCATAGCTATTCTTTCTCAGATGGGGCTTGTACCGATAAGGGGCGTGAGGGTCAGGGGGCCGGACTCCGTTTTGATGCTGCCAGACAAGCTCCGAGGCTTCGTCGAGTGCGGCGCTATAGATGCGGGTCTCGTCGTCTGGCGTGCAGGCAGTCTCATCCTTAGTATGAGCGTCATCTTTTTTGTAGCCGGGCTCGTCTCTCTTGATCTGCATGTCGTCCATGGCTTGTCGAAGTGACACGGCCTCCTCTTTCTCCATCCATCGCTGGCCTCTCTCCATGTATGTCGCCGTGGGCACAACTTCCGAAGGTTTCAAGGGCGATGTTGGGCGGTAAGGGTAGTAATCGCGCCCCGAAATACTAGATGTGGAGTAACGTGACGAGAAGCTGGTGTTGGCCGAGAAAGGGGTTGGCCGTGAAGGCGTATCGACAGTACTTGGGCTGGACAAGGCGGGGCTTTCAGATCGGGGAAGAGGTTCAGAAATGCTGTGTTCGCAAGAGGGGCGTTTGGATCTCGTGCTGGAAGAAGAAGGGGGCAGGGGTCTGGCTCCGCCGGGACGGGCAACTCGGTTTGTTCTAAGATTGGCGAGATAGGCAGCTAAAGAAGCAATGAGTTAGGATGGAGAGAGTTGGAACGCGCCACAGAACCGTAGCTCACCAAACTGCTCGTTGTTCATATAGCTCGGTGATGGCGGAGTGACTTTTCTCGTCTTCTCGGTACTCTTCCTGCGATGCATGATGGGGGCGGTGTGCGGCGAGTACGAGGGATGCCGAGCAGTGGGCAGTGTGAAAGCGATGCTTAGAGGCGGTGGGCGATGGGCGATGCGAACAGGGCGATGGAGAGGCGAAGAAAAGGCATGCGGTGAAGTGTGGTGATTAGATCTTGTTTGCTACTAAGAGTATGAATGCAGGGCTATGGCTATTGTTTTTTTCGGTGAGAAATACTCGGTTCTTTGGCGTTCGAGAGGAGTCGACTGATGGCATTGAAGTTATACCCGGGCCATGTGTTCAGCGGTGGTTGGTTGTCGGGGCAACGATGACTGTCCGACTTTCCAGTGGGTTTCGTGAAACATCCCTAGGCTTACGTTCAGTGTTGTCGTCGGCTTGCAACTCTCGGGGGCTCAGCTGTGGTCCGGGGACACACCCGATACTTATCCAGTGCCACGGTCCCTCAGGGGCTTACAGCAGCTATTGGGGCTGGACCCCAGCCGCTCGCCTTTGGGTAACAAGCTACCCTTACTATGAGAGACCTGGCCCTGACAACAACCCCACATCGGCAGGTGCCTCTAGCAGTCAGCATCGGTGGCGCCCCTCACCTTCAGAACCGTATCTTTGTCCAGCCTTGGCCTGGACATATCAAGTACTCCTCTTTCATGCCGCAAAAGCAACTTGGCCTTCTCCACATGAGTTATTGTATCTGTAAGGAGCTCACCAACGATTAGATAGTGCCGTCTAAGGCTGGGTCGGTAGAATGTTTCCTGCGTTCTCGTCCAATCAAGTAGTTCGACTGTTTCTCTATTTCATAGCCATTGTCTTTCGTACTCTTGTTGAATTGATATCTGAGACCTGGCAAGTCCGAGCAAGTCACGCCTGTTGATTGTCGTCAATCCAAGAACTCTGGCGGAAACCTGCGTATTTCTTGTGCGTACGCAGGGTAAGTGAGGAGGTTTGCTTTCTCATATGTGTATGTAACTCAACATACTACTAACAATCCCAGACCAGAGTCCATTGGCAACGATACCCCATCTCTGATGAGATACGCAACAAACGCAACCCCAAGTAACGGGGTGCGGGATTCAAGTGAGTCATTCGTTGTATAAACAAACGTGCCTTTTGCCACGATATTGGCGTGCCTTGCAGTCGCAGACAGGGCGACACTGTTCTTGCCCATCTGATCGTTTTGCAGCCATGACAACTGGGTCTGTTGTTTGGGTGCATGAAGCTTCATGCCCGCGCATAATATTTTGTTTATTGATAATTCCCATGCGTCTTTGCCATCAATCAACGCACTCTCCACAAGCGCGTGCACTGTTCGTGTATCTACAAGTTCATACATGTTTGCTTTCCCTGTTCTATTATACAAAGCCCAACTCAAGATGTGATGCTGTACGTCCGTTTGTTTTACAAATTCGTTTCTCAGTATTCCAAGACCCCTCGCGATGCTGACAAGACAACATGATGAGGCCCAGCAGACTACCATCTTAGCTCCCCGGGTCGTGCATCCTTATCCTTGCTTGAAGCTCCCCGGTCCTGTGTGACCTTGTTGGTACTTGTTGTTGTTGACGGTTGTTCATTGTTAAACCCCAGGTTTTTGAACTCATCCTTGGCCATGAGGTTCCTGCGAATCAATGAGAATTTCGTCCACGATTTGCAGAGACGGTTGCCGCATTGTAGATGAACCTACCGATCCATGCGGCATGCCAAGTAGGATTTGGCTAAGTCGCGACATTCTGCGTCGTTTACACCCCGTACTTTCTTGATGCACTCGAGATAGGTCGCTATGACATGTTTGCACTCGCCTAATTGACCGCATTAGCAAGCGAAGAGCGAAGCTGGGCACGGCGATGTATCCAACACACCATCATGATCAAGTGGAAAGCTGCCACGTTGAGGGCTGGATAAGAGGCATAGGTTAGCTTGGGTCATCAATCGACGAAGGCACGGCCAGTCAAGGGGAGAAGGGGGCTCGTTGCATACGGAATCGGCTTGGCGTTGGCCTGTCGAGCACCGGGTCCGCCCAGTTGACTCATGCTGTCTGTTGATCGGAGGCTGACAGATCTTCAATAGGTGACCACCTAGTAACTGGGCCTGGGATGGTGGTGTTGCGCTGAATTGATAAGGTAGGCAGGACTGCAGTCGCCTGAGTCGAAAGCGTCCTCTTTGTGAGTGAGCCGAGAATTGAAGTTTTGATGGAGCCCTGGCGCCACGCCCTGCACAGCCTACTATTGGCTGCTTTGTAATTACGCGGCGGCCTTCGTCTGTTCATATAAAAGGAAGGAAAAAAAAGAAAGAAAAAAAAAGCGTCTGGGGGTGGTTGATTAGGTTGAGATGAACTGGTATATGGAAGAGCACCAATTGGCAAGAAGGCAGATTACTTTGCGAAAATTGTTACCTTACGCGATGGATACCTAAACGCGGCGACGGCAATAAGTGCAACAAGACAACAACGTTGCGTAGTCTCCCAATCATCGTGAAGCGACTCTGTACGTCGCAACCAGCATTCTCTCTACCTAGGCAGTTTGGTAAGCTCAAAGAGGCGCCTCTCTTCTAGCCCAACTTGAATTTTATTGATATCAAGGCAATTGACTTAACATTGGGAGTCGCCTCACGCCCATGGTCTGGTACGAGGAAGCACTTGATTAAGCAGTGTGGAATATCCAGAGGCCGACACGAGGTGCACTACCAAGAGACGGCTATTTCCGGCAAACACGACACCCAAAAGTGACTCTTTTTCCTCGGTAACCATGAACGAAAAATGACGGGTTGCCCGGAAGAAGCCTCAGAATTCGCCGGAAAGCGGGCTTGACCTGCTCCGTGCAGGGGCTTCTCACACTGTAGCGTCACCTGGAGTGTGGACGGGGGGGCTGGCCGCAGCTATGCCATTCTCCGCGAATCAAATGGCTCGTTGAGGGTCCTCATGAGCGCTGGTGCAGCCAGCGCCTTGGGTACCTGTGACGGTTGTGAAGTAAGGCAGCATGGGTGCTTGTTCCGGGTATTTTGAGCATACCTTCCCTGCTCAGAGGTTCTGTTGCGGTACAGTACATTATTACGCCCAAAGCTCGCTGCCAAAACCCAAAAAAAGCTACGGTACAACAACCGAAGAAAAAAACCAACCACGCGCGTGCCCCTGGTTTACCTCATAGAAGGTCATTCGTTCTCTTCGCCTCGACCTCTCTCCGTACTCGCACAAATCCCACTGCTCAGTCACGATGCTCTCGAGAAGACTTGTCGCAACCGCGCGCTCCGTGCCGCTGCGCCGGTACCAGCCGCGCCAGCTTCCGCTGCAGCTGCCACAGATGATGCAGCACGTCCGCAACTATGCCGACAAGGTCGTCAAGGTGCCGCAGATGGCCGAGTCCATATCCGAGGGTACCTTGAAGCAGTGGTCTAAGCAGGTTGGCGACTTTGTCGAGCAGGACGAGGAGATCGCTACTATCGAGACTGACAAGGTAACATGACCCAACCGTGCATCCATACCTGTCGTGAAGACGCATTCGCTGACTCCTTGTTCTCTAGATCGATGTCGCTGTCAATGCTCCCGAGGCCGGTATCATCAAGGAGTTCCTGGTCAATGAGGAAGACACCGTCACTGTTGGCCAGGATATCGTCAAGATGGAGCTCGGCGGCGAAAAGTCCAGTGAGAGCAAGGACTCTGGCGACAAGAAGGAGGCTGCAGAGAAGCCCAAGTCTGAACCCGAGTCCAAGCCAGAGCCATCCAAGACGGAGTCGAAACCTGAGCCCAAGCAGGAGGAGCCTCAAAAAGATGCATCTGCCAGCAAGCCAGCTCCCCCGGCCAAGGAGACGTCGAAGGCCGCCCCCGCCCCCAAGGAGACGGCAGCAAGCGCCACCCCAGCCTTCGGTAGCCGTGAAGAGCGCCGCGTATGTTTGTTCCACAATCAGTTGTGCGCCTTGGACTTGTGAGTCGCGAGACTGATTTTTGTTTCTAGGTGAAAATGAACCGCATGCGCCTCCGAATCGCCGAAAGACTTAAGCAATCGCAGAACACTGCCGCGTCCCTCACCACATTCAACGAGGTTGACATGTCTTCTCTTATCGAGTTTCGGAAGCTCTACCGCGACGACGTGCTTAAGAAGACGGGAGTCAAGCTCGGATTCATGAGCGCTTTCTCCCGTGCCTGTGTTCTAGCCATGCGTGACATCCCCGCTGTGAACGCATCTATCGAGGGTCCCAACGGCGGTGACACCATTGTGTACCGTGACTACGTCGATATCAGCGTGGCTGTGGCCACAGAGAAGGGTCTTGTCACGCCCGTTGTTCGCAACACCGAGTCGCTGGACATGCTGGGAATTGAGAAGGCCATTGCCGACATGGGCAAGAAGGTGAGCTCCTTTCCATATCCATGAAGCAAGATGCTAGGCTAACAGCGATTCACCACAGGCCCGTGACAACAAATTGACCATTGAGGATATGGCAGGTGGTACTTTCACCATCAGCAACGGTGGTGTCTTTGGCTCCCTTATGGGAACTCCCATCATCAACCTTCCCCAGACTGCTGTTCTTGGACTCCACGCTGTCAAGGAGCGCCCCGTGGCCGTCAACGGCAAGATCGAGATCCGCCCCATGATGTACCTGGCCCTCACCTACGACCACCGCCTTCTCGACGGAAGGGAAGCTGTTCAGTTCTTGGTCAAGGTTAAGGAGTACATTGAGGACCCCAGACGCATGCTCCTGTAAGAGAAACCGCGTCACTTTTTGTAAGAAACAGCAACATACACCATGCTATGTTCGAAAGCATTGCCATGACTGGGGAGAGCTTTTGTACCACCAGCTATTTTACCATTTAGACGAAATAAGAGAGCGGGAAGTTGAGAGGTAGCTTTAATACCATAGAGTGATTTAGGTATCTTATCTCCGTGATGCCGATCGGTGGCGCCGGTTTTTGACCTAATTCTAGTGTACATATACGCAGATACACATAGCAGACGAAATGTGATAACAGGTAGATGACATCAGGGAACACGAGATTTATAGACCGGCTGACCTAAGCAGCACTCTACCGTGGTGGCGCTGGCATAAGGGGATGGAGGAAGCTAGGTATGTGTGCACTGGAGCGCGCTATAGTTTTGTGCAAGATACGTACCCGTGGGCCTTTTTAACCCCTGAGGTGTCCATACCCACACTCAGCGGCGCCACCAAGCACCCAGCGAGCATTACGTCCCATGCCCGAACTTTCTCTGCGCAGGCGACTTGGTGGATCGCGCATGAATTCTTGAAATTGGACGACACGCGCGACAGCATCGACTTTGACATATCGATTCGAGCATCCACTCCCAATTCATCCCGTCCTAACGGGTTTCGCCTTGCCTTTACGCCTCCTTTATCGACTGCCCTTCTTCACCTTGAAGGCATCCGAGTTATCCCTCCGGACCACGAGCCAACGCTTGCTCCCTTCGTGTGCTCTTCCTTGTTTTGCGTTGCTTTGCGCTGCAGACTGGCTGTTCGGCTTGGCCCTTCGCCTCCTCGAGAGCTTCCACTGTTCGCCTCCCGAAAACCCTGGGCGAGCCCTCTTCAGCAAAAAGGCCTACCGAGCGTCTTGTCTCAGCTCTCACAAACAACAAGACTCACGTTCCGACCACCAGGCGTATCTGTCGAGCTTAACCCGTCACCATGGCGTCCCTGGGAGACGACCTTCTCGGCACTGTCAACAAGTTGCAAGACCTGGTCTTCAACACCATCGGCAGCGACTCGCTCGATCTTCCCCAGATTGTATGTCGTCTCGTCATGCAAGCACGGGAGTCCATCTACTAATGTCTTGATAGGTTGTTGTCGGTTCGCAGTCGGCCGGAAAATCCTCCGTTCTCGAAAACATTGTGGGCCGTGATTTTCTGCCCCGCGGAAGTGGCATTGTGACCAGACGACCTCTGATTCTGCAACTGATCAACGTACCCGAAGATGAGGATGCTGCCGACCCTCTGTCAGATCCCTACAGGTCTCCCGACATTGCCAGGCGATCCGAGTGGGCCGAGTTTCACCACATTCCGAACCGTCGCTTCAACGACTTCTCCGACGTGAAGCGCGAGATCGAGAACGAGACGTCGCGTGTGGCGGGCAACAACAAGGGTATCAATAGGCAGCCCATCAACCTCAAGATCTACTCGCCGCATGTGCTCAACCTAACTCTCGTCGATCTTCCTGGACTCACAAAGGTACGTTGCAAATGATGCGACAAGCATTCCAAACACGCAACACGTCTCCCAAATCTAACGCACACCTCAAGGTTCCTATTGGCGACCAGCCTACCGATATCGAGAAGCAAACCCGCAACCTCATCTCCGAGTACATTGCCAAGCCCAACAGCATCATCCTCGCCGTTTCGCCCGCCAATGTCGATATCGTGAATTCGGAGGCTCTGAAGCTTGCCCGGCATGTTGATCCGCTGGGAAGGAGGACGATTGGCGTGCTCACCAAGGTGGATCTTATGGACCACGGCACAAACGCACTGGATATTTTGTCTGGTCGTGTCTACCCGTTGAAACTGGGCTTCATTGGCGTTGTCAACCGCTCCCAACAAGACATTCAGGGTAGCAAGCCCATGGAGGAGGCCCTCAAGGCCGAGTCGGAGTTTTTCAGGCACCACCCGGCATATCGCAACATTTCAAGCAGATGCGGCACACACTTCTTGGCTAAGACCTTGAACACGACCCTGATGGCTCACATCCGCGAGCGCATGCCCGACATAAAAGCGCGCCTCAACACTCTGATGGGACAAACCCAACAAGAGCTGGCAAGCTATGGTGACATGCATTTTAGTGGTAAGGAGCACCGTGGATCCCTCATTCTGCAACAGATGACACGCTTTGCCACCTCCTTCATCTCTTCCATTGATGGTACCTCGACCGAGATTTCCACCAAGGAACTGTGCGGTGGCGCCCGCATTTACTATATTTTCAACTCCGTCTTCGGCAGCTCTCTTGAGTCCATTGACCCGACTTCCAACCTTTCGGCGCTTGATATTCGAACCGCCATCCGTAACTCGACCGGCCCTCGTCCTAGTTTGTTTGTGCCAGAGATGGCCTTTGACCTTCTCGTCAAGCCTCAAATCAAGCTTCTCGAAGTCCCTAGTCAACGATGTGTCGAGCTTGTCTACGAGGAACTCATCAAGATATGCCACACTTGTGGCTCCACCGAGCTGTCTCGCTTCCCAAGGTTGCAAGCCAAGCTGATCGAAGTTGTATCTGATCTGCTACGTGAGCGCTTGGGACCAACTTCTGGTTACGTCGAATCCTTGATTTCGATCCAGCGAGCGTACATCAATACCAACCACCCTAACTTCCTGGGCGCCGCCGCCGCCATGAGCCATGTTGTTAGCAACAAGCAAGAGAGAGAGAGAAAGCGTCTCATCCAAGAAGAGCGAGAAAAGCGGGAGAGGAGGCGCCTCAAAGAGCTGGGTACCAATGGTACCGAGGGACCAGAGGAGGAGGAGACGGAGTCGACAATCACCGAAAAGGCCGACTCTAATGCTTTGCGAAAGCAGGCGAGCAAGGGAGCGCGTAGTCTATCGCCGGGTGTGCGTGAAAACGGCACCACCGGCCTGAATGCGGCCCTGAACGGCGCACGATCGGCCTCTCCCTCAAGATTCAACGATAAGGGTCTCGGCGGCGCGCGTGACTCCTTCTTAACATACTTCTTTGGCAAAGACGGAGCCTCGCCCATGGGAATCCCCCCTTCATCCAACTCCTCCATTGCCCGACACGTCAGCCAGAGTTCCGAACCAACGTTTTCACAGAGCATTCGTCGGACCGAAGATAAGGTAGCCTTGCGCGCACCACAGTCCTCGGCTCGCGACGAGCTGGAGTTTGGCAAGGCTGCACAGTCCGTCGATTACGGATCTCTATTCGTAAGTTCTTTTCCGTAACCGCAAGTCGACACTAGAAGCTGATTTCGTTAGCAGGGTACGGCCAGCGGCGAGCCGGCCATGACAGAGCGGGAAGCGATGGAGACGGAGCTCATCCGAGCACTCATCTCTTCCTACTTCAACATTGTGCGTGAGTCCATTGCGGATCAAGTTCCCAAGGCTGTCATGCATCTGTTGGTGAACCACTGCAAGGATGTGGTCCAGAACCGACTTGTCAGTGAGCTATACAAAGAGACACTCTTTGAGGAGCTCCTGTACGAAGACGACGGCGTCAAGAAGGAGCGTGAGAAGTGCGAAAAGCTGCTTCAAACGTACAGAGAGGCGGCCAAGATCATTGGCGAAGTGTTATAGATATGTGTCGGAAAAGAAATACAGACCCTGGCGAAACCAGCGCGTCTTGATTACAATGGCCCCCTCCATCTCTCTCCCTGTTACACAGATACATTCTTCTTAGTTTCAAGTATTCGCTGTGCGGTTAAGGCGAGGTCTAGATTGGAGAGGCGTTACAACGGAACGAGGCCCAGGAACGTCTCGAGGATCGAGGGCACCGTGGTCGGTGTTTCGTTTCTCTTCCCAGGGTTGCTGAGTTGCTTCTCTGCTGTACCTCATAGTCGAATACGTGTGTAATACAAGAGCCTCAATTTCGATTTTTCACTTTCATTTCTCTTCCCTTCGACGCCAGGACGCCCCGTGTCCTAGTCTTTCGGATTGCATTGCCTGCAATAGCATGGTACTCATCAAAGCTGTAGAATTCGCTATGCTATCACCTACATAGTATGCACATAACGGCCAGACTTCTTTGCAGCAACGAGGCTGCACCCCTCACAAAAGCCATATATCATGTGGGAGGGGCTGATGTTCATATCTTGTCCATCCACAACCGATTTCTCTATTATCTTCTACTTGTGTATTACTTGTAATCACTGCATCTATGGCTAAAGTCCCTTGCAGTACTGGGGCCCGGCACAGGGGCTGGGTTCCTTGGGTCATACTCTTCGTAGAAAGACGGGTCATTCCTGACCCAGGCCGGCATATGCGAGGCTTCGCGCATCCGCGCACCCGAGCTACTCTCTCCTACTGCTGATGCGTACACAGCACCGTAGGGCGGTGGGTATGTCCCCTGGTCGAGAGGCCTGGGATGGTCATCTACGTACGGTGTGCGCTGTGGCCCACGTTCACGCAGTATCGGGCGCCGTATGACGTACTCACCTTCGGCATCCCTCACGTGAACGATCTCATACGCCTCTTCATACTGCACCGGTGAGATACGCATTGCGTCGGCGTGTGGGCGCAGCCCTTCTTGCTGATCTCCTGCACGGTCTTGAAATTGATCTGCTGCAGGACTCGGTGTGTATGCCGCTTCGTGAGAGTCACCATGGCGGTGAGCTCTATAGGGGCCCCGAGATTGTCGACCAGGCCTTTCTTGCCGGGCATCATCGCCAGTTTCGACGTAACCTTGATGATAAGCGTGATAGGTGGGCTGATGGAACTTATGCATAACGCCTCTCCGCATCTCAATGCCGGAAGCACGAATCATCGACCCATCCACATATTTTTGTGTGTGTACGTCATGATCTTTGGCAAGATGTGACTCTAGAGCAGCAGTTATGTTAAAGTCGTCGGGCTCCTTCTGTGGCGGGCCTGCAGAGGCCGATTCCAGAACAGCCGTAGAGTGAGGGACTCGTGTTACGCTGCCCGTTAGGCTGAGTTGAGTATCTTGTGGCACCAATGGGGACTGTTCAAGCGGCGGACGTGGTCTCACTGATCCCGCCCCGCCAGACGCGTGCAACACATGCTCTTCCTCTGTATGGTATATGTCATCCTGTTCAGACCTTGATCTGGCCAAAGAGAGACCAGAAGCTCGGATTTGCTCGCGCGCAAGAAGCCGACCTTCGGTAAGATATGGCCGATCTGAGCCATAGGCATATGTAAGATGATGACGAGCCATGCCGGTACCCTCGGGGTAACCGCCCTCATGAAACACGCTATCATGAGGTTGGTCGTAAGTTCTTGAAGGACTGTTCCAGGCACCGGACCGGTAAGTATCAAGGGTCGACAGATCGCACTGTGACCTCGTATCGCGTCCTTGATGAGAATCGAAGAATGGCTCATGAGGACCTGACGCTACCCGGCCCTCACACTCAAAAGTCGGTGGTTCTCTCTGAATACCCTGTTCCCTTGCCACATTGGATGGGTCCTGAGTTAACGTAAGGTCTGGCCAATCCGAGAGTTTATTGCCAGGATTGGCCGGCTGAGGAAGTTGAGAGTGTCGACCATACTCGACAGAGTGGTGCGGAGCACCTGGCCTTCGATCATAAGTCGTAGACCATGAATCTGGGGGTCGATAAGAAGGTCTGCTCGACGTATTAAAAACCCAGGGTACTGCTTCATTGATGAGGTTGAATTTGTGTCTTTTGTTGGCAAGGATCGCTCTCAAATCAGGCATCTCGGACACCTCTGGAAGTAAAACCATATCTTGTGTCCAGTCCGTGCCTGGTTGACCGCTATAATCGACTTTAGGGAATTCAAGGTGACGGTTCTCGAAGTGATTGACAAGCTGCGGCAGCGAAAAGGTCTTTCGGTCTGGATTAACGGATGGACCCAGGCCCAATGTACAGGCTCTACACATCAGCCCATTGATGTTGCGTACAGGACGCATCTCCTTGTTGTTTGACAGTCCATCATTGAACATACGTAGCGACGGGGCCTCAAAGAACTTTGACCGAAAGCGCTTCACCACGTGGTAAATAGTGACATAAACCCTCAAGGGCCCAGGCAGGTCCCTGACACTGGAAAGTGTGTTCCAGAGATCTCGCGCGCTTCGAGCAAGATCTTCCATCTGCGCATGATAAGAAGACGGGAATGGCATTCTTTTGCTCGCAGCAAACGGCGATTGATGGTTGCCTTGCATCGAAGCAGCGTGGTGCGGTTGGCCAGGATAAGGCGGTCCTGGAATATTCGGGTGATACTCAGAAGGACCAGGCGGGCCAGGATACAAAACGAAGCCTGTAGGTGCCGTTACGTACGTCTGTGAGACGTCGTTGGTACCATAGCCGGATACCGAATAAGGAGCAGGCGGTATGACACTGTCCATACGGTAAGGTGGCGGCGGGAGGTACGCATCAGCATGCTGAGGAGCATAATGGTGAGGTGGTGTGTGACCAGGGAGGAAGTGGTAAGGAGGTGCAGGAGGCATGCTTCCACTGAGATGGAGGGCGTTGTAGGGACCGTGAGGTGGACGTCCTGGTACCACATGGTTCTGCGGGACGTGTGATGTGTTTTGTTGAGGGTGTTTTGTGAGTCGGGCATTGAGTTTAAACGGTGACTGCTCTGGCCATTCAGACCTCCAATGGACAACGACATTGCCGAGGCTGAGGGCTTTGGTATGTTTCGCAGCGTAGTGCTGGATTACCCCCTCAAAACCGTAGAGCCTGTTGCTGTCACAGCCATTGCAGAGAAACAACTCTTTCCGAAATGATTCGGTGTGACTTTTGATCTTCATGTCAAAAACCCATTTCATGTTTTCAAGAGTGAGTTTCTGGGTGAAGGGTCCCTCCGGCGGATCAACGACTGGCTGTTGCCCAGCTTTGATAGCAGCTGCGGCGTCTTGCGCCACGTCGGCATAGAATCGTGCCCGTACCGACAGGAGAACCTCTGCCGCAAACCGTGGGCTATTCTCCTTGTTGACTTTGCGGCCTTTCCCCCAGTTGCTGCGAATGATTTCATCTGCATACTCCGACATCCGCGTGCGGACAGGGCCTTGGATTTCATCCCAATCTTTGTCCGTGACTTCCTTCAGGGACCTGTCATTCGTTTCAAGACTGGCATTTGGACCTTTTGGTAAGGCCTCGTTCTCCGTTCTTTCGGCGTCTGCTCGTTGTGCGAGCAACTTGGGCAACAGCATGCTCCACGCAGTTTCATCCAAAGGCGTAGTCATCTGGATGGCGGATTGGAAGGAAGGCATGTGAACAAGGAGATTGGGTGGTAAAGGGGGATCGATTTGCATGGCTCGGCGCTCGATTTCGACACGCCGTAATGCCTTCAATGCCGTACTCTCTGCGCAGCTCCTCTCTGGAGGAGATTGATGTTCGCGACTCCAGTCCATATTCACTGTTAAGTCCAGCTGGTGTCCCGCGGAAAGCGATGTGGTTGACAGTGATTTTTCCTTCTGGGATTCTTGGTTGGCGATAGAAGTTGAGAACCCTGGGGAAGTTCGCGCCGAGGCTGATGAATTTGGGTCTGGGACTTGCGGTGAGCCGTTTGGTTCGTCGCTTGACTGTGGTTGTAATGGGTGGTTCATGAGGGCCAGCCCACCGGCAACAGTCCACCTCTCCCAACGAGAGGCATCGCTCCTAAGCTCCTTGCCTCGAGTGTCGAGACCTTTCAACCATTCCTCAACTGCCGCTGTTCCGAGATCCTGGGCTGCACGAAGTTCCTCCTTTGCAGACTCGATGCCCGAGGCCGAGTACAGCTTGGTAGTTGCTGGGTTTTCGTGAACTGCAATGTCTGCTATAGCACTAGGCGGCACGACTTGAAGTTCGTTCGTCACGAAAACGTGTGCTAGCGCGGGAATGAGCGAGGAAGGTGTTGTAGATGAAAGTAACAAGTCAATTTCCTATAGATATGGTCAGCTGAAGAATATTGCCGGTTTAAAAAACTGCAAACTAAACGTACTTTCACGGAGTCTTTTAACAGGCATGTGCCGCAACAGGTAACACCAAAGGCGAATATGGCCGCCAGACCGTCAATTCCGGGCCCTAGGCGCCAGGGATCGGAATATTCCTGTCGCTGCTGACTGGTTCTTGCGGCTCCACAACGCTGGCAGACGTTGGCACAGCAAAGCCGCCACATGTCGAGTTCAGACTTGTCCCTCAATGGGGCAGGCATCCTGGGCCAATGCAATCTCCTCGACAACTGCCAGATCGTATCGGGCTTGAGTGGCTTGACGCAGCGTGGATATTCCGAAAGAGAAGCGGAAGATGTAAAAAGAGACTGAGGGTCAAGGTATCCGTTAAAGATTTTGTTGACTTGCAACAGGAGACCCAAGCTTCTGGTGGGGACGAAGGTAAAGACATGATGCCAAATCTCCGAAGGGAGGTATGCTTTGTCCTGAGGGAGATGAAACGACTGTCTTTCTCCTGTTTCCAGCTTCAACTTCTTGGATTTGCCTTTTTCGTACTCGGTGCCGTCGGCACTGGAGGGTGTGTGAACAGTCTTGCGTTTACTCCACTGAGTCGAGTGATCCTGCAAGCCCCGGACGGCTTGGTCTGACACATCGATACTTGACGGGATGTTGTCCGTTGAACTAAGGTGTTTTCCATGACCCGAATTACTCTCAGCTTGTAGGGAGATGCTGTCTGACGATGAAGCATCCTCCGATAAGGAGGCCTTCACGTCGTAGCTAGGGCTGCTACGGCGTAGAGACGGTAATGAAGGGTCCATTGTCACCGTTTATTCTGGACGGGAATATCCAATTGAATAAAAGCAGACAAGTGAGGCAAGATGAACTACGTTGCAAATAGCAACAGTGAAAAATAAGGATGGGATGGAGAAGATCTTGAGAAGGACGGAGAGCTCGAACACTTGTCAGGGGTTGAATGCGATGGGTGTGGTTGGTAACCAGGCTACGAACGATCTAGACTGAGTTCGCCCGTGTCCTTGGCCAGACAGATGAAAGACGTGTGCACAACGTTAGCCTCGCCCTTACAGCTGGCTGTAAGAGTTGGAGGGCGTCTTGAGTTGATGGAAAATAGGGGAACGAGGATGCTTCCGAGCAGCCTGAAGAGGGGTTGGGTAGGGACGAAGAGAGCGCCGACACCTACAGCTGATCCAGGCAGCCAGCGGATGTTGACGCGCGGAACTAGATGGTTGACATGAGCATTTGGAAAAGCGATGCCATATAGTTTCAATCTGTCGCGTAGTCGTGAGTAGACGAGGGTGTGTCGTTGGGTACCGAATATGAAATCGGCGTGGAAAAGAGTGCGGTTGAGGATGTCAGCAATTGCGAATTCGGGAGTCTGCATTTGGAGCCACAGGATCCACGGCGCGTCTCCCACAAGTGGAGGGTCTCGGCGCTGATCTAACCAGGCGTGGAAGCCGCGTCTGCGTCCTTAGTGTAGACACAGCACGGCCGCACTGTGCAATGTCGCCTCGTACAGGTGGGTTCACTTAGTGTTTTGTATTTAAGGAGCACTATCGCCGTCGACAGCCAATCTCCGTCCAGCAAAGAGAAAAGTGCAGTAGCGTTATGGCATACACAGTTGGCCATTGACGTTCGCAATATTCAAGATGTTGCGACGAGATCATGTTCAATTGATCTAGATGAATAGCTAGGACTGGTTCGACCATACAAATCACAAGTCTCAACAGGCCACTGCGATGATGCGGGTGAAGTACCGCAATCACAAGTGCCTCAACCAAAAATCGGCGCAAAGTTAGGGCCTTGACATTGGCGATAGTCCAGCTCGTCACATTGCAAAGCATAAATGGTGAGCGAGCCATAGCCATCGCAGAAATACTCTCGTCTACTGTGTCCTTGACCCTGAGCGGCAGGATCGTGTGATTCGGGGGAAAAACAAACAGTTCAAGACGACTAGACAAGAGCGTCGGGAATTTGGGCGGGCAGTATCGGTATGTCTATGGGGCTAGAGAAAATACAGTCAACGTACCAAATCAGGCGTATTGTTGTCTTGTCCCCTTATCCCCCTGGAACAAAAAGAGAGCTCGCGTGTAGTGTACTCGGCAAAACTTCTTAGACGGTTAGCCTCAGCCGCTGCTAGAAGAACCAGTTTCAAGCTTATCATCTTCTAGTTGGGTTATCGTTCGCCAATGAGCCTGCCGCCTGTGCCGATGCCGTCTAGCATGGATGTGTGTGTCTGATCGCGTCTGCGTGACCGGCGTTATGTCAGTAAGACCTCTTGAGGGATCGGCCACTTTCAAGAAGGTCAACACCCACCTCTGTTGGCACAAGTGCAGCCTGCGGAAGGCTGGCAATGAGTGCACGGCTTATCTCTTAGAGTGATCAGCTGATCCCGAGGAAGCGGACGACGAGCTGCGTCTCCTGCCACCACTCAAACCATCCTCTTTTCGAACCCTTCTACTGCCGTCTTTGCCTCGCTCTTCGTCGTCCGACTTTCTGTCACGACTCTCGTTGTCTGGTGAGCGGGGCATGCTACTGCTGCGGCGGCCTCCAGGGCAGCTACGAGGCTTCGTGTTTTCACGGCCACGGTACAATCGGTGTTCAGGGCTTCGATCCCGAGATCTGGAGCTCCGCAATGAGGCTGAACCTGAAGACCTACTGCGGGATCGTCTCTTGTGATTAGGGGAACGACTCCGAGACTCCGAGTACCTGCGCCGCTTGGTAGCCGGTCGTCTATCAGGCGATGGTGACGGCGTTGATGGACTTCTTGTTGATCTCCGCTTCCTTCGTGAGTCGCGATGACCACCTTCACTCCTTCTCAATGAAGTTGACCGGTTCCTCGCAGGTCTAGGGCTGGATGTACTACGCTCTCGCCGAGGTCGCCGAGCGGGCGGAGATGGAGACCCACGACTCGAAGCTCGTTTGCGCTCTGCGCTCCGACTGCGAGAGGGAGATCGTGAAGTGACAGATGCCGAGGAAGGGGAGCGTGTAGTGGGGCGTCGACGCCCGGATCCGCGGCCGCCGCTGGCTCGGTCTCTGGGGACGTAGCTGTCTCTTGCAGATCCACGGAACGAGCCTCTATCTCTCTGGTCGCGATACCTCGGTGCTGGCGAGCGCGATCGGTTTTCGCCGAATCGTGGTCCATGTCTACCTCGCTGGTCGTAGTCTCGGTCGCCTCGTCGGCCACGCCACGTATCTCCACCGCGCCCACGGCCGCGATCCCCGCGATCCCGATCTCTCAATCTATGAACTTCTTGCTCGCGTCTTTCGGTGTCTTCTCGGCGTCGGCGGGCTTCATCTGCTGCACGGTCGGCTTCTATCTAACATGGCGTTAGCTCCGATATTCGACTCGGCCGGAAACAAAGTTGTCTGCACCTTTTCCTGTATCAATTCCAGCTTCTTGGCCTCCAGTAGTTCCTTGGGCACGCCTTGGGGGCTCGTCTGTGCGCTCAAGCACAACTTCCACAAATCTTTGCAGAACGGTGCCGTATCCTTATCCAGAAACCCCGTAAGCTGTATTTGAAGAGACTTGATATCGGGCTGCAAGAACATTAGTAAAGATGGATAAGAATCGACCGCGATAGCGAGGAAGACAGACGTATCGGGAGCCTTCAATTAAGTTGAAGCAAAGCTCGATGACCACATCGTCCTCGCTGCCTAGGATATCGGAGATCTTGCTGGCTATCCACCTAGAGAAAAGGAATTTAGTGGCTAGACGTTAACGAGAGAATGGCAAGGCTCTAACTTTTTCATCACCTGTAGGTTGACCTTCTGCATGTCAACCTTCTGATTGAACTCTGGGGGAAACTTGGTGGACTTGAGAAGCTTTGCATCGACACCTGTCGCCATGGTTGGCGAAATTTCTTATGGGCGAACGAGGGGAAGTCTTTTGAGGAAAGGAGGTGGTGAAGATCTTGTGACGTCTAGAGATCCTCTGAAAGAAGAAGCTGGGGTTGAAGCTGGAGCTGGGTCTGGAACTGGAACTGGAGCCGGAGCTGCGTCAGAACGCGTCGGCACTGGTCGGGTTCCAGTCAGGAACAAGTAGTTTGTGTGGTGCCTCAGGTACCCGCAGTCGCTTCCAGTGTCAGAAGGTCCGCCTGAATTCAGTCCCGCCGAGTTGAGGTGGGTTTTAGTCAGCGGGCTAGAAGCTCGACAGGCCACTGAAACCATGTCCCTACATGACGACAAAGGCAGGCGGCAAGGTGGCTTCAGCTACTCAGTCAGCTGGCTGTCAGGCAGTGTGAACGGCTGTAAGCAGTCACCCGTAGCACCCCCCGCTCCTACTCTTGCTGCACTGCCGAAGACACTGCGGAGCCTGCCGTCAGCCGTTCTGCCTAACAGCGCGGGGCAATCAACGTCTGAGAGTTATCGTGGTACTTTGCCGCAGCACAATCCCCGACGAACCTTCAGACTGAAGTGCACCAAACACTTCCCCGAGTCTGAGGCGGCGAGACGACAAAAAGAAGAAGAAAAGGGAAAGACAAACCCCCAACCCTTGAACGCTCTTCCATTTTTCTTATGTGAACCAACGAGTTCGACTTGCCTTACGTATCACGACTGTCCTGTCGGCTCTCTCCGACGACGATGGGATTGCCCCTCAGTATGAATAACATACACGCTCCGACTGTGCCTTCAGGCCCGACTAGCAACACAACAAGCAATGGTCATCTCGTTCGTCTCACCTTTGCAGAGCTTCAGAGAAAGAAGGATGACGTAGAGGCTGAGCTGAAGGCCCTTGGCGCGGTCCTCGACTCTGTACGTAGATCAGTCCTCTACACCTTCCGTCTAAGTGAGTGAGCCTGGGCGGGCAGCCTGTTGACTTGCAACGCAGCATGGAGCCGACATGAGTACCCCCCTCACAACTCAAGACGGTTTCCCTAGAGCAGACATTGATGTTGCCCAAGGTAACCCAGTTCGGTCCAGCACCTATCCAGCAAAGTAATTGATTCATCAATACAGTACGTACTACGAGAGCTCGTATCATCCACCTGCGAAACGACTACAAAGATCTCATGGCCATGATCGAGAAGCATCTTCACGAACACTTTGCCAGCTTACAAGAGGAAGATGAACCTGAAGCTCAGCTCTCCCGAAATGCCGGCCTTCTGGCGGATCACTCCGCATCTCGTCCGCGGGAGGAACCCTTTGCCAAGGTCAACACTGTTGTCCCGGGAAGTCCAGCTGAGGCAGCAGGATTGAAACCAGACGACGAGATTCGCAATTTTGGGTATGTCAAACGCTCAAATCACGACAACTTGAAGAAGGTGGCCGAGTGCGTTCAAGGGAACGAAGGTGTGAGTTTAGCGTGTCCTCTTGCTCTCGTCTTGAGAAAATGTATGTTTAGGAGGCTGACAAGTCACAAGCAACCGGTCTTGGTTATAGTATCGAGGCCTACTTCCGGCAACCGGCAGGAATTGCAGCTTACATTAACTCCAAGGCGCAACTGGGGTGGCAGAGGTTTACTGGGCTGTCATATCCTGCCTCTGTGATGATGACGGGCTGCTTCGGTTATGTCGTTTCCAGTTCGCGGTATTGAAGTTCCAAGAAGACGGGACATATGATATGTAAAAACCCATATGTATACCTAAACAATCGTTGCTTGAGTCATTGGTACGGACAGTGCCGTTCCTCAATTTTTGTTTTTAGTTGGAAAGAAGCGCTTTCTCATCGCACCCAGACAGTCGCGCGTTTTTTCGACTGATCTCTCAACGGTCGATAGATCCGAACTCAACAAGTCACCAAGAAAGTGACTTGCCAAGGACAGGGACCGTGTCCGTCAAGCTGGTAGAGCAGGCTGACATATATGTGTCACAAGGCCGCAACGCCAGTCATGATGGAGGATGGGCTGTCAGGCAGAAGAGGCTCTCTCTTTTGCCTACATGTGAGCAACCAATGAGAGACCGGGAGTTGGCATGTACATTACAAAGCAACGGCGCAAGGGAGCACCTGGAGCCGAGCGAAGAGCATCGAAGATCGCCCACCAAGCATAATGCGACCAAATCAGTCGAGATGCTCGTGTAAGGCCAGCAAATCTGGCTACAGAATTAACATCTCACTTTGAGGATCAGACTGCCCCGGGGAGGAGGGAAAGACGTGTGGGGTTGATTGGTGAGACGTAGGAATAATCCTCGAGGCAACACCTCAATAGAACATGTAACGAGTGACAGAGTGAGAGATGCAACAATCAATGTACGAGCAGTAGGCGAAGTAGGACTTGTGGAAGAAAATAGAAGAGACAATCTCAAGGCAATGAAAACACATCTAGGCCCTCCTGTCAATGCAGTGACAATCGGCGGATCCAAGAGATGAATTTTTGTCATTTCCGAGAAAGGACTAGAGGCAACTAGGATATTTCCTTGTCTCTGTCACCTCTCTGTAGGCAGTGGCAGCATGGCTCGCCCTTTTTCATCTTTTTGCCCTCCCCCCTTGGGCTGGCTGGCCTACCTTGGGAAAAGTGCCTTAGTGTTCCGTCCGTGACAGGGACCCCGCTATGACGAGACGGCACTGCACGTGACAGGCGCCTAGCCCAATCGTGCCTACCCGACTCCGTTGGCCTGCCTGACTGAATTTTTCGCTTAAGAAGTACGGCTTCCTTGCAAGCTCCCCGCCATCCTCAAAAACAACACCCCCCAAAGTCGATCATTCGGTGACGATTCCCACACGTCAAAAGTCTACAGCCCATCTTTGCTGTTTCTCTACGGTACGCGCTCGCCCGTTTCCCTGCCCTCGTTGCCATCGTTCATCGCGCGCGCCAACGAATTCACCATCTCGGCTATTTGTTTTGCTTCGTGCAAGTTACTAACCCCTCGCTCAGCCCCGCTTGTTTATATCAAACTTGCACCGAACCTCTCTCCCACCGATCGCGAACATGGCTGCCGCGCAGACTCCCACCTTCAAGCTCGTCCTTGTCGGCGACGGTGGTACCGGAAAGGCGAGTACCAGCCTTTCTCTTTGTCCCTTGTGGCTCTTATCTCTGATGCGCCGGTCGGCGGCATTTTCCTCCTTAGCCACGCTGACGCTGATGTGTATTCGATCCCGTTTTCCGACTGTTGCTAACTATTTTCAATATTACAGACCACCTTCGTCAAGCGCCACTTGACTGGTGAGTTCGAGAAGAAGTATATGGCTACCCTCGGTGTCGAGGTTCACCCTTTGGGGTTCACCACGGTATGTGTCCCCAAAACTAGTTTGGCCCCGTCCTGTGTCTCTTCAGCCTTCTAACATATCTTGCACAGAACTTCGGCCAGATCCAGTTCGATGTCTGGGATACCGCCGGCCAGGAGAAGTTTGGTGGTCTTCGTGACGGCTACTACATCAACGGCCAGTGCGGTATCATCATGTTCGATGTCACCTCCCGTATCACCTACAAGAACGTTCCCAACTGGCACCGTACGTACTGCTCATCGGATCGACGAACCTAAATCCCACAGTCTTGTTTCTCGAGCAACATTTAACTGACTTGAACCGTATAAAGGCGACCTTGTCCGTGTCTGCGAGAACATCCCCATTGTTCTCTGCGGTAACAAGGTTGACGTGAAGGAGCGCAAGGTCAAGGCCAAGACCATCACCTTCCACCGCAAGAAGAACCTCCAGTACTACGACATCTCCGCCAAGTCCAACTACAACTTCGAGAAGCCCTTCCTTTGGCTCGCACGCAAGCTCGTCGGCAACCCCGCTCTGGTGGGTGTTTCCCGAATATTCATTTTGCGCCGGAAATGGCTCGGGACGGATTGATGCTAACCTTGTGACAGGAATTCGTTGCCGCGCCAGCTCTGGCCCCCCCCACCGCCCAGGTCGATGAGAAGCTCCTCGAGCAGTACCGCAAGGAGATGGACGACGCCGCCAACATGCCTCTGCCCGGTGAACTTTCGGACGATGACTTGTAAACATAGAAACGTGGCATGGATCATGATCCTACTGCGGTGGAGTGGTCGACGGGACATCGTGAACCGGAATTCTCTGGCGCAGACCGGCAATTGCTGGTCATGGCCATTATGGTAGAAGACGGCACGGCCGGTTCATTTGGTAGACTCGGAGCTGGATGGAGGGTTTTACACGCTGCTAGACGGCCAGCATACTTTGAGTAGTTTGACGCCTTACAAGATGAACACTGAGTCCTTACACTTCCACCAAGGTGTCTCGGGATATAGTCGTCCCGTTCTCTACTTCGTGTGTGCAAGCCTCAGCAGACAGCGCGATGCATTTAATTAGATAGCAATTCAACGATTAGCTAGGCACGAATGGACAGACAGACGGACACCAATGAAAGGCCTGAAAGGTGTAATCTTGCCAAGATCAAGGGTCTGCGTCATGTGTTGGCTAAGAAACAATTGTGAGCGCAGTGTGAGCTTCCCTTGCGGATGACGGTTCAGAATACAATAGACCCGGGTCTCTTCACTTGAATGCGCTTGGTGAGTAGGAGGCGGTCTAAGGTGAGCCATGATGAGCCAAGGTGAGCCAAGGTCAGATAAAACAGCTGAGCTACCTCACTGTTGGCAGCCTCATGTGATATTGAGAGGAAACTGCACTCGCATAAACGATACAGTTTGCTGGTTGGCATCCTCCTCCTCCACGGCAGTGCAAAATTCCGGGAATGTCATGGCCGCTAACGCCGTACGCAAGGTTACAGACTCAATGTGGCAGTGGAGGGTTCATTAAAATATGCACAGTGTAGAGATGTGCTATGTCAATCTGGGACGGCTCCCATACTCAGTTTGGCAAATCAAAGAATACGGTTAGCTAATGAAAGTTGTCAAATGGAAGATGGCGATGTTCAAATACACCTTCCCAGCCACCTCGACCGACCACATCCATATGGGCGGGCGGCACCCATGTCCCAGACGCGTTTTCTGAAAGCGAAAGCGGGCGTCGCAAAGAAAAGGCCAGTTCTGGGGAATGGGGTCCCAGAAAAACAAGAGGCTCAAGAAGGAGCAGCACCAGGGGTCAGCAACACGTCTTGGGGGCTGGAGGGTAAATTGGGACAGGGTTCGGAAGTGATTAGTGGTAAAACGGATACATGCGAGCAGAGAAGAAAAGGCATGGATTATGGCTGAGGTTCTGGACTGAGCGTCGATTCCGGCTTGCTACCTGGCTCTGGCACTTGGTCTTGGGGCGAACTAGGTTGGCGCAATCATGGAGATTTGTACACAGTTGGACCCAACTCTGTTTCTGAACCAGATCCAGTTAGATGCGGAACCAAGACAGTCTGGGGTTAGTCATCGCGTCAGGACGATGTGCTTGTCGCGTCCTGCGAAGGAGACGAGCGCATTATGTTCAAGTTGTGCTTGGTATTGTACGAGTTATGCCAGACAAAACAAGACGGAGACCAGGGGGTCTGTCCACAGATGTAAACACAGATAGACGGATGTCAGCGGTTCCAAGTTTATGTTTACAATCGAGGCAGTTGATGACGTGTCCAAGCCCCAGGATCCACGATATAACGTCGTGAAATTGCCTTCCTATTGACAATGCAAAATAAGGCAAGGTAATCAGACCACAGTCAAGTCGGTGACACGAAGCATTTTGAATAAGGTGAGCTTTGCAGTGTGCAGTAGCCCCGGGAGACCAAAGGTAAAATGTTTTTGTTTTATTTCCTAATTGAAAACAGACACGCGACTTGACTGGCTCGGACCTTTATGCGTGAAGGCGACTGAGCACCATTTGTCTTTTAATTAGTGCTCACAGCGCCCTGGGACAAGTCATGTGAAGTACATTGTACGCGGTTGGGTGTCATGTTATCATTCAACAGAGTTGCGGTGACTTTTTAGTCTTTTGTCCTTTTTTAGAGTGCATGCATTGTTAGCTGGCCGCTCGCAGCATGGAAAATCCACTTGCCCTCTTTGTCACTGCTAACGAACAAGAGCACAGTACTATCGGAAGGCACTGCATCGCCAAATTTCCATTAAAATCAGCGAGATGTGCTTGGTTGAGATGTGAAAAGGCGGTACATAATCCCAACCTCGGTGGGGTCGTGGCCTAGGGACCCGTGCCGCAATCGCGCTTTCGGTGGTCCAACACCGGACTGGGAGGTCTAGGTACATCCAGGTCCACTATCCGCGTCTCCGTAGCGTGTAAGTGTCTATGCCTAGTTGGGTCCCCGACGCGCTGGGCTGCGTTCAACACCACAAGCAATTGGTACCGTAACACATCCTCACACCGTACCTTCCACCTTAATTACCACGAATAACCGCGCCTCGTGTCTCGACACTCCTGCTTCCCCACCTCGCCCGTTCCTGGGAAGCACTACCTACCCTGTCTCTCACTCTCTCACGCGCTTCGTCATTCTTCCTCTTTATTTCCTCCGTGAGTTTTTCTACCTCTTGAAATATCTCCAACTCCTTGTTTTGGTAATACACGGTGCATTGGTGTCTCTTGTGCACGCTCTCTTTCTCTTTACCTGCTTTCGCGACTTGTTCAAATACCTCGACCCCAGACCATGACTATCGTCCACCACTCGTAGCTCAACACCACCGCCATGCCCGCCTCCGACTTATCTCCTCAAGCCTCGACTGCTGCAGTACCGTCCTCGTCCTCCCCATCCTCATGCGAATCATCCTTCCAGTCGGAACACGCCGCGCAGACTCCCACAAGACAAGCCGTCCCCGAGCTGGCGCAAACTCCTGACCTGGCGCCCTCGTCCGCTAAAACAGACGTGTCAAACCCCGAATCCGAAAAACATCCTAAGGGCAAAAGGAAAAGGACTGCGTAAGTCGCTTTGCCGACACTCAATGGAACCGCATTGTCGCGCTGTCATGTTTTGCGGACACTAACTCGTTTCTCGTGCGTGCAGTGCCAAAGACAAGTCCATTCTCGAGGCCGCCTACATCGCGAACCCGAAACCGGACAAGGCGGCGCGTTTGGACATCGTAAAACGCGTTTCCCTTAACGAAAAGGAGGTTCAAGTAGGACCTCAACTTGGGCCGCATCGTAACGCGTACTGTTGCTGATCTTCGACCTTTAGATATGGTTCCAAAACCGCCGACAGAATGATAGACGTAAATCGCGTCCGCTCTCTGCTCAGGAGATTGCTGCTCTCCGCTACGGTGGCATGCAGATACTCTCGTCTGACCCCGTTGCCTACAGCTCCTCCCTACCCGAAGAGAAGACATCGCCGGTGGCTGATGCTGCCGCCACGAAGACGCCTATGCCGGCAGAGACCCCACTTAAGCTTATGTCTGCAGCGGTTGAGGAGGCGGATGAACGACCTCAGCACACAACACCGTCTGTTCCAACGACTAGCACTTGTGTCAAGGACCTGGAAACACCAACATCCCAAGTTACAGACTCTTCACTGCCGCAATCAACTGGGTCTTTCTCATTTTCAAGCTCTATTGGCTTTTTGACGAATCGATGGAACCCCACGAGTTCCTTCTCAACGCCTTCAACGCTGAACCGCAGCGTTGATGATACCCCCAAGTATGGTCTATCAGTCTTATGTTCTCCACATATATGCTTACATGGTGTCAGATCCGAGCAGTGCCCTCCCTCGTCTTGCTCGTCAGTTGCATCTGCAGCAAACATCCTGCCACCTCCCCAGTCATCACAACAGTCACAACAGTCACATGTGCGGCTGTCACTCTCCCTGGAAGGCAAAGCTGAGGTCGTCTCTAACGAGACGTCGCCTCAGATGCAGCCTATCAGACTATTTTCAGACTTGTCAACCCTGCCTCAGCCTAGGTTATCTCGACCGCTTCAGCGTAGTCACAGTGCACTTCCTAGCGTGACTCTGCCTCCCATCACTGCCCTTACTGACTCCCTGCCACCGTCATTGGGGCGGGGTCGATCTCGTGACGCGCACGCGTGGGAGCTGTGCTGTGACGCCGACACTCGCGATGAGCTTACTGCGCAAGCCGAAAACGAATCCAACGGCTCCGCGGTTGCCGCTATTAGCCTGCTCCGCTCAACGAGCGGTATTCTCCAAAACAACAGTTCCAAGCGGAACTGCCCAGCGAGCAGACCGACCCCTCGGCCACAGCAGGCCAAGAAGCCTAGACTCTGTCGGACGTCTTCCAGCATGGCCAGGATGCAAACACCAATCGGTGATGGCGAGAAGTCATTGGCTCAGGTTAACGACGAGAACATGCCAAGCGACAAAGCAAAGGTCAACATGTTGATATCTCCAGGCGACTCTGACAAAGAAAACTGGAGTCCTGATGCCGACGGCAACCCACGCCAGATGCCGCCACTTTCTGATGTCAGGAGGCCACTGCCGACAACCGCCAGTAGCAAACCCAATGCGAGACGCACGGGACGGGTTCTTCAAGACAATTCTGTGCCCGCCACCTTTAGCGGCAACCGTGCCAGGACGATGCCTGCTATGGGACGTCGAGATTCTGGGAAAGATCTAACCATCTTTGAAGATGGACGAAGTTCGCCTGCACCGAAAGAGACAGAAGAAGTGGAAAAGTTCATGCGCGGCGGAGAAGTCAGTCCAAGTAAGAAGGGAGACATGGATTGTATTGCAGGCCTGCTCTCTCTTAGCCAAGGAGCCTGGAGGTAGTAGCTCTCAGTGGGTGATTCCATAACGGTCTGGGCAGTGATGAGCCGTCTCGGCGCTCACGCTCCAAGCAACGACAACTGGTCGTCTTCGTGGTAGAAGCGGCGGGTGTGATGTCTACTTCAGCAAGTAGCGATGAGAAGCCGCAAAGACATGGACAACAAACGAATCTTGGACAGCATATGGCCCTTTCAGGAATGAATGAGCCGGTTACACCACTGGATCCCCCAAGTCCCTGCCTGTTTCTCTGCTGTGTGCTTGGAGGAGCCACAGCCGATGTAATGAGAGAAAAAAGTGAGCGTCTCGATTTCCAGACTTGGGCATGGTGTACTGGCTTTGGGGGTTGATGGAGTTTATTTCTCAGTGTCTGTGTATTGTTGGGTTGAGGCGTCGCTCTAACAGCACATGCTAGATTTGTAGTATACAACGGCACTGCAAAGTCAGGGTGCGCGCGCCCGTCATGTTCATGTTTGTTATGTGTTGGACAAGCTTTAATGACGCTACGGCGGAACAAGTCAGTATAAAGAAGACAGATGCAAAACAAAGTAGATGATGAACCATCAGGTTGCCGCGTATCTCAGACATGGCACTGAGCTTATGTTAGATACTTGGGGAGGGGATTTGGTCCCCGGGTCCGCATAGGAGGAGCAACCCGCCGACCAATTTTGATTTGGTTACGTCTTCTTCGGTCATGTCCAACCGTCACCAGCAACACAACCCGTCGTTTGTCATCCAAGGTACTCACTCGACTCCCTAATGAGAGCTAGAGCCAGACCAGGCCTCCATAACGGATATAAGAACACAAGCGGTCACTTACACAAAGGGCAGGGGGCATGATCACCATTATGTTGCCAAGCACAGTGGTTTTTGTATTTTTGTTTGGATTCTTGACCACGCCTGCTGGTCGGATCAACCGCGCCAACCGCAGCGGGCTTCCTATTTGCTGATGCGGGAGAGAAACCCCCCACCCCAAAATCTATGTACCTAGAAGTAGGGTTGTTAATCCTGTTTCCTTCTCTCGCGTTTCTATACTTCTCGCTACGAGGACGGCTCGGCCGTGGCCGCTAACCTCATGAAATATCTACCATGCCAGTGCTGATGCCAAAACCAATGCCTTGGGAAAGGGGGAGGGCAGGCCAAATTTCCCCATGTTTCCGCTTCTCTAATGCGATTGTCGCACCCAGACGTGCGCCGCCAGCCAATGCCACGCGCTGTCTCCATGCTGAGATCCGCTCGGTCTATCAAACAAATGGAATGGTCGAGAACCGACAAGAACAAAGTTGTCAGTGTGTTCCTTCGTTTATCCTACCAAGTCGCTTGTGGTAGGGATATGATGAGATGAAGAGGGGGGAGGTTGTTCTATCGGAGGATCCGCCCTCCTCTTCCTTGTTCGTAATTAATAGAAAATGTGAGAATCATGCCTTTCGCTTCTTTCCTCTCGGCCTCCACATAATTCAAAATCACATGCCCAATAGACTCATCTGCCTTCTCAACGGGCTCGCGCTGATGCTGCCGTCCTCGCTCGCGTAGCACGCCGAGTCCGTGTCAATGTCCCACTCCGGGTCGTCGTCTTTGCCGTCCTCGGATGGGCAGAGGCTGCCGTCGGCCGAGGGGTCAAAGCCCTTTTGCGTCGCGGCCCGCGTGTTCCAGCGTAGAGTGCGAGACACACTATCGAACCACTCCGTTTGGGTGCGGACGACGGTGGGAAAGGGGTACTGCGAAGCCGTGATGGTGACATAGTCGCCCTGCTTGAGCTCGACCCGGCCCTTGCCGTCGAACGCGCAGTAGGCCGTCGCGCGTGAGTTACGCGGTACTGACACACGGAGGAGCATCGTGTCGGAGAGAACCATGGGGCGGAACGAGAGGGTGTGCGGGCAGATGGGCGTCAGCAGGATGGCGGGAATGTCGGGGTGGACCAGGGAGCCTCCAGCCGAGAGAGAGTACGCAGTGGATCCCGTGGGCGTCGAAAAGATGCAGCCGTCAGCCTGCACCACAGTGAGGAGCTCGTCATCGCCGTACAGCTCCAGGTTCGAGACGTAGGGGGACGGGCCGCGGTCGATGACGAGCTCGTTCAGGACCTCGAACTGCTCGCCCTCTTCGGCCTCCTGGCCAAGGGTGCCATCACGGTAAACAGTGCAAGTGAAGCGCATGCGCAAATTCACGCGCATCCCCTCCTCTCCCATGATGCGGTCCAGGTGCTGCTTGTACTTCTCAAACTCGAAGCTCGTCAGGAAACCGAGACTACCCAGGCTGAAGGACAAGACGGGAGGGACAATGCGCTGGAAGAGCCATGATGTGAACAGCACGGTTCCGTCGCCGCCGAGGGTCAGGACCAGATCAAACTTCTCAGGCTGGCTCCAGCACAGGTCGGGGGTCCAGTACTTGAGCATCTCCTGGAACGCAGGGTTCTCTGCGACGATGCCGTTGGCATCGAAGCGACGAGAGTTGCGCAGCTTGGCGTCGACGAAGACGTTTACGCCAACATCGGAGCCGTACCTTGGGGTGCGAAGCAGCCATGTGGCGAGTTCCCGGGTCAGATAGACAAGCTGGTTGTCGCGGGCTTTGGTGACAATCATAACATTGCGGACCGCTCGCTTGATGGGGCGGCGCTGGAGCTGCTTGGAGACCTCGCGGACGCCGGTGGCAGTCTGCACGAGCCTCGAATGGGACATGCAATCGTCATTCTTGATCTCCTCGAGGACCTTGTCGATGTTAACAGCATCGTCGAAGCGGTTGTGATAGAAGCAGGGGGATTGCAGAGACGGTAGAGCGGTGGTGGGGGTCATGTTGCGGTTCGCGAGCTCGTTGAGGGCGTCAGCCAGCTTCTGGGATGACGACGTGGCGGGTCGGTTATCGACGCCGCTACCCTGTTGGGACAGCATGCCGGTCAAAGAGAGGGCCTCGGGTTTGTTTCTGCGAACAACTGAAGCCAACGCTTTCATAATAGTTTGGCGAGGAACTTCGTGGGAGGGCGCGCGACGGTGGCCCTTGGCAGGGTGATGCGCGGTGTTGTTGGAGTTGGATGACCTCGACAGAGGGGGCGGCAGCAGTTCGGGGTAGGCGGCGGTGGATGATATTGAGAGGGAGCTTCTCCTTATCGTCGACGATGAAGATGACAAGGGTGCGACGGTGGATGGAGTTGCAGCAGCGGGGAGTCCGCCTGGGGCGCAAGCGAAGGGCTCCTCTGCTACCGATTCGGCATTGCGATGCAGTGAATGAGCGAGGAGGGTGGATGCGGACGAGGAGGAGAGCGGTCGGTCATGGATGGCGTTTGAGCTTTTAGGACGGTCGGAAAGCGAGCCCATTTTAATAACTCGTTCGGAAGAGGACGAGGATGGCTGCTGCTGCTGGGTCTCTTGCAATGGCGGCGGCGCCGGCGGGAGCGGATTCGGGTTACTGAGGGCGGGGTGCAGGGCGGTGGGCGAGGAGACGAAGCCCGACATGGTTAAGAATAGTGGCTTTCTCCGCCGAGTGGACTGGGTTCCTCTGAGGGGGGTGTGGTCCAAGGGACTACCGTGGGAAGTACAAGGCCTGTTAGGAAAAACAGGGCCAGGTGCGGTAAACTGGAAAGGTATTGTCGCAAATAACACAGCGGCGGCAATAACAACAGAGAAGCCTGTGCTAGGGGGGTTTGTTTCTCCGCTAAGGCCGAGCGACGCTAGAGAGAGCGCTGCCCTGGACGAGTTGGAGAGTGGGGCGGAAGGAATACTGAGGTAGACGAAGGTACCCCAGGTAGTAGCGTCAGCGACCGGACCTTGCGGACCACCGATACAATGGATCGGGTGGTGGGTGGTTGCAACGGTGAATGAGATGAGAGGCTTGGGCTTTTGTGATGGAAGAGTGTGCGTATATGTGTGATGGATCAACACTTTCACACACACCGTCACACAATGTGAAAAGACGTGTCTCGGTCGTAGATTTGCAGCTGTGGGTTGACGGAGCCTGAGATGACCCGCAGGTGTACAGCACAGATCGGGACAGAGAGAAAGAAGAAAGAAAAAGAAAAAAAAGGCACCAAATCCCGAGATGAGATGAGATGCGAAGCGAGCAAAACTACTAATCCGGCGCGATCAAGTTGTTGCCGCTTCTCGATTGTACTGGGGTGTAAGGCGCGTGCGTCTCGTTCCTAATGCGTGTCCAGAATCGATCGTCGGTCGGAACGGAGATAATCGGTCCTCGTGTGTAAGGTTCGCAAAGTCAAAGGCACAAGGTCAGGGTGACACGGACAGACTCTACTCTTGCGGATGAAGTCCTGCAAGTGAGTGTGTAGTGCGGGAGGGAGTGCGGTCGAGTGGTGATTCGAGTGCGACGGACGAATGACGCTAGTTTGAGTTGAATTCCGCCTCGGGACGGATAACTAAACCACACGGATGATGTCTCTCTCACTCTCTCCTTGGCAAGATTGCAACCGGGATATGATGAGAAATCAACGACTTTGTTCTGGCACTGCTGTGGTGGAATGCCGTTGCGACTGAGACCACCGAAACAGGACAACAGCAAGACAAGACTGCAGGTGGTCTGTTTCTCCTTGTTCTTCTTCAGAGGTGAAGGCCCGAGACCCTGTGAGACGCAGGAAGCCGTCAACTGAGTTGTGGTGGTTGGTTCTTCAAAAGACAGGAGTGATGTGATGTTGAGTGACCGTCGCCGCAGTTGAATCCTTGAAGAGTTGGATGTGCGTTGGCGATTGGGTTTGTTTCTGGTGACGGTAGTACCAACCGGGCAGGATGGCGTGTGATTGCCCGCAGCTGATTGCAGCAAGCAGAGGGAGAAGAAGACCAAAGTAGCTTTCGCACACACGTGGCGTACTGTGGAGGGTCGGCAAGCTTCAATGGAATTGCTGAATCTGGACAACACGTTGGCCGCTGGGTGGTCGAGCGTGAATGGACGAATGACGAGCTGAAAAAAGCCGAAAAACAACAATGATGACAACCAGCAGGAAAGTCAGCAGGGTATCTCTGGAGTTTGCGAGCTTGGGTAGCAGCTGGGGTATGTTGTTCTCGTTGGGGCGTGGGGGTCGGATATGGTGTGCTGAGATGGACTATCGACGCCGGGTCTGTGCCTGGGATTCCTGATCGCAAAAAGGGTTGGCGCTGAACGGGTGGTCGTAGTATGTACGTCGTCCGGCTTATATTAACAATATCCGAGTCTTGGTGTAGATGTTCTTGTTGTCGTTGCTGGTGGAAAGGACGACGCTCAAATCGCTACAAATGACGTGACGATGTTCGAGAAGCAGTGCGGCCGAGGATGAAGGGTCGCGAGATGCAGCAAAGGATCCGATAAAACGGCCTCGTTAAATACAAATCTGAAGAGGAAGGAAGAAAAAAATAGTAGGCGGTGTGTCCAAGACAGCGAGAAGCGAAAGACGAACACAAACCGATGCCAGAATAAAATTGGCAAAAAGAGGGCTACCTATGCAATGCACACAAGACTCGCAGGTATCTGATGCAGAGGCGATGCGATGCAATGCAATGCAGGCAAAGAAGGGGAAATGTGTGTGAAGGAGGAGTCCCAAGCAGATGCAACGACCAAGGTAATTGCTAGAACTACCAGAGCTCTGCTTCGATGAAGGGGAGGGGGAGAGGGACGAAAAGAGAAACAAAAGGCGAACAAGAGAGTGACCAGACTAACTGACAAGAAGCAGAGGCACCAGCAAGTCGAGATCTGTTCCAGCAGTGCGACCGCTTTAATATTCTAGTCAGACATCTCCCGTTCCCTTCCCCTATCCCTTACCGTCCAGTTTTCAGACTGATGTCGATCGAATCGAGCCTGAGTACGGATGCGATGCCACAGAGGGCGCTCCCGCCACGACGCCCGAGCTCACGCACCCTGTTCTGTTCCAAGACTGCTGGGAATGATCCACTCGGATTGTTCCTTGAGGTAGGTAGGTATCCCCTATCAAACCCCCATCTCCTCGCGTTACCGTCTTTGCTCCCGAATCCTAGACTCTTTCTCACACCTCGTACTCTTCTCGCTTCCCAGTCCTCACCCATATCTTACCCACATCGGCCTTGTCATCGACCTCTAGGCTCGCGCGTAATCTGCCAAACCCCTAGCCATACATATCACTAACCATCCCACCGAAACTGCCTCCAACAGTCCAGCACCCGCAGTACGCGCCTTGCCATGCCTCACTATACTCCCTTTGGTTAGGTCCCTCTAGACAACCTGTGGTCTGTGGCATCGGTACGTACTGCGGGCTGTAGCCGTTGGTGGAAGGCTCAAAACTCGAGACCCAGAAGTGAGGTAAAGAAGGTGAGCAAGTGCCAGGCGCGGCGGATCGTAAAACGGCGATATGTAGTCCTCGCCCTCCCTCCACCCCTGACTGTCTCCATTCTCAATCCCTTCCTCTAACCTGTTCTGCAAAGCAACGCTCCTTAGACCGTATGGGAGGGAAGGGGGTAAAACAGGGGCCGGCATGACAACGGTAAACCCCCGTGGTGGACCAGGGATGGCCCCAGACCCTGATGATGCACCAATGCCGGTAGGCTTACGGTGCCAGGTGCCTGGATGCGTGTTGACAAGTCAAGTACAGGATCCCTATCACGGGCAATCCCGAAGAGGCAAAAGAAGACACACAAAGTGTATCGTGTACCCGCTCGCGTCGCCACGAATGTCGCACCTGCGTCGGTACCGGGTACCCAGCAATTCAAGGCCGTATCGTGGCAATAGAGGATACCTCTCCATCGCCGTTATTGTGACCATCTTTGTCTCTACTTCTCGGTATCCTTTTGTCAAATTTGCGCAGGACTTTCGCCGTCTCTCTGCTGCTCTGCCATGTGCTTCATGCAGCAAGCAGCCGGCCAGCCCGTCGGTCCTCTGACATTGGGGCAATCAAAACGAGCTGCCGAGTCACTTCAGACCCGTGCACGACTTTCAACGTCAGAGGCCCTTGGAGATCGGAACATCACCCCTCTTTCCCAGCAAAACAGAACAGGTCAATGACAGTGGACGGGGAGCATATCGAACAAGCACTAGTGACGGCAAGCGCTGCCTAGGACCAATTGCAGCATCAAACGACCAGATCTACCGAGGTTGTAAGGGAAGCAATCCAATATGCTGAGACAGCCGTGGTATAGATGAAGCAGACCCCGCGGCTGTCATGATGACAACACACGAACAATGGACCTTCGTTGGCCTGTAGAGACAGCACGGCGCTGTGTGCTATCATCTGCTTTGCACCGCTCGACCGGGGCAGTCTCGCGTCTGGGACGCTCGCTGCCGGGCCGAGAGGGATTGGAGTAGAAACGGGGGACTTGGGTGTTTCCTACCGTCTCAAATCATAACTTGCCCCGTTTCCCATACCACTGCACATAGAGGATGGCGGCAAGCAAATCAGTTTCTGTACTGCATCCCTCGTGCGTAGTCACTGTGAGGTAAGGTAGAGCTTGCAAAGTACAAGAATTCGCCGCCAGGTCTGGCCGCAGCTCCAGCTTGGTACGCAGATCGCATCTTGGCCTAGGTTGTGTTAATGAGCAGGGGGTAAGGCCTGGATAGATTCTCTGCAACTGTGCCTGCATTATGCCGCTGCGTTTCGAGACCTCGAGCATTGACATTCTGCTGCTGCTGCTGCTACTCGGCCAGTAATGGTCTTGGGCTTCCGAGACATGCAATTCGATACGTCGATAATAGGAAGAAAAGACAAGAAGAAGACGCGGAATGAGGGAGATTCATGGCGGCTGCTGATCATGGCTGTCATCGAGATATTGTGACATTGGGCGACTCGGTTGCCCTTGAAATGCATCGAGGGACGTCTCGCTGGACGGGGAGATCACGGCCGCGGGCGGGAAAAGTGTGAAAAAGGCCACTGGGGTCCTCACAGCATCCAGTGAGATATCAGACTCTGCTGCAGAGGATGCGACGACAAGACTTGGGCCAGTGTAAGAAGAGCCAAAAGCCAGGCCTGTCTTCGGAATGAACCATGTCAACGAATGCTTAGCCAAGATCGTTTTATGACGAGCGGTGTGTACATGAGGGGTATAACACGATGATGGACGGACAACGGAGAATGCGAGCTGCGATTGCCAATGGGGAAAGAGTCGGTGGCCATGCATGTGAGTGGATTTGCTGCGGCCCTTGTTGTTGACATGCCTTTGCTGCTATCATTGTCGTCGTTGTCGTCGTCGTAAGCGTTGCAGGGAGAAGGAAGGAGTCGAGTTCTGGTTTGGACTTGTTGCGGATCAAACGCTGTCCACTTTTTGTCTTTTATTTTCTCCCACTTCCCTTTGGGACACCAGCACGGACATGTACTTCGACCAGTTCTGCCTGCCGCCGCCCTGTACGACAGCAACTGCTACCGGTCGGTGCAGTCAGCCTGCTGGCTGTTTGAAGCGTACCCAATACCATGCTTTGGGAAAGCTGAGGGACGTATCCTCACCGATGCGACAAGGTAGGCAGGCACTCTACCCTGGGTTTCCCAGGCGTTCTGGAAGCTCTACCTACAGCGCCACCCTCGCCAAAAGTTTTAGTCTGAAAACCAGCCACAAACCGGCTCCACTGCCCTGGAACACAGCCGGCATGGCAGGTTTTCTTTCGCCTGCCATCCACATTGGAGAACGAGAAATGGGAAAGGTTGAAGGACGAAGGAGCGGTAGGACTGAAGGGCATCATACCGAGGACGGTATGCCGGCACACCTGCTGCTGATTTCTATCCACCCACGACATAGGTATTGGATCAATTATGCTTAAAACCCACCCGAAGCCATCCTTGGGCAATCAGTCTACCGCCCATACCTTGGATCGATCCTATGACCGTCCTTGGCAGATGAAGGCCAAGCCATCGCCCATTGGATCACTTCACCCGGGAAAAAAAGGGGGGGACATTGGCATCGCCGTCTTTGTGCCGAGATGACCTGATAAACATGGGAGATATTCTCGGCGTATCTTATCAGGACCAGCTATACGCGGCATCCGAGATGACAGGCAGAGAGCTCCGGGACATATGGGGTATCATTTTATGAAAGACATAGCAGAATACCTAAGGCAAAGGGATGGGGGCCCAATGCACTAATGCAGAACCCGCTCACAAGTGGCCACGGAGTTGTTTCCAGTTTCCACGACGCGACTGATGGGAGATGCCCTGGTTAGAAAAACCATGCGGCTCCTCACATGAAGACTTGCCAAAGTCGCAGAACCCACCCTTCTAGACCCCTACCCGCTTCATGTCCCCTGAGGTCAAGCTGAAACGCCGCCTAACGCCGCATTTTAGGAATCCCAAACGGTCCAAACCCACGCCGTCCCCAGCGGGTGGCCCACTTCATAATGACATGATTTTTGATCGCTGTCCAGTGTCGCTTTTGCATCGTCCGCTGCAGGAAAACTGGTCCCTGGTCGCCGTATCATGTTGTTGCTGCTGCTTCCCAGGTTCCCCATCCGTCGTGACATCTGATAACCTGCGGTGTGGTTCAACCCATTAGCCCACCAGCCTCGACGCCGTCGTTGAATGCTCATCAACACTCGCTCTTTGCCGCCCCCTGTCGGCCGTCCCATCCTGCCACTTCCCCTGGCCTGCCATCCTATCCGTCGATAGCTAGCCACGTCTTTCCTCATTGGCCCCGAATCCCAAGCTCCCTCAAGCCAAGGAGCCGATGTGCTCGTTGTTATCGGAGTTGTCATCTTCGCTGTTGACCGTGGCTTCCGATGTCATCAAACCTCTCCCGACCAAAGCTTCTCTGTGACGACATCCACACCTCTCTAGTCGCCCGGCCTGTTCCAAGTCCCTGCCTGCTTCAATGGATGATGGGCCGGGTTTCTACGCAGCTCTGGCTTCCATTACCGTCCGGATAAACCGTCGCATGTCGACTGAGTCTTGCCCATCTTCGTTTATGGCTGAGCCAAGTTCCGCTTCGCGATGCTGACCGCACACTTTCTGACCTGTGCCAACCACCTTATCCCACTCGGTCATGGTAAAGGCTCCCTCACTCTCCGCCAACAGCAGATCGTCCTGCGACGTGAAACTCAAAACGTGGAGAGATGTTGCCTGATCTGCCTCCAGAGGAGACGGGTCGGCGACGATCTTGTTGCCATTTTCAAGGATGGCCAGAGTGGTGCACGTGGCGATAGTCTTCAAGGGCACAGCGGCCGACAACAGACCCAAGACGGCACTGTGGAACAGAGCTGGCAGGAGAGGCAAACTCTTCATGAGAAGGATCTAATCAGCATCTATACCTAACAACGAAAGACCCCATCGTAGTGGCGGCCAAATTTGATTTTAAGTCTTGCACTCACCGACTGAGCTTGGACGACCTTGCTATTCGTGTAATCGTTCTGGGGTGTTTCGGTCACTTGAAGTGTGATCTGAATGAGACATCGAGGGAAGTTCTTGACGGGGATAAGCTGACGGAGGGCGGACTGCAGAATGTTTTCGAGCTGGCGTTCTCCCGTGCCTATATATCCATCGTGAGCAAGTCTTTCCAAGAAGTTATTGGAGACTAGGAGTCTGACCTCCAACCCCTGCAGCAGGTCGTACGACAACATCGACGACTGATTCGAAAGGATTTTCATCTCTTCTTTGCACTTCCATTGGCCCATTGACGGATGAAACCACGCAATAACCGCCCCTTGAGAAGGTTGCCGAGCCATCTGCTCGTGGCAGATGCGAGATGCGAGCCTGGGGGTCTGAGTTATGGGCCATGGCGGACAGGGCTGGGGGTTCGTGTCGTTCGATGGTGCTGAAAGAGGGAAAAGGAACTGATGATGTTTCTTGATGAATATGGGTGTTCTTTCAGGAGAATAGATAAAAGTGCGTGGTGCCTGGCTTGTCAAGTGACTGGATTGCCTCACTTCAACATGCTCAAGAACGGAAAAAATGAGTTGAAGCTGGTGAAGCTGCGGGTACGTACCTGTTTACTAAGGCTGTCACTCCACCAATGGCGCTTCATAAAATGACGGGAGTGTGCCAGTGCGCTGTAAGGCACGGCGGGCACTTTACGATGGTGAAGTGGGGTTGAGGCGAATACAGAGGGGCAAGTTAGGAAGGACATGTGAGGTGCGGCCAGGTCCCTGAACAGCGCTGCAGTCCCGAGCCGGCCAGGCGGTAGATGACGCCGGAGACCAAATTGCTGTTCTCGTTCAGCTGGGAGCTTTCCAAGCTTCCTCTCCAACAACAACATCCCAACATATCATCCCCGATTTCACTTCGACCACTGGGTTTAGCCATCACTCTCATACACCATGACGTCAATAAATACAACATCTCAAGTCGGTGAATCGACTATACCTCCCCTGAGCAACAAGATCCCTAAGCTCGAACCTCGCCGTCGCCCCGGCCCTCCAACCCTACTCCTCGCCCCGAGACACCCGCGCTGCCTTCGCCGCCCGACCTCCGCGACCATGTATACAAGATCCCTTCGAGACGAATTCTATCACAGAAAGATCACGAGCTGTTTCTCTCGTCGCCCACTTACAGCCTAATCCTTGCCTTCGTCTTCAGCCTCTCCGAATCCGTCGAAGATACACCTCGCTCTGCTGTCAAAGACGGCGAAATCAGTCCTACACTCCATTCGATTCTTCGAATACTCGACGAAGCCGACGATCTCGTCAGGGATTCACCACCAGACGACCAAGGTGGCTCGCGCTTTGGAAACAAGGCTTTCCGAACCTTCCTGGATTTGGTGAAGGAGAAGGCTGCCATATGGCAGAGTCAGCTCGGCGTCAGTAAGGCGGCGAACGATGAAGTGGCGGTCTACTTGGAACACTCTTTCGGAAATAGGATGCGGATAGACTATGGTTCAGGACACGAGCTCAACTTCATCATGTGGCTGCTGTGCCTCTATCAGCTCCGAATCATCACCAAAGACGACTTTCGGCCCCTTGTGCTCAAAATCTTTGAGCGGTATTTGAAACTCATGCGGAACGTCCAGTTGACATACTATCTGGAGCCTGCGGGTTCGCATGGTGTCTGGGGCCTGGACGATTACCAATTTCTTCCGTTCTTATTCGGTGCCTCCCAACTTCTCCATCACCCCTTCATCACGCCACTGGCGATCCACCAGGATCTTACACTGGAAGAGTTCAGCCACGATTTCCTGTATCTCGGCCAAGTCAACTTCGTCAACGACACTAAGACGGTCAAGGGCCTGCGGTGGCACAGTCCCATGCTGGACGACATTTCTGCCGCCAAGTCGTGGACCAAGGTGGAAGGGGGCATGCGCCGGATGTTTGTCGCCGAGGTTTTGAGGAAACTGCCTGTCATGCAGCATTTCCTCTTTGGCTCGCTCGTGCCGGCGGTGGATGGCATGAGCACAGAGCAAGATTTCGGGCTAGAGGACGAGGAACATGAGGAGGAAGGGGGCGAGATCTTGCCCGGAAACGTTGGCAAGCACAAACATCAGCATGTGGGCTGGGGCGATTGCTGCGGCATCAAGGTCCCGAGTAGTGTTGCTGCGGCGCAAGAAATGAAGAAAAGGGGAGCTCGTGAGGCTCTTCGTAGAATACCCTTTGATTAAACAAACAAATGTTCCAGGGCAAATCCTTAATCACACAACCAAGATACGAACGGAGAACTTTCTTGATTAAACCATTGATACATTATGAATTGCCCCTTTGATGCCCCTCCCCAGTCTTACACGAATACGACCTTGATGCCCTTTTGTATTACTATTATCACTACCGAGACCATTGTTAAGATCCCTGTGTATACCATGTAGTGCCGCAGTTTGTACGATTGTGTTGAGGCGAAGTTTACCGATGTTGCACTACTTCAACAGTCCAGCTCCCGAAGACGAGTAATCCCGGGGAGATGCGCCCACTTATCGTCAGAGGGAGAGCCGCAGGCGAGGTCGAACCAAATGTCAGGGTGGTCATTATCAATGGAATCCAGGGCGTAGGCGACGCTGCTGCCATAGAGATCGCATCGTGGGACGTTGAGGCCCCTCTCGGGATAGAAGCGGTAGGCCCTACAGCCGTTGGTGGCATCCATGACACTCTGCAAGACAGTTTGTCAGTAAACCATTTCATCGATCACAGATCTCAGAGGAGGGGGAGGGGGGCAAGCCACTTACAGCGCAGAATTGATAGCATCCTTCCAAGGTCACAGGCACAGCGGGGGCATTCTCGACGAATCGCGCCAGGAAGTAGTTGCCGACAGGCAGGCCGTGCACACCGCAGTGGTTGTTGCCGGGCTTCGGCTTGCCAGTCGGCGCGTCCTCCTGACAAACCGTTTTTGTCGGGATCAGTGTTGAGGTTGGAACCGAGGTAAGTGGTGCACTAGTGACGGGGACCATGGAAGTGTCGATTACGCAGCTGTCCGTCAGGATGGGGGAGGATGACGGGTTAGCGGGCGTGGTCATTATCGTTGTCATCTGTGTGGAATATGCGTTGCTGCTGGTGTTGCTGTGGAAAGGGGTTACTATGGGCGTACGAGTCGTCCAGGAAGATGAAACGGTATACGCAGAGGAAGAAACGTCAGTGGAAGCTGCGGAGGCAGTGGTCTCATCTTCGCACTCAGTTGTGGAGGACGAGATGACAGGGGCGGTCTGGCTGAACGTGCCATTCTGCGTCTTGGTTGAAAGTATGTAGGTGGTGGTGGTCAAGTTGACGTGCGGAATGTTGGATGTGGCGATGGTATAAGTGGCAGTCGCGCCTGAAGTGCTCGTCTCCTGCGCCCTGCTCTTTGACGTTTTCGTGGACCACAGCGCAGTCGAGTTGAATAGAGAAGATGAGCTCAGGTCATCGTCACAGGTCTTGGTCGTCTGCGAAGGAGCAGCGGAGGTGGTGTTGTGCCAGACGGGCACAGAAGTGGTCGTAGCGGGTGAACCCCCGGTCGCCAGAGACGAGCTGGAGTAGTGAGACCAGTGACTGGATGTGATGTTGGGATGAGGAAGTTGAGTGTAAGTGGTTTCGTCAGGGCAAGGTGTTTCGGAAAGCGTTGTGGACGATACTATCGTCGAGGCATGCGACGAGTTGACGGGCAGCGAGTATCCGGTGGAGAGACGCATCGAGGTCGAAGAAGTATTCCAAACAGCCCGTGAGCTTGTGGAGTTGACAAAGACCTGGGAGGACAACGAAGAAGGGGGGAAATTGTGCCCCCGCCCCTAGAAGATGTGAAGTTGCCGCCGTACGAAGTTGTCGCCGTGATGTAAAACGTCACGTCGACCGTCGTGGTGGATGTTGTGACGCTCTGCGGGCACCCGGACGGGTGGAAGGAAGATTTACTGGATGTGATGTTGTGCGGCAGACTGAAGGCGCTGCTGCTGGGTGCGCCCCCCGTTCCGGTGCCGGCCGGCGACGTCGCGTTAACGGTGCCGTTGAAGTGGATTTCGGGACGGCCCCGGGCGGTGACGGGGTGGGCCCATCCGCTCGACTGCGGGTCCGGCCGGAGGTCTCGGCCCTGGAGGACATGTGCGACGATCTGATGCTCGTTAGCAAATTGTGACTGAATAGAAAGTTTCTGTCAGACTTGCCCTTTCTTCAGAGGCCTTCGGAGCTGCTTCTACACTGCCGGATAAAAGCGCAACGGCACCCAGGAGGAGGGCGCACTGCATTGTGGAGTCCGATGAAGCCACCAAAGTAAGAGTGAACGTTTTGGCGAGAACGGGGTCCGAGGGCAAAACCTGCACTTTTTAACCGATTGAGTGATTGAATGAATATTTGATTGATTGACGTGGATTGAGAGGATGAATACAAGCTCTGAAAGTAGTTACCCAGTTTCGTCTTTATACACCTTCACCTCTTTGCTCGGGTCTCTAGGGAGTTGCGAGATCTCCATTGTAACACACCAAGAGCTCCGTGGTGTGGAGGGCTTAGGAATAGAGGGAACACTATGAGTGCTGTCTATTGAGGGCCGTCTACTAGAGAAGCGGGAAGGGAAAGTATAGTACTGAGCAAGGGGGCTGAAGAGCACCGCCCTTGAAGCGGCCACAACTGAGACAACATCGCATTGAGCGAAGAAAGTGGGGTCACAACGGCTTGGTCGGCGGGACGCCCTCGAAAGGGATTGAGATTTCACGAATGTAATGAATTTCATTGACTAACAAACCACCTACGCCAATCCTCGAAGCAGAGGCCCGAGCCCCATAGGGAGGGAGGGGGGCTCAGCCGTTGTAGAGTACAGTACCCCAGATATGATGACAATGTTTTCGTAGTGCCCTTGAGAGGTTAAATGCAGTGTAGGGTATCAGAAGGAGTTCACTGAACGCCGCCATGCCCTAGCCTATCAGATGCCAAATGCAATGCAAAGAAACCGACCCTCTGCATAAATGAGTGTCGGGAAGCGTACGTCGTCTTGTGCCTCGAGGGGAGTCAGTTCGTCGTTGGAGTTCAGTCATACGCCCATCCACATCCGCTTGGCTGCCGTCTGCAACTACAGCATAGCTTCCATACGGCTTTCTCTCTCTTTCAATCTTCCCAAATCGTTTCCAAGTCGAGGTCTTGCCGTCGTTCAGCACCGCAAACACTCCACCGCTTCCGCTTATCCCTTGACCCAAAGCCCAACGTTCTGCCTCGCGAGGGCGCGTCCAGGCTGCTCCTGCTCTTGTTTTCGCCAGCATCACCACCCTCAGCAGCCTCCGCAGCAGCCTTAAGCTGAGCAATCCTCTCTGCCTCCATGGCGGCTTCCTCGGCGTCGGGCGAGTCCGGTATGGTTTCGAGACTAGAAATGCTGGGGCTTCTCGACCTCGTAGATGTCGGGGTGGATGGAACCGAGGACGATGGGAACGAAGTAGAGACGCCGTACCCATGAGAGAAGGCGTCATAGCCTCGGAAAGACGGCGAGGAGGCCGCAGACGTGGGCGTAGTGGGCATCGGGAGCGATCCGGTGCCAGCGTGGCCGGGATGGCGCAATGGCGAAGACGGGCGGCGGTGTCGAGGCAGGACCATGGAGGGTGTTGTTCCTATCAGGTTCGGGGAACTGTTGCGCTCAGTAACCTTGCGGTCCGAGTCCAATACTGAGGTGCGAATGGGCGAGGTGGGAAACGCCTCGTCAGCAGGCTTCCGCGGGGTTCGAACGCGGCTGGGCGACCCGGAAGGACTGGCGGGGCGAAGTTGGGGAGAGAACAGAATGTGACCAGCGCCATTTACGCCAGGCATAGACTGTGTGCGGGACATGGGAGGAGCCAAGCTCGCTGCAGACCTCGATCTCGTGTGGTGACCAGAGAGGGGTGAGGTCGTACGGGGCCGATAGGGTAGAGGGGTGAAGGTCCAAGACGGGGCGGTTGGAGAGGTAGGACTTGGGTCGGTCTGGCGGCGCAATGTGGGAGGCTTTCGCAGAGGTTCGGGCTCGGCGACAGCAGAAGGGAGGAGGGTCGGGTTCTGTATGCGGAGCGAGGGAAGAGGCGAGGATCGGAACTCCTCCATTCTCTCAGTCTCGGGAACGGGTTCCATGGTAAATGTTGGAGGGCCCGAGATGTCAGGCGGGCGAGGACGACATTAGCTGCTGGAAAGGTGGACAAGAGCGCAGCAAAACAAGGAGTTTCGTTATGCGTTTGCACAGAGTGTTCCAGGGCAGCTGAGCGACTAGTAAGTCAAAGACGAAGACTTGGTTGAAGGCGGCAGTGACGGGTCGGTCGCGATTACGCAGGGTGAGTTTAATCGGGAATGATTTGTTGTTCGTTCTGGTAGTCGGCCCAGAAGAGGGGAAACAAGAGGGTTCGAAGGGAAGGTATCGAGGTTGTCGAGGGATATCGTTTTGGGAAGGGTCGAAGAGGCAGAAGAAAGTCGAGGGTATCGGTATCGGTGGAGCGTAGTAGTAGCAGCAGCAGCAGAGAGAGGCGACGAACAAACAAATAAACAAGACAAGACGAATAGGCGAGGGGAGCGGGAGAACGGGCGGCAATATGGAGGATACAGGGCGGTGATATCAAACCGAGTCACACATTCCGCTGTTGTTGGTTCGAAGAGGTCCCGACCGGCTGACGAAGTGGTCTCTGGGCCTCTGGGTCTTGGGGTAGGGAACGGAAGGAACGAGAATGGGGTGTGCGCATAGTATCTTTGGTCGGAGGAGGACAAGGAGAAGTATGTAGGCGACGGATGGACAATGCAGTGAGCGGGCTGGATGGAGACTGGGACAGTTGGTGGATAATGGAGGTGGAGAGGACGGGAGATGGCAGGCAAAGTGGGAGTTTGTAAGGCAATGCACTGCACAGGCTGGGAAGAGGCAATGTAAAATAGTACCTGAGCCAACCTTGGCTGACCTTGGGTACCTTGGAATGTGCGCGGTGCTGTATATTAAAGCAAGGTATCCTTTGTCGAGCGTATCGTGGATAGGTACTTGGTGTCAGGGTGAAGAAAGGGGAAGGTCAGTTTAGGGGACTTTGAGGGGGAAAGGGATCAGCCTAGGATTGCCCAGGGGCGCTAACTATCACTTTGGGCGGGCCCGTCAGCAACAACACATGGCCCAGCGGTATGCACAAGGAATGCTTATTTCCTTCTTTGTCCAGTCTGAGCAGCGGTCTCCTTCTATTTTCTTCCTCTGATCCACATGCTCCTCTTGCTGGGTGACGAACTTGGTGTCTTTGGAGAAAGATCGTTGTGAAGGGGCATTAGGTGTAAGTGGTACAATACCAAAGAGGTGCAATGGATGCAGGAAATTTGACTCGATATCCGAGGGAAATAAGACAGTGGGCAAAAGGGGGATCGCGTTGGATCCATCCACAACCTGATCAGTGCATCAGTGCATGAGCATCTCGTTGCTTGGTTGGTGGATCCTGGGTACTGGCCGGACCAGGCATTGGGGTTCGTTGATGTTAGGGTCAGGAATGCCAAGGACCCTCTCAACCCTCGTTCTCGACCAGGAAAGGTACAGATACCTCCTCGTCTGTTAGGGCGAAACAAAGCTCGGCTTGGTTGACTAGGTACTGCGTAGACTCCAGACTCGGACATTCCAGGCGTCCGCTACGGCGAACCATCTGCTTCCTCGGAAGAACGCTCCTGCAGGGGCTGCCGCTTGCATTAGGCTGTCAGATGCTTGGGTAGGTTGTCCCGCATGCACAAGTCTGTCTTATCTCACTATGTACTCACTCAGTGCATGAGTATGATACAGCGTGTCTCGTGGCACAACAAAAACAAGAGACAACAAAAAGTTGCCATGACGAGAATGCATGACCAAATCAGCAGCACCCCGACCACCCACCTCCCAAATGCTCAAGTGTAAGAGTCAAGGGTTGAACCACCAGAACCTAATCGATTTTGGCGTGCAGCGGGCGGGCGGGATGCGACGGTGGGGTAGGGGGAACAGAGCCTTAGCAAGTTCCGAGCAATGATCTCAATCTTCAGGCCCCTCTCCGCGGCCGTTCTAATCTCGCCTGAGGTGCGATGAGGCATTTCCGATGTCGTACAGAGACTGGACAAGTAGGATATTACGGAAAACACCGATAGTTTCCGTGGGAAGGGGGTTGATTCACTTACCTGCACTACTAAGAAGCCATCGGATTTTGCATGCCTCGGTATGCAGTACAAGGTCTGGGGTTAAGTGCATGCATGTACTTATTCCAATACCGGAGGATGTATTCCTCACCCCTTCCCTTTGCATGCCAAAACTACTGCACCCCAAGTTCTCTAGGCCGGGTTCTAGTCTGCGTTGGCTGAGGCGCGATGTCTCCGCCCAGTCTATACCTGTAGGGCTTTTGACATCCCAGAAGTGCTAGATGGCCAGACTTGAATTACTATGTATTACGCGCCCAATAGGTTGCGCTGACTCGTCACCAATTACCTTTGTGCGCGCACCTGTCACTGGGGAACATGTCCGATCTCTCGCCGGGCCGCATGGATCCCCTTTGAAGTCGGTTCCATGAACTTACTGTACGTATCGACCGACCACAGGTGGGATGCGCGCAGCACAGAGGACAGAAGGCACCTTACCGAGCATCCGGACCGACGAGCGCTTCACTTCATCACACCGCGCGCCATGCGCGCCTACCATCTCATCTTATGCATTCAGATTGGTCATCATGGTTGCTGTCTTGTTCGCCTTTTTGGCCTCCAAGGACCATTGTCTTCCTTGTGCAACAGATACCGATTAACAACTCACCTTCGCCGGAGATGGCGAACCACGTCCACAAAGTCCCCACCACCTCTGTCATGCTGCCTCTTACCATAATAGTCTTTCTTTTCTCTTAACTTGTCTCCCGCAACATGCCTCGACGACAACGATGACCTCATCCAAGCCGCGAGCCTCCGCTTTCTCCCTCTCTCTCTCTCCCCCCGCGCACACTTCCGCAACTCACCTCCGAACCATTTTGCGCTGGCGCTGAGACTCGCTCACTCCGAAATGCAATTTCTGACCCGTAGGCTTCCGACTCTCAGACTTCCATACTCTCGGATCCCCGACCTGCGTAGACAACAGGCACCATTTTCTGGTGCGCCGAATGCATCATGCCACATGAAGTTGAATTGCTTGACCTTATGCACGGCCATTCTAACTTCCAATCGCGTCCTCCGCCGTCGCCGCCTCCACGAAACCACCAAACACCGAACGCCCAGCTCCCTCCATCCGCTCCAGGCTTCTCTGCATTGTATCGCTTGACAGCCTAAATTATCTCACATCAACCCACTCGGGCCCATGCACCTTGTTTTCGCCGCCCTGACGCCCTGCAGGCATGGACTGTTGCAACGGTAATGTCGACTACGGTCCCTTGTGTCTTCATGCTTCAACCTCATTTCGGGCTGGACTGACTGGCCTAAGGAATTGATTATCTTACGGTTGGCCCTCACTGCTGCTGTCACCACAGCAATTTGCAGCCATGAACCAAACAGATTTGCTGTTTGCGGCTCTTCCAACCCAAGACCCTCCATTCCGACAGATAGAGTTGCAGCAACACGGGCTACGCTACCCGGCACACCCCTTGGCCTTGCAGACCCTGGGCAGCCTGCCTCGTCTTATCCATGTTTTCTCACGATCGCTACAGCAAAGCTTCGAGTTTCAGCCACGCGCATTCTTCGCCCACATACACAAACATTCCCGACTCCCGACTGGCCAACATGTCACCTTTGCTGGTATGCCGTGCGTGATTCTGGTCGCTTGCCGGCTCTGCAACTCGTCCAAAGAACCCTGACACTTGGTCCCGGCCGTATCTGATCTGCGCTCGTCCGGTCTTGTTGCCGTCGGATGCCCCCTTCCCTTCGACAGCTGCGCCGCTCTGACCTCACTTTTGGCAACCGAGTCTCTATTACAATCCAATACCAACGACCCCGACGCGCCTATTGTGTCATGACCGTTTCCCGGTTGGAAGGGGTGTTCTGCGGCGAGGAGTTGGGGGTCGATCAATCCATCTTTCATCTTGACTGCAGCGATTTACCAATCTTTAGTCAGAGTCATTCATGGCTGCATGGCCCCGTTCTATGTACAACGATCGAATGGCTCACACCAATGGTCATGGGTCAATCCTTCAACTGGGTGGTTACTACAGGCACCTTTTTTGCTACAACGTTTCCAGGCACACCCTGACGTCCTACTGCGACTAACAGCCAAAGCTAGGGGCTGATCCTCCTGTATTGTTTTTATCAAGTGACGGATATTTCATGGCGGCTTTTGAGTTCAACGTTCTGCAGGTTGTGGTCATCGTCAGTTTCCGGCCTGCGACTGACATCTGAATGCCATATGGGTTTTGCGGAGCTTGCGTGTCGTTTCCCTTTCCGTTATCCCATGCAAATCGCAACACTCAGTACCTTGTTGGCCAACCGTCGTTATTGGAAAGGTCAGAAGCTCGATGCCACGGTGGGTTGCGTCCCAAACAGGGAGGTGTTGGATAGCAGGATATCACCCGATGCGATTCGAGAAATCAGATCCCGAACTCGGAGCCGTAAGTTGAGAGCCGGTAGACTTCATTCGACTTCGTATTTCGCCGCGCCTTTTGGTCTTGCGGCACCCCAATCAGGAATCTAAAGGAGGCCATGTGGTCCTATTCTTCTTCCTCTGCCGCCAAGGAACCCTGTAGTTGCTGGTTATGCCGCCTGCCGCCGACAAGGTATCATGGAAACTTTTGCCCGGAAGAATAGAACAAACTTGTCTAGAATTATGTAGCCAGGTTGTCCAGATGTTCTATCTACAGGCCGGCTAAAGAGCTTCTGTGGCGTTCATTGAGTGCTATGAAAGCTTGGGAAGGGGGAAGGTCCCGCAAAGAGAACCGCAGGTTGAGCAACGGCATCATCTCATTTGTTTGTCACTGGCTTGCAGAGTAGGCACGAACTTCAACGGGGAAGTCTTAAAAGTCATGCCTTTATGAAGCGCGATGAACCTCTTCAATGGGGTTCTGATCTTGGCCGAAGGCACATCCAGACTGTTCAAGTTATCGTCCTCTTCCCGTCGACACTATCAACATCAATATGGGGCGGCTTTCAGGATTGACTCTGTTTTGCGGACAGATTCGTGCGCTGGCTTGGAAGACATTTCTTATTGCCGTCGCTAGACATCCGCTTGCCTTCGTTTTCAAAGCATACCTGATTCCGGTTGCTGTTGTGGCTATCTTGCTCAACATACCAAACTTCACGACCAGTGGTAACGTCTACGGCACGGGAACCCCAAACCCACTCCCCAGTCTCGCCGAAACCATCACTGAGAAGCCCCTGTTTATCGTAAAGCCTCTGGGCCTGGGGCCCGATGTGGACGAGGCGATCGCCAAAATCACGCAGCCCCTGCGGCCAGAAACTGTACGATACTTGAATGACGAACGAGATCTCCTGACTGAATGTCTCGCCAACCTTCGGGGCATCAGCGGCTGTCATGCTTCCATCACCTTCACAGACTCGCCGCAGACGACATCTTTCGACACTGCTGATCGAGAGCATCACTGGAACTACACCATTCGAGCGGACCCAGCAAGGCGAGGAGTTCTATACAATGTGTTCGAGCACAACGGCGACCTAGAGAGGTTTCTGTTGCCCTTGCAGGTTGCTGTGGAGAATGCCATGACGAACTCAACCACCAACCCTGTCAGTTTTCTCTTCACGAGCAAGACTCAAAAGGAGTGGGACGAAGGCTTTCGGTCCAGTTGGCAAGAGCTCATTGCCAACGTGTACGGCTTTGCCTTCTTCCTCGGCTTCATACAGCAGCTTTTCCATCTCACCAGGTTGATAACCCAAGAGCGCGAGGACGGCATGTCGAAGCTCGTTGACGCCATGGGCGGCAGTGCCACAGTTAGGGTGTTGTCATATCTTGCGGTCTTTAACGTCATCTACCTTCCTTTGTGGATTATTCTCGGCGCCATGCACTGGAAATTCCTCTGGCCGACTAGCAGTGCAGCAATCCCCATACTTTGGCAGATTCTCCTCGGGCTGGCTATAAACAGTTCAACCGTGTTCGCGGCATCTTTCTTCCAGATGGCTCGCACGGCGCCCGTCTACGTCTCAGGAGCCTTCATGATACTGTCCGTGGGCGCCTTGCTGACCGGCCTCGGAAAGGTCTCAATGGCGACCGTATTATCCATGTCCCTATTTTTTCCGAGTTCCAACCATTTTTTCTTTGTCCAAACCATGTCCTATTGGGAATTCAATCTGCAGCCGGCGATCTTGGGCGACATACCTCCCCCGGCTTTCTGGGCGCAAAAGAAGCTTCTCGTAGCCGGAAACACCCTGTTATTGCTCTTGGTCGTGGCTATTGTCGTCTATCCTCTGTTAGCCATCTTGGTTGAGAGATTTATGCATGGCATTGCATACAAGGGACGAACTTTTGCTGGGGAAAGAGGAAGCGCAAGTTCGATCGCAGTCGGGGCCAAAGATCTCCAGAAGATATTCGAGCCATCTCTTACTGAGAGGATATTCTGCTGTGGCATGAGAAAGCCTTGTAATGTTGTCAATAGTGTCAACCTCCAGGGGAATAGAGGCCAAATACTCTGTCTTGTTGGCCCGAATGGGTCTGGAAAGACCAGTACTTTGCAAATGATGGCAGGCCTTCTACCGCTGACCAATGGAACGGTCGATATCAACGCCCTCCCTTCAGAGCTAGGTTCGCCACCCGAATGATTCGAGGGTTTCCTGATGAGAGAACCATTATCTAACTTTCTACAGGCATTTGTCCTCAGAGAAACACAGTCTGGTCAGAGCTAACCGTAAAGGAGCATCTGAGTATCTGGAATCTGGTCAAGGGTAGTAGAAACAGCGCCGAAAGTTTGAAGCAGCTCATAGCTGGTTGCGATCTAGCTCATAAGGCAAGCAGTCTTGCCAGGACTCTCAGTGGTGGCCAACTGAGAAAACTACAGTTGGCATGTATGTTTGTCGGATACACCTCGGTCTGCCTCGTCGACGAATGTACATCAGGACTGGTAAATATTATTTTGTCTCGAATCATACTCCATGTGAAAAAAGCTAACAATATGGTAATCCAGGATCCCCTTTCCAGAAGAGTTATCTGGGATATCCTCCTGGAGCAGCGAAGCCGGCGAAGTATCATCTTCACGACACATTTCCTCGACGAGGTTGAGGTTCTTGCGGATCACATTGTGATCCTATCCAATGGGCGGGTCAAGTGCTCTGGTTCAGTTACAGCTTTAAAGCAGCTTCATGGTGGGGGGTACAAGGTTTCTGTGCCTCATTGGAATGCTTCCATCGATCAAGCATATCCACACGTCACCCATCAAGACCAACTCGGTAAGTCATCGTTCGCCATTTATCACTAGCATTTTACAAGAGATATTTGTGGATGTTGAGAGTCAAGAACTGATCGGCTGCAGTCTACACGACACCCGACTCAACCTCTGCTGCCCAATTGGCGACAAATCTGGCTGCCGCCGGTATGTCCAACGTCTCTATTCTAGGCCCACAGGTTGAGGACGTCTTCCTGCGCGTAGTCGACGACCCTTCACTTCTCGCCAATACCGATTCGACAAGTTCCGATATGAATCTCGAACTGGAACCCGGGAAAATGGAATCATTCTGGTCACAGGTGAAGACTCTCTTCTGGAAGAGGACCATTGTCTTGAAGAGGTTTTGGTGGCCCTACATATACGTCTTGGTCCTCCCCATCGCCGTTACTCTTTCTTTCTCCGGTATCCTGAACAACTATACAGCACCCCTTTGCGTTGAAATCCAGCCAACTCTATACTCCGGATACGAGTTCTATGTGTCCTACGGCGGGAGCTACGTCATTGACGGGGTTGTGCAAACCCCCCCTGGGCTGCTTCTTGGTGGCCCTCCCTCAGTGAACGAATCGCTGTATAACTTGATGAACAGAAATGGTTCCATTACCAAGTACTTTAACATGTCTCAATATACTGAATGGATCAGGCCCGTTGAGACATTGGACGAGTTCATGAATTACTTGAACGAGAATAGGGCGGGAGTCCTACCGGGAGGCATTTTCATGGAGTCCAACACGAGCAACCCGGTCATAGCGTCCTTCGCTGAACATGGAGTCAACGACGGCATGATTCTATTCAACTTGTATAGTCAAATCCACAGCGGCTCTGAGATCACTGCTTCCTATGGCACCATGGGTGAGACGCCAGCGGTAAGTTGCGTTCTCCTGACCCACAGCAACACCCGCTGACTTGCAATCAACAGCGATCTGCAAACTCTGGCATGTTCTATGCAGTATTCTTCTGTTTGATACAAGCCGTGTACCCTGCGGCGTTCGCTCTGTATCCCTCCATCGAGAAGAGCCGGAAAGTTCGTGCGGTTGGATACGCCAATGGAGTTCGAAGAGCGCCCCTATGGGTTGCCTACGCTCTGTTCGATTTCTTCTTCGTTTCTGTCATCTCAATCACTATCGCCGCTCACCTCGGGAGTAAGGTGCCCCTTTGGACGGGTGGTGCATGGGTGATGCTGCCAGTTCTGGCCCTCTACGGTCTAGCGGCCCTCCTCTTTAGCTACATCATGTCTATTCTTTGCAAAACCGGATCCGGAGCGTTCCTTGCAACATCCTCCCTGAACGTACTCATGTTCACGATTGTCGTCATTGCATGCGTGGCAAGTAGATTTAATTACAACTTCCTGCACAACGACCCAAGTCATGGCTAACCGTTGCTCAGGTACCGTACGCCTTCGTCGACGTTGCGGATGTAGACGGTGTGATGACAGCGACGACATTTGGATTGAACATATTCTTTCCTATTGGCAACGTCTTCAGATCAGTTGCCTTCGGGCTCAACGCCATGGAGATTAGTTGCAGAGACGATGCAGTTGTCTCAGCTTCATCAATCCATGCATACGGTGGGCCAGTCCTGTATTTGATTGTTCAAGTTGCCGCGCTGCTCGGGATTCTTATCTGGCTGGAAAGGGACCATTCGTCCCGAAAGGTTAGTGCGGTTAAGTATAGTGCTTCAGCTGGAGACTCGGAGAAGTCTCTAGGTTTCCCGAGCAATGAGGTAAAGGTGGAAAAGGTCCGAGTCGAAGACGCCACGGAGGATCCTCTGCGAACCTTGCACCTCACAAAGACCTTTGGACAGACTCTTGCTGTCAACGATGTGTCTCTAGGTATTGGTAAAGGCGAGGTTCTAGCACTCATTGGGCCTAACGGCGCGGGCAAGTCGACGTTGATCAACTTACTCCGAGGAGAATTGACGCCAGACCACGGCAACGGATATCTTTGCGGAAAGGACGCAAAGAGTGTCTCTGCTCAAAAACACCTCGGAGGTAGATTTATCCTCCTGGGGGCATTTAGTCGGACTATGGCAATGCTGACTTCTCATAGTCTGTGCACAGTATGATGCACTAGACTTGATGAGCACCAGAGAGCATTTGGTCTTCTTCGCAAAGATCAAGGGTGTCAAGGATGTTCAGCGGAACGTCGAAACCATCATGGTAAAGCTTGGCCTGGCACCATATGCCACCCGGCTAGCCTCCAAGCTCTCGGGCGGTAACAAGCGAAAGTTGAGTCTTGCCATTGCACTCATGGGTATGCCCTGACCCTTATACTGTGAATATGACGCTTGCTGATCTATCTCAGGCACACCTCCGGTTCTTATCTTGGACGAGCCGACGTCGGCCATGGATGCCATAGCTAAACGGGCGTTTTGGAAGATCATCCAGCAAATCTCACCAAACCGCTCTCTACTGCTCACCGTAAGATTCTCACATTCTTTCTTTCTCGTTGCAGCATACTGAAAGACGATGAAGACGCACAGCATGGAGGAGGCAGACACCCTCGCCCACAGAGCCGCCGTTATGTCACAGCGACTCCTCGCTGTCGGCACCACCCAATCCTTGCGTCAAAGATACGGCAACGTATACTACGTTGAAATTCTCCTCAAGACAGCCCCGATGTCAACGGTTGGGGAGATGACATTCGTTAGGTCTTGGGTGCAAGAGAGGGTATTAGGGGCCGTTATGGAACGAGAAGTGCTCGGTGGCCAAATCAGGTTCACTGTCCCCGGATCTATAACCAGGGATAGGGAGAATATTCAAGAGGATCAGGAATTCAAGGAAAGCGGCGTCGGCCCCATTGTCGATTTGATTCGGCTGTTGGAGGCGGCGAAGGAGGATTGTGGCATCGAATACTATTCCATTGGGGGCACCACCCTGGAAAGGGTGTTCCTGAATGTGGTAAAGGAAAACATCGTCGAACAAAATGAAGAAGAGAAACCGAAGAAACGGTGGTGGAAGTTTTAGGGTCAGTAACGGCTCAATCGTGCACAACAGGCCAAATGAAGCGATCGGACATCAGCAACGCATCGTGTTGTTACAGGACTGCTAGTTCTTTGGGTTATTAACTTGCAGGGCTGTCGAGGAAACACAACTAATCGGGCCTATAAAATTCAGTTCAGAAGAGTTCAATGTTGGGCTGTTAAATCTCAAAAAGTAATTCAAGTATACAGAGCACAATGATTCATGCATTCAAACTAAAAACACGTTGGTTTGAGAAGTGCGAATATCACCATCAGCCATCTGTTCGTGTAGCCCGGATGTAGAGACAAAGCGAAGCCAGTGGATATTGTTTCTTTACTTTGTTAAAGGCATTAGGGTTCTCCAAAGACAAGCGCCTTCCTATATGCCAGAGAAGAAAGAACACCACTTGATGTCTCGCCACCACGATACCTCGCCATCAACCTCCAAGGCTCTATTGCCTGACTCTCAAGCAGCATATTGTTTTTTCGACGAGGTAGTATTCCCAGAGACACCAAAAGATGAGAAAGCATTCAAGGTCTCATTTGATTTAGGGGTCTCGTCGTCAAACTGGATGGAGGCATTCTCCTTTCCGCAAGGCGCAATATCCTCAGGGGCATCATCAGAAGACAAGACGACACCACTAGAATTCTTGCCGGTCTCGTAGGGCTCCTTGTTGGACTTGATGACAGCAGTCCTGCGCTTTTCTAAGTTCTCCTGAAGACTCAAAAACGTCTTTCTTGTGCGGGACCGGAGTGCATCGAGACGCTGACACTTTCTGCACTTGGCACCGATGCGGACACGGTTCATTGAATGGATCTGACGCTCAGTGCACGCATCCTTTTCTTTGGAGGTGCCCGCGATGAAGTCCCGCTGGTCCTTGCATTCGGAGAGCTTCTTGCCGAACTCGCTGTGCTTGCACTCGTACAAGGTTCCGCGATAGAAACACATGGTTTGCGACGGCTAGTTCTGTATGCGTTGGGCCGGGTGAGTTTGCCAAGTCGATTTGCTGTTGAGTGCTCGTGAGTCTGTCAAGTGTTTCAGGAGTGGGATGACGGCTACTGATGATTATATCCTTCGTAGTGACCAGTATAGACATGCCTGAACATCACTCGAAGTCTTGGGGTTGTTTCTGGGCACCGACCGAACATTGGAGAACTTTGGGCCTCAGCTGCCTTGTTCTAGGTCTGCTCGTGCAGGCCCCCATCCCCTGCACAAAGAGTCAGGTGCAGCATGTGCACATTATATCAAGCGAAGCATATGAAGTCTTGTTGCTCAGGGGTGTAATATTGTTGTCCCAAGGTTCTAGTCGTCTCTTGAAGAAAGAAAACCGCTCTTCAAAACCTCCGCGAACGTCGAGGCCCATACAATACCACTGGACGGATGGAATTCATCCACACGAGGTACATCGTATCCCACCCTCCGCAGAGTCTTCATCAAGCTCGATTCCGGACCTGACGATACCACAACGCCACGAGCCTCCAGCAAACACTCGATATCCGACGTGGAGTCGCCAAAGTAGATTAATGCCTCAGCATTGTCTGCGCCTTGTCGAGTGGCTAAGGCACGCAAAGCGCGCAGCTTGTCCTCACAAGTCGTCAGAATAGTTTCTCTCGCTGGAGTCCCGAGTACGGCTGGCCCTAATATGGTTCCATCCATCTCAATTTCATTGGCAACAACATCGAAGTTGTAGTCTGACAAGACGCCACTGATGAAGGATCTCGACCAGTTGACAGAAACAACGGAGACTGCCCATCCGTTTTTTTTGGCCAGGTCCATAAGATCTGTAAACCCTTCGCGTAGCTTCACCCTTCCTTCCATGCGTGCGGTGTTCCCAGCTTTTGCGAGGTCTTCTCTTCTGAGGTCTCGAAATAGCCCCGACTGCTCCACACGCTGAACGGATCGCAACTCAACTTCCCTCAGACCCCGCAGGTAGGCGAGCTCTTCTGAGAGAGAGAGACGGTCGTCTGCGGCCGGTTTATAGGTGGCAACGTGGTCAGCATGATCTTGACTGTAGTGTTCCAGTACTTGCTGCCATGCTGAGGACAAGTCGATGCCGTGCTCATGCTGGAACCGCAAAGCGATCTCCGCCAAGGTACCAATTGTGTCCTGTATCGTGATCGTCCCGTCAAAGTCAAGAACAAGGTTGGGCGTTTTTCGAGGCATGCCTGCGACCGTGTAGACTGAATAGAGGCGAATGACACGTCTGAAAATACATGCACGCCTGATGTTGCTTTGGAAACGTAGAAACATTAACCCTGACATGTCATGTTGTAAGGATGAAGTTAATGGGTTCCCCACTTTGGAGAGAGGCGATCTTCAATCATGGTAGACGACCGCTTTGCTCTAAAAAAGAGCGAACGATGTTGAGCACTGCAAGTAGAATTCCACTGCAATCTGAAACACTTCCTTAATGAGAACACATAACGTGTAATGTATTCCCCTTCCGTCCCGAAGTACTGAAAGTCTAGTAGTGGCTAAGCAAGCCCTTCGACACGTGTCGTAATCCAGTGCCCCGGGGGGTATCAAAATCCCTGAAAGTAGCAAACCACCTTCGAAATAATTTGAGAAGTGCTCATCCAAACGCCATGCAATCCTCTCGGGCCCCAAGCCCATAATCCATTTAGTATGAGTACAGCCGTTTATACAACATCCTCCATCACTACTTCGTCATCGTCGTCTTCGGCGGCGGCTTCCTCTGGGGCGGTCTCGCTATTCGCGCCGGAGGCCATGCTCTTCAGATGCTCCTGTAACGACCACTCGTTGGCATGGATGCCAGATCGGTTGAGTACCGCAATCTTCTCCAGAGTCTGGCGCAAGAAAGCCTCAGGCTGGTCGAACCTAGCTTTGAGAATGGACATTTTCCAGTACTCGTACTTTCTGAAAGCCTCCATGAGCCCGTCGAGAAGCTGTTCCTCCGACATACGGGCAGCTCTGTTCTCGGCCTTCTTGGGCTTTGTAGCCTTTGTGGGAGCAGATGTTTTCTGTGCTGCGTTAGCGCCGGGAAGCAACGGACTGGTCGGCCGCTACTTACGATGAAGGAGCCAAACTTCTCCACAGCAGCAGCAGAACCATGGTGAATGATGCTGTTAGCTGCACGCTGCTCCATGATCTGAAGAGTATGCTTCGGCCTCTGGGCCTCAACTTGCTTCCGCTGCAGGATTGCTTGACTCTCGGCGTTGTCTACAGGCTTACAAGCTAACTCGTACTGAATCCTAGCAGCGATCTTCGTTTTCTCTGTGCTAAGTTAGGTTTGAGGTACCCCGACGAACGCGAGTTGAGCTTACTGGGAATCGCCTTGCGGTAGTATGGCTGCCAACGACGACCCTTCTCGAACGGTTTCTTCTCCACTTTGTCTGTCTTGGGCCGTAGAAACCGGGCCGGGATACCAGCATTGGCCGCATCGGTTCTTGCCTTAGATTTTGCCTTGAAGCCAGGCAGATCCTCTTCAGTAAAGACGAATGTGCTGCGCGCAAGCTCCTTGCCCATCTCCAAGTCGTACTCCTTGGGCATCAATTGATGTTCGGCTCGGTCGGAGTTGAGTAGCATCTTGAAGCGGTGCTAAAAAAAAAAGAGTCAACTGAGCTGTCCAGCTCTTTGAGACGCGTGTTCAAACATACCTCGACGCTGCCATCTGGGCGCACAACGTCCCACTGTCGCATCGTACCAACCTCGATCTCGGCGTCATCTGGTAGGCTATCCCATGCTTCCCACAAGTCCTTGGGGACTCGGGCTAAGTATGCTTGACCGAAGGAGCCTTGGTCGCTGTACTGGTCGAAAAACTCGAGATCGCCAGCATCTTCGTAAAGGTCGTCGTCGTCGAGGGGAGAGGCCGTCACAGCTTCAGGGTCCGGCTTGATGTATGGCTCCGGTTTGACGTACGTCGAGTCTGCCATGTTAAGTCTATCTGATCCGGCCGGGAGGTCCCTTTGGCGTTCCAGAATCGCGATGTTAAGTTGAGGTAAAGTCGATGGTTTCTTTGCAATGACGAAAGAACAGTCCAAGTTGGGGTTACCCACAGCAGCACCTAAGGTACCTAGTAAGGCAAGTAGAGCAGGGTAGCTGCTTAGGTAGGAGGTAGTGTCTGGATGGGGTTTAGCGTAAAGATCATGTGACATGTATGGAGTGGGATTGACTAACACTGACTTTACTTTCAGTTGAAGTAACGGGTTGAAGTGAATCCAACTTTCAGATTCAATATGAGTATATTTTTAGAGTCAAATGCTCAAAATTGACTGGTAAACTTCACGGAACTCTGGGCTCTGAAAACCCCAAACCCCATACGAAGACTGGAAGCGTACGGAGTACAAACAAGATCGAAGCACAGACAAATACATGTTAGTGGATGTGCCTCAATCACCGACTCTGACCAGGGGTGTATCTAAGTCAACGTTAGGGAACCACTTAAAAAGGTGCAGGCCCCACCACAAAGCTGGAACTCCAGCGTCGTGACCTCTTTAAAAGCAACTGTCCGCCTGCGCCTTCCGTGTTCCCGTGAACGCTGACAGCAGCAACAACAAAAGTCAAGCATCACTTTACATCAGCTCGGTCCCTCTTCACAGGGCCTTGGGGCCTACTCGACTTCCCTTTCGAAAGCTTGTGTATATTGTGCCGCCTACGCCACCAGTCTTGTCAACAATGAGACTGCGATTCGATCCGACATCACTCATCACGTACCCCAACATCGGCATCAAAACAGGAAGAACATCAAGCTAGTTTCTTTGTCTGCAGCTGCAACAGGACCATGGCTCCTATAAAATCGCTTGCCGAGCTGTGCATCGCGGTATGCCAAAGACACATTACTGAACTCAGCAGTGTTGGAAACGGCGACACCCTCCAATACCACCATGTCCGCGACATCCTCATGAGGGTAACGAACCCAGCCCAGCTCCGCGAGATCGAACTCAACTCCCCTCATATCCAAGGCGAAACGTCCGAACTTTGGCTGCGCCTCATCAAAAAGGAGTTTCCGACTGAAAGCCACGATAAAAACTACGCGCCTAAGAATCCGTCGAAGTGGTACAAGATATACGAACGATATGCCGAGGAGCGCCGTCAGGCTCAACAGCAGGCCGAGGCCGAGTTGCTTGCAAGGGTTCAAGGCCTGCAGCAGAAGAAGGATAACAATGTCAGCAGGATCGTCGATCCAAAGTTTGCAAGATTCCTACCAAAACCACCCAAGACAGGCCGCACCTTCGGAACGCGAGGCCGAGGGGGAAAGGAGCTCCCCAGCTCCCTCAGCTTCGCGGCTGGAAGCAGAATGAAGACAACCACGGGCGCCAGCGTCATGAAGAAAGCCCGTAGAGAGGCCAAGGAAATTGTCGGCATAAGAAGCAACTTGGCCGTTCCTACAGGCTTAATCAGAGCTCCGCGACTCAGCAAGGCTCCGCCTTCGATGGCCGCCGAGCATCGGATCTCGACTCAGCCAGTATTTCGGCCCACATCTACCAGCAACCGGCCTCCCACGCATTCTACATATGTCGTGCCATCCAAGACCACGTATGTTTCTGACTCGTCAGGCGATGAAGGTGGCGATCTGTTCGGCGAAGAGGGAACGCCCAAGCAGAAGGGCAAGGCCAGTAGCATTAGTGGCCCTATCTCTCCCTCCAAGTTCAAACCATCTTCATCCTCATCGAGCTCGCAGCCGGCAGGTCTACGACGTGGCGGTGGCATTCTCGGAAATGCGCATCGGCCGAAGAGCAATATTAGAGTCGAACGACCCAAGCCTAACCCCGAACCAGCGACTAGGAGTACAGAGCCATCCCGCGCCCACAAACTGCTTGCCCAGAGCAACGGCCCGCAGTCGCCGCCGCTGCCCGCATCCCTTGACGAGATGCAACCGGCTCGTCCAATCTTGGGCAACCAGGAGCTGCCTAGAAAAAGAAAGGCGGTTGACATCTTCATGCCCAAGAAAAAGGGCAGACGTTGAGGCATTGAGTGGGCTTGCATAGCAGGTGATTCGGAGGGGGATACTCACTTTTTGGGACTTGTAACACATATGAAGGCGTTGAGACACGGATGGGTATGCGGCATTAGGATTCGGGCGTCGGCAGGATATGGTAATACCCACTTGCTTCTAGAGATACTCCTGCCTCAAGGCGTAGGCATTGACATGGGCCTAAGCCTGGGCTCTGACACAACATATAGAACGGTTTCGATCATGTCTGGCGAATCAGCCTCTTAATAAAATACGTAAAGACATTCATCGTTGCGGCAGCATGTTGATCAGCGAAGTTTATGCTCAGTGGGCGGATGTTCTATCACCATGCCATGCCTGTTGCGTCTGTGGATGTGTGTGGATGTGTGAATCGTCCCCTGCCTCGACTTAGCGCCCAAGTGCTAGTCCGTCCCTTTCCGTCATTGCGGCCAGTCTCTTCCGTCACATTGCTCTCAACCAGGTGACCGAAATAGCCGTTCACTCTCGGGAAAAGGACGACAATCCCCGTACCGACAGCAACCTAGTCATTCCAGCCCTGCACTCTTGTTCTAGGCGCTATGGAGTCATCGGGACGTTGTTCCCCTAGGCCAATATTCATAGCCCATCCAATGGATTCAGTTGCCCCCTCGCAGGGCAAGGACCAGATGCAGGGTAGCACCAGCCTCAAGACCGTACTCAGACGCGGACTTGTCATCGACCCTGTTCCATCAGAGTACATCGCGTCAGCCAGACTTTCTGCCCAAATTCTCCAAACCGGGAGGACCACCCCTGTTTGGCGAAGTGTAATCTTACATCTGTTTGCCGCCGTAAATCAATCTCTGCTGAACGGGCGGGATGCCCTCCTTCTCCTCAACCTTTTCCTTGATCTGCGAGACCTATTATGAAAACGGTCAGACTGTCGCTCTCTTCTCGGGCATTCTGGGAAAGAGATGTTCGGAGTAAAGGAGGTGACGCGCTTTGTATTCATTCTCGATATCGAGCTCAATCTCCTTGCCCGTCAACGTCCGCACCCTGTTGGTTCGAGCAATCAGTTTAAACTGTTCTGGTAATCGAAACATAGGAATCCTCTCGCCGCTGAGTGGTCAGCGCGTACATACTTGATCAACATCTTGACGGATCAAATTTTGCTTGGAGAAGCGTGAAAGTTTATTTGGAATTCGAAGGCGTATACGGGAAGGTGCGGGTTTGTGGGCGGTTTCGTTCCGACGTGGGTATCGTTTGTTCGTTGTAGTTGTGACAGTTGCACGATTGACGGTCGAGCTCGCAAGGCGGGCAACAAGTCATAGTGGGGGAGGGGCCTTATTAGTGTAAGCCGAGCAGGGGAGCCTAGAGACGCCTCGCCCCACGTCGAGCCGTGGATGTTGCGTTCACACATCCGTGGTCTGTGCTGCGCAAACCATCAGAAACGAACCAGTGGCTCAGGTGTCTAAGGAGTAGACGATGGAAAATACTCTATAGGGAGCAACTTTTCATAAACCACTATTTGGCAAGTGGATTACATATTTATCTTTCCATTTGGGAAGAGCGGCAGTGATTGAGCAGGTTGCGCTTGTATTACACGTTTTCAATAAACACCAGCCCTCTCCTTGTGCAAATGCGAATGAAAGGTGTGTCCGAAGCTCTCAGAGGCGTTTTCATTATAGTACAAGTCCTTCAAAGACCTTTAGGAATACAGGGGGAGATTTTTTTGCGCTCAGAAAGCAGCCGCCTCATTTCTGGTCGCGGTCCTCAAACACGTTCAGGCCCAAGCCCTCAGAGTCGAGCAGCAGTCTATTCTTACTGCCAGACTCCTGCATCTGTTGAGCGATAGCACGGGCGTTCTCGATCTTCTTCAGTTCGACGTATGCCTTGCTCTTCTTGATGGCCTCTCCGATCAGCTCGGCGGAGCGGGCCTCACCCTGGGCCTTGACGACCATGGCCTGCTTCTCCTGGCGAGCCTTGTCGACAACAAAGGCTGCACGCTGAGCCTCCTGCTGAGCGACCTGCTTCGCCTCGACGGCGGCCGTGAACTCGGGCGAAAATGCAAGATGCTGGGAAGCTAAATCAGCACGTGAAGATAACGAAATAGGAGGTACAAAGACATACTGTCAAGGACACATCATCCAGGAGAATGTTGAACCGCGCAGCACGTCGGGAAAGGTTCTCGCGGACCAACTTGGCAACCATCTCTCTCTGGGTGATGAGTTGAGAAGCGTTGAACTGAGCAACGACGCTCTTGAGGACCTCATTGACGATAGACGGCAGCACCCTCTCGTCATAATCGGTACCCAATGTGCGGTAGATCTGGGGCAGAGCCTTGATGTCGGGTCTCGAGAGGACACGGCAGGTGATGTTGACCATCTGCAAGTCCTTGGTTCCGGTAAGGGAGGCGACGTTTCTAGGCTTTGCACGAACGTCGTAGGTGACGGGAGTTTCGAACCAGGGGATGACGAAATGGGTTCCTACACAACAGTTCCAGGTCAGCTCATTGTACCTTCAACTTTGGGACAATATCGCTCGTTGTGAGCCGTAGAAGGGTTGCTAGACATACCTTCAGCGTAGATCTCTTTGCTCACACCACTTGTCCTCCGGTACTTGATCGCTCTGTGACCACCATCGACGTTAAACAGCGCGTTCTGGGCCAGAAACGCAGCGCCTCCAAGGAGAACAAGGCCCGCCAGTCCCATACCAGCGCCACGAGGGCCACCGGGCATGCCGCCGCCGCCGAAGCCGCCGCGCTTCTGCTGCTGCTCAGCAACCTGCCTAAGGCGCGCGTAGGCCTCCTCCATGGGGCTTCTTCCTCCAGACATGATGAAAGCTGGTATCTGGATTGCCTGTCGGGGTAAATGCGCAACTCGAGGGAAAGGAAGGATCGATCGGGTTGTTGTTGGTCGAGCGGGCGTGGGTGCTACAGCTTTGGACGAAGCTGATGATGGGTGGAGCGGAGCTTTGTCAGTCTTCAACGTCACGGTAGTCTAGCGGAGCTCGAAAATTGACGTTGGCCGGTGCTCTCGGTATGGAAGGAGCCACTGGGGCGGCAACTGGCCAAGCACCTCAGGCACCTGCTCCTTCCTTCAAGCCGTCATGAGTTTTGGTCGCGCACAGACCATGTCCATCGTACTTCCATAGCCGAGCTGTACAGTTGCCGTCTGGTGGTAGCTTTTTGCCAGCTGGTGGCCTAAATTATTGACCTTGAAGCAGAGTAAGGAAGGACTCACACTTATTCATCTATCAATGCCGGCTCTTGAGCGCAAAGCCAGAAAAATAAAATCGAGAATCTATGGCGCCTTTGCTACGAGGGCGACGGGTCTGTACTCCCTAACTGAGCCGGGCGATAACTACATTGAGACAACGCGGCCACACTTCCTTTTTTCCAACACACTCACTGTTCTGGACCGTATCTCCCGTGATTCATGCATGAAAACACCCTGCAGCAGCACGAGCTTGTAGCTCTTGGTACCGAAGAAGAGCTAACTATCTTTGTTGATTCTCTCCACTATGCTCTGAAGCCGCAGGATTTTGTCCAGGTGACCGACCCGGTGTCTTCTCTCCCAATTTTGAGAAACTACCTTCTTATTTCTTGACGCCCTTTTTCGTTATCCAGGTTGTTCCATCTGATCCATTGTCAACTCAACGAGCAAAGATGTCATCCACAACACAAATTATTACGCACAGCAATGGCGCCGCTGGTGGTGCTGTGATAACTACAAATCGGCTCATTCTTCGGCCCTCCACCTTCGCAGACGCCCCGGATATGGCACGGCTTGCAAACAACCTCAAGATAGCAGGGAACATGCGGAACACCTTCCCATCGCCTTATCTGCTCGAGCATGCTGAGGGCTGGCTCACACTATGCGCCAAAGACCCGGGCAACTACTTCGCTATTTGCAGAGCAGAGGATGGGGCCTTCGTTGGCAACATGGGCATCATTCGGGGCAATGATGTGCTGCATCGCACCTGGGAGCTCGGCTACTGGATCGGCGAGGAGTATTGGGGACAGGGTTTCGCGAGCGAGGCTTTGGTAGCTCTCTGCAGATTCTGCTTCGAGCAAAACCCTGAACTCTTGAGGTTAGAAGCATCCATGTTCAGTACTAATGCGGCGAGCCGAAGAGTGCTCGAGAAGGCTGGCTGGACGTACGAGGGTACCAAGAGGCAAGCCGTTGAAAAGGAGGGCCAAGTCCTCGATCTGTTACTTTTCTCGATTCTTAGACATGAGAGTCTCTGTTGACTTACAGCTTTAATCGAGCTGCGCGGTGCAAATGGTGGTGGTGAGAGTAATGAGGGCGGCAGAGAAAGGGCTCAAGATTCTCCTGGCAGCCTGCAAGGAGTTTCAGCGGCAAGAAGACAGCACTCGGTCACTCATTAAGCAAGGAGTATGGGTTAAACGGCGTTGATGTATTGCGGTCATTATCTCATTATCTTATCATCGGGAACCAGTCTCTTGACGATAGCATCATTGGCTGTAGCAATTTATCACCAACCACACCTTCAGTGCCATCAACCTCTAGCCTTATCTTTGTCGGGAAGAACAAGACGGGGTCGCCTGACGATAGCTTTTCCATGCCGTGTCGATCAATACGCCCTTACTTCCAAGACTGTACAATCAAGAACTGGATGTCACTGACCCTGGAGCCACCAGGACCTACAGCACCCTCAAGCAAGACGACCTGACACCCTCTCAACAGGGCGCTTTCCTAAGTTTACTGGCTTGTGATAGCATGCTATTGAGAGACGAAGGAACGACAAGAGCGAGACCTTTGTTATATTTTCCAGAGGCTGTAAGTCAATATCGACGTCTAGGTCTCTAGGGCTGGAAGAGGTTTACAACAATAAATGCCATGACTTATCTATTTATCTTTGTTGAGGCTTTAAAAAACTGCGTTGCTCTACAAGACTCAGAAAACTTATAGCAACGAGACAAACGACTTGTGGAACTAGCTGTAGAGATCAAAGATGCAAACGTCGGCTTTGCTAGTATCAAATAGCCACACAGTTCTTTTGCTATTGTACTTTATCAACTCCTTCATAGTTATTCATTGTCATTTGTAGTTGATGTGGGTTTCACAGTATTCTCAAGTGTTAGAGTACTTCAAATAAATGATGACGCTGGGGGCAACACAAGTGCATTTGCTTCACACTGAAAGTGATGGAGAAAGAAGCATCTAAGAAAACAGGCAATGTATATTCGGGAGATAATTTATTACGTCTGGCGGCGGCGGCGTCCCGCTCTGAGAAAACCCGATAACCGCCAGTGAGTCTGAGCTGCCCTCACAACTTCTCCTTAGCCTCTAAGGCACGCCTGCCGAATTTCTTAGTCCAGGCTGCATCATAGTAGGCCAGTTCAACAGCGTGTTGGGGCAAGCTCCTCTTTCCGGGGTGAACGTTGGCCGCTGTGATGTTTCCACAGTCTGGCCTCTTCAAGTCGTTTCCAAAAACATCAACAGTCCAGAGCAGGACGCCATTCGTCCAGCCGAAGCCTTCAACAACCTCATATTCCCCTCCGCCTCCGACAACGTTGGTCGCGTTGTCGCCATACTTCTCAAACATGGTACCAACGTTCTCGGCGGACAGACCCTGTAATTGGGGGGTCTCGCTCGTGGAACCTCCTGTCGCATACCATGTGCAGAAGGTTGAGTCTAGATAACGTTGTCCGAGGCGAAGCGCAAGGTTTTGAACGTCGCGCCATGCGGGGTCTGATTCGCCAAAAGTGGCGGGCGTTTTGCGTAAGCCTTCCATGAGGATGTGCATCAGTGGTGGCCAGACATTCGGTTGATCCCACTGTTGTCCGGTCTTGAGGTTCGTGGCCGGGATGCCACCCTTCTTAATGTCCAGATACTTCTCCACGCGCTCGTATGCTTGCTTTACAAGATAAGGGTTATTCTTGAGATGAGCCGGTGCTGCTCCGGTCCAGAAGGGATAGAACTGAGCAACTGAAAAGACGACTTGCTGTCCTGACCCGGCTGTGTTTGTCTCGACGTTGCTGGCGTCATCGTCCTCGGGAATGTAAATGTTTTGAGCACCTGAAGTGACGTTGTAGTCAAAATAGCTGCACAAGGTCGAGTTCCACATCAGGTCGAACATTGCCTGGCTGCGTTTATCGGCCAGCTGAGTCCAAGCGGCTGCTCCAGTACTGTTGCCTGTTGAGTTCAGGAAAGCGGCAATGGTCATCTCATTCCAGTACAGGATGGCATTGAGCTCCACTGGCACGGTGTTAAGAATGTTCAAAGATCTCAGAGGGAAGTAAGAGTCCCTCGTCGCATCCTCGGGTCTAGCAATCCAGCGAGAACTGTAGTCCCAGCCACTCTCAGCGCCGGACGCCAAGTTGGCGTACACACGAGCCTTTTCGGTCTCGTTCAACGACCCCCCCACCTCTGGGTAGATAATACCGCTTGTTGAGTAATATGAGCTGTTTGAAGCGGTGGTGTAATCTTCTCGGTATGACTCGGGGCGAGGTTGCGTATTGGTCACCTTGTACCTGGAGACCCAATTGTCAGCCTCCGCCTTTGCTATTTGGTCAACAGAGCCGACTTACTGGTTCAGACGATGGGTATTCCCATTCTTTTCGACTTCAACAGTTCGGTTGGTAGTCCAGAAATCATGCTCTTTGATCAAAAGCGGAACTGCCCGGTCGAGAATGCTCCTGTCGTTGGTGTACTCCACGTAGAGACGCACCATCTGCGCCAGCAACGGCGGCTGTGAGCGATTCAAGTAGTAGATTCGCGCTCCATTAGGCACAAATCCGAACTTGTCCACAAAGTCGAGAAAGTTTTCAACGGTGTTCTTGGAGATTTCGGTGAAGGTACCGCCGGTCCGCAGTAGGCCCTCGACGATCCCTGTCAACGAATATTAGCAATGAGATCGTCTCAGAGGAATAGAATTTACTGAACAAAAGCTGTCCCAATAGTAAGGTTCACGGAATCGTCCCCCAGCGACGACAAATGTTCGGTTTACCGGTATGAAGCTGTTGGGAAACGAAGTGTTGCCGCCCGATCCTGCGTAGGTGCGAGTGAGATCCGGCCAAATGTCAATGACCTTTTTCGAGAACTCCTTGATCACAGTGTCGTTAATCTTTTCGAGAAACTTCGGATCCGTTTGCAATTGGTCCTTGGGGACTTCTTTAAGCTCGTTGCCTGCTTGGGCAAAGTTGGCGCGTAGGAAATTGTTGAGCTCGGTGTTGTTACTAAGTGGCTTCGACAGGTTATTGAAGGCAACCTGTATATCTTCCAAGGACTTGATGGCAGGCCTAACAAGGGACAAAAGTAAGACAAGAGTCTCGACTGGGCATGGACAATACGCATCCTAGGACACTTACATGTCTACAAACGTCTTTGAGTCGGAGAATGGCCTAGCCAACTCAATCTCCTTCAGAATTTCGCCATGGCAGTAGATCGGCGAGTCACATGGGGCAATGATAGAACCGTTTTCGTACAAAGCCTGAGCTGCTTGAGGTAAGACAGCTAGAGCTGTGAGGGCCAGTGCGATGGTGACCATGGCGTCCAATTGGGCTCTCAGGTAGAGCTATCCTTCAAACGACAATAAGCAGTGCGAGATGAGAGGATCAAGAAGTGTAGGGAAGCCCGGCGACTTTGGATGATGTGGCCCACGACGGGGTATAAATGGGGGGCCGCACTTCATACCATCCATGGCGAGTTATCAGATCAGCGCGGCTTCGCTTGGGGAGAGGGGAAGCTTGGACGGGTTCGTCGCTGCGAGGGATCGTCAGCAACCTAGAGTAGGGTAAGGCAAACCCGGAAGAGGGGGAGGGGAAGAGCAGCAGGGGTTGGATTCTGGGATATCAGACATTGCGATCAGACGATTACAGCTTAATTTCCTACAACCCACGAATTGTGTGGGCCGCTGAGGAGAAGGTTGACGTTGTGCGGCGCCGTTAGGCTTGGAAGTATGCTGGGCCCAAGTCAATTCCCACGCCGTCCAAGGCTTGGGAAGCGCGTCTTGGTTGGCGTCACGACAAACGACACGTTGGACGCCACAATACGCAACCTTACGAATTGAGACAAAGTACTGGCACACCGAGCCAGGGCTCAACGAAGCTGGCTGGCTGTTCAGTCGGTTCCACTTGCGGACAGACAGCTCTCCCCGCATGATCCAGCTTTCTTGGAGTTTCCGCGACACATACAGGTAGTAGAGCCGCTGTGAAGGCGTCATACGACCGATTGGCCGCCTGTTTCCTCCAACCTCTGAGATTGTTTCCCGGCTCTGGGGCAATGGGGAAACCCTGCTGGCCTACCTAGAAGTGTCTAGACGAGCTACTGCATGGCAAGGCATGCTAGGGTAAGGTTTGCATAGGTGTGGGTGACGGGCCTCGTATGTCATTCCGCTGGAGCCGTTTGATGTGACGTCAGCGAGGATTGGCAAGGAAACAAAAACGCAGAGAATTTTGGTTTATGTCCTGCGAGTTGGGCCTGTTTGGTGGGGTAATAGTCTCCTTGTTCGGCGCTTGCCAGACTATCCCATCATTGTTATTGGAGAGCCGAGCCGGCCCATGCGGAGAAGTTCGGCGCTCCCGGAGCTTTCCCCACACTCCCCCGGAAGTGGCCCCGTACTGATCGTAGATGCTGTCTCAAGCCTTTGCCTAGTCACGTATGTCAGCGGCGGTGAAAGCGTCATTGGTGTTTACTTGGCTCGCACTTTTCAGTGTCGCTTGGGATAGCACATTATTCTTGGTCCGGTTTTTGTGAGTTGCAAAATCTTTAGTGCAGACAGACAAGCCGTATTCAGAGACACGGCCAGATTCCGTGGCGATGCGTAGCTTGATTTTGAACGACACGCACGAGGCCCTGCGCGGTGATCTGCCGATGAGGCACCGTCGGCGTCTCCAACGGCGAGTATGCCTTGTGAACTCTCCGGTCGTCAGGATAGACGCGATGCCGGTATTATGGTGTGAAAGAAGCTCAACGCCCACTGCGTTTGATGATGCGAAACGAAAATTTCCAATTCATGAAGGTTAAAAGATCTCATTGGCTATCGTTATCATCGCTTGAAAGGATAACTTATATTCTGGTGACAGAAACGAGTACAATCCGAGTTGGTCGGCAATAATCTACATCTGCCATTTTTGTCATGCTACCATTAAAGTCAAAATCTCCAGGTTTCGGTTTGTTTTAAGGTACTTTTTATTTTGAGCAAGGATAAGGGGTCCGTTTTGTGCGGCTCTTCGAATTCCCACACGCACTCATGTAGATGGCGATCTTCTACCACACATATATAGTATAGCATAGCATGAAACAGACATCATATGCGTTAGGCCTTGAGTTATCATTCGAAGAGTTCGTATATGCGTCGAGTGCATGGTAGCATATTTGAAGAAACTGGCGCCAGTTCTGTGCTGACCTCTATGAGCTTTAATGACCAGTGTTCCTCAAAAGGGAAAATCTCTCGACCTGTTGAGGTTTAAACATCGCTTTAGCTTCAACACGCCAGGTTCAACAATACCTTTCTCTTTCCACGATGTCTATAGCCACGATACTCAGCATGCCGGAACGTAGGTTGCGTGACTGGTCTTGCGTCACCTTGAAATCCCTGGCACCTCACATCATCAACGACGGGCGACAGTCTTCAAGACAAAGGTCAATATTAGACCTTGAAACCCTGATTCTGGTGATCAAAGACCAGCCCAGAAGAAAATCAGCCTTAGAGACAAGCGCTTGTGCGTATCCATTAACAGATTTTCGAAACCGACAGCGGAAGACAGGTGGGGTTCCGATCAAAGTTCGTGTCAATTAGTAGTGTATTTAAGTTCCATTGTCATCTAAATTTTCCGCAAAAGTGAGAGGAACTGACCGACAAGATTATGGTATGCGCTTCTCGCATTTCGTGGCTACCTAAAGGCAAATCACCGCACCTGGTTGAAGATGATGTGAAACACATCCGGCTCTAGAGATAATGTGAATGATCCAGTGCTTCGAATCTTCACATATGTTTGATGAGGCCGTATGGTACCGCGTCTTGTATCGGCAAGTGCGACTTCATAGCACATCAATGAAACCCCACGTGTTAACGTAGCTTTTCCATCCCGTGATCCTCATGAAGGTTGCTGATGTAGTAGAAACTTCTGCTTCACTTGTGACTCATAGGGGATAGCACGTTCGGATTCTGTGCTTTCAGTCCTTTTCCTTTACACTGACACTCCTCTGCAATGGGGGGAAGGTAACGTCTGTTAATGACGACTCTGCTTCGTGTCATCCAATAATACGATCAGGCTTCTGCTCCTAGGATCATAACAATTTAGCTGGCCAAGCTTTTGTAGCGGAAAACAAGATCTTGATTGACATGTATGTTATACTAACGCCCCTAAAGAGAAAGACATGCAGAAAAAAACTGCACCTGTTATGTAAGGCGACGCCATGTTCAATAAGGGTCGTTTTGCGTAGGCCGTCAGCCAATCATGGAGGTCATCAGAAAGATGACTTCAGCAATGTTATAGGCTCGCTTCATTTTGGTAATGACTACCGAAGCGTTCGGATAACATCTCACCGGGGCTTGTAAATGTTTGTTGGCCCCTGACTCGGCTTTGCGCCCGAACTACCGCCCTCCAAGGCTCGTCGAAATACTTGCTCTAGCCGTGGAAGAACCTCATCTTCGTTCTGAGCGATCTGGTAGTGAACGACCAATCGGTTTCCAATCAGCTTCAAGCCCGCCTCCTTCCCAAATGCGACGAAAGCCTTGGCGCTGCATCCCGCAGCATCCAGGTCGAGCCAGCACATGTTGGTCTCGACAGGGTCAGTAAGCTTGCCACCCAAGCTGGTCCATAGTTTCTCAATCTTCTTTGCAGTCTTGTGAGATGACTGCAGAAGGCCGCCTTCACCGTTGGGTCCACTTCCGAATGTCTCGTCAACGGCGATTCTGGCAGGAGCCGCCACAACCCCAGACTGGCGAAGACCGCCTCCAATAGATTTGCGCACCCACCGAGAATGCTTGATGTGTGCTGCGCTGCCCACAATGATACTGCCGATCGGGGCACCAAGGCCCTTGGAGAAACACAAGCTAACGGTGTCAAAGAGCGAGCAGTACTCGGACAAACTACCGGCCCCTGCAGCAGCAGCCTCCCATAGTCTGGCGCCGTCGCAGTGAAGTTTGATGTCGTTTTTGCGCGCAAACTCGGCTATCCTCTTGACCTCGGCCAGGGGTGTGATCACGCCACCGAGAGTATTCTCTAAGCTGATAACTCTGGTAGGGCAAGTGTGGACATCATCATCGACATCGGCGTTGGCTTCAATGTCCTCCAATGTCAGATAGGCGCCGTTGTGTGGCACGATGGGCTTGACCATGGCACCGCTCAAGGAAGCAACCCTGGCAATGTCAGATTAGCAGGTGCCACAAACCACCATAGGTGAGAGCGATATACGAACCCGCCTGCCTCATACTTGATGATGTGAGCGCGGTGATCGCACAAGACACTATACGGAGGCTGCGTGAGGAGGCTCCGGAGGGCCAATTGGTTGCCCATTGTTCCCGATAGAACCAGCAGAGCAGCCTCCTTACCGGCAAGCTTGGCCACATGAGACTCGAGCTCAATCGTTGTGGGGTCTTCGGCAAAGACGTCATCCAACAAGCTGCAAGACTGGATCGCAGCAAGCATTGAGGCTGTTGGGGTAGTCATGGTGTCACCTTCATTATGGTTACTCGACGGCACTGCATTGAACAAGGGTAGATCGATCGGTCTTGGACTCACTTCGCAGGTCGAAACCGGCAGCACCAAGGTGGCCGATCCACGCGTTCTGTTTAAAGTTACCCCCATTGGCAGCATCACCGATAGCAGAAGGAGACATGGTCTCTGATGATCTATGAGGCGACGATGTGTGGAAGGAAAGCTTGACGCCCGGGAGTGTGCGTCGGTTGAAATCGTTGAAGACTGCCGACAGCCATTGCGGGGTCGGTCGACTACAACGTCGTAGCAGGAGCGCATGCAGGCCGAACGGAACTGTGGGTGCTTCGGTTAGTGTTCCGACCTGGCTCCGAGACGGGAATATCGGATATTCATGGTGTTGATTAGATTGAGTTACCGCGATATACGCCGGGGTTGGGGACGAGTTGCAGTCTATAACAAGGGGACTTTGGAAACTTGCTAGGTAATCTGAATCTTCTCATCTTGTATATCTGAACTGTATTACTTCGTTTCGACTACACAACTCCATGTGCAATTGCCTTCGGTCTCGGCATCAATGAGAGCAGAGAGACTGTGTCCAGGTTGTCGAGCTACAGGCAGTGGCGGCGGCTGCAGAAGGTGTTACCCGCCAGTCCAGATTCGCTGAGTCAACGGAATTACGGCGGTAACAAGGTCGTCAATGAGAAGTGAGTGTTACTTGCAAGGTTTGGGAGCTTAGCAGAGATGTTCCAATAGTAGTTGGGGTGTCTGCTCGCAATGGGGTGAAGAGAGGCGGAAATGTGAGAGACGACCGGAACCGACTCTCAACATCGCCTATCTTATCTCGGTCTCCATAGAGACTGACTCTGACTCAAGATTGGCCATTGCATTGGCATGTGGAGTCTTGGAGAAGCGGGCACGGCGGGGAACTCGTTCTCTCCAAAGGGTTCCGCGAATGATAAGGAGTCTCCAACATTCTAAGCTAAACTTCTAGCGGGTGATGGAGACTGTGCAGAATCGAAGCCAACTCGAACAGACTGATGAAGAACAACAACGTTTCAGACAGGTGCTTGAGTCACGGACCGCTCAATCGCTAGGAATGTGTCGGAGATGGCCCCTGAAGAATTGGCTTGGCGTAGCTTGAAACCACGGGGCGTGGGATAGTGGCTCAGACATACCAAGCAATGAAGGGCCCTTGGTCACCAAACGAGACAACTTGCATTCAACCAGGTACAGAACTCCTTACCACGATACTCGGCTTGAAGAGGGGCAGGGCATCATGGGCGGGCTTTTCTGGGGCCTCATGGTCCATTGGGGGGCAAAATTCTCTCTGCTTGAAGTGATTCCATGGAAACAATCGAGGGCGGGCATGCTCTTGAAAACACGCGTTCACTGTCCAGCAGGCAGCCGTCAAAACCCATATCCACAAAGTGGAATTCCACCGACGATGGATGCCGCCTCGTAACCAACATGAATACGACTTGCTGCGCTCTTTACTACTTTGGTGCAGGGGCATGCATTACTCAGCGCCACCCGCAGACCACAAGCTGGTTGTCTTTACAAAGTTCATTTTGCGATGATCCCCTAGATGGATCGTCTCGGGAGGATGCTAGCATGCTGACTGACTCCGGCTTGGCCGTAGCATCAGCCCAGCAATTCCCGTATCGCGTTCGAGCGTCTCGGGAGCCGCTTTGGAGTAACGCGGAGGGATCCGCTAATAACGCCCAGCCAAAGCTTCTTCCTGTTAAGACCCTGCAGGTAGCAGCGAATGGCAGCTCCTTAGCTCGACTTGGCGGTGCCAAGCCCCGTCTCTCCTGTTGAGACTACCGTCTCACTTTCTTCCGTGTCATTTCTTTGATGGGCGGCCGAAGGAGCATCAGTCGCCCTGGTGGATTATGATATCGCAACGGTTCCCCTAGCTCGCAACCGGAAGTCGGCCTTTGGGCCGCTAAGCTGGAGCTTCTCGTCTGACCCCTTGCGACCAGACCGTGGCCCCCAGCGATTTCAAACAGAAAGCAAGAGCAAGTGCGAACAGCCCCTTGGGAGTTGGGGGTCAGGCTCCTCGAGCCTGTGGGACGCCCGAGGCATGGCATTGTACAGTTGTTTACCATTCTCGAAACGCACCTGGACACCGGACGACACAAACACAACGGCGGTCTGGGGGAGTTGCTGCCACCGGCGCGCAGGCGGAGAATCACGCCTTGAGCTGAGGCGGCCTGGGCCATCCATCATGTGTCCGCCTGCCGCGGCAGGAATGTTGGATTTGGCCGATCTGATTTTGACTTGGTCCAGGGGGGCTCCCTTGGTTTGTCTGAAGCGCCGCCATCATGCTAACTATGCTCGTCTTGCCTCCTTCAATAGCACACACAGCAACGCAAGCCATGGCAAAGCTTACCCCCAATGGGCCACCCGGCCGAGGTGTTTCTCCCCTTCTCTCTGCCCCTTTTCAGACGCACTTCTCTTGCCTTCCCTCGCATTGTCTCTCTCTGTACCTTTTCTGCGTGCCCGGATACAGTTCATGCGAAGCCGCCCGCTATTTCTATCTAGCAGGTAGCACGGCGCTCGAGCCTGTCCGAGCCTTGACACAGACATTCACATCAAATGGTTACATACCTTACCTACTTATACTTGGAACCCGCACCTTTCAGTCTTGGTGTGCCACATCTGACCTCCTCTACCGACGAACGACCCGCTGTCCGGATGCTCCCCCCAAGGAAAGAGTAACCTAGCGCCTTTTAACTCTCGCCTCCTTCCCATCGCACCGGGCTGTCCTCAAACCTTCCTCACGGGTTTGGTAACCGACTAAATACTTGCCACCCCTCAGGTGATTTCAACTCTCGGCTTTTTCAGTAATGACCTAGAAGCTTCATACCTGTCAGCCCCATTCCCTTTCTTAGGGACCGGTGTCGTGTCGACGGGATAATCGATCTTCTCAGTTTGGCAACGGCACTTCGACCAGCTTGTTCCATACGGTTCTCGCATACGGACTTGTCTCTTCTTCATCCGGTACGATGGTTTTGCAGTGGCACGTTGGGTCATCAGTCCTGCTGAAAGCCGGGCTGGTAATATGTGTATGTCTCATTCTATACATTAGCCAACACCCCGCCCTCGACAGGTTCGACCACCGAATCTCGGGTCTCGATTTGTCCATGAAACTTCCCAAAGCCGGGTTGAACTTTGGCAACAAGAGCGATCACCATGGCTTCTACTCCTCGGAGGCTGCTAGCCAATTCTGCAAACATCACGGATACCCCGTCTTCACGCCCCAGACGGAGTCCGGTCAGCGAAAAGTTTACGATCTTTTCATGGTGAACACGGAGCTCGACTGGATGGAGATTCGTCTCAACGCCACATACAACTACGTCGATTACTTCGTCATCGTCGAGTCCCCCAAGACTTTCACCGGGAAGCCCAAGCCACTCACCATCAAGGAAAACTGGGAGCGGTTCAAGCCATACCATGACAAGCTCATCTACCACGAGCTCGAGTTTCCGCCAACCTTCAACCCGAGTAGGTCGTGGGACTACGAGGACCTGCAACGGAACGCCATGTACACCCAAGTCTTCCCCAAGCTCGTCGGCAAGCAAAAAGCGGCATACGGGGACGTCATCCTCGTAGCGGACGTTGATGAGATTGCACGGCCCGAAACGCTGTTGGTGCTGCGAACATGCCAATTTCCCCGCCGCCTCACCCTGCGTAGCCGGTTTTACTACTACAGCTTCCAGTTTCTCCACACGGGACCCGAGTGGGAACACCCACAAGCGACCTTCTACCAGGGCTCGCGCACGCTCCTGCCGGCGAACCTTCGGATGGGTGACGGCGGGTTCAAGCCACTCTACGAGCTCGAGAAGTCGGACCTCGGGAACGCGTGCTGGCACTGCTCGAGCTGCTTCGCGACGGTCGACGAGTTCCTCACCAAGATGGCGTCTTTCTCGCACGAGTGGATGAACGGCGAGAGGTTCCGCGACAGGGACCGGATCGCCGAGGCCATCCGGAGTGGAAAGGACCTGTGGGGCCGCGACGTCGACCAGTTCGTGCGGCTGGAGAATAACACGGACATGCCAAGCATCTTGCTCGAGCAACCAGAGAGGTTTGGCTATATGGTGAATCGGGATGGACCCTCGGCCGGGTTTACCGACTATCCATGATTGATAGGGTCCTCTTTTTGTTTTGGTCTTGCAGTTTGCCCTAACGGGGTCCTACGTTTAGCTGGCGGTATCGGGCTTTGGGAAAAAGTTAGAAGAGTACTGAGCGCCATTCAGGTTCGCAAGCAAGGAGTTGGTGGTTGGGCATGGCATTGTGATTATTGATTATGGGTGCGGGAGAACGAGAGAAAACCAAAGAGTCGCTTGCAGATAATCAGATATTCTAATACAAGCATCCCGGAACATGCCATGTTGGCAGGGTTGAAATGACACGCATACCAGCCGGGCAAGTGTGTGTTTGTTGTGTGTCCAATTCTTTGGCGTCAAATGGACGAAGTTGAAGGATCAGCCGGTTTCCCATACGTACAATCTTCTCCTCAACCCCTCCAGCTCTGTCCCAGCCAAGCAGTGTGGGGTTCGGCGAGTGGAAGAGCAGCTGTCCATGGGGTTGGCAGCTCGCGTTGTGGTGGTTAGCGTCCCGAACGACACCAGGCCATCCCTGACAATTCATCGTGGCATCGCGCTTTCGAACGGGGACAGTAGTCCATCTCCATACAAACAGACCCTACCTCCTTTTTTTTTTTTTTTTGGCTTTCTTTCGTTCCTTCTTCTGCCTCTCTGTTTTGTTTTCCTCGCTACATCTCCCCCTTCTTCAACATCTTCCCGCACCACCTTTTAACTCGACAGTGCGCATCTTCCAGACAACTTTTCTCCGAGACACGGGACACAAGACCAAGAAACAGACAACGCATACACACACACGCGCGCGCCCACGCCCACACATACACACCCCACAGACGCCCCCTCCTCCTCCATCCCACCATGGGGCCCTGCAGGAGCATGTGTGCGTGAAAAAGAGTCGGTTGGCGAACCAATGACGGTGCGCCAGCAGCACTTCCCTTGGGGGGGACCTGGGGACCTGGAGACCTGGAAACCGGTGCATTGATGCGCGATGCGCTGGCACTTCTCTTTTTTTTCTCTTCCCCTTCTTTCCTTTCCTTTCGCAGTTGACTTCCCTGCCCTCGTCTGTGCTCTGCGCTGCGCGCGGCATGCTAGGTAGCTCCAGAAAGGAATGGACAAGAAAAAGGGAATAGAGGACGATGAAGCAGGAACATATCTTCCCCTTCAGCCCCCCTCCTCCCCCTACTTCTCTACGAGGAATCTCGTCTTGTCCCACCTTTCTATTTCTTCCCGACCCCCTCTGGGAAACTTGACCTCTCAAACTCCGCCGTCTCGTTCGACGTGCTACACTCACGTCTCACCCAGGTCCTCACTATCATCAGGATCACCCCTCGCCACTTCAGCTCAGCGCATCCTGCCATGCCTCAGGAGGATCCGTCGCACTTGTCGTTGTATCGCAGCAGAGCCGTCTTGACTTCTGCCGTAATCCGTTCCACGGCAACCCGGTTCACGCAAATGATCAAGCGATCGTACATCAGTCATGATATTCATTCGTCTACTTTCGTAGCATCGTTATGACCACTCACCCGATCCTCCGCTCCGCTCGCTTCTTTCTACTGTGTACTACCGTAACACCAGCGCGTTTCAGTAATTCCTGGCTATGGAGCCCTCCTCAAACTGGGGGAAGAAAAAGAGGAAAAAGAAAAAAACCACCACCTGGCCGGCAAAAACCCTCAACCAAAAGGCAAGCGCCTTGCTCCCATGTCATATCTTCTGACTTCCAAAGAACCGCTCGAGACAGCCCCGCCCATGTGTGCGATGTGGTGAAAATGTAATGGGGCCAAGCAGGCTCACAGGCTCTACTGATGCTGTCGCAGACCGACCAACGCCGAATATTTCGCAAATTGTAGGACAAAGTTGAATATAACACCTCCTCGGCACCAAGCCTCACGCGCGCAGTATGCTTCATGGCCTCGCCTCGAACCACGACCTCGCCCACTTTGAACATCCCCCGTCGGATGACAAGCAAAAGATGGTGCACGGCTGGCGAAGTAAAGGTCGACATGCCGCGGATCGAGGCTCCCGACACACGACGGCGACACACCTCATCTATTCGCCCACTTCATGAGCCACTGGAGGACAGCGTCCAAGTTCGTCTCCTCCTTAGCGCTGATGCCGTAGCAACAGACCTCGCGGTGGCCTATGGACTTGAGGTCAAGCGCATCAATCAGCTCATCGACCGACAGCTTCTGCGGAAGATCCGACTTGTTTCCCAATACGAGAAGCGGGATTTCTCTTAACGAAGCTTGGCCCATGAGTGCATGAAGTTCTTCGCGGGCCTGCTGCAACAAATCCACATCGGCAATGTCGACGATGAAGACGATGGCGTTTACGCCACGGCAGTATCTCTCCCACATCGTCCGAAACCGGGGCTGGCCGCCAATATCCCAACACTTCAGTGTTACGTGTCCTCGTTGCACCCGCTTCATGTTGAATCCGACCGTCGGGATCGAGCTACACGAGATCTCAGTTAGCCGAAGATGCCGCTAGCCGGAACCAAAAACACCAAAGACCGCGCGCTCATCGCTTTTGGGGCATCAAGAAGGGGAAGCGTCGCTTACTCGATCGTGAACTCGCCGCCCTGGAAACAACAAAGTTAGCTTGTGGCCCGCTCCGGTACGGCTGGGAAAGGCATGACTCGCCAGGGGAGTTGACTTACTGCGAGGACTCGGAGTAAAGATGTCTTGCCCGCATTCTGCAAACCGATCATCGTTACATCCATCTCGGTCGCCCTGTCGTCGCAAATCAGTACAGGTCCGGATCATCACCATGACTGAGGGGCAGGGTGGGCGCGACGGCAGCGGGGTAGGGTCAGAGCGTGCGGGCCGTCGAGTCGCTGGGAAACTCCCCGCTGTCCATCGCCGCGAACACAGTGCACTCACCAAAACGTCCTCAACAACCAGTCATACACCTTCCGGAATAGCCCCGCCATGGCTGGGGATGATGAGCGCGAACGCGATGGCAATGCGCTAGTATGTGTAGGGGAGAGGTAGGCTTTCGTAGGCGGGCAGCAAATGGGCAAAGTCGTCGACGATTGCTGGTGTTTGATCCAGGTACGGCGCAACGGTGGGATGTGTCGCGCAACGAGGGAAGCTGGTGGTTGGCGGTGGCGGCGGCTACGGCACCGTGATTGTCTCGTTCGAGAAGGACGGCGAGACGGTGAGAGAGAATACCGGGTGTGGGGTCGGGGTCCTGGGTCGGGAGCTTAAGTATTCAGTGCGCTTAGACGTATCTCGAGATTAGGAATAAAAATGTCTCGTATAACCCGTGGTAACCGACCAAATATCGCAAGTCAAGTCTCGCGAGCATGGGCGAGTGATGAGCGCAGTATGTAGGCTTTGTGCGATGATGGGGGCGGGAAAAGGTGTAGAGAGTCGCTCCTTCTCGTTAGCGGGTGATGACAAGCAAGCAAGCAGCGGTGCAGGTGCAGGTGCAGGTGGGCGGGAATCAGAAGGGAAGAGAAAGCCCGGGTGACGCTTGACCTGGTCTGGTCTGGTCTGGTCTGGTCTGTCCTGTCCTGTCCTCGGGGGCGGAGGAGGCACAGGTGAGGTCCCACCCAGCAAAGACGGGATGGGGTTGTGGGTGCAAGGTACTGGAGTACCCTGGTCTGGCTCCGGCTTAAGGTGATTGCTCGGGGCACAAGCTGTAAAATGAACCGTGCTGAACCTTGGAGCAGGTAGGGAAAGCTGCCGGATTTAGAGGGATGGCGATTCTTGATAACCGCGTTGACAGGGTCTGCAGCGGTTAGAAGTCGAGTGCCAGGATTTCATTCGTTTGCTTGTACCGGGTTGATGTGGATCTGGCAACGGTAGACGCGAAGAAGGGGCTGAGAAAGGAACGGATCGTACATATATATCGACCGGGTGTATGTAGGTTCGGGTAGGTACCTTACGTGCGCATGGGAGTAGTGCACCGACGACAACAGCGGCGGCAGCAGGAGCAGGGATGCAATGCGAACGCGGCAACGAGAATAGAAAAGTCGACAAGGACCAGCGTTGAAGGTAGGGGGGTTTCAACCACCGACGCTCGTTTTTGCCCGTGATGAAGCTCCTGGCAAAAACGGTCAATGCTCCTCCGATGCTGTGGGCACAAGCACAAGCCGAAATCACCGGAGATGCTTCAAGGTGCCAAGACTGGATGAGCAGGATGCCACCGATGTCTGTATGTACTCAACACGTTGCTTGTGGTTGGATGGGATGAAAAGACGGGCAGTATGGACACGGTGCGATGCCCAGGTGTCAGGGCAGTCCAACGCGATTCCCAGATGGGTTCTCACCAACCGGTGTTGGTGAGCCGAGGCGCTGTGTTTCGGACGGCGTGGTAACCAAGGCAAAGCTGGAGATGAGAGGAGATGCAATGGCCTGCTCTTTACCAAGCTATTAAGCCCCAGGGTAAGGTGAACAGGGTATTTCAGGTGGCCGCAGGTGGACGGATGTCTCCAAATGGAGACAGATTGTTGAGAAAGGAAGGAGGAGGAGAATGAGGGCGCGTGATGGCAAAGGCGTCGCAGGCGGCACAAGTCCAGATCTGTCACTCCCGTCCAAGAGCTGCGTGCGGACCGAGGCGAGACAGCGCAATCGATGAAGGGGGCCAAAGGCCGTCACGGGCGGACGGCGGACAGCGTTCGGCGTCTAACGACGTTGTGACTGTGATGAGAAGTGCGGTTGTTTGCGAATAGTGGGCGGCTCGCCGACGACGGCGTTTGTTGGTGATTTTTTTGATTTTTTTTTGGAAACGTAGAATGTCCAAGTCCGAGAAACCAAGCAAGGCGGGTCCAGACGTTGCTCAAGGAAATGCGGCCGGGACAAACGAAATGAGACCCAGGCTTTGATGGAAAGGGCAGAACGCCGAGTATTTAGCAGAGACGACAGCTGGTCGGGTAAGGCAGGCTGAGGGCCCAAGCAGTCAAGGTGTGGTGTCCAGAGTGTAGGTGTGTCTGTTGGGTCCCTTAGGTGAGAGAGAGATAGTCAAGCAGTGACGAGGGCCAGTCAGCCAAGGCACCGAAGGGCAGTTTGGGTTCCTCGAGGGAAGATTACTCCAGGGTTGATAGATGCCTTGAACCAAAGGAGGGAAACTGGTCAAGTAAGCTCGGGTAAAGTAAGCGGAACCAGGAGGTCGAGCAGATCAGGGCACATCAAAATGTCAAAGGTCGGAAGGCAGAGGCAACAGCATGTGTTGTGCTTCAAGCGGGCAGGACCCTGTCAAACCCCACCTCCCTTCCTCCTCCTCCCCCCGCGGTTGAGCTGAATGTACTATGTACTATCTGTACTTACTTCCTGGATATGTGGATACACAATACAGGCCTCAAGTACCTATGCATGAGCAGCATCAGAGCATCAAGGGTGAAGTCGAACGCGCCTCAGTCCTAGGCTTGGCTTGTTAGGCCCCGGCCAGTGCAGGTTGGGCTGCAAGTCGCCAGTTGCTCGCTGTAAATTCTGCTAATCAGGAGTCGCGGTTGGCTCATGGTGCAAGCTAGGTTCGATTTCTAGTGTTGCAAGTCGCGTCTTTGGGAGACCTCCCGGTAGATTGATGATGGGGGAGGGTCTCATTCGACACTCGCATTGGCGAGAATGAGAGGCCGCGGGGAGAAATGACGGCCACTAACGCAGACGCAACATGACCACTTCATGCATGAAGACCTTACATTGCCTTAATTACATACATTCACACGTACAAACCTACCTCGAGGCTAGTGCCTCTAGACCTCACTTCGTAGACGTACCTACCGAGGGTCGCTATGTCCATTTCCCTTGGGGCCTGGCCACTGTCGGACTTTGGTGGCAATGCTGGCCCATATTCGAAGCGGACTCGACGTAACTAAACAGTCGAGTCCAACGAGGCCGCGGCCTCTACGTTACGGATTGTCCCTTCTCAATGATGGGACGGATCACTAGAGTCCTATACCTTTTCCCCGACGATGGACAGCTGCTGCGAATCGACATATCGAGTTCCGCTGTCCATTCCCAGCTGTAAGGAGCTATACGGCAATGCGTAGTAAAGGCTGGGCCATGAAGATGTCACAGAAATCTCGTGACAGATTAGGGGTAACGAACCATTGGTGACACAGAATAGAGTGCTGCACCGCAGAACCATGATTTGTATCAACGACCGGTGGATTCTGTCTAGCCCCGGTGAGACGCAGCAGACGGCTTCCTAGGGGCAGAGCATAGACGGTCGGGAGGGTGGACCGGCCTCGGTGGGTGTTGGAAACCAGTCGTCAATGATTCTGGAGTTCCCGTTCGAGAGCAAGTCCCGGGTCGCAGTCAAGCGTCAAGCGCATCTCGTCCATTCGAGGGAAGGGCCCCGCGGATGCGATAAGACACTGTTTAGAAACTGTATGGATAACGGTGGATAACTTCACCGAGGCCACACCGTGATTGGCCGTCTCAATTTTTTTTCGCTCCAGTGCTCCATAATAATTTTTTTGTTTTCACCGGGACTTGGCCGTCGCATCTTCTTTCCGGTCCAGCAATTCCGTCGCCGTGGGAAGAAGTTCGTGTTCACCTCGTTTCTGTCGCCTTCGTCTTGCACAGAGAGCCAATTCCTATTCGACGGTCGCACCCGCATGACATAGCCTCTGGTACGGTGCCGCACTCGGTATTGACAATTCGACGCCCAGCTAACCGTTCTAGTCGCAGGCAAGCGAACGAGCGAACATGGCTCCTTCAGCGACCAGCACCGAGTGGGATCACCAGTACAACACTCTCCGCCGCGAGAACCTCTTCCGCAACCCCCCGAAAGATCACACGGCCTACCCTGCCCTGCAAGAGGCCGTCAGCCCTCACATCGACTCCTTCAATGCCTTGTTCAGGACCGACGGTAAGAGCCTCCTCGCCCGAGGCCTAGAGGATATCGGTACCAAGACCTACCTCGACGGTGACGACAGGGCTGGTCTCGAAGGCAAGAACCGCTTGTCTATTCGCATTAAGGGCGTGTCACTGCAAAAGTCCCAGCTGCCCCCCTCCAACAAGTTTGCCAGGAATCGCGAAATCCTGCCTGCCGAATGCAGAGAGCGCCACTGCACGTACCGAGGCAGGCTCTCGGCTACCTTTGAGTACAGAATCAACGATGGCGACCCCAAGGAGTTCGTTCGGGAGCTTGGCCAAGTGCCCATCATGGTCAAGGTAAGCAAGGGCATGAGATTGCGCAACTCGAGCTGGCCCATGTGATGCTGACAGTGTGTCCGCAGTCCAACAGATGTCACTTGGAGGGAAACTCGCCAGCACAATTGGTGCAGAGGAAGGAGGAATCCGAGGAACTGGGCGGCTACTTCATCGTCAACGGTATCGAAAAAATCATTCGAATGCTGCAAGTCAACCGCAGGAACTTCCCCATGGCGATCAACCGACCGAGTTTCCAGAATCGAGGCCAAGGCTACACCCCCTACGGTATCATTCTCCGATCCGTCAGACCTGACGAGACATCTCAGACCAACGTCTTGCACTACTTGAGCGACGGCAACATGACGTTCCGCTTTTCCTGGAGGAAGAACGAGTACCTCGTGCCGGTCATGATGATTCTGAAGGCGCTGGTGGAGACGAACGACCGAGAAATCTTTGAGGGGCTCATCGGTCTGTCCGGATCCAAATCGGCCAAGAACACCTTCTTGACGGATCGCGTTGAGCTGCTTCTCCGAACCTACAAATCTTACGGCCTTTACAGCAAAACCGAGACGAGAGCCTACCTAGGCGAGAAGTTCCGCGTGGTATTGGGTGTGCCAGATACCATGTCCAACTACGATGTTGGTACCGAGTTCCTGCGCAAGATTGTCCTTGTGCACCTTGGCAACATAAACGTCACTGAGAAGGAGGACAACGACAAGTTCCGGATGCTTCTTTTCATGATCAGGAAGCTGTATGCTCTTGTGGCCGGCGACTGCTCAGTCGACAACCCTGATGCCGTTCAAAACCAGGAGGTTCTTCTGGGTGGTTTCCTCTATGGTATGATCTTGAAGGAGCGCCTGGAAGAGTTCCTGACAACTGCTGTCCGTCTTTCATTGCGAGAATGGACCAGGAAACACCCTGCTACGCCCTTCACATCACAAGACTTTGCCAAGGAGTTTCCTGCCAACATCTTCAGACACGCCAACGAGAACCTCGGAAACGGACTGGAATACTTCCTCTCTACGGGTAATTTGACAAGTCCTTCTGGTCTCGACCTGCAGCAGACAGCCGGTTTCACTGTCGTCGCGGAAAAGCTCAATTTCTTGCGTTTCCTTAGCCACTTCCGAATGATCCACAGAGGTGCCTTCTTCGCCGAGTTGAAGACGACGACAGTCAGAAAGCTTTTGCCCGAGTCTTGGGGCTTCATGTGCCCAGTACACACCCCCGATGGTGCTCCTTGTGGTTTGTTGAATCATCTGGCTCACAAATGTAAAATTATGACGGAAGCCGTCGATGCCTCCAAGATACCCGGTCTTGTCGCAGAGCTGGGTGCCGTAGAGACATCTTCCGCCGCAACAGACGAGAGCGTTGTCGTCATGCTTGACGGCAGAATTGTTGGCTTCTGCACGCCTCAAGAGTCTTTGAGAATTGCAGACACTCTCCGATACTGGAAGGTTGAAGGTACTCACGGTGTGCCTTTGCAACTCGAGGTTGGATACGTTCCTCCTTCCAACGGTGGTTCTTACCCTGGTATTTACCTGGCGTCTGCGCCCGCGCGTATGGTCAGACCCGTCAAGTATCTTCCCCTCGATAAGGAGGACTTCGTTGGACCTCACGAGCAACCTTACATGTCCATCGCTGTCGTGGAAAATGAGATTGTGTCTGGAGAGTCTACTCACGTGGAATTCACACCTACGAACATGCTTTCTATTCTTGCCAACATGACGCCTTTCTCGGACTTCAACCAGTCTCCCAGAAACATGTATCAATGTCAGATGGGTAAGCAAACTATGGGAACACCAGCAACTGCTCTGCGATACCGAACGGACAACAAGATGTACCGGCTGCAAAGCGGCCAGACGCCCGTTGTGCGATCGCCCCTGCACAACGCTTACGGATTCGATAACTTCCCCAACGGTTTCAACGCCGTTGTGGCGGTTATTTCGTACACCGGTTACGACATGGACGACGCTATGATTCTGAACAAGTCAGCACACGAAAGAGGATTCGGTCACGGCACGATTTACAAGACGAAGAAGATCACTCTTAAAGACGAGTCGAGAACTCGAGCTGTCAAGAATATCTCGAAGCTGTTCGGATTCGCCCCTGGTGGTTTTGTCAAGGGACACTACCGTGGTCAGCTTGACGAGGATGGTCTGCCCTATGTCGGCCGACTGGTTCAAGAAGGAGACGTTCTCTGCGCATGGCATACTGTATCAGCCGATTACAGCGGCAAGCTGATCAACCTCGACGGCCAGACGCACTACGAGAAGTACAAGGAATCCGAGACCGCCTTCGTTGAGGAGGTGCGTGTGATTGGCAGTGAGACAGGTAACGAGCCTGCCCAGACAATCTCCATCAAACTCAGAGTTCCTCGATCGCCTGTCATTGGTGATAAGTTCTCTTCTCGTCACGGACAGAAGGGTGTTGCTTCCCAGAAGTGGCCCGCCGTCGACATGCCTTTCTCCGAGTCTGGTATGCAGCCCGATGTCATCATCAACCCGCACGCTTTCCCCTCCCGTATGACCATTGGTATGTTCGTCGAGTCGCTTGCTGGAAAGGCGGGTGCTCTCCATGGGCTGGCGCAAGATTCGACGCCATTCAAGTTTAACGAGGAGAACACTGCCGCCGACTACTTCGGCCACCAGCTGATGAAGGCTGGATACAACTACCACGGCAACGAGCCCATGTATTCTGGTATTACTGGAGAGGAACTTGCGGCGGACATCTACGTTGGTGTCGTTTACTATCAGCGTCTGCGTCACATGGTCAACGACAAGTACCAGGTGCGAACGACAGGACCAGTCGTTCCTACAACTGGGCAGCCCATCAAGGGTAGAAAGCGTGGTGGTGGTATTCGTGTGGGAGAGATGGAGCGTGACGCGCTGCTCGCTCACGGCACGGCCTTCCTGCTGCAGGACCGTCTGCTTAACTGTTCCGATTACACACGATCCTGGATCTGTCGAAGCTGTGGCTCATTCCTCTCGGTTCAGCCGACGGTCTCGCCTTTCGTGGGCAAGAAGAAACAGGTCACAACAGTCCGCTGTAGAAACTGCGCAACCCGCATTGATGCCGGTGATGCGGAAAGCGCTGCCAAGGTGGAGGGAGAGATTTGGGAGGACGGACAGGGCAACCAGTGGGTTGGAGGCGAGAACACCACGGTTGTCGTCGTTCCAGGAGCGCTGAAGTTCCTGGATGTGGAATTGGCAGCCATGGGTGTCAAGCTGAAGTACCGCGTCGACTCCCGCGATGCGCCTCGCAAGGGCCCATTGAAGCCCATGTCATCATTACCTTAGACGGACGGCGTTTGGCAGAGAAAAGAGGCGGGCTACCTTGTAATTCAATGACGATCAACTATGCAAATATGGAGAAAAGTCCAACATATGACTCTTAAGGATGTGACTAGGTCGACTTGCTCAGTTTTACCGTGGTTTTGCGCAACATGCCTCAGGGCTTGATTTCGTCCACATCAGCTGGAACCGAAGGGCCGATACGTTTGACAAACGGCAATATAGTGCGAGCATGAATAGCCGCCAAGAACGCGCAACATTTGTACATACAGACCAGTCACAACCATATACAGGAACGTTTGCATCGTACAGGTTGCCGAGTCCAACAAACATTTATGTCGACTAGTGTTGTACAAACAACGTCGGTATCCGTGATGTGTAGAGCTTGGACATCGGTTGGCGACGCGGCCCTCAAAGAGTATCTTGCTGTTCCCGTGATGTCAGCATACAACCCGGCGGCGTACCTGAGGGTCATCTCTCTTCGGTACCATCCGGATGAACTATTAGGCTTATCGATGGACGTTTTGGCATTTTCTGTTTCCTAAAGCATTGTATGTAAGACGGGCATTTGCCGTCATTCGTATCGTAAGGCAACACTTGGATAAGAACCCCATGGATGGAGCCAGCAAGATTTCTGAAGTTGAGACAATTAGATCCTACTCTTTTTAGTTGCATCTTCAGCTGTAAGTGGAAATGATCGCATACCCCCTTCTCTGATGGATGGATGCGCCTACCTGACCCTGTGTGGGACGTTGCGCTGTCTACTCGGTGGACGCAGTCTCAGCTTGCGTGGTCTTAAGGCTAGGTGCACCTCCTGGAAGGTAAGTAAGGTCAATACCTGGCTATGAAAGTGCATGGAATGTCTCGTGCCACTGGGGTCGAACATAGATAGCAGGAAACTGTGCTTTCCCAGGTCGTTTACTCATACCCGCAGGGCCCGTCATCACTCCTGCCTGTTGCTTGAGAATTTTCACACTTCGATGTTTCCTGGTTCACTTTTCAGCTGGAGAACTACTAATCTTGTCAAGAAGCGTTTGCAAATGAATCACGTACCTCACGCAATCATCGTCTCATTACGGATATGCGGCGTGCCACGCGCCCTCTGTCTTGTTTGTCGTCTATTTGACCGTCCTTGATCTCGGCAGCTGCCCCTTACCAACATCCATCTTCCTCGCCACCCTCTCGGCCGTTTCTGGCCCATCTTCTTTACTATCGCCGCAGCTGTAATGAAGGATTCATCAGATGTCAAGACAGGGAATCTTTCATGCTTTTGAACAAAAACAAAAGACTTCCTTGTCATTATACGACGTGGTTCCTTCCTCGCTAGTCTCCCAGCAGCAGAATACGTTTGGTTGACTTGGGAACCCTATCTGCGACTGTACCTCTCCTCCGTTCATCCATATTCATTGACTCGCAGATCGAATACTGTATTCCATTTGAAGGCACTCTCACGCGTCTGCATTTATGCTGGCTGACTGCAATCGAACCCGCGTGGCGATGTCGCCTCGTGTCGCCCTATTTCTGTCCCTACTCCTCGTCGTCACGATCGTATCGGCCACACCATACTCGCCGGCCTACGAATACGGCTTCGACACGAGGAAGCTAGTCAAACGCCAGGCACAACAACCCATTGTTGTCGCTAAATTGCCCGCTGTCAACGGAACTGTCCCTGTTCGGCAGGAGATCCGGCAGATGAAGCAGAACCCTTTCAAATGGAACCTGTTCCTCCTTGCGTCCAGCATGTTACAGTACACGGATCAGAAAGAGGAACTATCATGGTACCAGATCGCAGGTAAGACTCTTTATTTGATGCAGATTAGCTCGCTTTTTGATATCTGGCAGGCATTCATGGTGTTCCCTTCGTCCCCTGGAATGGCGTCCTGGGGGCTGTAGGAGGCGAGGACAGAGGCTACTGCACGCATATGTCCGTCCTGTTTCCATCCTGGCACCGTCCGTATCTTGCTCTATATGAGGTCAGATGCCACCCAATCTCTTTATTGAGTTTATGTATTAAAGGCGTAGTCATTGACATTGTGATAGCAAGTTCTCTTCCAGCTCGTTCAGCTGATCGCTTCATGGTTCACAGACCCTGTGGAAAGTGTCTTGTATCAAGCCGCTGCCACCGACTTCCGTATCCCATACTGGGACTGGGCTACGCCGCCGCCGTCTGGAGAGATGACCTACTTACCCGAGTTCGAAGAGCCCGGGATCCAAGTGTACGGCCCCAAAGGGTGGCAGTTCATTGCGAACCCGCTTCATAGTTACAAGTTTCGGCCGCTTGACCCAGACGTCTTTTCTGAAGGCGATGTAAGTCATGGTATTCAGTCAGTGAGAGAGCGTGGTCACTGACAGCACAAGTTTCCGCGTTGGACAGAAACGATGCGAGCACCCTTCGAGACGTCAGACAACCAGAGCGTTGCGCACGCAATCGAGCATGCCAGACCGGCGCTTCAGCAACGGCTCTACACACTCCTGTCGAACTACAAGGACTACGGACCCTTCAGCAACAAGTACTGGGGTACCGCAACAAACCAATCCCAATACGACTCTGTAGAGTCGCTACACGACGCCATGCATGTTCTAGTCGGCAACCGCGGCCATCTCTTCTATATACAATACTCGGCGTTCGATCCTGTTTTCTTTCTGCATCATACCATGGCAGATAGAATTGTTGCAATGTGGCAAGTCTTGTACCCGAGGTCATGGGTGTCCCCTCAAGTCGCAATGGAACACTCTTTCACGATGCCGCCAGGATACGTTCAAGACATGTTTACAGAACTCAAGCCTTTTTACTCAGATGTCAACGGCACTTTCTGGAATTCAGCAATGGCAAGGGATACCTTGGCCTTCGGATACTCGTACGCCGAGACCAACTCCAGCCCTGGGAACGATCCCGCCGAAGACCGGGCGCGCCTAATAGAAACCATCAACCGGCTGTACGGTTCATCCAGTCCCTCCGGTTTTGCCCAGAAGCGAAGGAGATCCGCGACGATGAGGGATCGGGGTACCCTTGGGCGTGTTCGGAAAGGGACGGTTTCAAGTAGCCATGTGATGGATTTTTCCCATGATCCGGACTTCGTTGCCAAGGTGGTCGCGGAAGACAACATATACACCGAATGGGTCGCCAATGTGCGCGTCCTGAATGGGGCGCTGGACGGCTCATTTGTTGTCCATTTCTTCCTCGGCGAAGTACCCAAAGACACGGATTCATGGATGACCGCACCAAATCTGGTGGGGTCGATGCCGGTGTTTGCAATGAAAAACATGGGCTCGGGTAACCATGCGTCCGGTACTGTCCCTCTGACGTCGGCTTTGATGCACTTGGTGTCGGCGGGAGTCATCTCCGGGCTTGATCCGGAGCAAACTGGACCTTACCTCGAAGAGTACCTCCAAGTTCGTGTTGTTCGAGAGGATGGAACTGAGAAATCTGTGAACACCATTGACAGCTTACACGTTCAAGTCGCAAGCTCGCAAGTCCGGGCAGCGAGGAACCAGTGGGAGCTCCCAAGTTGGGGTACCGTAGTGGAGAGGTTCGTGTTGCAACAAGGTCAAGTGCGTCCTTACAAGCATGATATGACTGGGTGATAGGTCGACGGGGACATTGAATCCGGTTGTCCGGATATACGTGCCCAGAGATAGTTGCTCTTTAGTGTGTAATTTGCCGTAGCTCCGACTTTGAGGTGTACCACTGTCGATGAGTTGATCTGCTATCCTTATTTGAGGCGGGTCAATACTCAAGAGAGGCTTTGACATGTTAAACATCCGTGCTTTTCTGCCCACTCTAACTAAAATTCGACTTGTGACATACTCTAGATCTCGACTGCGCATTGAGTAGAATTTAGGGGCCGGAGATTTGATTGAACCGAGTCACTAGCACCTATTTCGGTCTTTCGAAATGTCTCGACGTTGACCTGCTGCATCAAGCTACACAGGTGAAACCATCAACAGAATAGAGTCAACGTGCAGAAGAGTTTGGTAGTCAACCTAGACATACCGACTTCTTCTTTTGCATGGATAGTAATCTTCCTTCGTCGAAACAGCGGTAAAGCATTGTATTCTCTTCTGCCGCCTGTATTCAATGGGAGAATCATCTGGAGAAGGTCACGTGGATCGTACCAGTGTGGCTGAAGGTCGGCACCTACAGGCTGCGGCCCCACTTCCAGATACGGGATAGGAACTTTTCCGAAGCTTCAGCCTTCTGTGACCTGGGACCGTCAACTAGGTTTACGTTCTAGTCGCGACAATCTAGCACCTCGCCGCCTTTCCACTTCAACGAACGACACGCGCGACAAACTGACAACGCCGCTGCCGCCAACATGAAGCTCGTCAGGTATGTCAATTACCTCCCCGCTTGCCGTCATACTCGGTCCGAGTGCTGAGCTTTCTCTCTGTAAAGCCCGACGTGAACGAGGCCAAAAGAAGAGCTGACATGGATTTTCAACAACCAGATTTTTGATGAAATGCGCCAACGAGACGGTGACAATTGAACTCAAGAATGGTCAGTAACCCAACCCCATCTCTCCCGCCTTCGGACAGTGCAGCCCGGATGCAAGATGTGCCGCCTCTCGAAGAATTAGCTAACGCGTTTGCAACAAACAGGCACTATCGTCCACGGCACCATTACCTCCGTCTCGCCGCAGATGAACACGGCGCTGCGCACGGTCAAGATGACGCCCAAGGGCCAGGATGCCGTCTCGCTCGACACAATGAACATTCGCGGCTCGACAATCCGATACTTTATCTTGCCCGATTCGCTGCCGCTAGACACGCTGCTCATCGACGACGCGCCGAAACCCAAGAACAAGGCGCGCAAGGAGGCCGACCGTGGCACTGGCGGGCGCGGTGGCAGGGGCGGTCCCAGGGGAAGAGGAAGAGGCGGTGGACGTGGACGCGGTCGTGGACGGGGCTAAGTCATTCAGGGGCTGCCTTTCGAGTAGGATGTGTCATTCCCCGGGGGTTGGCACCGGCACATGCGAGGCTCGACGGGGCGCCGAACAAGTTTGTTATTACGCCTGGGAAAAGACGCGAATGTCGATGGCTGGAGATGACTTGGGTGAGAGGGGGGATCATTGCGGCCCCCAGATACGACGAAACCCGCAATCACTTTCACATTTGGGCCTTGCGCTTGCTACAAAAAAGTACCTTATGCATCAAGACGAACCGGATGCTCTTCAGGCGTTGGGGGGGGAGGTAGGGAAATCAAGAATACAATTCGAGCATAAAAGTACACCGGCAAGCAGTGGTGGCGATGGACGTCGCTGCTGTTGAGAGCGCCGTGTCCTGCATGTGTGAATAGGAGTCCAGATGAGAAACCTGTAATCAAACTCACGTCCCCAAAACTACGGCTCCTGCTGCCTTTCCCTCCACACCCTGATGATCTGCAACTTCTCCCACCCAGCCTTCTTCCCGCTCTCTCCCACCGTGACGGCCCTCCAGCCCGCCCCAAACCCTTCGATCCGGGCCTTGACCTCCTCGGGCCTGTTCTGCGCACACAGCAAGATGTACGCACAACCCCTTTCCGACAAGACTCCGGGCAGTGCTTCGATCAGCCGGTCCGTTGTCTCCATCCCGTCCCGCCCGCCAGCATACGACAGCGAGAGCAGATACGAGTCCTCGTCAAACGTCGTCTTCTTCTCGCCATCCGCGACCAGCGCGCCGGACGTCTGCGCGGGGAGTTCGGGGGAGGGGACGTAGGGCGGGTTGAAGACCAGCACGTCGACGCTCCGCGCCCTCAGCGGGGCCGTGAGGTCGCCCATGGCGGCGCCGAGCCAGGACTGCGATGCGGTATCCGGGTTCTCGGCGCGGGCGCGGAGCACGGTGGCGTTTGTCGCCTTGCAAGCGTGCCCGTTGAGGTCGACGCCCGAGGCAAGGATGTGGGGGTGGCCGAAGAGCGTGCGCGCGTGCGCGGCGATGAAGGCAATCACGACGCCGGAGCCGGTGCCGATTTCGACAACCAGAGGTGCCGCTGGGGTCGGCGACGAAGAGGCGCCGAAGCGGGAAGCGAGAAACTCGGTCTCCGAGGGGGCGGAGAGGGTGTCCAGGAGGAGGTAAGAGTCCTCTGCCGGCTCGTAGACCCGCTCGAAGGGGACGTGGGATGTATCTGGCGTGGGGAGCATGTTGGGGATCTGAACGGTGTTAGTGTTGCTGTGTTTGTATGCAAGTAAGAATGACTTACGAGGGTGTAGGTCAGCAATGGTGCGTTTTGCTCGGTTTGTGAGGCTTCTAGTCCTCGGACACCCCTCGTCGAGTGGTATTCCAATGGCTCACTTGATAACTGCGGCTTATACTAACGGACTGGCAGTCAATTTTATCCAGCTTCTTGGTGAGTTCAAGTGTTGGGGCGTGTGAGTTCGTTGGCAGTGTTGAAAAGTGAGACTCAAATTCTCAGATGCAGTCTGATGAAATGTGGGGTTTGCTAACATCAACCACAACCAAACTCATTCAACACCAAGTCACGGTTCAGACACACCACACACATGGTGATCCTCATCAAGCATCGTCGATTGATTATTTCGTTTCTCATTAATTTTTTACAACTACAAACTACTTTTTATACTCGCTCAGTATGCAGTATTAGAGACGGCTTAGCCTAGTCAATGATACCGTCGGGCAGGAAGCTGACATAGTCTAGGGGCGCTACTTCGGGACCGTCAGGCGTTCCGACAATCTTCAAAGTGTCGCCCTTAGTAACCTTGACGCCGGGGAAGTTGACACGGATGGCCGAGTGCCCGTCCAAGAACTCGGACGGCCAGTGGCCCAGCTTCTCCTCGCTGTTACCCCTCCACTGGCCGACGACCTCGTCGTTGATGTAGGCGACGTACGAGCACTTGCCGCGGATGACGTCAAAGTAGTTGACGGCCAGGGTGTACGTGCCGGTCTCAAAGTCGACGACCGCCGAGGCCGTCCCCGCGGTCGTGTTGGAGGTCGTCACGATAGCCTTGTACCCGGACGCCGCCTCAAAGGGGTCGACGTCGACAACTTTGTACCCCTCGAGGTCCATGTGCTCGGCTTCGATGCGGTACTTGTAGTTGCCCACGCGACCCGCCTCGTCAGGGATGCCCGACTTGTTCCAGTAAAAGTTGTTGATGGAGTCGCGCCAGACGAGCGAGTGGCCGGCCTGGTATTGCAGCTTGAAGAGCACGTGCTCGTAGCGCTCCTCGTCGATGAGGCCCTTGAGGGACTCCCATTGCGGCACGAAAGTCTGGGCCGTCGCCGATCCTTCGTAATGCGCGTCGTAGAAGTGCTGGATGACGGTCTTGCCGCTCTTCAGCACCTGCGTGTAGGGCACGTGGTGGAACCAGAGGAGGAGATTGTCCGGGGTCGTCTCGATCTCCTCGTACATGGCTGCCACCTCGGGAGGGTACATTCCCGCGTTTCCGGTGCCGTTCTTCACGGTGCGGTCCATGCCGATGCTGTCACTGTCGGCGCGGGTCCACTGGCCCCAGCTGTTGCCATCTTGGCTCCTCGGGCTGCGCTTGAGGTCAGTCTAATGAACGGTTTGCAGGGGTTTTTGTTTGTGTTTACCTAGGGCCGTAGTGAGCATAGAGAATGTCGGTCAAAGTTTGGATGCCAAGGTTGCCGCTGTAGTTCTCGTAGGCGGGCCAGCTCTCCATGGACATGTTGGTGATGGTGTCGACGACCTTGCGGCTGAGGCCAAAGGTCAGACGCGACCAATCCTGAACAATGGCAACGACGTCGTCAGTGGGGTTCCAAGCCAGTCTGCCATATGCGTAGAGGTTGGACATGGCGAGATGGCTTCCGAGCCAGGTCGAGTTGGCACCGACGTTGACAACACCCGCGTAGCCACCAAGAGGCCTGTTGAGGCGCTTGCCGGACAGAATGTCGCGAACAGGAGAAGGCTGGCCGTCAATGCGCAGGTCAAAGTCGAGAATGGTCTTCCAGAGAGGAGGCAGGTAGACCAAGTGGTCTTGCTGGCCAAGGTACTCTTGGGAGATCTGCAGCTCAATGGCCATGCTGGTTTCCTTGAGGTTGGCGAAAAGGGGAGACACGGGCTCCCGGACCTGGAAGTCAATGGCGCCATACTTGATTTGAACAATGACGTTGTCGTCAAACTGGCCGTCGAGGTGCTTGAAGAACTCAACCTGGGCGTTGGCACGATCGGCATGCCAGTCAGACTCGCTCAGGGTGAGGTGGTCGTAGACAAAGGCTCTGAACATGACGATGCCCTTCTTGGAGCCGTGGTTCTTCAGCTCTCTGGCGAAGAGGTTGGCGCCATCGGAAAGCGTCCTGTTGTAGGTCAGGGGGCCGGGCTGGCCCTCAGAGTTGGCCTTGACGAGGTACCCTGCCATGTCAGGGATGCGGGCGTAGAGTTCGTCCGTGATATTGCCCCACCAGGCAATGACGGTATCGTCGAGGGGGTCGAACGTCGGGAGGTTACCAAGAGTCTGGGGCGAGGCGAAGTTGAGGGAGATGCCGACCTGAACTCCCCAGGGACGGAAGGCGTCGGCGATCCTCTTCAACCCGTCCATATTCTCCGGGGAGAGGAGGATGGGGTTGGCGTTGACATTGTTGACGATGATTCCATTGATGCGGGCTGAGGCTAGCAGGCGGCCATATTGGGAGACGCGGGTCATGTCGGAGACGACCTTGAGGTTCTCGAAGAAGATGGAGACACCTCCGTACTAGTCAAGTTAGACGTATGTCATAGTAAGGGGATGATGGGAGAGGAGACAACTTACACCGCGCTCAATGCTGCCGTGAGTTCCCGTACCATCCATGTTGTCCCATTGGTTTGCCCATCGGACCGGGGCAGAAGGGTTGGTCGCGTAGGTAATCTCCGTGAAGTTGCCCTGGGCCAACAGGCTCAGGTACTCGAAGGCGCCGTAAAGGGCCCCCCTCTCGTTCTGACCCAGGATCTTGACACTATCGCCCTTGAAACTTAGCCAGAAGCCATCCTCAATGAGGTCGGCATCGACACCTTCGCTTCCACAGGCCGCAATGTAGTCATCGAGAGTCGCCACTACGACAGAAGAACCGGCGCAGGCATCGTCACCAACAGAGACCTCCTTGCCGAAGATACCCTGGTAGCCCTTTGTCAACTCGGACAAGGCAGAGGAGATCGGGCCGTTCTCGGTCGCATTGAGACCGACGATGGTAGAGGGTAGGGAGTCAGCGACGCCGGCAGACTTGCAGTCGGGCAGCCTGGCGTAGCGCAACCAGCCATCGAGGCCGTCCTCAGCGGTGACAAGGCCGAGGGCCGCGAGGAAAAGAAGCTTCCACATGATTTTCGCTACGGGTGGAAAGAGGTGCTGCTGGCGAGAAGAACCAGTTGCAGAAGCACTTGCTTCACAGCTCGCTCCATGGTAGGATCGGAAAAGGGCCGGCTTATAAGAAGGGAACCCACCTCACCACCCGTGTCGTGGTAGAGGTGATTTTCAGATCTGCGGAAATCACAGGAATAGGAAAGTCTCCCATGACACAGACCCTGTCGATTCCCATCCCATCATCCATGAGAACGCCGCCGGGGCCACAGGCTGGTGCGACTGTACATTCAGGCTAAAAGGGAGCTCGACATATTCATCCATGGCTTGGGTGTGGAGGAGAGGTACGGATACCACCCAGGCACCGAGCGACGATTAGGTTCAACCCAATCTGCGTGCGAGCATCTCTAGACGGGACCCATTGGCAATGTGACCCTTCATTTAAGTCTAAACGGCGACATGTGGAGAAATTGGCACTAGCGGAGGGAAACAAGAACAGGAAGAGGGAGCATGAGTTCTTGGACGGGGGAGTTTTTCCGAACCAGAGGGGAATGGGAACTGCTTAGTTCGCGGTTGATGTCAATTGTAGAAAACAGGATGGAGCTGAAGCTAGCCCACTGTGCATAGCCTGCGACAAAGCTCCGAATCATTCAGAGAGAGCTTGGGTGAGGCCACGAGCTGAGGAATGTGAAAGAAACGACAACGTAAACAAACTTGGCAAAAAATGAGGAGAAGAAGCAAGACAACATCAAGATCTACTTCCCCGCACGGGGGAATGGTAGAAAAGCGCGGGGTGAGTCGGGGAAAGGAGGGTGCGGAGCAGCTCGACAACTAGACGACAAAAGACGAGGCAAAACAGGCGTTGGCACTGGTTCAGGTATTGCGGACAGCACTTGACCGGCTTGGGCTATCCTTCCCTCTCAATCTTCCCCTCGCCTTGCTCCAGTCTACATCAGACAGATCCTGGGGGTCGTTGGTCACCAGTTCTGGCCTGTAATCCCGCTCTCTGCCATGTCATGCAAGCGATGATTGCCTGACTCAAGTTTCGCACGCTCGAGAGACCTCTGACCGGTGTTTCTCAGTGGGCTTCGGTAGAGCATACCCCGACCCCGAGCCCCCCGACCCGAACGATCGAATCCATCGACCCCATCATCGAAGCCGCCGCCCCGGTTGTCGAACGACGCCAGACGCCCTCGTTCATGGATCCCCTCAGCAGTAGTTCGTCATCGCGTCTTGGCCCTGGCTAAATACCCCTTAGCTCTCTCATTCATCCGCCTGCGCCTCGGACCCAACTTACAAGGCACGGTACCCACAACCACCCTCACAGATGGCTTCCCACTGCCGCCGTAGATACCCCTTGGCTGAGGCCATCCTCACATGACTGTGCAGCAAGATACCTCGACCCCGGCGTCCTGCTTGCTCGGCCCTGTCCCAAACTTGACGCCGTGCGTGATCTTCCTGATCACCCGCACCTGGTTGCGGTCGTACAGCCCGTACATGTCGTGCGTCGGACACGGACGGTGCCTCGCCTTTTGGAGCCGGAGAGGCTGCTTCGCAATGCCGTTGCCGAATTGTCCGCACGTCGTGTAGCCCATGCCCGGACCGCAGGGGACGGCGATCTGACCCCAAACACACTTGCACTTGACGTGTCTGTAGATGAAGACTTCGCACATGTGTTTTCGTTTCTTTATGAATCTTGCGTTAAAGAAAAAGAAGAAGAAAGCACTGACTTGCAGTCTCTCCAGATCTTGATTTGGTTTTGCTGGTCCTCGAGGGTGAAGTTCGTAGGGAGAATTAATTACGCAGCCAAATGTGAGAGAGACGTGAAGGAATAGCAGAAGTAGGCTGCGTTACTTACCAAAATGGGAAGCGACAGGATTCTGATGCGATTTTGGCCTCACCGAACATCACGAAACGCTTACCCACACACAAACATACACTGCCGCCAGTGCCGAAGTCATCGAGTACTGTATCATGCTCGTATTCTACGGATGTTTTCTAATGTATCGACAGTGCGGCGCGCCAGACCTTGACCCAGAACCGACTCACACATGCAAGGCCGTTTGCCACGCTATTTCGGTGATTGCGTCAACGGCATATCCCCATCACGAAGAGTACCGCTCTCTCCGGTGCCAAAGTTGTTGTCGGAGTAGTCTCCCGACTCCACCATTCGGGCCAAGAGACTCTCGATCCTCAGCGTCGTCTGCTCGAGTGCCTCCAGCCTACTGCCAACGTCATGTATGTCCTCACTACCGGTGAACGACCCGCGCAACTTGGACGAGACGCCCGGGAACATCGAATCTCTCCTAAGAGGCGACTTCTTCCGCATCGTGTCGTTCGTAATGGACCTTGTGAATTGCCGTCGGATCAGGTGGTGGGTGAGCTCGTCATCCACCGCGATTTCCTCTTCCACGGACTCGGGTGGCGGTAGGTCAAACACGGCTCTTATGTCGCGATGGGCTGTTATGCGCCACTTTTCCCAGAACCACTGTTTTACCCTCGGGTACAAGGTCAGTCCACTCGACTTTGGCTTCTCTGGCTGCGGCGGCGGCCAAAGAATTCTGCGTTCCGCCACGGCGATGATGAGTAGCAGTGGAAGGTTGACCAGCCGAACGCTTGCTACATGTATCTTATGGAACCATCGCGGGGTGAGGATGAATTTGAGAGGGATGAGAACAAAAACAGCCAGGATGTTGAAGGGAGGCTGGTACGCGAAGATCGCATCACCCTTGACACCCTCTAATGTCAAGACGGCCTTCCGGAACTGTATTTCAGCAGTTGCGTTCTTAACGATGGTGCTGAAGGTGTTGGATAGCATCGATACAAGGATGGTGAGGAACAAAGTGTTGCCCAGGAAAGCAAACGCAACCATCAAGACAGGGCCTAGAATCGGGTGGAATTGGACCTGCAGGGATTTCTCCAAGTTAGAAGTCGTACTTGACAATACGCTGACGTGAAGCTTACCGATTCATTGATGCCCGTTCCGTCGAGACCGAACCAAATCCACAGCATCCACTTACTAATAGTACTAGAGTAGTTGTTAGCAATTTTGAAGTGTAGGCTTCTTGCCGGCCAGACTTACACTGGAGGGTGTGTGCCTTCGCCAAGCCAAAGAAGAGACAGAAGAAACCCGCCAAAGCACCATGCCGACAAGAACGTCAGGAGAACAAAATCAGACATCATGGAGCGCAGCGAGAGGAACACAAGGTTGTCCGATAGCAGGTTGAAAGCTAGTCGCGGGACCAGCACCGGTGCACCCATCGCGAGTACGTCTAGTGCCTGTTGTTTAGGGACAAGCTCCCCGACACGAGCGCCATGTATGCGTAGAACCGCATACACGATATATATGCCGATGAAACCTACGTCGAGGAAAGACCACAGGTTTTGCGTGTACACGTGCCTGTCAGAAAGTCAGCGTCATTAACATTTTTATAGAGAGGTCTTTTGTGCTCGTACCATCCATGCTCCAGAATCGTTGCAAACTGGTCGAGGGACCAACCAAAGGCATAGACGGCGAAGCAGCCTTCCAGAACAGTGAATGTCTCTGGTTTACGCTCGGCCATAACGAAGAGATAGAGGACGAGTAGGATCAAGAACTGGAAAACCTCCAGAATGTTCCGGGTACGGGGCACAAGAAGCCGGTACTGGTCAAGCAGTGGGCCCTCGCGAGGGTTGTACAGCGATATGGGCTTGAGCTTGTAGTGATCGGGAATGATATCCATGAAGCTGGACGGGGTGTAGACAATGCGGCCTTCGTAAATGGCGTCGACGCTGAAGACTAGTCAGTGCCTCTTCAACGCTCTTGTCCGGAAGACGGGTATTTACACTTTCTGACAGGGGGTGGCACTGAGGAAGTATTTACTCTCAGTCAAGATGGCAATCTCAAGCGAGGGAAGCATGCGGTTGTAGCTCCTATAGGTTTCCGTTGATGCTGCCTCGCGAATCCCGGCCGGGGCCATTTGAAAGGGCTCAAAACCGGCAACCAAGATGTGTGCAAGGAGCACCAACCCATCGGGTCCTTCGTTGTCTTCACTGAAGCGTCTCAAGATACGTGTTGCCACCAGCTCGCAAAGTGCTGCGCGACTGTAGTTGACATTTTGCCGGTTGTTCAAGTGAGACTGTTCATAAAGAAATTGAGCGCGGTTGACAAGCAAGCAATAAACTGGCAAGCGAGAGTCAGCTTGAGCAACTCCGCAGAAGCGTCCCCCACTTCAGCTGCAGCGCTAGTCTCGACTTCTGCGAGGCACATGACAGAGTCGGGGCAGAGAGGCGAGTGTGGACATACCGATAGATATATCGTCAAGTTCATACAGTTTGTCGACGAGCGGGCGGACGACGGCGATGTTGATTCTCACATCACGCAGCTGCTCCAAACTCAGGTGGTCTTCGACAATAGAAGTAATGTCTCGTCGGATGCGGTGAATATTTGTATAAACCGGCAAGTGGCTGTGAGGGTTAGCCATGCAGCCGTAGAGCGGAACTTGAATCTCGGAGCTGTGGCTGGGACGGTTCCGTTGCAGCAACGGCCTTTCTTCCGGCAGCTGGAGGCGCGTCCGCCGGTTGCGCTCCGACATAGTACGGCCTTGCTGTTATACCAGTCGCGGAGCTAAGGTAGGATATGTATGCAGGGGGAGGGCGATGTGGCATGCGACCAAGGCTAAGGTTGGGGGCCAGCAAAGACGGTTGACAGGCGGGTAGAGGCGAGTCTGTACGTAATAGTTGGGCCGAAGGAAGGTTTGACAGGAGAAGTTGATGTTGTCCGTGAGAAGACCAAACAATGCACCAAACTCGACGGGGACCGACGGGGCAGAAGTGGCAAGGAAAGGGGTGCCCCCCACACTCGCGGGCCACAATCCGGAGTGGATTATTGGATGCTAGCTGGCCCAGGAGGTTGATAACTGCGGGTGAGTTACAGCAAGGTCAGTTGCTCAGTTTCTTGGAAGGATCTGCGGCAGGGCCACGGCGAGACACGATGTGTGTCGCTGTCTGGCAAGAGAGACAAAAGAGGGAGAGAGCGCGAAGTTGATACAGATAGTCGTAGATAGGACGTGGATCTAGCGGGACAGGGGGGCATTTGGGCTCCACGTCGTGAAGGGGGACGATAAAAGAAGAATGCCGTCTGGTTTAATACAAGCCTCGAGCCCGACAAGGTGGTCCGGGGTAAGGAGGTAACGTCCAAAGGTGTTGCGTAGGTATCCGTCAAGTATTGTGGAATGCCTGTGCTGCTAACTCAAACTAGCCGTCACAAGGTGAATCAAGGATGCCGAGCAGCAGTATCAGTAGCAACGCGCAAGCACGACGTTGGATGTCGGTACCGTCTATTGTTCTGAGATGAACATGTCTCTGCTCTGTATCTTGACCGAGGTATGGTGACGGTAACGGCGGTGGAAAAGAAAGGAACCGGGAGCACTGACTCGGGAGCCTGGCAGGAAAATTGGTGGCCCTAGTCTGCAAATCCTCAATAACGATTTTGGACTGTCGTCTTCTGATCCGGAGTTTCATGAATGACGACACGCACGCCACGCGAACCCCTGTCGTGTTCGGACTGTCTCGTCCTGAGCTGTGCAAATTGGTGCAGAATGCGGCGCAGGGTGTTGCTGTCACTGCTGTGTTTGGTGGTGGGCGCCAAGGTCTCAGTGGTGGGTTGGGATTGCTGCCAGCTGGAGGGGGGAACAGTTGCATGTCAGGTTGTGCACCGTCATCCCACCTAGGTATCCCACCAAAAAAAGATCACCATCCGGGGCAATTCTAGGCTAGGTACTCTTATGTAGCATATTCTTCAGCCAAAGCATGGCACTCCTTGCAGTCAGCGGCCTGAACCCAACATCTTGGGCCACGAAGCTGAGTTGGCGTCTGCCCTCGCACCGTGCACTCACTGGGTGGTTTTATCCCGCTGTGCACCGAATGCCCTCTCTTGGTTCCACTTATAGCCCGCGCTAGCCGCTCATACACAACCAAGCTTAGCAGCATCATTACCTAAGGCACCTCTGAACAGTCGGTATGCATACGGTAAGGTAGTATCTCGCTGTGATCTTGCGGTCAACCACAGTGGGGCTAGGCACCTTCACGTGTTACCGCTCTCCATAGGCGCTCCCGGAGCAGAGAAACGCCGAAGCGGGAGGCATTGAACGGCACAGCATCGTGGCCCAAACTGACCACTGTTCACCACCTGCTTGCGGCTTGTTCGCAGAGCCTGACCATGGGAATGTTTGGTATTCTTTCATTTTGGGATAGGTATGGTAAGCTACGAGTTTCATCATCGATGCCTCCATTCATCCATCCGTTGCGTCTTTCCTTTACGCCTTGCGTGTCTCATCAATTTTTGTCCCCTCAGTCCTGCCTAGTGTCCCTAAAGATACCATAGGACTAAGGATTCTGCACAATCGTCGTCGTAGTAGATAACCCCCTTTACAGGCCTTTACAGGTTGACAGACTTGCGGAAGTTGTCACCGGCGTAGATGGCGTTCTCGCCGAGCTCCTCCTCGATGCGGAGGATCTGGTTGAGCTTGGCAAGACGCTCGGAACGGGCCGGGGCACCCGTCTTGATCTGGCCAGCCCGGATACCGACAACGATGTCCGAGATGGTGACGTCCTCAGTCTCACCGGAGCGGTGAGAGACCATGACGCCCCAGCCGTCGGCGTAGGAGTCCTTGGCGGCCTGGATGGACTCGGTGAGGGTACCGATCTGGTTGACCTTGAGGAGAAGGGCGTTGGCAGCCTTGAGCTCAATGGCCTTCTTGATACGCAGGGGGTTGGTGACGGTCAAGTCGTCACCGACGATCTGGATGTCCTGGGTCTTGTAGAAGTAGCTCCAGGCCTCCCAGTCGTCCTCAGCGAAGGGGTCCTCAATGGAGACAATGGGGTACTTCTTGCTGAGGTCCGAGTACTGCTGAGCAAGCTGCTCGTAAGTGATCCACTTGGTGGGGTCGCTGTCGGGGTTCTTGAAGTCGAGGTCGTACTTCTTGGCGTCCTCCTTGTAGAATTCGCTGGAGGCAACGTCCATGGCAATGTTCATCTTGCCGGTGTAGCCAGCCTGCTCAATGGCGTCGGTGATGAGCTCAAGGGCCTCCTCGGCGGTCTGGATATCGGGGGCAACACCACCCTCGTCACCGACGTTGCCGGCGGACTGGCCATACCTCTTCTTGGCCAGACCCTTCAGGGCCTGGTAGACCTCGGCACCCTGGCGGAGGGCCTCGGAGAAGGAAGGAGCAGCACTGGAGAACAAGTGTTAGTCCACGCGAGCAGGTAGTCTGCAGTGCAGCCTAGTACGAGGACAACTTACGAAGGAACGATCATGAACTCCTGGAAAGCAAGGCGGCCACCAGCGTGGGAACTGTAGAGCTTGTCAGTACATATCGTCCAGGATTGGCGCGGGATATGCTTACCCTCCGTTGAGGACGTTCATGAAGGGGACGGGCAGGACGTAGGGCTTCTTGGTACCGGCCAGGTCGGAGACATGGGCATACAGGGGGACGCCCTAGATGCGGTCAGCTTGGGGAAACTCGAGCAATATGTTGCACGGGAGCTAACCTTCTCAGCAGCACCAGCCTTGGCAACGGCCAAACTGACACCCAGAATGGCGTTGGCTCCCAGCTTGGTCTTGTTGGGGGTGCCATCGAGGTCGATGAGGAACTTGTCGACCTTGGTCTGGTCCTTGACATCAAGGTTCTCCTTGATCAGGGCAGGGGCGATGACGGAGTTGACGTTCTCGACAGCCTTGGTGACACCCTTGCCACCCCACTTGGACTTGTCGCCATCGCGGAGCTCGCAAGCCTCGTGCTGACCTGTTTCATAGATATCAGCCTTCTGTCATTTTCCATCTCTTGATGTGTTTGGGACGACGACGTGAACGGCGACGACGGCGAAGACGTACCAGTGGAGGCACCGGAGGGGACGATGGCGCGGTGAAGGCCAGTCTCGGTGACAACGTCAACCTCGACGGTGGGGTTGCCACGGGAGTCGTAGACGTAGCGAGCGTGGATCTTGGTGATGGCCATGATGTCTCGTTGTATGATGGATTATTCCTAACAGAGGAAGGGGGGAAGAGGTCAGTAAGGGTCGTGGGGGGAGGGAAGGACTTTATATTGGCAGAAGGCAAGAAGAGGGACGAGTGGGTGAGTCAACAATGTGATAGGACCGATTGGGGGAAATTGCTAAGCTTGCGAGGACTTGCTCCTTGACCGGACAGAAAGAATTGCCTCAGGGTGGGATGGCATGGTGGGGTGATTCCCTCGCAAGCTTCCAGAGCTCCCAGCTGTTTGGAGCCCATGGCCAGTTGCAGCGGGGTGAAACGCATGATGAAGATGACTTACTTGTGACGGGTTGGATGATAGAATCAAGAGTTGTCCTCAGCAATTGTCTGCGTGTGGAAAACGAGGTTGAAATGATGGAGGAGAGGTGATGGTGACAAGACGAGGAGGGGGGGGAAGGCAAGACTAGAGCAAGACCACACGGTGGGAGCAGGTGTTTTGGAGGGGTCCTTTCCCTTGCCCAACCCCACCTGAGGTGAGGACCGTGAGGTACCTGAGGTAGGGTATCATAAGTTACTTAACTTAGGTGCCCCGGTGCGCCTGCCGTTGCTCGCACCTTCCAATCTTTTGGTGGGTATCCCGGACGTCACCCAATCGCTCTTTTTCAAGGTGAGGCGGGGCATCTGCCCTGTTAGAGCGCTACATGGATGCCAAGCTCCAAACAGGCCAAGAGCATCACAAAACAGCTTCGTTTCAAAGTACTTGCCTTAGCACCGCCTCATCCACGACAAAAAGCTGGACGAGCTGTGTCCTGCGGTCTTGGTGAGGGTCACCGCTTCTCAACAAACTGAGCAATGAGAACGCTGCCCTTGCTCATACTGCGACCAAAATCCAAGTTCAGACACACGTTTCTGCCTTTGTCTCTCTTCATTGGGCCACTCTTCTATTTTTGTACCCCAGCCCCCGAGTCCGGCCTCAATTTTCTGACTTTTGACTCTCCCGTGTGCTTCAGGTCAAAGACTTTGGCTCTGGACAAAACAATCCCCGTTGCCATGTCTTGACTGTCGGCCGTTTGGGTCAGGTCTTGGTCTGATTGGCTAGCCACACAAACCTACTCTTGCGCAACGGCTCTCCAACTGTCCATTGTCGGGTTCGAGTGGACTCTGTCTGGGCTAGATGCGTCAAAGTGCGCCCTCGACAATCTACAAGTCCCGATGTCCCGATCTTAAAGACGTTCATTTCCCGGCACCCCGGTCCAGCAACGAGCTGTTTATTGATCAGAAACGACATCCATACCCCACTGGAGGTCTGGGAAAGGCTGCCCGCCATGGATTATCCCGAGGATGTTGCTCGGAATAGCCAGGTGCTAATGCGGTTCTTCCCGATCATGGATCCCGACCCCGTCACCCCGTCCAGCAAAGCCGGGGTAAGACGTATGTAGGCAAGTCATCCTGTATGTAATAGAGTGCCATTTAGCTCTTGCTCCGGAGCTTAATGCAAATGACGTCCCTCACTGTCCCGGACACCGGTTCGTGGCGTGGAGACTGCGATTCGGCCGGCCGATTCTAGCTGAAGATTCCTACTTCCGCATCTCTGCCCGCTTTCGCCCGAGTGTAAGTCACACAGCATACTGTTGCGGGAAATCGCTTTATCTTGATCGGGCCAGATGGGAATTCAAGTTATCTAGTCCATCTGGCTTGCACAACCCCGGTTGTGCCCTTGGTTGTTACTTTGGCTTCCTCCGTTGAAAAACTCCAGACCCGGATGATTCCAACGCAGGGATATTATCGATTCTACTTACATCTCTGGAGGCTCTGGATACTGTGATTGAGTGGCATTGACCTAAGTCTTCCCAATCTCACCGAAGTTACCAAAGCAGACGCCATATCTCTTTTGCACGCTCATCCGTGTTTCTTCTTACTGCCGGGGCAGTCGAAACATAAAAGAAAGGTACCCTCCATGCTGGACACCCTCAGTGTCAAGCTCAATAAGCACCGATCGCCGTGTGCCTGATGCTTCGGCCAAGGGAATTGTTGGTTGGACAAAAAAGCTCAGAGCTTCGGAAGCTCGTCCCCTAGGCTGCGTGCGTAGTTTTGCAAGAGAAGCAAGCATGGAACTAGTGCAGTAGAGTCGAAAACATTCGCAACTGCTTTGAACTGTTGCACCGTACTCTCGAGAACATCGGCGAGATGATAGTTGCCGCAACGGATCCAAGGTGAGCCCTCTTATCTCCAGCAACCAATTCGTTCAAACGACCATGGGCCGGCCATTCGGTAGGAAGAATGACAGCTCCCCCCGTCTTCCCAGCCTGGGCAGCTTGAAGAACGCACGGGACGGCAGTGGGCCGATTCGGGTGGAAGCGGCTTGGTGTGGGTCCCGGTCGCACAGCGTGGACGGTGACAGGACAGCGAAGAACGGTGACCTGAGGCAGAGGATGTGGAGAGACTTTTTTCACCATCCCGGCGGCCTGCGCGGCCTGCACCGGCGCCTTGCAATGCTGAGACTGGAGCATTGCCTTGAGCTGGAAGCTTCCCCTCAGTACCTGACTTGCCATTACGGATACCTACCACTGGACCCCGCGCCTCCGTTACATGTACCTTCCTTAGACGTGCATAGCGCATAGCATCAGCAGCAGGGTGCCTAGACGCAGACTGACCGCTTTCGTTCCTTTGCGGCTTTGGCCCCCGCCCCCTCCTTCAATGGCTCTCCGTTGCGTTACAAAACGTACGGTCGACCTGACCTCACGCATCATCAACCAGACACAGAGACCTGTTGCGCGCATGTAAGTGTTCCCCGTCTCCCTAGACCAAGAGCTGCCTTCCAGCTTTGCTTGCAACGGAATGTTCATTGACTAACCAGATTGAACAGTCCTTACCAATTACGAAACTATAACTCCTTCGCAACCCAGACCTCTGCGCCCCGAGCTACCCCTCCTCGACGAAGCGTCCGACTACAGACCCCCCAGCGCATTGCTGCTACACGACACTGCTCCTTCAAAAGAAACATGTGCAAGCACGGAGAAACCGGCGGCGGCGGCACGCTGAACTACCCGCGCGAACTGCTGCCTACCAACGTTGTCCCGCGCCACTATGATCTCACGCTCGAGCCCAACTTTGAGACGCTCAAATTTGACGGTCTGGTCAAAATCGACTTCGACGTCGCTGAGGACTCCAATACGGTTTCCCTGAACACCCATGAGATCGAGATCAAGCATGCCTCATTGTCTCTGTCGGCTGGCGGCCAGCAAAAGGGCCTTAGCGACCCTGTCATCACCTACGACGAGGCGAAGCAGGTTCACAGCTTCGAGTTCAAGGACAAGTTGACTAAGGGTGAAAAGGGTACCCTCGAGATCAAGTTCGTGGGTGAACTCAACGACAAGATGGCCGGTTTCTACCGCTCATACTACAACAAGCCTGATGGCACCAAGGGTATCATGGCCACCAGTCAGATGGAGCCTACTGATGCCCGCAGAGCGTTCCCCTGCTTCGATGAGCCGGCTCTCAAGGCGGAGTTCACTGTTACCCTGATCGCCGACAAGGCCTTGACCTGCCTTTCCAACATGGATGTGGCTGAAGAGAAGGAGCTTCCTTCCGGAAAGAAGGCTGTTCGTTTCAACAAGTCCCCTGTCATGTCGACGTACCTTGTGGCATTCATCGTAGGAGAGCTCAACTACATCGAGACGAACGACTTCAGAGTGCCTATCCGAGTCTATGCCCCGCCTTCCGAGGACATCGAGAGAGGTCGGTACGCTCTGGACATTGGTGTCAAGGCTTTGGAGTTCTACGAGAAGGCCTTTGGTCTCCCCTACCCCCTGCCCAAGCTTGATCAGGTTGCCATTCCAGATTTTGCTGCTGGTGCTATGGAAAACTGGGGTCTTGTTACTTACCGCACTGTTGAAGTCTTGTTTGACGATAAGACTAGTGGTGCCGCCGCCAAGGAGCGCGTTTCGACGGTCATTACCCATGAAATCGCCCATCAGTGGTTTGGAAACATTGTCTCTCCAGACTGGTGGCACGCTCTCTGGCTCAACGAAGGTTTCGCCGAATTCGCCTCTCGGTACTCCATGAATGCCTTCTTCCCTGAGTGGAAGCTTAAGGAGTCGTTCGTTCGTGAGGACCTTCAGGCTGCTTTGGGCCTTGACGGTCTCAGAAGCAGTCACCCAATTGAGGTTCCCGTGCACAAGGCTGAAGAGATCAACGAAATCTTCGATAGCATCAGCTATGCCAAAGGCTCTTGTGTCGTTCACATGATCTCGGCGTACCTCGGAGAGGAAGTGTTTATGGAGGGCGTCCGGAAGTACCTCAAGCGTCATGCTTGGGGTAATGCCACTACCAATGACCTGTGGCAGGCTTTGAGCGAAGCTAGCGGCAAGGACGTTGGCTCTATTATGAACATCTGGACCCAGAATGTTGGATATCCGGTTGTCTCCGTAACAGAGTCAGGCAAGTCAATCAGCGTAGAGCAGCACCGCTTCTTGACAACGGGAGACGTCAAGCCCGAGGAAGACAAGGTTCTCTACCCTATCTCCCTGAATGTTCGTACGAAGGGTGGCGTCAACAAGGATCTGATGCTCACGACGCGTGATGCCAAATTCGAGATTGACGACGCCGAGTTCTTCAAGATCAATGCCGACTCTACCGGCTTCTACCGGACCAAGTACGCCATTGACCGACTTGAGAAGCTCGGTAACGCCGCTGAGCAACTATCCGTTCAGGACAGAGTTGGTATCGTGGCTGACACATCCGCTCTTGCGACTTCGGGCTATCAAAAGACCTCGTCGTCTTTGAGCCTGTTCAAAGCTCTTAGCAACGCAGGCGAGGCCGAATATCTTGTTTGGGACCAGATCTTGACCCGTCTGGGCTCCATCAAGATGGCCTGGATTGAGGATGACGCCATCGTGGAGAAGTTGACCGACTTCCAGCGGAACATTGTTAGCAGCATCGCCCACAAGCTTGGTTGGGAGTTCTCCAGTAACGATGGCCATGTCGAGCAGCAGTACAAGGCCCTCACGTTTAGTGCAGCTGGCATGTCTGGCGACGAGAAGGTTGTCGCTGCGGCGAGGGAGATGTTCGAAAAGTTTGCCGCAGGAGACAAGACGGCGATCCATCCCAATATTAGGAGCTCAGTCTTCTCGATTGTCCTCAAGTTTGGCGGTGAGAAGGAGGTATGTTGATGCTGAAGTTCCTTCTCTAAGAGTTTTGCTAATTGGGGCCTTAGTACGATGCCGTACTCAAGTACTACAAGACCGCCGAGACGGCCGATGAGCGCAACAGCGCGCTGCGCACTCTCGGACAAGCCCGTGACCCTAAGTTGAGACAGCGCACCCTGGACCTTTTGCTAAATGGCGAGGTTCGCGACCAGGACATTTACATTCCTATTGGCAGTCTTCGTTCGACCAAGGGTGGCATCGAGGCACTGTTCGACTGGTTACAGACCAGATGGGACGACATCTACACTAAATTCCCTGCTCAGTCGTCCATGATCGGTAGCATCGTTAGTTACTGCACAAGTGGTCTCACGAAGCAAGAACAGTTGGATCAGCTTGAAAAGTTCTTCGCCGAAAAGGAGAAGAAGGGGTTCGTCAGAGCGCTCTCGCAGTCTACTGACTCCATCAAGGCCAAGATTGCGTGGACTTCCCGTGACACGGAGGACCTGCGCCAATGGCTAGGTCTTTGAGCCATGTTGTTTCGTTCCTTAGAGCAGAGAAAATCTATCCTCCAAGGGCAGGAACAAACAAGTTAAAATAAACATATCAATGTAATTGACGAACAATACGACTCTTCACTCCATGCACTATCCTCTCCAACGTCCAAAGTCGTGATGGTTATCCGTGGCTCCGTGTGCCATGAACATTTTTTGATTGTGGACCCCTCCGGTCGACGTAGCGCACCCAGTGCGGAATTTAAAACTCGACGACGATGACTACCAGTGCTGCTCTGCCATACGCCATACCTCATCATCCAAGGTGACTGCAAAATCTAACACAAAGAATCACGTCCGCCAATCTCACCAGGCAGGTCAAGCGGAAGAAGGAATTATAGACTGATAGTCCACTACGCTGCTCTCTACCCCAAAAATGACAACGCCCCGATTCGCTTCTTCGTGGCAAGTACGCGCCGAGGCCGGCGAGCCATTCGCCGTGATCCGCGTCCGCGACCTGCAGGGCACGCTCAAAGCCGGGACCGACGCATGGGGCCGCCTGAACAAGGCGCAGCCCGTCATTGTTTCGGCGGAGCTCTCAATGGCGCAACCATTTGACGGCGCCTCGGCGTCGGACACGGTCGGCGACGACACGGTGCACTACGGCCACCTCGCCAAGGCCCTCCTCGCCGGCCTGGACGCGGTGAACTCACTCGTCGAAAAGCGCGGTAGCCCCTTCAGCCTGTGGTTTGCGCTGTTGCACGTCTACGAGCACCTGGCGGGGTACCGTCTGGACCACAGCGAGCGGACGCCCGAGGACGTTGTCCGCACGAACCAGGGCGGGACCCTGCGGGCCCAGCTGGAGAGGGTAAGGTTCATGGACATCACGCTCACGCTGCCCAAGGGATCGCTTCTGGGCGACGGCGTGAGCATCTCGCGGGCCATGGTCTTTGAGGCCGCGAAGCCGGTGGTCTGGAGCGAGACACTTAGGATTCACGGACTGCGGGTGCCGACGCTCATCGGCGTCAACCCCAACGAGAGGAAGGCGAAGCAGGTCGTCAAGACCGACGTGGAGATTGAAGGGTACAGGAGCAACGCCGTGGGGGAAGACGACATATATGTCGCCCTTGAGTCCGCTGTCGTCAAGGTTAGTCTGTTTGCCATTCCTGTCCTATTCCCTCCACTTTGACCACTCATTGTTCCCATGTTCAACGTCAGAGGCCCAATACTGACACTTTCGAAAGACGCTTGAAGAGTCGTCCTTCGAGACCCTCGAAGCTCTCGGGCCCGCCATCACTAGCAGCATCAGGCGAGACCTCGCAACCTCTGGCGAGTCCTTTGGCCTTCCCGGCTGGGTGATCAAGGTTGTCATGGAGAAGCCGACGGCCATCACCATGGCCGCAGCCTCGCGCGTCGAGTACAGAGAACTCCCGGGAGCAAAACCTTAGTGAAGCATTGAAATTCTACAAGAAGAAGCTCTAAGGCTGATCTTCTATGCTGTTGTGTCGGCAATATGTGCTCCAACTTTTTCTTCCACGCAGTGCGTAGTCGTCGGCATTTGCTCGTGTTGAACAACTCCCCTGCATCCTAAACCAACATCTCGTACCCTTCTCTGCTCATGCCTCAAATTTGTCACACTGCGGGACATCCCCGCTGGTAATGTCCCGGATGAACTCGGGATCAGGGTCGAAGAGCATGACGTGGAAGTGCTCGACGGCGTGGACGGACTTGAGACTCCGCCAGTTCTTGAACCAAATGACCTAGATACCATGGTTAGCTTCAAAGTCTGGAGTGCCATCTAGAGAGACCTTGAAATGCAAGTCCCGAGGAAGACAACCCGGAAACCAATGCGAACTCACCGTGTCAGGCTTTGTCCTTGCCCGGAACGTCCTTTCCACAAAGGTATCAATCTCCCCCCTGGCCCCTTCCGTCAGATCTCCCGTCGCCGGGTTCTCCTCGAGCTCAAACTTTGTCCAGACAACAAGATGCACGATCCGGGAATCGATCCCGTACGGCCAGTCGTTATACAGCACCTTCCAATCACCCTCCGTCTCGAACGGCTTCCCTACAGCCTCAAGCGGCTCCTGCCATCCCAGCCGGTGCTTCAAGACAAAGTTCATGACGCTCCCGTGCTCCTTGATCAGATGATGAATAAACAGCCGGTATCGGCGTAGCTCCGATGGCACGCGCTGGAACAGGTCGAGCCGGTTCGTCGCCACAAGCCGGCGGACCTCGTCCCATGTCTGCGGGCGGTAGGCGCCGTCCGGAGCGCGCAGGATCCCAACGTCCTTGGCCGAGAGGTTGCGGAGGCCCTCCGGGCACTCGTCCGTGCGGCTCTCGGGCGGGACGTTGACCTGCCAGTACGGCAACGTCGAGGTCTCGGAGAGGCTTCCCATAGTGGTCGGACTGAATGAGTTAAGGCTAGCCAGGGCAGTTACAACAGAATAATGGTGGGAGGGGATGTTGTCCCAAAGCAAAAAGGGATTATCAAGTGTATCCGTGTCGCAAGTGTATCCGTGTCGTTTGTCGACGGCGCGCAGGACACACGATCGCAGGGCAATCCACAGTTGTCAAAGGAATGAGACAGCGAATTAGACCTCCCTGCCGGATGGGGGTGGGCCTGCCCTATTAAGCTCCTATTGCACTCCGTATTATGAACAACAAGTCTTCCTGTTCGGGGAACCGATTCAAAGAAGGACTGAAAGTTCCCAGGTCGGCGGCAGCAGCACTGTCCATGGATTGACGCGTAACGACGTAAATATCTCGGTCGGCAAACGGCAGCCAGCAAGGTATAATGCACCACACAGATACACACGCATAAAGCAAGCATCCCGCGTTCGCTGCAAGGCCCCGGTGCAGGACCAGGAGACCCTCTTGCAAGGAGGCGGGCGCGCATTCTTGCTTTGCAACTTTCTTTTTTTCCTTTGTCTCACCGCTAGTCGGCGCCGGTCGGGATGTTCTGGACCTCTCCACACGGAACTGCAGGTTGGAGTTTCCGCGGACCGAGTGGACACACAGGAACGGCCTGGCAGTGTACCTCAAAATTCACATCCAATCATGATCAGCTGGACGGTCAAGTCAATGGTTGATGAAACAGACTACGCAGTGTTGCCTTATTAAAATACTATCGACTTTGTTCTACTACTGCCACAGGCATGCAGATGCCACCTTTTTGGGGGAGGAATGGTTTTTGGTTTCTATTATCCCATCACGCTTTCAGACTACCATCTCAGGATGCTACAAAAACATCGTGCGACATCTGCTTTGAATTTGCTCAAAATACTACCAGAGCCACTTAGTGCTCAAGCAGACGCAAGCTACCCTGCACAACAACGTTCTCGAGGATAGAACCAGGAGGCACATCAATAGTGCTGCCTTCCGTCGCAACAATGATGACGGTACCCTTGAGCGTCACGCCGCGGCCGAGGTTGACAGCACCGGTAATGGTGAGGTGGTCCAGCTCGATAATCTTGGGAATGGAGGGGATGTGCTTCTGGAAGTCCGAGACCTTCTTGAAGTCGCTGCCCAACTTGATGAGAGGGGCGTCACCGAAGCGGCTAGAGCTCATTTGGAGCTGGCCGTGCTTGACGGTGTAGAGGTCAGACTTGACGAGCATCAGGTCGGAGCAGGTCTTGACGGGCAAGAAGCGGCGACGAGGGACGTTGACACCGTGGGCGTTCTTGAAGTGACGAATGGCGGCACCGACGGCAGTCTCCAGCTGAATGATGGAGATGTCGGACTCGCCCTTCTTGTCACCAGGGATGGTCTTTCCGTTGGGGATGATCTCCATCTCGAGTTCGTCGTTCTCGACAACGCGCTTGATGGCCTTGAGGTTCAGCCAGATGTTGTTGGTGTTGAAGTACTTGAACTTCTTGATGGACTTGAACTCGTTGACGTGCTCCTTGGGCACCTGGGCGATCTCAAGGAGACGGACGGAGCCCTCGTAGTCGATGATGGTACCACCCTTGACGTCGGCCTTGGTCTTGTTGGTCAACTCCATAATGTACTCAGCCTCGGTCTCGACCATGTGCTGGAGGATGCGGAGATCGACGACGGCGCCCAGGTTGTCGACGTTGGAAAGGAAGACAATCTCGATACCACGCTCAATGAGCTTGTCGAGAATGCCAGAGTTGTAGAGCGACTCAAAAACGTCACCGTGACCGGGGGGGTACCAGTCGTTGATGGAGGAGTCGTACTTCTTGGGGACGGGCAGGAGAGAGTCCTTCAGGATTCTGGGGTATCTGGACTGGTTGAAAGTGAGGATGTCGACGTTGTGGCCCTCGTACTTCTTGATGATGGAGGCGGTGTCCTCGTCGGTGTTGAACGAGTTCATGAGGATGAAGGGGACGTTGACATCGTAGGTGCGGTTGAGGTACTCGATCTGGCGGACAGACAAGTCGAGGAAGGACATGCCGTCACGGACCTCGATGACTGACTTAGGACCGACACAACCCATGGAGGTACCGAGACCACCGTTAAGCTTCAGGACGGCCAGCTTGTTGAGGAACTGAACAGACTCAGAGTTGGCGAGGTCCTCGTAGTCAACGACCTGGCCCTGGGCGGGAGGGGCAATGCGGTCCCAGTCGCTATATCCTCGTTAACCTTGAGCTCGGTATGCGTTTTTGTTTTGTTATAGACCTACACAGCATTTCCCTTGGCCTTGTCGTTCAGGTAGCGGCGGAAGAGGGCAAAGAAGTTGTCCATCTCAGTCTCGAAGAGCTATAATGTGGTCATCGTCAGCGGTGATACTCGATGAGCCGGACAGGGTAATGTTACTGACCTTCTTCTGCTCGGGGTCCGAGACGGTCTCGGAGAGCTGGGTGAGGGCATTGCGCATCTGGGCAGCGGCGACGCTGGTAGAGGTGTTCTCGAAGGCCTTGGGGAGATGTTAGTATCTTGTTTGCGCATACAATGTCAACTCGAACAGAAGCCTCCATGAGTGGGGCTATGCTGCTTGGGTGGCCAGCTTGCTGCCTCCACTCATTAGCGCCATGAAGGTTGCTGCAGTTCGAAAGGACGCCTGCTGAACTGCGAGTGTTCTCATTATCCGCACGAAGCCGGTCAAAGTCCCTCGGGGAACGTATAGCTGCACACCATACGCCAAGGCGGTAGTCGATGCGACTGACCCCTTCTGCGTTACTCACGGCTCTCCGCAAGTGACGAGTGGCCAAGTGTTGCAGAACACCGCGACGAAGTAATGAGTGGATAGAGCAACACAGGCAAGCAGTTTTAACGTCCAGAGCGAACGTCTCGCACAGCAACCTGTCAATGTGAGAAGCAAAGGCCGGCCGCAGACCTCAGAGGGCCTTGCTGGGGGCAAATAACAAGTCGAGAGTGGGGAGTCAGGAGTGTGTACCATGTGAGACCTCGTCTTGCCGTGGTGACGGGAGCTGAACTCGGCTTCATCGCTCTTGCCTTGGCCGCCCAAAGGGGACTTCAGGTGAGTAGGCAGAGCGCTCTTGATTGCTTGGGCCATTGTGGGCGAAGTTGAGGCGGTTTTGCAGTATGCGAAGTAAAACTGTTTGTGCTGAGAGCGTGTCAACAATTGCAATGGAGAGAGAAAAAAGTGGTTTCAGGCTGAAGAAGATTCCCGTGTTTGTTGCAAGTGTTGAGGGGAGGGTGTGGAAAAGGGAAAGAAAAAAAACAGGCGGGTAAGCTCGAAGACGGCGGGGTAGTGCCTACGTTGACAGGGAAATCGCCGTGGGATTCGCGGCGGAGAGATTGCTGGGAGCTCAGAGGTATCTACGTAGCCTGACGTAATTTGTGAGCTTCTCCTTGTGATTTGGGGAGAAAATAAAGCAAGGTACGGATGAGGCAGGGAGTGCAAAGGAGCTTTCAGAGAGCGGGGGAACGGCTAGAATTGCGAGTAAAATGGCTGAGGGAGGCGAACTGAGGTGCTTCGAGAACAAGACCAGAGCTGCTGCTGTTGCTTCTGCCGCTGGTTGGAGCAAAAGACGCGGTGATCGGCGATATGGCGAAGGAGGGGTGGTTTCGTGGAGAGGAGGGGAGGGGAGAAGGGGGAGTTGGGGTGGTACTTACAGCAATAGCAACGACAAACAATATCAACAAGCAACGAGCGAGCGTGGGTTGGTCAATTGTGTGCAGAGAGAAGAACGGAGGAGAGAAAAAAAGGAGAACCGTCAAAAGAATCAGAGACGGCCAGGAGGCGGATGGGGGAATTGGCTTTATAGCGGTGATATCACTGTGGGAACCCAGTCTGTTGCAATTCGCATTTGGCCAATTTTCATTTCATATCGTCCCCCCCGTTCACGCTCGGAGAGGAGACGGGGGAGACACTGGAGGGGGGAGGGGCTGTCGCAGGAGACACGCACCTCCCCTCACCCTCACACCTCACACCCTTTACCTCCTCCCACCTGGCCACGTCCAGGGGGAGTGGGCAGTCACAGTCACCGTCGATACCTTGCCTTCCTGCCCTGCCATGTCATGCTATGCCCGTAGGTAATGTCATGTATACAGCCAGAACTGTATCCGTCGTACCTTCCACATCCTCTACCGCACGGCACGTATTGCCTTGCCTGCCTTGTCCCGTCCCTGTCTGGCCTCATCACAATGAAATGTCTTTTTCCAACTTGCATCTTTTTCTTGTACGCCAAACCTTTCGTAAGCCCGGTGCAGCCAGCCAGCACTTCTGCTCGTATTCATCTCCAGCCTGACCAGAGATTCACCGCAAGACCCAAAACATTTTCCACCCAAGGCTGGTCCCCAATGCTAATGGCGGCCCCCGATGTCTCCCACTCGAGCCATTCCAGTCAACCAGCCAGTCACCCCGTCCGCTTCTGTCAACTGCAACCCTCCACCGGCCTGGCCACCGCCTTTCCCAACACCCCTGTGGCGCGTCAAACTAGCGACGCCTAAACGAGAGAGGCGGCGGCTGCAGCAGTTTTGGCTTGCATGGGGGAGGCAAAAGGCGAAGAAAAACAACCATCCGGAAGACATCTCATTGTTTATCTATCGGCCTGCTTATCCTGTGCCGCAGATCCCAAAGTATGCGAATATCAGCCAAGTCTGCCGTCAACCTTGGGAGCAGTACTACACCACCGAAAAGACCAATGCGACTACCTTCTGTCAGGCAGCGGTCGGTCACCAGGGTTCTCACTTCTCTTCATCCCCCTTGCAAAGCCTTAATTCTGGTACGGATTTCGCAACACCAGAAGAGGAGCCCCAACTTAGACATGTCTGGAGCTCATGGCTCATTTTCGTCTCCGTCCCGTCTCCAGCAAAACGGAGCTCCGTCCTGGCTTCTCCTGTTCTCCAGCTCCAGTTCACGTCAACGCCCACCTACGGCCTTGCTACATCTGCTGCACCACGGGTGAGCCATGGGAACAAGTATTCCCTAGCATCGTGTGCACTAAAAAAGGTGCGAGGCTCCATCCATTGCGGAGTCAAGCCGTCTACGCTACGGATACATTGAATGGATATCCTGAAATATCATAACCCCACCACCCAACATCCCCGCCAGCTGTAAGATGAGCTGTTGTCCAGCATGGCAGTAATGGCCCTTGTTGCTCGACCTCTCTGAGGAGACCTCGCCCCTCGGAGCTGGCCAACAAAGGCCTCGGAACGCACCGCCGTTCTTCAGTAACGCCGCTTCTTCAACGGTTCTTCTGGGAGAACACGATCAGGGCTCGAGCGGTCCGAAATCCGCCTTTTCTCGCCGACGTGCTTCCAGCAATGTGCCTTTGTTACAGAGAAACTTTTGGTTGAGCTGACTGCCAACCGGCCGGAGACGCCTACGCACCGCAACCTGTTCCGCACACACACCTCTCTCTCTCTCTCTCTCTCTCTCACACACACACACACGCCTTCTCACATATCGCTCATCAAATCTTGCCACCACCCTAAACTTTCCGACGTCGCTAAATTGATCGGGAGAAAATGTGCTCAGTCTGGCTATTTTTCCTCCTCCAACCGCCATACTGAACGTTTCACTATGACAGAAATGAGTTGCATGCTTGGTTCTCGCCCGTTCATCGCCAGCGCCGGAACCAACTAGCCAAGCCGGCCCTCTTCGGAATCTTTCCCGAAGATTCGTTTTTCGCGATCTCCGATGACCCAACCATGACAGGTTTGTTGTGAAGCTGTTAAACCAAAAGCGCTCCCCCCTGAATGCCGGCATCTGCGCCCCGGGCGGGCCAATTCCCACTTTGCTTCTTGTTTTAGTCAAATCCCAACCGGCCTAAAGGAAGGGATCCATCGATATCCATCCCACCAGGTCGGGAGTTTGATTACATACCGCTACATAGTGGGCCAAGGTTGTCTAGAAGGACGGATGCAACCTACCTTTCGAACACGATCGTCTCATCGACGGCGGCGAGCGAGGGAACTCTGGAGTTTTCGGCCATCGCCCGGGCCTTCCTATCCCGAACGTATTGTTCAGCTCCGGGGAGCCAAGCCTGCGGTCGCCCATCCAGCCCGATCAGACAAGACGCCGTCTTGCTGTCACTCAAAGACCCGCCCAGTACGTTCAGCTAGCGTAATTTGCGCCTCTGGACGCCATTTCCAATAATGGCATTCTTGTCCCCGGGTCTCGAACTCTTTTGCCCATGTCTGCCTACTCGTTCTAATCAAGCAATCATCTGCAGACCCTGAGTTGCGCTGATTAGCTGCCAGGGGACAGCTAATGAAACGAAACAGATGAAGTGCATGTCATCACCCAGGCCACCACCATAATTAGATCAGACAAGATACCCAATCCGTATCTGGACATGAGGTGGTGCACCCGCAAACACCCCATCAAATGAGGCTCTCCAATGCGTCCCACGTGGGGGGGAGGGGAAAGAAGCCCAGCCGCCATGCTTGAGCTTATGCACACACCACAATGTGTTGAACATCGGTTGGGGCCGGTCGACGACGCTCGGAATCGTCGAGAAGCTTGATAGAGTCAGTATTGCTGATCAGAGATGGCAGCTTGTGTCAATTTGGAGATCATCTCATCTTCGAGATTCTCCTGCGTTGAACTCCACAAGGCCTTCCCCTCAATCATGTCCTTGTTTCCCTAGATGAAGCGAAACTTTGCAATGTGCACTACTACCACGACCACGCTATGTTTGCTGTTCGCCGCGTAGTCGTCACTGCCTAGAGTATCTTAGCATCAGAGAGACGGGGAGCTGAGCTTCTAATGCTTCAGCCAGATTGTTCACAGCATACGACTGTATTCGCAGGCAGCTGTTGTTTCAACATACTCGTGAAGAGAGGTGGCATTGTCATTTCTGCAGTGTAAAATCATGGGATACGCCCAAACGCCGGCGCCCGATCACCACCGGGAGCCTCATCATGGTACCAAGCCTCTAACGCCGCTCACTGAACCTTCAAAGGGTATAAACGCTCTAACCACCGCAATCTTCCAATCCTCCAATCCTGTCCTCATTTCTTCTTCTGGAGCTTCTCCTTCTCCATGTTTTCCGTACACACGGGGCAGAACCAGGTGCCATTTGGTTCGCTCTTGAGGCCGACGCACGACCAATGAAACCACTCGTAGGGGCAATCCTCATTGTCGCACGCCACCATGTCGCCGAAGCTAACGTTCTGGCACGTGCAGTACTTCTTGTCGTCGCCGGCCTCATCGTCTTCAGCGTCAAGCATGCTGTCGTCGCCGTCGCCTTCCTTGCCGTCGCGCGCGGGGGTGCCGCTGGCACGGTCTATTCGGCTGCGATCGCCGTCATCGCCACTTCCGCTCTCGGCGTCTGACAGCTCACTGTCCGCTGTCGAGGCGGGCGAGTTACGACTTCCCGGTGCCTTCTTGACGCGGGACAGTGACGATTTATTGCCGTTGACGGGCTTCTTCCGGCTTCCCACACCAGGCGTTCCCTTTCTCACGCCCGACACGCTGGATGCTTTGGTGGATGATGATCTAGGACCAGCACTACCCGCTCGCACGGTGCCGTTTGGTCCAGGAGTGGTGGCACCTTTTGGCGTGCCTGGGCCCAAGGAAGAATGCCTCGCCAGGCTGCTCGATGTTGTGGGCAGGCTGCCTAGCCCAGAAATGGACCGCGGCCCCCTCTTCGGCGCGCCACTTCCCGGGCCAGCCGAGCTCTCCCGAGCTTGCCGGTTGAGTATCATGCTTGCAGCAGGCGTCGCAGGAGCAGAGGACGCGTGTTGCTGAGACTGGGCGTTGCGGATCTGAGGGTTCCCTACGCGTGCTGTAGTAGGGCTCGACGAGTTGATGATCGGATTCAGAGGCGTCGCAGTAATGGCTGTTCCCACGAGGTGGCTCGCAGGGTTGACGGAGCGGCTCGATGGTGCGGAGTGGTTCGCCGCGCTCGGCCGGATTAACGAAGGACATTCATCAGGGTCGTTGAAACCGGGTTCGGCGCGGTCGTAGAGCATCTTGATATGCTGATCGAGATTCCGCAAGTGCTTGTCCATGATGATCTGTAGTTTCTGTGTGAGAGCGATCTTCTCGGTGGCCAGTGTGTCGGCACGGATGAAGTTATCACGCATCTGGGACCGCATGGTCTCTTCGCGAGGGTTCGTCTCGTGGCTGCCGTTGGCCCGGATCCATTTCTGTATCTTTCCATCGCGATCCTCGATCAACTTGACGCAGTCGTGGTACTGGCGGTCCCTGTCGGCGATTTCATCTTGTAGGAAGCGGATCTCTTCGGGGAGGTTCTGGACGCGGTTGAGCCAGTCGTCGAGGATGATGGCCGGGTCGAGGGCCTCGGCCGTCGGCATCCTTTTGACGAAGTCGATGGACAAATCGTCTCTAGGCATCTTGTGTCAATGATGGGTTCCCTAAGTACCCCGCGGTTGGGCAAGCAAGCGTTCGTTGACGGATAGGTAGCAACTAGGCGACGAGACAGACGACGACGACAAAGTGCTCGGCAAAGACCACAGAGAGGGAGCGGGAAGCAGGCTGTGTGCGGCCAAGGCAATGTTCTTGCTCAAGGAGACAAGAACGGGGACGAGGACGCGAGATAGGGTGCGTTGGTAGCAGGTCGGGGGGACGTGAGAGTAGTGACGAAGGCCTCGTGAACCAAGGTCATCGAGATAAAGAGGGGACAACGTAAGGTAAGAGGGGATTAGAGCAAAGCAGAATAGAAGCAGAGGTGGAGTATGGCAGAGATGAGAGCCAGCGGCGGATGGGAATAGTGGCACGCAGGATGACGGGGGGCGGCGCGGCGCGGCACGTCCACCGTTGGGGTGGTCGGTGGGCTGACCGAAGAAGGCGAAGAGCCACTGGTGATGTAGGCCTTGGCTGCACTTGCCCTGTTGAAGGCGATGACAGAGGAGCCTTGGACAGGAGAGACTTTGAGAAAAGAGACCCCGGCCACGATCCTCCGCAACGAACGAAGTGACTAGCTTGGCTCACCTAAAGAGTTTTGGGACAGATCGGTTGAGGGAAAGTCGACAAGAGCTCTCTCTCTCTCTGTCCAGCTACAGTGGGCAAGGCGAGGCGAGGCGAGACGAGTCGGGTCGAATCGAGACGACGGAAAGGCCCTTGCTCGTGATCCCGGAATGTTTTTTATTTACGGAGTAATGAAAATTCCCCTGCTGGGAAAGGCGACCTGACGGGACGTGAATTTTTTTTCTCTCACGGACGCGCGAGGGTGGGGTGGAAAAGGCTGGAATCACGTTATGTGCAATGGTGGTGGTCCAGTTGCAGGTCAGATTCGATTTGGGGTGCTTGTGTGTGTCGCGTTGGGTTTTGGCGGCGGGCAAGTTTGCGAAGATCCAACAGAATGGAGGGGAGCTGGTCTTGCCAGTGGTCCACGCTCGTCCAGTATTGGTGAGAAGACGAGTCAAGCGGAGACGGGAGTTTTAGCCTCCGATTTTCAGGCCACATCTGGGCTCCTGCGCGCTGGGCTCAGACACACCTGGGATCGCCTAATTGGATGCAGCATGGTAAAATACGGGGTCGAGAAGTGAGCCACGTCAAAGCTGCAACTGCTCTCGGTACCTTCGTCCGCTGACCTAAGGCGGATGAAATCTAGAGAAAATTCCGGATTCCAGAACCAAGGTTTCAGTTCGGATTGACGTCCATGTGTTCCTCGCAATCGATCGTGGGGGAAGCCAGAATGTCTAAAATGCAGAGAGGTACGACTGTTAGTCCTGGGAAAGACCCGAGGCATGCTATATGTCCTGGATTCGGGGGTTCCCGAACGGACCAGAAGATACTGCGCCACATGGAGGCTGGTTTCTGACTAATCCTCATGAGCATAGGTCCTTCCAATGTGCAGCATGGTGGCTGGTTGCACCTGCTGTGAGCCACACACCCTCAGGACTCGGACTTTGGTGCCCTGAGGTGCCCTGAGGTGACCAAGGTAGGTGCCTTGCTTTAGTGGCCCCCAAGCGGCTTGCTTCCCCGGCGCCTGTTACATCTCGTCCAATCGCGCAGTCAGCCATTAAACAAAACCTCCCACATACATCTCGAATCAACACTACCTAGACGACAACGCGTACGGTTTTGGGAATCAAACCTTCGCCAATATCCTCATAGAAGACGACCGTAGCTCTTGCAACTGACGAATCCGTTTTTGCGACATTCTTACGCGATCCGCGCTTCGCTGTTTGACTGCTGAGCAAAACTCATCTCACTCGGCCAGCCTAGAACTCCACCCTCCAACCTCACCATAGATCGAGGGGCCTCTCAGGCTTTATCCCGGCCGCTCTGGCGGGACACCCGTCGCATATCATCATGGACACAGACGCATACAGATTCCGCGTTCCCAAGCCGAACTATTTACCACACAGAACCGATAAAGATGACATTGTTGAGGAATACGTCCCCTTGGGTCAGGCCAGCGAGCTCGACAATGCCAAGTATTTCGCCAAATGCAAGCGCATAGCCGAGGAGTCGGGCATCACACGGCCAAAGGGCTACAATGTCTCTTTCCATTGCAACCCCGAAATGGAGAAGCACCACTTCGGCCAGACACATCCCATGAAGCCGTGGCGACTCACCCTCTCCAAGAGTCTCATCTACTCTTACGGCATGTCCTTTGCCATGGACAACTACATTGCCCGAGCCGCCACTTACGAAGAACTAAACGACTTTCATTCCGACGACTATCTGGACTTTCTGGGGACCGTCCTGCCGGAGCCTGTTCCGAGAGATGTTGACAACACTAATCCTGATCTCAAATTCAACCTCGGCGGCTCCGACTGTCCTCTGTTCGAGGGTCTCTACGACTACTGCTCCATGTCGGCAGGCGGGTCTCTCGACGCCGCGAGAAAGATCTGCTCCAACCAGTCCGACATTGCCGTGTCATGGGGAGGCGGCCTGCACCATGCCAAGAAGGCAGAGGCATCTGGCTTCTGCTACATCAACGACATCGTCCTGGCCATTCTGCAGCTGTTGCGTTGCTTTCCTCGCGTGCTCTACATCGATATTGATGTGCATCACGGAGACGGTGTCGAGGAGGCTTTCTACTCTACAGACCGCGTCATGACGGTTTCTTTCCACAAATACGACCCCCTCAACTTCTTCCCTGGCACCGGCGGTCTGGACGACAATGGTCCTAAGAACGAGCATAACCCGGGAGCGCACCATGCCATCAATGTTCCTCTCAACGACGGGATTACGGATGACCAGTACAAGTGGCTCTTTGAGAACGTCATCGGCAAATGCATGGAGAAGTTCCGACCCAGTGCCATTGCTCTGCAATGCGGCGCCGATTCACTCGCCGGCGACCGTCTTGGACGCTTCAACCTCCAGGTTCAAGGCCATGGCGCATGTGTTGAATTCTGCAAGTCGTTTGGCGTACCCATGATTCTTTTCGGTGGCGGTGGATACACACCTAGAAACGTGGCCCGAGCCTGGGCTTTCGAGACGAGTATAGCTATCGGCTGCCAGGACAAGATTGATCCCATTATCCCAGCCCACGCCCCTTGGAGAGAGCAATTCAGATACGAGGAGTTGTTCCCCACATTGGAGCAGATTCTTGGAGAGCCACGCGTAAATAGGAACACGCGGAAGCGCCTAGACGATGTACTTCAGCATGTGACGGAACAGCTGAGATTCGTTCAAGCAGCCCCGAGCGTTCAATACCAGGTCATTCCACCAGACTTGGGTGGCCTTAGAGACGACGTCGAAGCAAAGCTCAAGGAGCAGCGCGAAGCTGAAAACGATGCCGTCAGAAAGCAGCGCGAGGAAGCCGTTGGACATGCCATGGAGTATTGATGAAAGGTAGGCTACCTCTGTCGTAGAATCGCTGGTGCATTTGGTTATTAGGACCGGCGTTTGCGGAGTAGAAATGATACCGGGGGTTGGTCACTAAGAAAAGAAATACCATCATTTTCAAAATTTGCAAATCGACCCGACAGCAACGCTTGCCAACTGGGCGAAGGAAACTCACGTCCGCCACACATTGACGAATACGTGATACGTCGAACATTCGATTTGGAGCCGTCTGAGCTGCCGCGATGTTGCATTTCGCATGAACAACGTCCCGCACCTACTGCCCGGCGAATGCAAGGGAGGGGAGCATTGTTACGGTATGGCAATCAGAGGAGGTGCATCTTATTCGACGTTAACCGGCTGCCTAGAACGCCGAATCCACCGTCTCCGGCTACGGGGTTCCTTCTTCGGCTTAGAGCTGGGTCGGCCAGCCCCCGAATTGTCCAACCAGGGCCCGCCCAGACGGCAAACACCCATAAGCTTAATCAATATCGAATCATAGGATGACCCCCATGTTTAAAAAAAACGACGTCGTATGGGAGGGTGTTTTTCGCCGGTAGAAATTTAGATGCGGTCGGTTTCTGAGGACGAATGCTGCATCCTGCCAATACGTAAGTGGTTTAGGTCCTTCAGGAAGCCAAGGAAACGGGACCGAATCGAGTGTGACATCGCGGCAATGTTAAACCGGCTGCGGTTTACCATATACACATAAAAGTTTGACGATTGACGGCGAATCCGGGACGATACTACCCTCGCCCTGGTGTTGTGTCTTACACAAGCGTGGTTCCTGGCCGATAATCAGGTAATCCACAGGTCCGCCTTCGAGCGTTAGGCCGCAACCTTGGCATCTGACTTACAGGATCGCGGCGTGTTTGACTAGAGCTTACAACCCCCGTATTTTGTTTGCCTGGCCCATCTCAAGTTGTCCCGCGGGTACTACAATACCCTGAGTATCTCTTTCTGGAGAAGAGGTGCCACTTTCCAAGCGACATCCCGCCTCGCGCTAAAGGACCCCGGATGCCCGTTCAAGCTAACTGATGTATATAAGATCGCCACAGTCCCTCCCCTTACGAGTTCTTCCATGGTGCTCAACAACACCAGACTTTCTAATCCTTGTTCAAGGTCGACCCTCGATCGACGCATCCTAAAATGGCCCTTTCACTACTCGCCCTCTTGGCCCTGGCCCCCGCCGGCATCCTCAGCCTTACAACGCCCGGCGGCGTCGCCCGCCGCGCCGTGGACTGGAGCAAGTGGAAGCCTGGCGTGAGCTTCCAGATCGTTCTTCACCACCCCATCAAGGCCGAGGCGCTAGCAGACATCGTCCCTGCCGAGGCATCAGTCTGGGATATCGACCTGCAGCACGCGGTAGACTACGAAAACATTATTCCCACCCTCAAGGTGAGTTTGGTCTACGGAGAACGCCCACCCATGTTTACATGGGTCGTTTCGTTGTTGGACAGAGGCACTGATTCTCAGGATAGTCGGCCGGAAAGATCGTGATCTGCTACTTCAACGGCGGCGCCGTTCAAGACTGGGACGAGGACATTGATGCCTTCCCCGCCGACGTCATCGGCTCGCCCCTGAACCCGCCTTACACCGACGAGCGCTACCTCGACATTAGGGACGCCCGCGTCGTGGATCTCATGAAGAGACGCCTCGAGCGAGCTGCGGACATCGGCTGCGACGGCGTGGACCCGGACAACATTGACGCCTGGGTGGAGGTGAGTCTTTTCGAGCGTCCCTTTTTGCCTCCCCCCCTTTACAAGAGATTAACAAACAACCACAGGACGGCGATGACCCGACAGGCTTCAGTCTCACCCCCTCCGACTACGCGACCTACATCACATCTCTCGCCGCCCACGCTCACATCCTCACAACAACCTCCTCGCGGCCCCTTCTCCTAGGACAGAAGAACGCACCCACAATCGCGCCCCAGCTGTCTTCCGTCGTCGACTTCGCCGTGCTGGAGACGTGCCTCGGCACGCGGACCTCTGACGAGGTCGAGCCCTTCTGCGCGGATTTCCAGCCTTACGTCGAGGCAGGGAAGCCCGTGTTCCAGATCGAGTACCCGACGAGCGTCCGGGACGACGTGGAGATCAGCCAGACAGACTATGACTACTTCTGCGTCAACAAGAATGGCAACGAGGGGTTCAGCGAGGTGTTGAAGCACGCGAGCGAACAGGTGGACGGGTGGGGTCAGTTCTGTGGGCTGGGCAGGACGGGGGGCAGATTCGAGACGCCGACTGTTGACGAGGATGAGGAATGAGCGAGCGAGGTTCATGATGTGGATGGATGTTTGCGATATTGAGAAGCCACGATACTGACACGAGAATACTCAAACATGCCGAAAGTTCAATGGGAAGAGCCCCCGATTCTTTGTGTGTTTTGTTACTCCTACTCAATGGGAAAAAACATGTACAAACTAGATCAGCTTTTTTTAAATTCTCAACCGACAATAAACGTTCCACAACACCGTGCAGGCCATGCGATGCGAGCAACAGAAAGAATACAAAAAGCCGTTTGGCCAAGGCGGAACTCATCTGAGCCGCCCAAAAGCGCAAAAGGAGCCCCTCTCGCGCAGTCTCAGTTGTGGAATCCGGCCATGGCCTCGGCCTCCTGCTCCAGCATCTTGCGCTTCAACCTCCGGGCCTTGAGCGCCACGTACCCGACGAGCATGACGCCGACGGCGAAGCCGGCCGAGAGCAGAATGACGTTGACCGGCACGGGGTCGCCGCCAAAGGTCTGGTGGAACAAGACGTCGAGCCCGGACTGCAAGAAGTTGAACAGGCCCGACAGGCAGATGATGGTGCCGTAGACGGTGCCAAAGGTCTCGAAGCCAAAGACCTTGGCACTGTAGTCGGAGACGGCGGTGTAGTAGAACGGGCGGTACAGCACAAATAGGCAGACCTGGAGGTACGCCGCCCACATGTTGTTTATGACGCCCAGGACGCCAATGGTGGTGGCGATGGTGACGAGGGCGGCGAGCACGGTGACGGTGCTGGTGTGGTCGAGCAGCACGCCGATGAAGGGGATGGAGAGGATGCCCCCCACCGGCAGGGCGACGTCGAAGAAGTTGTTGATCTCGACGGCCTTGTCGTGGTCGCCAAAGATGACCTCGTACTGGGCGCGGATGGTGGCGACAAAGTAGTTGATGCGGAGCATCTGGATGACGGTGAACATGCAAATGAGGACGAACCACGGCGAGGCGATCTGCCGCAGCGCGGTGCGGTTGTGCATCACGCCCCAGACGCCCGACGTCTCGTTCTTCTTCTCCTCCTCCCGGCGGTTCTGCTTGTCCGCCTTCTGGGTGCCCAGGAGCTGCTCAATGTCGGCGACGACGGTCTCGCGCTGGCGGCGCTCCTCTCGCAGGAGCGCCGTGTTCTCGTCGACCTGGTCGTCGTACGGCTCCAGGTCGGCGTCGTTCGCCGCGACCGTCTCCTCCTGCAGCTCGACCAGCTCCCCCACCGTCTTGTACGACTGCTTGGGCATCAACGCAAACTGGGCGACGATGATGAGAAGTGGGACGACCAGGTACACCTTGAAGAAGCTTTCGTGGCCAAAGGTGCCCTCGGTCGCCTGGTAGATGAGACGGTAGACGAGGAACAGAGCGCTGGAGGCGTCGAAGGCCCCCGTCAAGAGGGCGAGGATGAGCCCAGAGTGCTTGGGGAAGGCGTTGGACAGCTGGAAGGACGAGATGTAGGTGAACGGGCCGCCGAGCGCCAGCGCGAGGTATCCGATGAGGAACCCGTCGAATGGCAGGCTCTTGGCGTATGCCATCAGGAGCGAGCCCACGATCAGGAAGAAGCTGCCCACCAGTCCGCAAACGCGGGGCCCCGCATGGTCAAGCAGAGCACCAACCGGCAGAGCGGCGATGTTGGTGCCGACGGCTGCCACCGTGAACATCAGGTTGAGATGGATCTCAACGCACGTGTCGTCCGGGGCCGAATCGGGGTCATCGGCGGAGCATATGTCGCTGTAGGCGCCTTCGCGCTTGAGGACCGGCTTCAGCGCCGCGAAGCCGAAAGCGACTCCGGCCGCGAAGAGGCAGTATATTACCGCAACAATGACTTGGACTGTGTGCTGTGTTAGCGACCTCACGTACACCAGGCTTAGAAAGCGATTCATTGGCCAATCGTCTAGTAATGTGTGACCGGCGATCATGAGATAACGTACGGATTCTCTTCCATTGCGGAACTTCAAAAGCACCGACGGCGAGGACGGTGTCGGGCCTGTTCGCCGCGGGATCCCACTCGTCGGGGAGGGGGTTGAAGGTCAGCCTTCCAGCCCTTACACTCGAGGCATCGCTTCCTCGTCTCGAGCCCTGCGCTTGAGGAACGAACTGGAACGTCTCGACGGATGCTACGCGGTTCAACGACATGGCGGCGCCTTCTGAGACGGATGGACGGTCGAAAAAGAAGTGTCGGTAGTCGCCGACGGCCCTGCCTGGGACGAAGCTGTCAAACAACCGGCTCTTGAATAGCGCCGGCTTGAGCTTATGAGGTGGAGCTGAGCTGCAGAACGGTCTCTGACTCGCCAATGGCAACCCGTTTACAGAGGTCGGCAAGCTTGAAATAGACAGGATATGACGCAGGACGGGCGATGTCAAGATAAGGCTACCTTATCTATCGATCAGGAGCGAAGCTTGGTTGAATTGAGCTTGACGTGTATTGTCTCTACTTTGTCGTGTCCAGCTTGAACCGCAGGATGAACCACGCAGGACGTGATCGACGTCGATTCAAAAATGCGGAGGAAACGGCAGGGATCTTGCAGTTGAAATCGAGGGGAGGAGGGGTATCGGAGGTGCGAGCGAACGACGATGTTTAATGGATATGGACACAATACACCACCAGCTCAAGACTCAAGACAACGTAGGATTGGAGATAAAAGAGTAGAGGAAATCCTCGGTAGAAGAGCGATCAGGTAGCAATGCAAGGAAGCGTCGGATACGTGGGGGGTTTGGAAGCTGTTTAAGAGGGAAACGGAGATGGAGACGGAGATGGGTACACCACGAGAAAAAAAAAGCGTGGATGCGATGCAATGCGATGCAATGCGATGCAATGCAGGTCGAAAATTGGATGTCTAACCCGGGACGAGGTAGTGGAAACAGGTAACAGAACAACGTTGGAAGAGAAGATGGAAGAGAATTGCTACCAATGGTAGGGAAGATACAGGCCGGACCGGACCCCCCAAGGCGTCATCAGCAAGTGCAATTGCTGCGTGCCCCCTCGTATCTCGGTTTATTATTTTTTTTTTCGGATTGTTTCTTTCTTCCACTTCACGGTCCTCACCTCACCCCGCCTTTAGCTTGCTTGACTGGCCTGGCCCGGTCTAGCTAGAACTCGCCTTGCCGTGGCCCCTCGCATGCTGGTGGAGGTGGTGGCGGTCCATGTCCGATCCAAACAAGAGGGCTGGGGAGGAGGACGAGACAGGACTTGCATTTCGCATGGATGGAGGAGGAACGGATGAAGGAACTGCACCGTCATGTGGCCCGTCTTCCTTGGGACGCACATGCACATGACTGGACCCAACCAAACGCGGCATACCGCGGAACCGCAAAAGGGCCCGATCAGCTCCCCCGGAAGAGGATTTTTTTGGCTTTGCTTTGGGAGGGGGGCCCGGGACTGGGGATAGCTGACACGGGGTAGCCGTTCTGAGCAAGATGCTGAAGAATTTGGAGATTGGACGTCACCCGTCACTCTGGTGGGAAAGGTGTGACGTGAGACCTCAGCCCCCCCAGGCGGATGCCGAATGCAAGACCAGAAGGAAAAGAAAGAAAAAAAGTCTTGCTCGCTGCTCAGCCGCGTCGTTCGCCGCCGAAAAGCGACAGTGCGGCATCCTCCCTCCCCCACCGCGGGTGGCCAGGGGAGGCACAATGCCCAGCTGCAAGAAAGTGGGTTGGGGCGGGAGGGAAGCAAGATGGCAGAGACATCTCCAATGGAACCGGCTCGGGAGCTCCAGCGGATACAGCGCCTCTACTGCCCCACACATCGGCCTGGCGCCATCAAACCACTGGCTCCCGCCCTCTCTATCCGTTTCTCCACCAGACTGGCGGCTTGGTTGATTCTCAACATCACATCACCTTGGACGTCTCGATTGTCACCTTGTTACATAATTCCACCTCGTAGGCCGCTTTTGTCAACACCACCTCGCGATGTCGTCTGACCTAATTCTATCCCGCAGGCGCACATGGAGACATACGGTAATGGTAGTGCAGCGACTCTCATCGCTTCTCGCGGGGCCATTCGCAATAGAGGCTGTTTTGACTCCGTAGGTCGCAAGTTGGAGAGAGCGTCTCCAACTGCCAGCGTCGCTGGAAGCGCGTGGATTGGTTGAGGTAGATGGGCCATTAGGCTCCTGATCAGGGTTGGTTGTGCAAGGCGCCGCACGCCGTAAAACATCTCTTCAAATACCTCTGCCTCTACATCTCTAAGCCTTTACACCGGCCCGGGTCTCTGCGCATGCATCAACACCTTACCGCATGCGGGGAGTGCTCATGGATGCTGGCCTCCGGCCCGATCGGCGTCGGCGGTTTGCGGTTTGCGACGGCTGCTGACCGGCGGCGTCCGACTGGGTGCCCCGAAAAGTTCAACTTCGACCTTGGATAAGCACCTTCGCCGCCCCACAGTCGGAAAATTTCCGTTAAACCCAGTCCGAAGGTGCCCTGGCTAAGTAGGTTGATCGTGAGCAATGAATTAAAAACTAACGTTGCATCGACAATACATGAAGCGGCTATAAGGGTACCCCCAACGCCCGCGGGCTTCGCTCAACCATTGAGAGGCTACCCGCGAAAACAATGCAAGCATAATGGCAGGCAAACAGTGATAGACAAAGGAAACAATGCGTCAAGGTGACAATGTGCCGGCGAGGGCTGCCGTTCAAACTCTGCTCTTCTCCAATCTCCCGTCCATTCTTATGCAAACTACCCGAGTCGAGTATTCATCATCTCTAACCTCCTATCAAGTTCGTTGTTTCCCCCCCAGCGCAAGTCGGTGCCTCCCCGCGAAAGAAAACGCCTCATAATCGTAAGGCGGTCGTCGCAGAACGTGGCTCAAGCTAACATTGGCCGAGTGTCGCCGATAGGAAGGAGATGTCTGTTTCGGCTCGTCGCGAATCCAAGGTAGTTCCGGTTGCGCCCTCGGGCTGTTGTAGCCCTCAGCTGTTGACCAAGCCTTCCATCAATCGCTCCAACTTTTCCTCTCCAAAACGTCTCTACGGCATGAATAGTATGCACACAAATTAGAAAAAGGCCATCACAGATCGTGGGCGGAAATCAATCGGTCCGCCGATGGCAGCCATGTCGTGCCGATCCGTTGATAACCTAGGTATTCACGAGAAAGAAAAGCTAAAAATAAAAAAACCACACGCCAGGTATTGTCTGGTCGCGGCTCTTTTACTTATAGAATCGGATGATAGCCTTTCCGCTGCCGGACACGGCCGTCTATGACATAAGCATTAGCAGGATATCCAAGCATACATCATGTGAATATGTCAACTTACAGTACAGCCAGTGCCACCTCCGGTGTACGAGCCGCCAACAAGCGCGCACTTGCTGTTAACATCGCCGGTGATCTCAATATTGAAGTCGAGCGTGGCGGTCGAGGTCGGCGCGTTGTTGAAGATGGAGATGTACGTGTTGCCGTCGGAGCTCTTGCCAACACCAATGTTGACGGGGGCCCAGTTACCAGCGCCAAGAGGGTCCGTGGGGCTCTTCCAGACACAGGCGACGTCGGCGCTGTAGCCGGCCTTGTTAACGTAGTACTGAGCGGTGGTCGGCTGGTCGTTCCAGACGTAGTAGTCAGAAGAAATCGGGTTGGTCAAAGGCAACGACTCGCCGGGCTGAGGAACGGTGGCGATGACCATGGACTCGGTACCGGGATAGTCGGTACGGCAAACACTGACTTCCTGGCTGAGGTCGTTCTTGACAGTGACGCCACCAGCACCCTGTTCGCAGAGGGTCTTCTTGGTGGTGCGGGAGAGCTCCAGGTAACCGTCGCTGTTGCAGTAAAGTCCACCAATGGACTGCTTGGTCGAGCCCTGAGCGGAGGGCCACTGGGTCTTCTGGTAGCCAACGGGGCAGGCGTACGAGCAGAAAGATTTCTTAGTGCATCCACCGTCACCCGAAATGGCGGTCTCAATGAAGGAGATCGCCGCATCACCGAAGCTGTAGTTGGGGCATCTCTGGATACCAGTCCAGCCGCCGGTGCCGAGGTAGTCGACGGCGACAGCACCGTAGTCGGAGGGGAAGTGGGAACAAGGGATCGTGCCACTGGGGAACTCGGAGTCAACGCCCTGGCCGCCAGAACTGCTGGAGCCTCCGCTCGTGGACTTGGTGGAGGTGGGGGCCGCCTGGCTCGACGAAGAGGGCGTGGGAGTCGGGGTCGGGGTCGGAGTGGGAGTGGGAGTCGGGGTCGACGAGGTGGAGGGCGTGTTGACCTTGGCCTCGAAGAACTGGGCATCCTTAGAGGTGGAAGGCCTAGGGGCCAAGGAGGTCGAAGCAGGCGGGAGAGGGCTCGAGGTGGGCGTGGTCTCGCCAACAACGACGAACAGACCGTCTTCAATACCCTTCTTGGCCTCCTCTTCAGTAAGAAGCTTTCCTCCCAGTTCGTAGGCAATCACAGTCGGGCCGGCCTCGTACACGACGACGACATCGGGGTCTCGCTTGTCAACAGGCGAAGCGGCGTCCTTCCTAACATGGCGGTGACGGTGGTTGTGGGGTTGAGAGACAACGCCGGCGGCAAGGGATGCCGCGATCGCGAGGCTGACGATGGACCTCATTTTGTCTGTTGTTATGGGTGTTCTAAAACACGTTGTCAGCGCATCTTGCACCTCAATCGCATGTAGTAGACGAAAAGGCTCGAGAGCAGAGCGAGTGCCGCGCAGTAACACGCAGGCGGCGCCAAAATAATGACACATATCAAGGTGGGAGTGCTGGGACTGCGCATCCTCGCATCTTGCCAATCGCCAGATCGGATTTTATAGTTTGCGTCGTTGACTCGATTAGGGGACCCCTCCGGTGCAACTCACCCTTATTCTCGCGAGGAATCAATCGAGGTCGAGAATCGTTCGATGTATTCGATTAAGCTTGTCGTTGGGATAGGGATCGAAACGGAACGCGTATAGGTGATTGTAGGATAACGAATGGATGTTGATTCGGATTCAAAAGAGTGTAAGTGAGAGCGAACTCTCTAGTTGGAGGAATCAACACGGTGAACGAGAGTGAAGAGCTCGATGACTAGGAGAGAGTGAAAAGAGGGAGAAGGAGAGGGTGAAGTGGAGGGAAACAGGGTAAAGAAGCCATGTCGTGGACCCCCCCTGGGAAATTAGGAAGACCAGGGACGGGCAGGGACGGCAGGGACGACAGGTACTAGGCCGTACAAGCCACCCGGGCCCCCCCAAGGCCCAAGACCATACCCCAGGCGCTATTATCAGAAAGAAGACGATCCGCTGCAGGTACGGCCAGGGCTTGCAATGCTTACGAGGGTACCGCCTAGTGCGCCGTAGCTGTGCAGTACATACACACACTAGGCGCGCCTCCCCGGAAGGGGAAGGAAAGGGGGTTATCTTCCGAAGAGAGACTAGCGCGATATCAAAATTGGTGGTTCCTGGCTCCAGCTATTTGCGTCGACATCCACGCGCAGGGCAACGAGAACGGGACTCATCTGCCCACAGCGCAGCACGCAGCCCCGGTTGGTACGTAGGGAGCCAGTGCACCGTTGACAAACTTGCAATCTCTCGCTTGCGCTGTTGTTGCCCATGGGATCCTAGAGCCACACAAAGATGCGCATGCGAAGTCTGGGGGGACCAGGGATGAACGAGCCTGAAGGCGCAAATCCCCTCGTTCTTCCATGCAGCATCGGTCGCACCGTAGTACGAGGGAACTGGAAAACGCGCCTGCATCCAACAGGGTGTGGCCCTTGCAGGCTGGTCAGGACAGACCAAGGCGTGGCAGCCGTTGCATTGCATTGCGTTGCATTACAGTGGCAATGGCAACCGACGACGACGAATCTTCTTCAGCGTTGTCGCTCTGCACCTACGTAGTGTACAACTTTGCACCTCGAGTTGTGTTTTCCTCCCCGGGCACAAAAGTAGTGAGTGGCACCTGCTCACACGGCGTTCCCAGGAACGTTCCCGTCTCACCGCGTGCCGGTGCCGGTGCTGTATGCTCCTATCGCTGTCATCCGATCTTTATCTTCCAGGCTCTCTTCTGCCCAGCTACACCGAGGTATCTCAAAGTTCGTCTCATGCTGGAGAAAGGGAATGGCAGAGAAGAGAGGAAAAGATGGAGAAAACCGCGCAGACGACAGCAATGACAAACATTCGTCGCCGCCAACCCATAACCGCGTGTCAGGCCACTCGCCTGCTGCAGCCTCATCGAACCCCCTTTCTTCCCTGTGTACATTTCGTTCCCTGCTCCGTACCGGCACGCGGAGTACTCACAAGGGATAAAGCATATGAGGTGAACAAGATCGACTGCACAGCAACAACCCGCGGATGTGCCGTCCAACGGTGAAGAGACAGATGCAGACAAGCCTGGTCGGCCGAATGACGATCACCATTGCCATTGAACCAGACTGCTGCCAACTGGGTCCCTTCGAACCCTGCCTCGATACCACTAAGCCAGCCTGTCGCCGTGTTCATTGACGGCCCTATTTTCCACGCAGGACTTGTCAAACCCCCCCCTCCCCGGCCTTCAACCGTCGAATCAGTGCCCCTTGGCACAATTAGAGAACCCTGCATAGGTCAACCAATCCCTGCTGGTCTTAACCATAGACTGACTTTTGGCAGCTTTGCTCAATCTCGATGCTCCCCAGCAATCAACTATCTGCCAATCTTCTGCCCGGCGCCTTTACCCAAAGAGTCCATGCGCGCTAATCCCACCGAGAGTTGTCTCCTTGGTTGGCATTGTTTCGTCGGAAGTCCCTGTTGTGCTCCTCGCCATAGCCGCCGTCACCTTACATTAAAGGTTGCTGAAAGGGAACAATACCCGACAGCACCCCAAACAGCCAGGCCCCTGCTCGACCAACCATGGTTCTTTGGATTTGGTAATTGTTTAGCGATTCATTTTTCGATTTCGGGTTTACCACAACCACGCTCTGCCACAGCACGCTAGACGCCGAGCCAAGTACTCGTACGACCTTCGGGTCGAGGCGACGTTACCTTTGACAATGGCCACGGACACGAATGTCATTGTGAACCCCGGTCGCACCTTATTGTTCACCGTCAGGAGAGGCTTCTGAGTCTGCGGCGCTGTCGATCAAGGATTAAGCACCGATTCGCGATGAACCATTCCTGTGCACGTACACGTCAAAGTCGTCCCGTCTGGAGAATCCCTGGGCGTTTCGATACTGGGACAGCCGGGAACGAATCTTCAGTCTCATGTTGCCGATTCACAGCAGCAAGCGCCAGTGTGTTGGAGAGCACGGATACCCCTACAAGGTCTTCAATCACAAAGATGCGAATAGCCCGACGTCAATCCAGTTGTCGACTCTCGGCATGTCCTCCTGCTCCAGCTTCTTTCATGATTCGGTAAGGAACTCCAGCGCCCAATCTTACTCGTGATTGCGATGGCGTCAGTCAGCCAATGGCTCAATGTCCCTCAGGCTTCCCTAGAAAGAAACGGGTGGGGAAAGGAGGGATGTCGGCTTGTTGCCGAGCTTTCGTTCATTTCGCCAACAGGTACCCAGAATGTCTCGCAAAGCGCTACAGATGAGCAAGCCACAAAACACCCGGTCAACAACATTGGAAGCCACAGAAACGAAACGGTTTGTACTCTCAATCCTGACCGAGCGATCAACGACAGGATAGTCTATTCACTGCTGGAAAAAACCAATGGCTCCGGTCGCGCTGCCCGTCACCCAGCATCCGCTAGGCGTTGTTTAAGAGCTGGGCGGCCGGGCGTCTTGGCCAACTTTCCTCACCAACCTCATGGTCGCCAAGGCGAGGAAACAATGAAGCAAGGGTGTCCTACCAAGCCTTGATCACGGCCACAGCATCCATCCATGCACCGAGACACTGAGTCGTAGAAAGGCCTGCGGGCCAGAGCACGCCTTTTCCATCCGAGGTGCAGGACCCTTTTGGCCGTTAGATACTACCTGCGTATCTGGGCGTGCCACTTTCCCTCGTCTCATTTCGGCCATGACGTCCGCAAACCCACACTTCAATTTCGGAAGATACGATCGATCTGCGCTAAAGCGAAAAGCAATGGCCGCAGCTACTGCCTTCCACCTGAAACGTTGAAACATCGACAACCTTCTGGGTCCAGACCTCCACGGGTTGTCGTTCTCAACAGGCGCAGCAAAGACCTTTCAGAGGGCTGTGGCGGACGAGAGTCGTGTCACGAGCCTTGCGGAACAAAGACCCTCCCCCTCATCGGCTCGAGAGTGCAGGCTTGCGTCCGGGCTTGCGTAAGATCTCGGTAACGGCGAGAATGGTCTTTGCCCAACCTGTTCCCCCACATCGCGTCAAAGTGATCGCTCAGCGGCTAATGGTGTTTGCGCTGTGAAGCAAGTCAGCAACTTCTCATCAGCAGCAAACCCCCACGCCCGAGTTCGTGATTCTGGGTCTCAACGAAGCCTTCACCCTCGTCTTCACAAGAAAACGGCATGCTGCCCTTTGCTGAGTCGGAAACATTCCTGCCGCGCACTAACTAGGTCCATACCAGCGGAATGACGCATCACGCGCCTGGCCGCCTGGACCAAAATAACACTGAGTCGCTCGCAAAGCCTCAACAGACTCGTCTACGCTTGTGAACACGCCGTCGGCTATCGCGTTCCAATGCAGTTACTGTTGGTTCTCGCCCATGTCGGTTAGGCTCTGCTCGGCCCAGCCACAGGCTTCTAGAGCCTCACGTTAGGGGACCGCCGTTGTTTTGACCAGAGACACTATGCAGAAACAGGAGGTGATCCTTTGGAACAGGAATGGCAATTGCGGTGGTTTGGATCCTTCATTTACGTGCCCGCAAATCGGTAACCTGCGTTCTAATGTCTTGATTTCTACAAATCGTTGGGCCGTTGTCTATATCTTGCGAGCGTGTTGTGCAAGCAGAGAACTATTGGGCTCCAGTGCTTGCCTGCTCACGAGACGACACCCAATGTCGACAGCTCCCATCGACCCACCGCGGACCATGCCCCCTGCGAGTTTCTGTTATTCTCAGGTGCATCCCGGTTTCTGAATAACACCATCTCAGTGACACTCCAATGACTCCTAGCAACGGCCGTCGGTAGTTGAAGCCGGCTGTGGCTGGGCCAAGAAAAAAACGTGCGCGCTATTGGATTCGGTGCCAGCGCCAGGACCTGGGATGAGGGGGGGATCACTCATTCGTGACAGAAAAAAAAAGAAGAAAGCCTCAGTCTTTCCTTGACCTCAAACAATGTCTGGTATCGTGCGGCCGACTTCCTCTCGCTGGATCAGGAGAGGGCCAAGATCGCGATTCAGGGGGGGCTTGGGCCTCCCTTTGGCCCTCCAACGGAACGTCCCATCCCTCGATGCAGGTTCAGGGGGTTAGGCGCGCCTGTCTCGTGAAGTCAACCTGCCCCAGGTCTGTCTGGTAAAGACACTCTCCATGTCATGTTGAAGCACGTACGGCCTCGAAGCATCCCTTGGAGCAGCTCAAGCCCTGCTCTGCCGAGCGTCGGCTGCGAGCGGCGATGGCTTTGAATACTCGACGGGGGCAAGTATCGAGATGAACTGCGTTGTGCCTCGTGGGAGGATGACGAGGCAACGCTGTCAGACAGACGCGGTCCAAGCATCATCATCACCATGTCCATGAGTGTTTCCGGTTGGTCTATAAACCCAGGTGAATTCCACTAGTTTTGCCTACTCTCGAGGAGGACCGGCAGCCATGAGGCCAAAATTTCTGCAACGACCGCTATAATACAACAAGAGGAACATAACCCGACATCGAGATCCTCCTGAAAAATCACCACAAGGGGGAAAATGTCCGTCGCGTCGAACTTCGGACATGCCCCGGGTTGCGGCAAAAAGCCCCAAGTTCCTACCACGTGTGGACGAGGCCATGCGTGCCTCTCAAGCCAGAAACTTTTTTTCCGTGTCGAGGTCCACCGTCGCACATCTACCAGCGCCCCCCTGAAAACGCCTTCCCCGGGACGGGACGTCCTGCAAGCTAATGGGTTGGCAGGAATATCGGTGAGATAAAAAAGAGAGATGAGAAAGCAAGACGCCGACAATGAGTGAAAACGCCAATTCGTCCTCCTGCCGCCGCATAAAGTTCCTCTTTCCGCCTTGCTCCCCACCAGAAACATTTCGTCGTTGTTACATAGGTGATAGGTTGCGCAGATGGCTGGAAAGTGCCGTCATCTGTACCTGCGTGTGCTGTTTCATGCTTTGACCTCCGTCGTTTCGCCGTCACGGGCCTCTAGCTGTTTCTTCAGCCCGGTGACTTCACTCGTGAGCAGTCCGATCTGTGCCTGCTTCGCACTCTCTGCTTTCTCAAACGCCGTGACCTTGTCTGACAGCTGCTTGACCTTGTCTTCGAGGCTCTGGATGTACGCCCAAACACCAGGGTCAGTTGCAAACATGTTGCCACCGTTTTCGGCCCCACTTCCGGGTTGCGTTCCGCTTGAGCCTCGGGCATGAGCGGCCCCCACCGGTGCCGCGCCGGATTGTGTTGTAGGAGCAGCAAATGCTACAAACCGAGATTAGCGCAGATTCAAACGAACAAGACAAGCAACTTGGGTTAAGAGAACGAACCTGGCGGGGTGTGCCTATCTGAAGGCCTGCGGCCGTAGTGCTGCTGCTGGAACTGCTGGGTAAGACTCGGCGAACGTTGTCTGGCAATGTTGTTTGTATCGTGTCCAGGGCTCAGGGGCTTCGGGCTCTCTGTCATGCCGCTTTGTGAATAGACGGAAGCGCCGCTCACGGGCACTGAAGAGACGCTTGTATTGGGCGTGTGGGCCCCGGCAATGCTGTTGGGCATGCTCGGAGATGTGTTTGAACTCGCCACGCCACGATCAACATTTGGCGGGTAAAGCCCGCCTGTCCCAGGTCGAGGGCCCGCTGGCGGGTAGGTCCTGGAATGAGCGTTGTATCCGTCCATGCTGCCTTGCCCTCCCGCGACATGCTGAGCTTTGATGCTCGGTAGGCTCAGACGTCTCTCCTCTTCTGTCATGTCTTCCTCGTTGCCATAAACTATGCCAGCCATAGAGTCATCGCCGTCGTGCATGCTTGGGCCATCCATGTCATCCGTCTCGGCAAAGCTGCCCATGCTGGACCGGCGGCCAGCACAACCACCAGCACCTTTGCTGTGTCGGGCCAACGCATCGCCCCGAGCAAACTTGCGATCGCACTTGGGGCACACGTGAGGCTTCTCGCCAGTGTGAAGTTTGCTGTGACGCTTCAAGTCGTGAAGACGTCGGAACCGCATGTTGCACTCTTGGCATATGTAAGGCTTCTCCTGGCTGTGCGTGAGCAGATGGCTCTTGAGGTTGTGATGACGTGTGAACTCGGTCTCGCAGAACGGGCACTTGTGCTTCTTGCCCGACTGGGTAGGAGAGTCGTGGCCTGGGGACGGCATGGGAAAGCTCATGCCGCGTACTGGTGGTGCGGGCATCATGGCAGCGGCTTGAAGCGACCCTGGGTACGACAGCGATCCGGGCGTGTTCTTGTCATCGTGAACCGGGGCCGGGTGCGGCGGCTGGGGCTGGGGCTGGGGCTGATGCTCCGATTGATGGTCTGGCTGGAGCTCTGGTTGATGGTCTGGTTGATGGTCTGAGTGGAGCTCTGGCTGATGATCGGGCGCGTGCTCTGGCTGGTGCTCTGGTTGATGGTCTGGCTGATGCTCGGGCTGATGCTGGGGCTGGGGCTGGGGCTGGTGCTGGTGCTGTGGCTGCTGTTGCATATGTTGCTCATTGCTCTTGGGATCAACGTCCATTGGGCCCGGGCTAGCCGTCACAAGGGCGCCCGATATGCCGGCTGAGTTCGTCGCGCCCTGCGAGCTCATCTCTGGAGCATCTGCTGGTGCATTGTTGGCCTGTGGCAGTATCACAGCCTCGGGCGCCTTTGTAGAGGCTTCCATGGAAGCCGTGGGAGCTTGCGGCGCGTCGTCGGCTCGACTCATGGCAGCAACACTGCCAGCGAGGACAGACAGAACCGAATGGCCAGGGTTGTCGCTTGACGCGGGCGGGTTCAGGCGCTGTTCGCGCTTACGTTCTTCTTCGAGAGCCTCGAGGGCGGCCGCAGCTGTCAACGGCGTCGGTGAGCGGCGTGACGACGCCAAGGCAAAGCGAGCGGATTTCGTGGGAGAGGGATAGTCGGCGGAGGGAACGGCGGCGGGAACAGCGCCGTCGACAACGGGATCAATGACAGACGTTGGCGATGTTGGGGTGGATTCGCGCGCCCTCTTGAGCGACTTGGTGCGAGCAGGATCTCCTCCAAGCGCGAAAACGTCCGATGCGACAGGCGTCGTCGCTGCCAGGAGAGGGGCTTCGGTCGCAATAGGACCGTTATCCGAGGCCATGGGCGGGCGAAAGCATCAAACGTGATAATTGGACTTTTTGATTTGGGAATGGAAGCTCCGATGCGACCGCGTCCTTGTTGTCGATGATCAACGACGATTCATGGGAGCTTCGAGTCGTTCAGCCACACGTGGCGGTTCTTTTTGGTGGACGGGCTCAGGACCCCGAATTGACGGGACGAGCGGACGAGTCGCGGTGGAATGTGGCGGAAGCGACGACAGTGGAATTGAAATATGGCTGACGCAAGCAGGCTTGATAGCGACGGCGCAAGGTACCTCCTGAGAAATTGGATGCGCGCGCAAAAGCCGGGACGAGACGAGGCCTGGCTGGTGAAGTTGAGGTCAAGGAAGAGTGAAAAAGAGAAGTGAATTCCAAGTGTGGCAGAAGCTGGAAGGAAAAGGGAAGGGTGGAGGGCGGGTGCAGCGAGAAAGAGTAAGGCAAGGCAAATGGTCAGAAAGTGAGTGAGAGGTGTGACGGCGTCTGCGAATGAGGGCGTGTTGGGGCTTGCGGTTTCTGCCACAACAGGCGGCGGCGGGCGGGAGGTACGGACGCACACTGGGGCGGCGGCACGCTAAGACGACGAGGTACCCGCGTACCTGTCTACCTCACCTATGTTACACTGTACCTATCTGATTTGCTTAGGTAAGACGTCGCAACTACCACGGATAGACACCGGGACACAAGACGCAAGGGACGGGATCCTGGGGAGGGTGAGGAGGTTGGAGTCCATCCGCCACATGGACTCGCCGCGAATCCCCATACCCGTCCGCTGCCGTCGTTGCTTCTGTTGCTGGTTGCTGCATCAGCAATAGTCTCCGGGATACGGGGGATACATCAATGCAGTGATTCCCATCGGAAGCCCAGCGGCCAGGTACCCTTTTTTCCCACAACGGTGAGGAGGGGTACCTTGCCTGGCGGTACCTGACAGAGTTGGCTACCCAAGGTATGGGATACTTGTAGTCGTGGGTGAGTGGCTGTTCGTACTGAATACTTTGCCCATCCATCACGACTCTTACCTACTATGTAGGAGTGGCTTTTCATCAGCCCCAGAGGAGAGGAGGGGGGAAACGACCCTGCACAGTAAACGCCGGGCAGATAGATGTATCCGGTGCGCCGAGTGTTGCGCGAACAGGTACCTCGAGCCGCACGCCCGCACACAGGCACAGGCATCCTCACACTCGCCGCACCCACCGTCCGCCTCAGCATTCTCAGGTTGCGCCACGCTCCGTAGATGCATATTTTGAGTTATCCCGACAGTTCCAGCTCCTTCGACTCTACAACCTGTTGGAATCGATCTCAAGAGGCATGCAATCAGAGGCTGAGGCTGGAGCAAGCCAAGGACGATGACACAAGCGATGCGATATGCCTTTCCGCGTGGCTCGTGATGTCAATAAAGGCTGCCGAGGACGAGATGAAGGGGCCAATGGTTGAATACTACGTCCCGGGACCTGGACGAGGGTCGAGGGTTGAGGGAAATGGAAGGGAAGGAAACCTGAGAGAATGGAGCCTGGTTTATCGAAGAAAGCAGGGGCTCTTTCAGCCCCCGCGGTGGCTGTGCAGAAAACACTGTGGGCAAGAGCTCTCCCACCTCTCTCTCCTTCCTCAGGTGCCTCTTCTCTGGGACGCGTATGATTGGTCGACCTTTCGATCTCTGTCTCCATCACAGCCCACTCCGATGGTCCCAGGCCAGGGTACATCCGCCAGCGTCCCATTTGCACCTCGTAAACCGACGTGGCTTTGCATCCAGCGACGGACATGCAAAGTACCCAATACTTACTTCCCACCAGAGCACCACCGCTCGCCCTGTTCACGGCTGCAGATGTCGCCCCTCTCCCTCCCTACTGTGTACTCAACCTGTTCCCCCGCAGCAACGCACCTTGGCGGGACGGAGTACCGTGGCTGAGGGAGGGCCTGCCGAGGAAGCCAAGCTCCCCTGTGAACTTTATCAGACGCTGATTGCTCTCACCGTTTCAATGGGGTTCGGAATGGGAGAGAAGCACCGGCCTTACACTACTTGCGAGCACTCTCTCGCCGCCTCTATTTGCAGGAGATAAACCGACCGTTTTCCACATCGAGACATGGGGTAATGTCAACGATGATTGCTCAAGCCGATTTGTGCTTCGAACCAAACCACCGTCAACTGTCGAGTCCCAGTTCAAACATTTTTCGGCGGCTCATTACGCAGCACTCTCACTGTGCATCGATGCACAGCAACTGTAGAAATAAGACGGACGACTGCTGCTTCTGCCTGTTGCTGTTCGTGGACACATGTACCCATATTCTGAGCTGGAGCCTCATCTGGCTCTGCCTTGCTGTGCCTCGTCTTGTATGAACATGAATAGCTACAGACGTTTCGGCGGTGGTGCCAACTATCCGGCCAGCAAGTGAGGTGCTGGAATGATGCCCTGGTGACCAGCGCAAGTGGTGTACGACGAGGGACAGGGAGGTCGCGCCACCCGCCTTTGTCTGCCGTGTCATTGCCGACTGCCAGATATTCTTCGACTACCTTCAACAACACGAGCCATCGCCCTCCCAGCCTACCTTGACCAACATCGCTGTTGGGTCATTACAGCGCAGGACAGCCTTTGTCGTTCTTCTGGTTCCGTTTCTCCAAACTCTATTGAGCAAGTTTTCCGTTGCGTGCGTTCATGCAAGGAGCAATGACACTCTGCTAATTCGACCCGCAACCTTCAGCATCCGTCCCGCGACAACCGCACACTTACTTACTGTCAGGGTCGGGCGAGCATTGGTTTTTCGTCTCTCAGTCTTCAATGACGTCTCAACCAACTCAGAATGTCGGGCCTGTCGATCCACGCCGGACTCTAAGATTCCCGCGACCGCCACCATTGTTGTCCCCTTGCACGTTGTCGACTTTCTGCCCACACGAACAACCACACCCCAGGGGAAACGAACTTACTGGGGACAATGGCTTGAGCCAATGGAGGATTGAGACGGTCTTCGTCCCGTACCATACTGACGCCGTCTTTGGGTACCGCAGACTTCAGCTTTTGTCAGCTCCAACTAGCGACGAATCAACACGGAGCCAGGTCCGTCCCCATTCGGCCATCGCTCCTCTAGCTTCCTGGACTAGTGCCCTTTTCGTAACCCCTGGAGATGGCGAGTCGCCTGAACTGGGACTATTCGTGCGGCACTTCATTCACTGGCAGATGATGCTACCCAAATGTGGCTGAACCATCCAAACAGGCACAGGAACAACACGACGACTGGGACGCGGAGGCTTTTCTACGGCTTGCAGAGTCCCGCAGGCCGATCCCACGATTGTTGTCGGGTCGTGGCCCATGGGTCATGTTCCTCACCTCCGTCACTCACCTCTCGCCGCATATTTCCTATCGAACCACGTCGAACCACGCACGGCTACTTCTCGTTTCGTTTTGCGCCATCATGATTACCGAGAAGAAGAGTCTAGTCACAAGGCTGTAGTGCACCAGTCAATCTCACCATCAACACCCTGCGGACGCGAGCGCCGAGAAGTGCCGTCTTATGGGGCACGCCTCTCTCGAGTCTGATTCGCCGCTTTCCGCTGTTTCTTTTCTCTCCTCAGCCTGGCAGGGAATGAGAAAGAAATGCTGAATGACACGGCAGCCCCCAAGACGCTGCGTCAGCTGATCCGCGATCTAGCCACAGCTCATTCCGCGCCCCTGCTTGTCAACATTCATTGGCCACTGACATTTACGCTGCCGATCCTTCTCTACTTACCACGGGACAGCACGTTCTGCGCTCGCCTGAGCTTTCCAAACCTGTACCCTCCTCCGCTCATCGTCATTAGTCGTCCGGCTCGATGGCGCGCAAAGCTCGTAGCGGCAACTACAAGAGCGAAGAAGGATGCGCGCCTCGATGCACCAACCGCCGCCCTGCCCCGTATCGGCGACGATCGTACTAAGTGGCCAATGCCATCGCGAATGGGCGTACGACGTCATTCATCGTTCTCCTGGATATGTCCCAGGCTGACTGCAAGCGCAGTCGCATTTCTGCACCGAGCCTTGCGAAAACCCGTACAGTTGTGGAGGACGACCTCGTCAGATGCCTGGCCAACAACGGTGGCTCCGGAGTACCCCCTGTCACAACTGAGAGCCGCCCGACTTCATGGACGCTATTGTATCCTGCCCAGTGACGGCAAGTAAATCGTCTGCCAAGCAAGCCCAGTTGAGCCCTGCTAGGCAAGGCAAATCCAGCCTATCACGTGAAGCCCGAAGACCTCCCTGGAAGTACATAGCTACCTTGTAGAGTGCAAAAATGTTACGTATGTTGACGGTTGAGGGAGTGGGATGGAGTTCCTATGCTATGGTATCTTCCCTGCCGGTTTTGCTTACTATCGGTCAGTTACACGTTCGAACTGTGCCGTAGTTTCCGAACTCTGATGCTCACGTTAGTGATGCCCTGCCGATCGAGACAGTACGTGGATGAGCCACTAGAACCGCGCATATGGAGGAGCCAAGTCATCGAAAAGAAAGCAATTGGCTTTGTAGTTATCCTCCACCAGGACGCAGGTTCTGGCTTCCACTAGACATGATCTCGCTCACAATGCCTGGGTCCTAGCTCTCCATTGACCGCTATGTCTGGCTTGCCGTACAGTCTTGGATTAAGACGTTCGACGGTAAGAACATAAGTGGCAGCATGGACTCTTTTACCTTCTATCCTATAAGATAAATGGTTCTTAGCAAACAAGCACAAAGTGTTCCCTCTTTTCGTTCTTTGAGGACTATCCGACGTTGCTATCCTCGCGACTGGTGCTACTTTCTACGACCGTGTCCCGGAATCTGCCTTACTGCTTTTCTCTATGCACTTGCGTCGAGTTATAGTGTTGGCCAATCATGACGAGGCTGCGGCAGGAACTGTTGTATCTGCAGCCGAAAGAGTCTTGTTCTGCATGGGCATGTCATGTGACGATGACCCCGCAAGTGTTTACAACTGCCTGTTGTGCTGCATCCTGTTATTGAGTAACCGTTCATCAAATCTCGTAGCAACTGTCGATAAGATGGATTGGAAGCTCCGCCCGAGATTCAATTGGTCCCAGCTCGATAAGGCGTCAAGGACTGCAAACGCAGAAGACGGACTATGGGCTTCACACGATTGTTGACAAGGATCCGGAGGCTGAGGGATGTGTCGACGTCGTCGCCATTCACGGCCTGAATGGCCATTACCTGAAAACATGGACAGACGAGGAGACCGGCAACAACTGGCTCAAGGAATTCATACCCCGGATTATCCCCGCATCAAGAGTTATGTCATTTTGGTACAATTCGACTCTCCAGTTTAGCAAGTCGACGTCGGACCTGCTTGTCTTCGCGGACTAGCTACTGGAGAACCTCCTTGCGGAGCGGAGCTGTATGGGGGAACAATATCGCCCGCTCATTTTTATATATCATTCTCTAGGCGGTCTTGTCTTCAAGCAGGCAAGTCATCCAACAAAATAGGATACATGTATGATGCTCATGCTTTTGTTTAGGCATTTCTCACGGCATCGGAAGACCGCAACTACATGCTTCTCAGAGAGAGCATTAGCAGCGTGAGTTTCTTTGGCACGCCTCACAAAGGCTCTTCGCTCGCGCAATGGGGAACTATGACAGCCCAGCTTCTCAGGACCGCCTCGCTAGGCACAAGCACTAACATACGACTCTCCAAGGACTTGGAGCCGGACTCAAGTCTGATGGCCTCAATCTCGAAATCTTTCCGAAACCAGTGCCGCGACCTAAAGATGGTGTCTTGTTACGAGACCCGGAAACTAAAATTTTTGAATAGTCTGGTGAGTCTACCTCTTTCCCTTAATCCATCGCGTACACGTACCATTGTTGACAAGAGGGACTTTGACGGGCCGGCAGGTTGTTGAGAAAGATTCTGCTGTCCTGGGTCTTGACTCTGAAATTGTGATTCCTATTGAAAGTGATCACCGTGGCATGTGCAGATTCTCGGATATCAATGAAAAGAGATTCCTTCCGATCAAGTCGAGGTTAGATACGCTAGCTCGGAACATAGGGAAGCCAAGCATCGTCATCGCTAAGAACGCTCTTATGGGACGTTTGGATACTTCGAATCATGAATCACACAAGACTCGCAACCCGCTCCCTGTCAAAGGAACATGCACTTGGATCTTCAATCACCCGAAATATCAGTCCTGGTTGAAAATGAGCGGCTCTTCTCTTCTGTGGATATCAGCCGATCCTGGGTGTGGTAAATCAGTCTTGGCGTCTTTCCTAGTCGACGAACTCACTACATCTCCGGAATACAAGGGGACGAGCGTCTGTTACTTTTTCTTCAAGTCTGACAACGTTGATCAGTCAGACGTCTTGAACGGGGTTCGCGCCATCTTGCATCAACTATATACCCAATAGCCGAATCTCATTCCTTTCGGCACGGAAGTACTCCAAGGCCACAGCCTTGATAACGTCGATAAGCTGTGGGCGGCGTTTGTGCTGTCTGTTCAATATGCCGAAGCCAGGCCGACGATTTGTATTCTGGACGGCATCGATGAATGCGAACCCCGGCCGCGTGGCCTTCTGCTACGTTGCATCTCTGACTACTTCGCCTCCCAAGACAAGTTACTAGAGAGGCAGCAAACCTCCAAGCTAAGAGTCTTGATAGCAAGTCGACCAGAAAACCAGATCAAGGTGTCGCTAGATAGGCGACCTAGGAACAATAGCTCGAAGATGTCGGTCACCCCTTCGGAACCATACGATACGATCAGGCTGCGAGCCGAAGACGAGACGGACGCGATCAGTCACGACGTCTCCATGGTGATCAAAGCCAGGATCGACGACCTTATAGACCGGGGATTCCCTGTCGCTCTTCTGGAGAATATTCAACTCGAGCTGATAAAACGTGCCGACCGGACATTTCTTTGGGTATCGCTCGCGCTGGGCTTACTGGAAGAGAAAGTCGAAGGCGGCGCCTCGCGCCGCGAGCTCGACAACATCCTCAGAACCCGCGACATCTACAGCATCTACGCGGAGCTTCTCGCCTCGAGACCCGACTTGCCCAAGACGCGGAAGATGCTGAACTTGATTCTTGCCGCGGCCAGGCCGCTAACTGTGAAGGAGACTAGCATAGCCCTCGCTGTGGTACCCGAGAGCAAACAAATCAACCATCCACAGAGATTGCCGAGGAAAGCCAAAAGCCCTGGAAAGCTGACTCTGCGCGACGTAGAATACGAGCTCGTGTACCCGTTCGAGAACCATTTGAAACTCATCTGCGGCCACTTCATCCGCATTACCAAGAACAGGGTGTATCTTGTGCATGAGACAGCCAGGGAGTTCCTCCTTGAACCCAATGACTCTAGCGACATTCCTCAGCTAGATCCCTTTTTCTCACAACCCTCAGCTGTTTTGGGTGGGCCAGAGACTACCTTCCAGCATACATTCTCCCTCATCGAGGCCCACGCCCTTCTCCTCGACATTTGCGCCGCCTTTCTCTACTGCCTGGCCAAACAGTCAAAGACCTCGCAGCCGGGCCAAGCAAGTATTGAAACACAGGCCTTCCTCCAGTACGCGGCCCAATCATGGACTATACATCATCACCGAGCTAGAAAACGGCTGGACGTACTTGATAGCCGATACTATCAGAACCTCTGCCACCCCCTCTTCCCGGGGTTCCACCGCTGGATGGAAGAGTTCTGGTCTCCCGAGCGACCGCCCCACCCCTCAACGAGTGCGCCGGACGACATACAGGACTACTACATTGACCTCTTCAACCTCGAGAACCCGTCGTCGTCCTTGTGCGGCGCGGATGACCCGGGCGACGTCGACGAGTCCTCTGGCGATGAGCCGGAACTTACGGGTGCTGATCCGGAAGTATCCGAGAGGCAGAAGCCCAGAGGGATCTCGTTTGATAGAGCAGATCATCATGAACTCCGCTTGCCGCCATGGCAAGGCGTGGCTGAACGTCTGTCGAGTAACCCCGGTTCCCTGAGCAATCACTACCTTTTCCCTCAAAGTGGACGACGGCGGGATGGTGTCTCTGGACTTCAGAAGAGGGTCTGGCGAAGGCTCCCCAGAGTGCCGGCAATAGACCACTTCGCGGCCAACGTGTTCCTTGGTTTGGCATCTTTTGGTTCTCGCCCGCCTTGACCGACGGGAATCCACACACTTTTATGGAGAACACACGACGCGAAGAGTGCTCCATGTATGTGCTGACACAGAAGGACTTGTTCCCGTTTCCCTTTCCTTGAAAGCCAAACCGGTTTGTGGAAGCATGCTGTATGAGATCGTCCCCAAAGACGAGCTCGCATCAAACGTTTTCTAGGGGACAACAACACTCTCAGAGGGAAAAGATACAGAAGAAGCCTCGGCAACGCACCTCAAGACTGACCTAGCTTTGGGGCATTCGATGTACCCCTCGTCCCACATCGAACAGATCGGTCGGCTTTGTTGACACAACAGAGGGCGACTGGTGACGAACAGGTTTATGATAGACATCCCACCAGATATCTTGGTCGAGCAGGAGTGAATGATACCTCAACCATGGTAATCTTGCTGCAATCCGGAGCAGACCGAAGAGATGGGTCTTGCTCCCCTGGTCTATTATCCCCGGCATTCGTTGTGCGCCCAAGGCAGGAGAAAACATCGCAGTCACTGGCCCGTCTTCCCTTGTCTGTCAAATATCAAAGTTTGCATTAGTTAGGTCGGTCGCCCAGTACGAAGCGGCGAACGTATGCTACTATTTTCTCTGCCTCTGCTTCTCACGGAGTCATGGCAGCGTCCCTCGTCTACCTCCTCTCTAGCGCTCGTGATACGACGCTTTCGTCTCGTTCCCGTTTTTGTGTGCTTTCAATCATCAAGTCATAAATCCTAATATCGTACAGGTACAAGGCATTCCGTATTCGTCAAACATCCTCTCCTCATTAGGTATCCCGCCCCCCTTTGGAGCCGCGCCAGCTTATCTAGCGTCTTGCATCAGTCGTAGTTTCGTGTTGGTTGTTTGAACTGCGAACTTGGGGATGTAGCTGCCCACGAGCGCGTGTCCAAGATAATGACCAACGAGGTCTCATAAATAGCTGCAGTTGTTTATGACGAACAGCGTCAAGTGCTGGTCGTTAATAACCTTCATAACCTTGCACCACCTTACTGAGTCGCGGATGTTCAGTGGGCGTGCGCAACAATAGCCGCGTACGTGTCGTCTGGTATTCTCTCTATGATCCAGAGCGTGCGTTCAATGACCTTATCGGCCTGCAGTGAAGGGAATGAGCGGAGCAGCTTATTGGGGCTATCGCATGGTCAGTACAGTACTTTCAACAACGATGACTTGCTGGGGGTCCGTACCTTGGGGAGCTCATCAGCTGATCCCGCATGCCCATCAGCTGGGCCACAATACAAAGAATGTTCAAGTGAGGCCCGTATGCAAAAAGAAAATCCCACAAGCGAAGCACCTCGGGCAGCGGCGGGGTGCAAGCACACAAGGTTAGAACAGAGGGGAAGGCGTAGATCTCAGCCGTCAGACCCTTGGAGTGGAGATACCCGCTAAGCTTTGAGTCGACAGTGGCGAGAACCTTGTCGACCAAGGCCAAACCCTTGTGTACACCGTCCATAGCGCCGCGTATGTAACCGGGGCACTCACGTGTAAGCAGGGTATAGAAAGCGATGAAGGCCTCGGACTCGCTCCTTGCTGCGTACAGGAAGGGCGCGGCTAGGACGTTCATCCCTTGGACGTATGTCCCCGGTTCGCCTGCATGACTGGTTTCGGAGCCTTCTGTCGTCAATGTCAGAGCCCTTGCTCGGTTCCTAGCGCTCGGCGACGAGGCCGGATTCTGCGAATGCGCGGTTGCTGTCGACGTTGAGCTGTCCTGAGATATAGAGCTCCTGCCAGTGCTCGGCCGTTCTCTACGCTGCTCCTCCCGCGAATCATGTAGACGCCAGGCCACGGCATTGAGGAGGCGGATCAAGCTGGCCTCACTGACACGTCGTCTAAAAAGGGGATCGGTTGTGAGAGTGCGAAATGTATCGTTGCGAATCTTGGAGTAGGCTGGGGAGGCCCCGCGATGAATGAGGCCAAGGTAGTCGTCGGTTGGGAGGACGGGAGTATCCAGCAGGATCAGCCAGACGTAAATGCGCAAAGTTGACTGCGTGAACAGGCATTAGCTTCAGTTCACGGAACAGAGGTACAAAAAGGAGGGGGGCAAGAAGGAGATGATATACCATGCCATCGCTATCGCTCTTGATGCCCTCGCTCAGAACCTTACGGCGAGCCATGCCCAGGGCTTCAACAGTATCCCCGTCGGGCGGCCCTTCTTTTATAAGTTGTTGGAGAGACATTGTCGCGTACTTTGGATTGATACCCATCATGCTACGCTTGCTGGAGGCCAGAGCAGTCATGTGATGGGCCACCGGAGCCGGCGCATCGCTGTTGGATCGTCCTCGAGTGTGTCGAACCATTGTGGAAGAGGCACTCGGATCGCGACGCGTCGGAGAAATATTTCGTTGAGTCAAGCGCTGCTGCGCAATCAATGAGGGCTGATGTTGGGGCTGCAGCTGGAGGGCGGCCTTGGAACCCAGATTGTGTGCCGACTGCAGTTTGCGCAGGCGATGCGTTCGCGGCGATGGCGGTGGAAGCAGTTCGGTCGTCATTGCTTGCGACTGCACAAAGTTGTGCGCCGGAGCGACGAACGGATCCCCTGTTGGACTCGACGGCATCTTTGCGACTGAGAAAGATGAAGATGGTCAAGTTCACTTTTGAAAGTACAAGAGTCTGGAAAGGATTACAACCGATTATACAAGAATAGTCAACAATTGGCAGGGCAAGGGGTCAAAAGAATGCCAGAAGGAAAAGGGGCAACTGCAAACGTAGCGAGGTGACGAACACCTCGTGGGCTACTATTTTTGGCCCGGGGCGGGGGGAAGAGGAGGTTGGTGATTGCGGTCTTGGTGGTGTCGATGGCAAGCATTACAGGTGTTGGTGGCTTGGTGTTGCTTTCTGACTAAGGCGCATCACCTTGTTGCCCGGGGAGAGAGGGGCCCGTTTGAGTACTCGCGACGGCCAGCCGCCGTGTTTTTTCGCGTTCAAGCGCAACCATTCTGACCACTCGGTGCACTTCCAGCGCCGACTCGCCAATGCACTCGTTCAGCTTCACGCTCAATCAGGTACAAGCTGTGTAAGCCCAGCCCTGCTGGTTGGAAGGTTGAACGTTATACGCTCCGAGCGACCACTTTTCGCTGTGACCTCATGTTGAACCGATTGTGGTTGAGAAGACGACGAGACTATCGATGATTTCTTTACCGAAACAGAATCAGCCATCAGGAGGAATTGACAAGCCTGGGTCGGGGCTTTTGCAGCGAATACAGGAGACTACGGAGTACTTGTTCCGACCTGGATAAGGGTTCACTGCTGCGCCATAGTTTGAACTGACCTTGAGCCACGGCCCACGATCCAAGCCACACCAGCCCGCAAGATCGGATCTCGACTCCGGACTCCGAACTCTGGGGCTGTATAACTGTACAGGTATTCGGTATCGGGGCGGAAAATCATTGTAACGGCAAGAAAGGCTCTGTCAGCGCCTTTCACAACCTTGTCGTCATGGGTGCGTCTTTAGCTGTTGGCCTGAGCTGAGCGAGATAGGTATGACGTTTGGTCATCCGTAAACATCCACCCAACGGATCCCATTAGCAATGTGTAACTCCAACGCGGATGCTGCCCCAAGATGTCAATCACACTGTTCCGACTCCCCCCCCCATCGCTTCCACCTGGGGGGGCCGTGGGACCCCCGATCTCTCCAAACTCTGAGCATTTCTTACTTTTCCATTGCAACTGAAATCTGACCAGTCTGATTTGCATGCCCAATAGCTCTCATGACGAATGCAACACAACGCGTTCCGCAGAATTCGGCCACCTGCTAATCTGCTTTGGGGGATCAAGGAATAGCCCGGTAGAGAGAGTCATGTTGGAAAAGCTTCGCATCACACTTCGCCAAATAAGCAGCCAGCCCAAGGGAGAGAGGCTTAAGAAGGGTCCAACCAGGTAGAGCATCTCCGCACCCTCCCACCCCACTACTTCATCACCTCAAACCAGGATGCTATTGCACCATCGCCAGGTTGCCGAAGCTGAATCTCATTGGTCAGACTTGTAGGCACCGGGCCAAAAGCGGTAGTTCTCTGGATACTCGTTCCTCCGCCATGGAAACATGTGTTGCACAACTGGGAACAGCAACACAGCATTGTACGTACCTCGTCCGACCGTCAGCTTCTCGAGTTCTGATTTTTCAGCATCCCCATATTACCGTGTCTGACAACAAGGCAGCTCTTTGCCCCGTCCCCATGACTGACGACATGCAGGTATTGGCATCCTCCAAATTGCGGATTCTGCGCAAGGAGAAATCCGAGCTTTCTCCTGCTTCTGCTATGTCTCTAACAGTGTCGTCGCGTAGTCGCGAGGTGAATCAAGGGCCCATGGAGGTGAGCGAAAGGAAACCACGCGACTAGGTCTCCGAGACCGCAACTCACATGGTCTGTTCCCCCACGCCGACATGCTTCGTCTTATGGCGCTTATTGGAAAGCTTCCGCAGTCGTCCCGTCCGAAAGTCATTTCCATATCAAATAAACCCAAACGTGCAGGTCCCTCCCCGTGTGGGTATAAGATAATTGGGCTCGCAGCAATTCCCGACCCCATCCACCGGGCCCCACTAAGCTTTGAATGGCAAAGACTCGATGGCGACATCGCCCCGGTTTCTACATCGCGGGAGGAGTGCGGATACCACCACCGACAAAGAGCCTTTACTGACACCAACATTGTCAATTGTTAAATCCGCGCCATCGGCCCCTGAAGGTACGACTTGAATGGATTGAGCCACACCCTGTCAGGATTTTCTCTTTTTCGCCGTCGGAACTCTCCTCGGCTCTTCTGCAACACCCAATTCTTGGCTGCCGCCGTCATCCCGGAGCCACATCTCTTGGCCCACGAGATCCATCGTCTTGTCCAGCGGGAGTACCAAAGAGCCTCTCTTGGCGCTCCACTACCGAAGTCTCTGAAGTCAATTAAAAGCTTGTCTGTCGGCCTCTCTCAGCTTACGTTGAAGAGCTTCCGAGAGTCTTTGAAGAGCTTTGAAGAGCTTCCGAAAGTCTTGAAGAGCTTCTGTTCCAGTTGCACAACCCCTACCTCACTGGCAACCACCCGGACCTCAGAATCCCCGTATCTTGTCGTCACTGCTGTGTACACGGCATCCCCCTTACTTGGCTGTTGGTTGCAAGCACTGTGGTTGGCATCCTAGACGCCGCCAAATCACGGCCATTTTCCTCAGTCGGGAATCTCCAAGCTCGTCATCGAGTCGGCCTTGAACCAATTAATGTCCCTTTGCTCGATTGCGCGACCTTGCAAGGGCTTTTGGCAGTGTCAATTTCGTACCTCCTGCCTCAAATCGCCACCCCCGTCGAGGCTCAAAGGCTAGAACCGCTCTAGTCACCGCTTGCGACATCAGCTTCTGCATATTGCACCCCCTGGCTCCCATTCCTACCGCCCACCTGCGAGCGCCCATTTCCGCGGTGACTCGCGTGGACCCGACTCTGTGGTACAGTAACTAACCAGGCGACTCCTATATATCCTTGGGACACCTTCGCCCAAGGAGAAGTCAGCTTTTGTTCCCGGCTAGCCTTTGTAGCCGTGCGCTCGAAAAATCACCTTCAGAGCTTTTCCAAACGCTCTTCAACCCATTCAGCTACAATGTCGAGCATAAGCACCAAGATTGGCCATGGCCTGGCCAAGGTCTTGGGCATCAAGCTCGAGAAGCCCGAGAATGAGGAGATTCTTCGCGGCGAATCCATCCTTTCGGTTCAATCATCTGACACGTTCGTCGAGGAGGAGCCCACAACCGCCGAGTGGTTTCTTGAGCTCTTGCCCGACGGTCAGCAAGTCCTTGACTACCTCCGCTCTCTGTTTCCCTTCCTTAACTGGATCGGACACTACAACCTGCAGTGGTTTCTCGGTGATTTGGTCGCCGGTGTCACCGTTGGCGCTGTAGTCGTACCCCAGGGTATGGCTTACGCTTTGCTCGCGAAGCTTGATCCTCAATTCGGTCTCTACTCGTCCTTCATGGGCGTCATTATCTACTGGTTCTTTGCTACTTCTAAGGATATCACCATCGGCGTATGTTATCGTCCCTCCAAAAGTTGTCTGCTTTTGCTAACACATTGCAGCCTGTGGCCGTCATGTCAACTGTTGTTGGCAATTTGATCACGGATGTCCAATCAGAATTTCCGCAATACGAAGGCCACCAGATTGCATCAGCTTTGGCTATTATTGCCGGTGCCATCATTCTCTTCATCGGTCTGATCCGCATGGGATGGATTGTCAACCTGATCTCTTTGACCTCGTTATCGGCTTTCATGACTGGCTCCGCAATCAGTATTGCTGTTGGCCAACTGGTCACTTTATTGGGCATCAAGGGCGTCAACACCAGAGATGCCACTTATCTCGTCTTTATCAACACTCTCAAGAATCTCCCCAAGACGAAGTTGGATGCTGCAATGGGTCTAACCGCCCTTACCATGCTCTACCTCCTTCGCTTTATCTTTACGACGCTCGCGAAGCGGTACCCCAGAAGTCGAAGCTCTTCTTCTTCCTTTCGACCCTGCGGACTGTTTTTGTTATTCTTCTCTACACCATGATAAGCTGGTTGGTCAACATGCACAGACGATCAAACCCCATGTTCAAGATCTTGGGAAATGTTCCTAGAGGTAAGTTTCGGTGCGAGTTCGGTGTCTGTAGCCCCCAACTAACCAGTACTCAGGTTTCCAGGATGTTGGCACTCCGAAAATCGATACCGACCTGATCAGTGCCTTCCTACCTTTCCTGCCGGCCAGTGTTATCGTGTTGGTTATCGAGCATGTTGCCATCTCCAAGTCCTTTGGCCGTGTCAACAACTACACCATCAACCCCTCCCAGGAGTTTGTCGCTATCGGTGTGACGAACGTCATCGCTCCCTTCCTTGGCGGTTACCCATCTACGGGTTCCTTCAGTCGTACCGCCATCAAGTCGAAAGCTGGCGTCAGGACCCCCTTTGCCGGCGTCATTACCGGTCTTATTGTTCTACTCGCTATCTACGCCTTGACGGCAGTGTTCTTTTACATCTCCAGCGCCTCACTGGCTGCAGTCATTATCCACGCCGTAGGAGACTTGATTACGCCGCCCAACACTGTCTACCAGTTCTGGCGTGTGTCTCCTCTCGAAGTCGTCATTTTCTTCATTGGTGTCTTTGTCACTGTCTTCTCGTCCATCGAGAACGGTATTTATGCTACGGTCTGTATCTCCGCGGTGCTGCTCCTCTGGCGTATTTTGAGAGGTCAGGGACGCTTCCTCGGCAAGGTCAAGATCCACTCCGTCGTTGGCGACCATGTTATCGGCGAGGACCATAAACAAATCATCGGCGAGTACGGCACTTTCAACGCCAGCGACAACGCGGCGCGTAACGTGTTCTTGCCCATTGATCATGGCGATGGATCCAACCCCGAGGTCACGCTCGACAGCCCGTACCCCGGCATCTTTATCTACCGCTTTTCCGAGGGCTTCAATTACCCCAACGCCAGTCACTCCCTCGAATACCTTACAGACTACATCTTTGCACGGACTCGCCGGACGAATATGGAAGCTTACGGACGCCTTGGTGACCGACCTTGGAACGACCCCGGCCCATCGCGCAAGGCCAAGAAGGCGCAGGCTCAGATGCACGAAGAGGAGAACAGGCCGACGCTCAAGGCGATCATCCTGGACTTTAGCTCGGTTAACAACGTCGACTTGACCTCGATCCAGCAGCTCATTGACGTCCGCAACCAGCTCGATCGCTACGCCGCTCCGGATAAGGTGAACTGGCACATCGCCTGCATAAACAACAGATGGACCAAGAGAGCACTGGTCGCCGCTGGGTTCGGCTACCCCGTTGATCGCAGCGACGACCTCCAGCACCAATGGAAGTCTATCTTCAGTGTCGCCGAGATCGGTGGCTCTGATTCTGCTGCCGCCGTGGCGGAGAAGGAGGCCAACGAGAAGGAAATCTCGTCCCACGGCAAGTCATCGAGAGCAGCGGATGAGGAGACGGGCAAAGACGGCGCCTACGACCAGATCGATCCCGTTTCCTCAGGCTCCAGGAAGGATGCTAGCCGGAAGCGGAGGGGAGTTGTCATTAACGGTCTCAACAGGCCGCTGTTCCACGTCGACTTGACAAGCGCGTTGCAGAGTGCCATTGCGAACAGTGAGAGCACAGGTCATATTGACGAAGAGGCCGGTCCCAAGAGCCCGAGCAGCTCCAGCGATTAAAATGAGATTTGCGATACAGGATTTAGCGATTGATACCCTAGGTGGGAAAACATTTGTTACATTGACATGGAAAAATATGTATTGTGGTGCAGTCATGACCAGGTACACAGAGCTGTTTATTAAGAATTTGGCCGTATATAGAGCATAGCTCGCATTCTTCAATATAATGTTACGATGAGCGTTTACGAAACCTACGGGCTCCTTTCGTAGCCTTTGTGAGACAAGCCTTAGCCACGGCAAAGATCTTCAATAAGTACTGTCACCCTCCAAAATCTCTTCAGGCTTCCCTAAATTTACGTTGGATGGTCCTCTTTCAGTATCATTTTCATGGTACTCCAATACCTATCGGTTGTCACATCAGCCTCGATTCCGACCACAAGTGTATGTATATCCAATGGGCCACCCACGCTTTATCTGAATATTATGGATGTTCCTCGTTGAACCAGGTACGCAATAGATCACTGCCGCCGGTATGTCGCCAAGTGCTGAAAAGTCCCTTTCCTCCCGCCAAATCCGCCAATCGGCACCGCAGGTACAATAGCGTTTTGCGTACAGCGCCTACGTGAGGACGTGAAAATGCAGGAAAACATGCAACACTAGGCATCTGCTTGTCTTCGACGACCAACCAATTACCCGGCCCTCAGAAATGTTTCTGAAATTTGCCCGTCGTGTTGGTGTCACCAAAATCGAAGTCCAATCTGTTAGTTATAATCGTGTCGCGTCCTAACTTGAAAACCCTTTGCGGCCATCGCCGTAAGGCGCTACTTCTCCCTTATTAGGCTTCAGAGGCAAAGTTTAGGCCACCAAGGTTTTGATCAAGTTCATCTTTCAGAGGCAGGGGGACTCTTTTTTCATCTCTTCTGGATTGGATCGGAGTCTTGTAGAAGATTTCAAGCGTTCGAAGATGACTACTAACCCTACTAGATCCGATGTAGTATCCAGGTTAAGGATTACAAGTCTACGCCCCAAGACCAGACACGCTCTTTCAACCATTTTATCTACTTAGAGGCATCGCATTCCCACAAGCAATTTTCTCTTGTTGGCTAATTTATCGGAGAACGGATAAGCTCCTGACATTTTTCTTTGGAATGGTAACATATGCTAGGAGGACGGAAAAAAAAGGTTGGCTTGCCTTGCTTCATCGAGACGCCAAGACGATATGAGGGCAACCGGACCGGAGGGGAGCATTTAAAAGGATGGGATCAACTCCCATCTGACCTTATTTGCCAAATATCTAACACACGCGCTGCTTAAGTTAAGAGAGAATCAGTATTACTCCTACCCGGGTATGAGTCGCGAGTTAGTTTTCCAAGGGGGCGTTTTGCGTGAGAAGTGAAGTCGCCCTCCCTGGTTCTGGAAAGTGGAATAACCAGGGTATGGCCCCGATCCGTTTTTCGAAACTCACCAAGACGCCGACAACCAACGTCAAAATTCTGTCATGTGATACGAGACCATGGTATTTCCTCCAACGCCAGGCAACCTCATCCAGACATGGGACATGTCACTGCCTAAGTGCGTCACCACATTTACCTTCTCTCCTGAAGGTTGCAGAACCTCGAGAACAGGCGCGATAGCCGCCCATCCAAGGCTATGACTCGACGCTTACAACTATCTTGAGAGCTCTCGAGATGAGACTATGAATAGCACTCCCATCATACGCGCGGGGTCATTGGCCAATGATCTGGAACAGCCCCTTTTGCCCTTGACGTCTGCCTCATGGAGCTGTTGAAGCTTGGCCTCGTCCAGCGCAGCCGGTTGGTCCGTCCGGGTTTCTGTAGTCATCAGCCGCAGAGACCCGATGTAAGTTCAACGGCCCAAGTTCGCTGGCGATAGTCTCCTTGATTGGACGATGACCGCGACCGCCGAAAAAGAAGAAGAATATGATGATGCTGATGGAGGTCGTCGGGTTCATGCTGCAGCGACTAGTTCGAGTGCCTTGACCAACCCCTCAAGAGGCCTCTTTAGACCGTCATGTTGCATCCAGCAGCAAGGCATCCTCCAGCGGTGTAGCCAGAGATTTGGATCTACCGGCTCCATTGCAGAGAGAAAGCCTTGTGAGGTGGTTATGACGGCCCAGAGGAAGCACAGCAATGATAGCCAAAGAGGCCGCATTTTCGATGCGGCCCACGATGCGGCCCAAGGAAGGCTGTGAATGTTCTGAGAAGCACCGTAGCAAGGCTCTGATTCTCTCAAAACCATTCTGAAAATGGGGCATCCACGACGCGGTCGCAGAAGCGGCCGGCCCGTTCGGCGGCCGGCTCGGGGCTGTGGTTCCCCTTTACGGCGTAGTGCCGGTGGGGCATTAGCGGCCCGTTTGCACGGCCCAGAGGGACCGCCAGAAAAGCAGATGGGGGAAATACGCCTGTGGCGGGCGCCCGGTTGCTGACCTGCCATTGCGGCATTTCGCCAATGAGAGGCGCACCGAGACTGCGAGTAGTGGCTGAAGCTGCCTCCTTGGGCGAACTGGCACAAAAAAACTAAAAAAAAAAGGCTGAAAGCCATGGTGCCGAGCAATGGAAGACGGGGAGAGCAAGGCAAGGGTCTACGGGGAGCATCCCCTTCGGCGTCGGCCGTGCAGATTCGGCCTTTGTAATGCGACCCCACATTTTACCTCTTCACCCAGCCCAGGGTTGCTGGGATGACGACCGCTGCAACTCTGTTCACCTACTCAACTTCGACTTCGCTTCATATCGTCGACCAACAAGCCATCGTCGCACTCTGACGAACCACGAGCCCGGGAGTACAGGATCAGATATCATTGACCGCCGTAATGTCGACATCCTACTTCTCCACCCGCCGTATGCTGCCCTATGGAATTGTGCCTGAGAAGAGCTTCTCGGTCTCTACCTTACTGTTTAAGCATTCGTAGCTTTTTCCAACCCCTGGCGAAAGCGAGGCCCTTGCTCACTCCATCCCGTTGCCGTGCGCGCAAAGACCTCGCTGCGCGATTTCTGCATTACTTGCTCCCGAGCTTCCACCATCACAATCTCCTGATCTGGAGTTTCACAATCCAAAACTCTCTCCCAACTCTAGTCAGCTTCCACTGCCGCAGTACATGGCGCTGCGTACGCCGCGCCAGTTGGGACCTGCCTGGGCGGCCCCCACACCACATACCATCATCCTCTCGCAAGATACCGGAATAACGGTCCCGGGGACCAGGGTTCAGGTGGAAAGGCAAACCAGAACAGGAAACGGAATTGTTTCTAGAAGGTGACCCGTTCAACCCTCACAATACTGGGGATGCCAGACCAGCCAGTAGCTACTCTTCCTTCCGTGGTGTCTCCCACTTGCCGCCACCCTCCTCCTTCCATACTCCAAACTGTTCACTCTATGGGTCCCAGATGCCCACCACTCATGAGCGAGAACCTGGCCGTCCTGCTCGTGTCTTCATCTCCCTCTTCCCACCCCCTGTTCCAACCAAATCCAGCATCGTCGACTTGCCTTGGATCTCTGGGCCTCTGGGTCTGGTCATCGTTGGCCTCACTCCGCCCCCCTTTCCATCATCCCCCTGCCATCTGAACTCCCACTCTATAAGTAACCGCGAACCGTATCGCCATGGAGACCCCTTCCTCATCCACAGCCTGCCTGAAACATATAGATCTGTACTGCTCCTTCGCCTTATAAATGTCTTCCTCCTCATCTCCCGCTCCCGTATCAAAATTCAGAGAGCTCTCTCTCGGAAAAAGGATGCCTCCTACAACCAGATCCCAGGCGCACAGGCAGTCCCTCGGCGACGTCACGTCAGACTACGACGACGAAGACGACAACTCCAGCTCCGAGCCCGAGACAGATTCGGACTCTTCCCTCGTAGACAATGACGACCCCTCCGTCGTCCGCTCCCCCTCCAGACTTACCTACATGGTCGACAAGCTCTCTGCCGACGCCCGCCTGCGCGTCCGCGAGGCTTTCAGAGACCCACCCCGTCTCTCCCTGCAGTACTGCCGCCTCCGAGACGACGTCTACGCCTTCCAGATGACGGAGCTTGTGCCCCGCTCCATCCGAATTGGGTCGCCTGATAGCCCCTTCGCGACGCCCCGTTGCTCATGCCGTGAACAGCAGCAAAAGAACGGGCCCCCCTGCAAGCATCTCCTTTGGCTTCTGGACCAGCTCGTCAACCAGACGCTGTATGATCATGACCCGACCTCCCCGTTGACCATGACCCCTGATGGCTACCCAGAGGAGATCGGCGATCCTTTCACTAACATCTCGGGCTTCCACCTAGACGTCCTGGCGGATGGCCTCCGCTGCGACGTCGTCAATCCGGACTTGGAAGAGGTCTCGGAGGATTCGGACGAAGACGAAGAGCATCCGAACCCGCACCGCGTCCAGGAAGCCCGTGAGATGCTCGCCGCTATCGCCGCCTCCTCCCCAGAAGATTACCGTCCAGACCTCTTCTCCGACCCTCCGACCCTGGGCAAGAAGCCCGTCAAGCGCCACGACCTCGAGGGCACAATCTTCCGCATGCTCCTCGACAACAACGACTTCTTCCACTATTTCCTCTCCCAGATGCGCTCCACCGACCCTGTGAACGACCCCTTTCGCAAGCTCACCCAGCGTGTCGACCGCGTCCTGCGCGAGCTGGACGCCTGGGCTTTCTCCCCAACAGCCTCGGCCCCGAGAGACTCGGTAGAAAACTCCCCTGACGTCGCCTGGGCAGCCAGCCACATCACCGGCGTCGTAGGCCTCATCCGCACCGCAATTTTCAAGCGCGACCGGCCCCTGGAGCCCCAGGAGCGCACAAGCGCCGCCCGCGCCCTGGTCCACATCCTCGCCGCCGTTGTCGAGCGCAACCGCGACTTCGTACCCCCTCGAGCCACAGCAACCACCGCAGCATCCCGCCAGGACCGGAACCTCTACCTCCGCCTCGTAGGCGACCGCGACGAAGACTTCGTCCTCGGCGTCCTCAACCTCCTGCCTCCCGACGCCGCGGCCCAGTTCCTACACACCCTCGAGGACATCTTGGACCAGCTGGGCGTGAACGGCGCACCGGCTTCGTACGTCGAAAAGTTCCGCTCCCTCATCTCTCGCCTGAGGAGGGCCGGCGGCAGAGGCGGCGGCGGCGTCTCGTCCTCGGCGGGCGCGGGCTCAAAGCGTCAAGGTCAGGGCCAGGGCCATGGCCGAGGATTCAAGAGGATGAAGTGAGGCAGCCAGCTCCCGCGCAGTTGCCAGCGAAGGTTCCCTTCAAGGCCGAAAGGTGGTTCGAAACATGGTTCCAAGTATCGCGAGGACGGGCTCCTCACTCGGTTTCGATTCTTCTGTATGTCTGCGACACCCATCCTCTTCCAACCTGTTTTTTTATTCTTCGTTTCACTCCACATACTCTCTCCACCTTTTATCCTCTCCTAGATTACCTGCCCATTATGTAGAACCCCCCGGGCGCGAGGCTTTGAGGCATCGGCCTGGGACGGCGGGGTCACGGTTTCGGCGTTGTCGATTTCGCTTGATGTGCAATACAATACCATTCTTCACCTTGGACACATTACGCTGTATTCTCCTAGTTGTACATGATTAACCTCCGTCCCCCTTCCGCCACCCGCCCTCTCTAGGCATTCAAACCTCATTGCGCAACTTGTTTAGCTCCTCCAGTACCTCCTGTAGACTTGGTCTACCAAAGTGATTCTCATCCCATTCCCCCGCTGATTTGGAGTTTTCTCTCAAGGCCAAGAATGTTTCTGCCCACAACACCTCTCTCTTCCACCACGTCGCGGCAGCTGTGCGGATATCTTCCGGATCAGCCATCTTTTCGGAACCTTTAAAGACAAGCCTGTTGCCATCTCTGCTGATTTGGCTACCCAGTGTGGGTCGACGGCCATTGGTACAGCGGTCGATGAGGGCCCTTACTTTCGGCGGCGTCCTTAGATAGGCTGGAAAGTCGACTTCGGCCTCCCACCGATAAGACTGCCAAACAGCAGCTTGCTGCGGAGCACTGGCCCCCTCAAAGATACACCATAACACCCTTCCAAGCATGTACACCTCAGAGGCTTCCTGTTCTTTCGGGCTGAGGCATACCCAGCAAATGTTGTAGCCGTTGGCGGGGTTCGTATACTCCTCTCTGCTCTGGAGAGCCTCGAAATCAGGGCACATGCGCCTCAGTATCTCGGCATAGCGATCCTTGACGTCTTCGGGTATGTCCTCGTCAATGGCCAACAAGCGGATGTACTCGATGGCATTGATTTCAGGGGAAGCAAACTCGCACCATACCCCGCGCTGCTCAAAGTCGACCATGATGGCATCTCCATCTTTTGACATGACAACGTTGTCGAGACGAAGGTCCGGGTAAAACGTGCCAGAGGTTTCCCGGTGGTGTAATACGCCTGAAGTGATTTGTATGGACCACTTGAACTGCTCGGCGGGGGTAAACGTATTGTGGATTCTCTGGAGTGGCACAATATCTCTCATGGTACCATGGCGGTGGTACTCGAGTGTGAAGCCAACGACGGCTATCTTGCTGCCAAAACTACATCGCTTCGTGATGAGGTGAGCTGGTCGTGACATGACGTTTGGATGCGGCTTCGCTGACAAAAGTAGCTTGAGTTCGTGATACAAGTACTTGGTGTAACTCGTCAAAGTCTTGAGAATCCAAAGGCGGCCCTGGATCTGGACAAGGCAGACACTGTCATGGATCTGCTCGACGACGTGAACCTCGGAGATGTCGAGACAATCTGGCAGTTGGACTGCCGCGCCCCACATGTCAGCCAAGGCAGACTCTGAGAGCAATTGTCGTTCCAGGTAGTACGTTGGCGCAACATCAATTTCCATGGCTCTGACATCCAGAGATAGGGTTTTGAAGACAATGCGAGATCCAAACGGTACAGAATTGAAGAGTGCTGTAGGATCTGGTAGACTTTGTGTCCAAAGCTGTAAAGCGCGGAGAATGTGCTTGGATATGTTGAGCTTTTGGACCCGAGCTCGATCTTTAGTGTGGAAGGCTACATCCAAGTCGAGCAGCTGTCGAATCTCATACGGCTGACTCGACTGTTCCGGAATGAAGGCATCGATGCGCATGGGCGGCACGCAGTGGAGAAACAACGGGAGAACGTAAAACTGGGTTCCCAGTCCTGTGCAGCCATCGATACGCCAGAGAGGATCAGGGAGAGGATCGAGGCTGTCAACGCGGTTCTTGGGATTTAGCTGGGAAGCCTCCCAGTTCGCTGGCGACAGCCGATATGAACCGCCGCCATCGTGGTGGTCCGCTCGAGTCCGAGTGAATTCGGAGAAGGCAGCCGTGGGATGAACGATGTCGTGTATTATGTCCGACCCCAGCTCCATTTTCCGATAACAGTGAGTGAGGGTTGGCAATGTAGGAATTCTGGTTGTCCAATGGCGCTCAGCGTCATGTAGTGAAGGTGTTCCACGGCATTGAAAGGAGGTTAGTGAACGACAAGGTCACAGAATGCGACAGGTGGCGCGTGGGGGAGGACAAAGTGGCCTACTGACGAAGTGACGAAGCAACGATAGACGATGGAAGCTGGTGGGCGTCGTGGTAATGCTGTAGAACTGAGCGGGACTGCGTAGCAGCAAAACCACACGAACCCTTCCGCTCTATTTCCAGATTGATCCGTGTCTTCGTGGCGACTGGTCACTGGCAAGCAAGTGGTTGACCGACAGCGGGGCGATGTTGCACGTGGCCCGATGTTCTAGCCTCCTGCGTTCAAGTCTTCGATACCGGTGACAAGGTGTCTGTGGGTTGAACCGGACAATTGACTCAGGACGTGATCGTGGGCGTGGGGATTTTGCACAACAATGCCGGGATCCTATTTGTGTGTTGCGCTTTTGCCCTGCAAGTAGCTGCAGCTGGAGGCGAGATGCGCCTGGTTGAGACTCGTGACACGTGATTGGTCGAGAAGAAGGATTGACAGTGATGGGGGGCAGTGTTGGTTGACTGCAACAGAGCTGCTTGCGAGCAAAGCAGAGAAGCGATGAAGAAAGCATCAAACCGTGTGTCGATGCCGTAACGAAAGACTCTCAAGGCCATCTGCGCGCACGTATGTATGCGGCGATGCTGCTTTGTTAGCTGGACTGATCCTACCCCAAGTATTGTCCTTGCCAAACCAAACGCGTTTCCAGAGGCAGCTGCCCTCTGAGCCGCATCAGTTCTCCTCCACTTGATTGGCGTCAGCCGTTGCGATTACCTCGCGGGGCAGGAGGGGATAGATGAGGCGACCGATTAACGCAGGGACGGAAGCTGCACTTTCCTACGCGTTGCCTTGGTGTTCTGTGGTGTAGGATAAGAAGGCAGGGAGGGCTCCATGGAGACGGAAGAGCGATGAGCTTCAGGTCCAAGTCTGCATCAGATGAAGTGCAGTCTGCGTCTAGAAGCCGTTCCCCAGCTCTTTCTTTTTTCTTCTAGGCCAGTTCCTTCGCCCCGTCAGCCTACCTTAGGTATCACGGCCACTGCTTCCTTTTTCCCCCACATGAAGCTGCCACTTGGTAAGTTTCCGAAAGACAGCACAAGGTCGCTTGTTGGAGCAGCTAGCCGCTTGGGAGGACAAGGCGAAATGCACAGTCAGCTGCATCGACTCCCGCCCAGAAAGACTCTTCGTCCCATGTATCGGTCGTCCCATAAACATTATTTGTATCGAAGCCGCAGCAAACATGATGCAAAGGAGTAGGTGGCAAGGCAGGTGACATATGATTGCGACGTCCTTACGGCCGCGCGACTAGGCTGGCCCAAGGTCAGCATCCGCCTGGTGGTCGAGATGAGCATTGCAATCACAAACAGTATTCGGGTCGGGAGAGCGCAGCAGTCACGCGTGTTGGTGCGGATGATCTTGATGCAGGTTGGGAGAACAAGGAGATTGTATTTCAAGACCGGTGAAGTGAAGGCGACTCGATCCCTTGGCTGCCCGCCTTGCCTCCATGTCGGGTAGGCACCTCAATCGCCAAACAGGCCATAGCAACTGGAGATCGGTCGGGAATCGGTCATGGTGTATCCTAGGATCAGGTACTCAATTTGGTATGGGCACGGCGAGGCAAAAGGTCATATCCAATCATGCTGGTCCTTCCCCATTGAGACATAGACGCCAACCCGAGGATGAGGGAAATGAACAGAAGGAACAGGAAGGGACGGGACGAGCCATCCCTCCTTCCATCGCCTCCACTTACATACCTATAACGTCGCAGTATCTCAGCCAAAAGGAAGGTACCCGTCTTGACTACCTGTCTATATACTTTTGTTGCGAACCTGACCAGTCGTATTTTACTTTGTACCTTAGGATCCTTCCGTCATACCACAGCCACGGGTAGCGTGCCTGACCCGCCGCTCAACGCTCGCTCTTCGAATTTGGGAAAGGCACCCATCCTCCGATGCATCCACATCTTCCCGCCCCAGGTTCCCACGTTTCCAAGCCATAGCTGACTTATCTAAGGAGGCCTTTCCTCGTCCGGCCCAAGTGTCAGGAACACCTGGGCTGCCGGTGCCCTCCACATGTTGATACCCGCGCGCTAACGACGCACTTGATTTCGTCTCTTCCCATACCTAGTGTTCCGGCCTGCCACAGGAAGCTTTGACTCTGCATCCGGACCATAGGAACCGGAACCGGGAATGCGCTCCACGTGATGGAGTCGGCACGGAGAGGTCAGGTACCTCGCAGCGGAGAGGGGAAACCTCCCTCTCATTCCTCTGCCTCGACGTCGGCCCCGACCTCTGCCTCTGCCTCTGTCTTTTTCCTTCTGCCGCCACCCTCTCTGCATACGCGCCTCCCGCATCTCACCACGCTGCGTTTACCTGGAATGTCTCTATGCGCAGTCTACGACGTTCCTCAACATTTACTCTGTCAAATCTTGCACCCAAGATCACTCAGCTACTGTTTCCTCGCTGCATGACGCCTGTCCATCACACCACTCATTGGCCCGTTTGCGGTGACTCGCAGATTCTGTGGGGGCGCACTTTGCTTTTCGATGCTCTAATCAGTGCCGGCAGTACCGTCATTGGGGGTCATATCGAAGAGGAAGGGGGTTGCATCTTGAACATCCATTGCGTTACCTTTACTCTCCGTTGAGTCCAGCCAACTCGGAAGCACCTTGGAACGCCACTACACCCACACAACGAAGACGCCGGGATGACTTGATGACTTGTGGCCGACGGCGCAGGTACGACCCTTGTCCTTCCCCTCAACAACCCTCCAGAACAAGTCCAGACGCCGAGGACACTCTGCATCTCGGGAAGAAGCTGCTGCTCGCTGGAGCCCATGCGGCCTACCGCATTGCAGGCCACGACTTTCCTACTTTCGCCAAACTAACCAGACAAATAAATATTTGCCACGACATTCATAAAACGACAAGAGTCACTGCCTCCCTGCCACTCATGCGCAAGCTGGCTGCTGGCGTCGGCTCATATTGCAGCCTCGGACCCTCATCCTCACCGGGTGGATACGTCCACTCCATGGCCAATGCTAGTACCCGGCTTTCCCGTCCGCCCGGCCACCATGGTTTAACTGAAGTACAAGGTTGTCCTTGTTCCGTTGGAGACTAGAGCAACGGAACCCCTTCCGTAACCACCGGCCCATGCAGGTGCGCATGCACCTGTACTGATGAACGAGACACCGAACGGATAGGTTAAATCGACTCAAACAGACCCCCGTGGAAAAATTGTTGACTGGAAGCTCCAGGTCCCATGCTCTATCCAAAGGTCCCGTTGATGCCTTTTTCGCATAGTGCCTGACAAGACTGGTTGTCTGCGAGTTGCAGCCTACCTTGGCCAATGTCAGTGCCCAGACCCGAGAGCAACAATGGTATGGGTAGCTGCTGACACCATCGCCTCGTCCATTGTTCTTTAGGGGGGTTGTCGATCCAAGTTGACGCTTTTTGGCCGCCCTAGCATCGATGCAAGCTGCTAGCGAAGTTGTTGAATTCACGATTCATGACATATGGAAGGCTGAGCCTGTTGCCAGTGATTCGTCAATTCGGGACATCGTCGACTGCTCGTATGCGGCGGTGGTTTCTCCTGGCAAGCGTCTTACCCCCTAATACCTCTTCGTTGGTGCTTGGCGAATTGTATGCTGATGGAAGTGGGCCACACAACAATTAGCGCAGCGAAGCGGGCATTGTACACAGACATCGCCCGTCATTCGACTGTCGTGCAGCCCCCCTCGGACGGTGCATCCATACTCTTACGGGTCGGGGCTTTGGGCCTGTCGAGCAGCTATCCACACAAGAGGAGGCTCCAGGCTCACCGGTCGCCTATTTGAGCTTAAGTCAGCTACGGTCTTCGTCCCACCATAGCGTCGGCCTCCCTGAGTCTCTCTCCAACAAACGTGCTTGCAAGTCACAACCGTATCCGTTGGCGAGACGAACTTGTGCACCCAGCAAACATCAAGGCTTGGTTCAGGGATCATGTAGAGAGAATATGCCCGTTTGATGACCACCACCTAACGACCCCTTCGCGTCGTCTCACTGGCTAAACACGGTCGCCTGCAGAGAAACGTTGTACAATGATTTGGTAAAAGACGGTTAGTGGATGGCTCCCTGACCTCATCAGCTGCATCGACTGAGGCAGCCGTCATTGGCAGCGGTCGCCCCTGCATGGCATGCGTTCGACAGGCGCCCTTGCCAGTGGAATGGCCGAATACGTTGACCGGCATATTTTTCCAAGATGAAAGAGGGGAATCAAAAGTTTGCGCTCTGCCGAGTTACCAATTCGTACGACGCTACGGTCTGCATCCTCTCGGCTGTCGCCAGGATGGCACATGCGATTTCCTGGCAAAGACCATTTCTTCCTGGTTAAGGAGCACAACGCTTCCCGCTGTGGGTGGGCCGGACCCATTGCCAGAGTCTCTTCGTCAGGTGTCTGGATCGTCTTTCCGCGGTGAAGTCTGGTCCATCTCTTTTGCGGTCCAGCGACCGTCCGCCACGAGGCAGTATACACAATAAGACCAGGGTGTGTGGGGACGTCGAAGGCGGTCAAGGGCCTGTGGGCAGACATGGGGCGGCCGGGACGCATCCTGCAAGCTTCACTTTCTCATACTTAACCGACAGACTCCTTGACGGAACCCAAGAAGCCAACTTAATAATGCCGCCAGCCATGTCGAATTAGGCAGTGGTGACAGGGTGTTGGTGGCGGTGGACGTTCACCCGGTTCCTGGAGCTGAGCGGCTACGTTTTTTATCAAGGGTTGAATATGCTAATCTCTCAATCCTGTGTGAGCCTTAGCACTATCGACTCATCGATTGGCCGACGGACTGTTGTGTGAACCAATCAACAGAATGGCGAGAAGCAACTGACCGGTCCCGGGTTCAAAGAGGAAGGAAAAAAGCGTCTTCTCAAGGCCCTGCTTTTCTGCTTTGGGAATCTTCATCGTGCCCATCTAGGCTATACTAATACTATGGTACATAGGCGGCGTGCGAAGTCATCATATCCTTACTGGCCCATGCTCGATATCCTTCGGATGTCTTACGGATAAGCGATGACGGTCTCCGGATGAGTACGGGTGTACCTCCCCAAAGTAATCCAACGACGAGGCTGTTCCGAGTTTCCTTGGGCACACGCTTCAACTTAGCCACGCAGGCGACCTACCAGAGGTAAGCAAACAGGTGGACGGTGTCAGACTCTCGGGACCGTGGCGCTTTCCGATGGAACGTCGAAAGCGTGGAGGTCAGACTGCCAGGCAAAAAAAGGATGAGCCAAATACCCGGGGGTTGCGGCCGCCCCGCGAGGTGGTTGGCTGCCTCGGCGTATTGGTAACACAGCACACGCTGTTAGCGGGGCGGGATCATGATGACTCCCAGTCCTCGATCACGTCGTCTGCCGCATGGGATCAATGATGACGCTTCACATAAAGCACATACATCCGAGGATAGCCTTGGGCAGCCTTCCGCCTCCCGAAAACAACCGGCCGCAGTCCTTAGCCAGAAACTACACCACGGCCATCGCCTCGAGCAACAAGCAGGGCATAGTAGATCAAACGTTAAGGCAGCTCTTGAGCACTGAGTCGTTCCCGAAAACCGCTCCTTCGCCTGCAGAGGAAGCAAACAGCAGATGTTGGTTACACAAGAAAGACGGAACAGAGGTCCAGAAACAGGATCAGCAGAACTCACGACGGTCGGTACCGTGGGCATCTTTCCCACCACCCCTGTCAGCCTGTTCCCATCAGACGGGCAGCCTGAAATCCATCCACTCGGCAGGGGCGGGAAGATGCTCGGCTCCTCTTCTCGCGTGGCGTGGTCTCAAGAACCCCTGTCCTCTCACGAGTACCCCTCAGACCGGTGAAATACAATTCAGCACGGGTGCAGCCCACTTCCTCAACTTCCTCTCACCGAGTCTTCTCACTCCAGCCTCGACTCCTTCTCCAGACCGACCGACCAGCACAGGCTACGCCAATCGCCAGCAACAGAGTTTCTATCGGCACGCTCTCTGATCTTAGCCTGCCAACGCGCGCGCAACGCTGTGCTCCACCGCAAGAGACATCGCACAAGCCAGCAACGAGGGCGACAACGTCTCAAAATCGCGCCGGGTGGGAAAAACAACGAGACGGGCAGCGTCAGACCACAGGCAGCAGCGACCGTCTGCGACATCAGCAAAGCACCAAGGAAATCGACGCAGTGCTCCAAAGCGAGGCAGCAGTAGAAGCAAACCCCCAAAAAGCAGAGCGACATATCCAAGCCCGCAGGCGCACGTAGTCTTGCCGTCTCTTCCTTTGGTTCTCCCCCCCCAGTTTCGGCCGAGTGTCTGCTGTCAAGCAGGGCCTATCTGTCTCTCTTCACAACCCCATTCTAGCCCGACTCCCTACTTTCATTTCCACTCCTCTGTTTCCTACCTACGTTGACTTGTTCTTCACTCCGCCTTTTGCTCCTGGCCGAGTCATCAACCCTCCTCTCGTTTCCCCTACCTTACCCTTTCTCCCGTACTCCACTCGCGCACAAGGGGTGCCATTATGTGGCAATGGCTCTCGTGAGACCGTAGCTCCCCCACCCCCTCCCGGTGAGGCGCAATTTTCAACGCTCCCCTTGTGCTTCGCTGTGCCTCCTCGCTCACTCCTGCTTTACTGCTTGTCGCTGCCGTATACCTCATACATGCCACAGATTGTGGTACTTGGTCTCGCTACTAGGCTTTGTCCAACACACCCTCTCTTATTGCATCAATCATGGTAAGAGATGTCCCTGCTTCCCGGCTGGCGGCAGCGTGCATGGGGATATATCACCGATCTTCCCCATTATCCCTCGCGCCCAGCTGCCGTCCATCACCCGCATCATTACACACACGTCGTCCCCTCATATCTTTGTTGGCCCCGGCTTGTTCATATTTGCTGATCAGCCCCCTCCCCCGTCTGCCCTATTCCCCCCTTCTGAATGTGCGGTGAATTGATTTCGTCTTAGAATAATAATCCCAGGAAGCGCCGGGCTGCCTGCCCCAAGGACGACTCTATCAAAGTGCTGGGATCTCAGCAGAGCCCGTCATTTTCTTCATTCCTCGACCCTGACTTCTCTAACCTCTCACCCGAAACCCAATTCCTCATCTCACAAGTTGCAACGCTTTACGATCTCCCTGGGGCTCAACTTCACCAACTGCTCTCACACAACTTGTTGCAAAGCCAATACAATCACAAAAGACAAAGGCTCATGCAATCTTACTCCATGTCGCCACCATACCAATCCAGTTCTCTTTCTCCGGAATTCGAAGATAAGTCTCGACCAGTCGGACATCACGGACATCATGTTCTCGACGGCATTGGTCCGCAGCAATACCCTCCGGGGTTTCAAGGTCCGGGTCTCAACGGGCTGACTGAAGGACTACAAACCATGGCACTGGTAATGTGCCGGAGCTGCTGGAGCCCTTGCGGCGTCTCTAATGGCGGTATGTATCTCGACAAATGATACAACCACTTGAAGTAGGTTGACTGATGTGCGCGGTAGTTTACGAGCCGCTTTCTGGGACGGATACCAACGCCTACGACTACGGGACCAGCATCAATAGACCCTACGAGGTCGAGAAGCCACCTTCGGCGCAAGTCTCTCAGCCAGACGTCTATGTCCCTACTACCATCGCCTCCAATGTACCAAACCCCTTCCCCGTCACAGATCCTGGGATGGTGAGCACGTACGTGCCACAATATCAACCTATACAGGAGAGCCCCAATCACACTATGGCTCCTCAGAACCCCGGACATGACCCCATCGTCTACCCGGCTGATGTATCGACGGCTGTGTACTACACTAACACGACTGTTATTTCTGGCGGTGATCCTATCAACTTTTCCAGCCTTACCAATGATCGTCATCTTTCCGCAAGAGAAGGCATGCCAGGCCCATACAACGACAACATGATGGGCATGACTGTGTCTCCCGCGCTGCATCAGCCATCATCCATTCCTGCGAGGACGGCAAGTTTTACAATGCCCCCCGCCTATGCTATGCAGTGCGTCAAAACCGAGGAAGTGGATATATCAGCCCACAGCAATAGCCTCGATGTTGTTTTCCCTCATCAGCGACCGCCGGCTTCCAAGCGCGGCCCTTTCAAAGATCAGAAGGCGCGGGAAGAAACTGCTGCAACGAGAAAGCATGGATCTTGCATTCGGTGTAAGATGCAACGAGTGCGGGTAAGTGACGTGCAGTCCTTTGTTGATCGGATGAAATACCATGCAATTACTGACGAAACAAGTGCAAAACTGACCCAGAAGACCCGAAGGGTCCATGTGTGGGATGCAAGCCCAAGTCGTCCAACAATCACCATAAGCAACTCTTCAGACAACCTTGCGTGCGTCGCAAGATCACAGAATGCAACTTCTTTAAACGAGGCCAGGCGCCTGGCTACGAGTGGACACGGCGCTGGGGCAACGGCATCGTAGACAATATCAACAATTGGGCATCGAGTGAAGTGAAGACAATCCGTCTATGGGAAGGATACACGCCGGTCGAAATGTGCGTGCAATTGCATGTGCGAGAATTCATCCCGCAACCTGGTGACAAACTGGAGCGCACTTGGGTCGCTAAAGGCGTGAAGAAGTCGGTCGCAATTCCTACATACGCCATCACGAACCTTGACGAAGCACAAACAGCCTACGAAGACTACATCAAGAGGGGTGTCGTTAGCTGCTTCAAATCAGTCATTGAGAGTGTGATGGGCGTCCGGATGGGTGTCCAAGACCAACTGATTTACACCACCTATCTCAAAGCCTGGGAGTTGTCGCAGAGCGCCAGCACGCCGCCAGAAGAACGGGACCTTTTACTCCAAACACTGGAACTCTGGATGGCAGTACGCTTGACGACCAAATCAATCGAAATTGTAGGCGACGAGACGCTTGGCATGAGTCGCGACATACTCGACAGCAGTAGCCCGCAACACGGAAGCATCCCTCTTCCGCCAGTAATGGGAGCACAATTGGACTTGGTTCTCATCCAACACATACAGGCCAGACTTCGACGAGAAATGCTGGAGAAATTGCAGAAGATGACGCTTCAGAACAAACAGAAGACGTGGCTGACGACGTACCTTGTGACTTTCATTCTGCTGCACAACATCGCGCTCGTTACGGACCATGATGCCTCATACGCCCAGAAGCATGGCATGGGTGTAAGTTGACCTGTGCAGACTTCCTGCGGGCACCCCGCCAGATGAATAAGAAAGAAAAAAAAACAGTGCTAATGGTTGATGTCGCGTTTGTTGTAGAAAAAGTTCGCGCGAGAGTCGGACGTTCAAGAATATCACTTAGGTATGGAAAGCAGAGGGCTGGGGCGATATTTTATCTGTCGCGGTGTTCCTTTCTCGTTTGTTTCTGTTTCTGTTGAGTAAGACATGCTGACGAAAGACTGACGGGCAGGAGGCACAATTCTCCTGGCGTATTTCCACTACTGCAATAAGGGAATCTACCCGTTTTCCGATGAGTGCAGAGACCAAGATCTGCGGACACTGGCACAGCTGGACGAAGACGCGGTACAATTTATCCACTGGACGCGGTCACAGGCCATGGCTCACAGTGAGTGATAACCTTCATTTCCCCTTGCGAAGCTGCCACTCCACCCATCGGGGTTCCTTGACGTGCAGGGAGATGGCTCTGAGAGTCTCCCTTCGGTCGGCAGTGACGGACCAACCACCAGATGGGCTTGGTGGCTAACACGTTGACTCTAGAGCATGAATGGGAAGAAGTTCAGCAGGCCAATCAATACGAGCAGCCATACTTTTTCGTCAGCCAACTCTTCCAGCGAGACTGGCAGCCCCAAACGTGGGCATATTAGTCGAAGCTCTAGGTGGGGAGGAAGTGCGTGTCAGGACGTGAGGGGGGAGGCGATACTTTCCGTTTGGATCATTGTTTTGGGGCAGGGATGCACTATCAGCGACGTGCAGAGGCGCAATGCGGGCGGGCCAAAAAAGACAAGTCATTGGCTTTGAAGGTTTGGCATGGAAATCGGAGTTATTTTTTCCTTCCCTCTCGTTTCTTCTCCATTTTCCAAGCAGGCCGTTTGATTCTCACATGTTCTCTTTATTCGACCAAGGCTCTTATTTTGGAGGCCCAGTAACGTCTGTTTGTTTCATAGAGGGAACGGGAGAACGCATTCCGGTGGTTTTGTTTTTCTCTTTCTTGTGGGGACCAGTACGGAAGGCTCGTGATGAGGCCAAGGTGGAGATGGCAATGAAGTTGACGATCATGACGGGGTGGTGAGAATGAGTATGGGCTGGAAGATTGTCAATGTCGTTGTCGTCGTAGCTGGTGTTGTCTATAGTCAATGTGTTTCTCTGCTCATTCGTTTGTCCGGATTCCGTCGTCGCGTGTTGCAGTAGCCAAGGCGTACGTATGCGGTCTGCATATCCAGTCGAGATGTCCAAGGGCTTCGCGGATGAAGAAATTTTATGCGAAGCCCGCACCCAGAACCCAGAACTCCGGGGTGAGCAAGGTACATGATGTTCATCTGATCGCAAGAGCGGATAGACTATATGTGTCTGAGGTCGGATCTGCTGGCCCAGTGATGCTCACTTCACAAGTCATACCGTGATTCTTTGTACCATCCGGGTACAAGACGAGTTCATGCCTTAGACACCAGCGAGACTGAGACCTGGCAGCCAAGAATCAGCATTCCTTTCCCAAACTATGAAAACATTGCCTCGACGGCGGGGGTGTGTGTTTGCGAACTGAGATTTGTCGATCAGCAGCCATGTGCACCGTTTGACAGGGTCCTGCAGGTGTCCTTGCAGACGGGTGTTCCGTCAGAGGTGTGGAGTGGCGCGGTGCTATTCGTAGAAATCCTTCACCGGCGAATGCAGCCCCCGCCTTCGATCAGATTCATCTGCAGCTCTGGTTCGCGGCCGGGCCAGTGTTGTCAAAGAAAAGCTAATTCCATCTCAGACAGAATCAGAAGCCAGACAGCAGGCAGGGACACACGTACTGCTGCGTGTGCGTCTATGCCTGTGCTAGATATGGGAATGTGTTTCGGCCGAGTGGCAATCTGAGAAGAACGATCGATCATCGGAACGCGGACTAGGTATCGGGAGGGTGTTTTGTACAGAGTAATGGGAATGAGAAATGGGGATTAGGGAATGGGGATCATGGCGTGGTGTGGACCATCCGCCTTTCACACTAGGACATTTAGGGGATGGAGCGCGGAGGATATCCAGTGACTATTCTGTTCATTGGGGAGTTTACACAACCCTCGAGCGCAGTATTCTTTTCCAAAAAAACTTTGGCCCAGGACTTGAACCAAAATCTTGACTTACATAAGGGGGAGGGGCGACAAGGAAGTAGAGGAAGCAAAAGCAACCCCAGAAGCACGACTGTCCAACAATAACGCGGAATCGAAAAAGAATAGTATTTTCCTGAGGCCCATCTACTGTTTGTCCTAACCCTACCTTCAAGTCTCGACTGGGTAAATCATTCGGCTCACCGGTACGGATAAGCACCCGGAAAGTTGCGCAAACTGGACTAAATAGCGTTGCATCGCACCTGCAAGGTCGCATTGCTTGGGCAATTCTCTTGGCCATTGACCTAGACGGTCCAGAGGTGACCAAGTGAAGCAGAGCGCAGCGGGTGAGACGAGGTGAGGTTCAACCAGGAGCGGTGGAGCCCAGCGGAAGCTGGACGATACGTTCCCGGCGAATCCACTTTCCCTCCCTTTCTCGGGACCCACAGCAACGTCCCGACGAGGAAGTCGCCGGGGTGGCTGCACAGGGACCCTCCCTCTTTGGAAAATACGCTAGTGAGACCGAAACTGATTACAAGTGGTTCCATCATCGATGACAAGGGTTACGGCTCGCAGGTCCCGTTCGCCTGCCCCTCGGCTACTTGCATATTTCACATGGGCCCAAGTACAAAAAAGGAAGAAAAGAAAAGAAAGGATAGGTCCATGGTGCATCATGCGAGGTGGGATTTGCGAGCCACATCGGACATTCTTCCTCACTTTGCACTTTTCGCCGACAAATTCGACATCGCCGAGGTTCGAAGATGGGGATGTGATGCGATCCTCTCTCCCTTCTCCCCCTACAACCACTTTCTCAGTCTCCCTCCCCCCTCCGCGCCGTTCTTCTCCAGATCCACCCTCTTTATGAGCCTGTTCTTCGTTCTCTTCTGGGTCATGGTGTTTTCCTCCTTTCTTTTTCCCGATATGCTCCCCTTCCATGCTGTTTTTCTGCATGCCTCCGGTTGCGTGCATTTTCTGGGACATGCACCTCTACCCAGGGACACGAACTACTACCTAGACACCAGTACCGCGCCACCATGTACAGTATACAACTGACAGGACGAGATATGCGGCGGACGCATCCTGGGAATATTCTTCATTGCTTTTCTTTGTGGAAACAACTTACGTTGTCCATGCTACCGACTCCACGTTCCAGACATGGATAGCTTAGACACACACACTTCTTAGCCCAACTAGCCGGCCAACTAGCCATCTCCGAACAGCTAGCTGTCTCGTGCTGCATTTGAGCCCCTGGCGATGGTCATTTCCATCGTTGAGCTTGTCCTCATTTTCCACTTGTCATTCTTCTAGTCCAGTCCCCTGCAGGCCATGCAAGTCCCAGTACCCATTCGCGATCCGCCCTCGTCCACGTCAGATGCCCGGCGTCTCCTTTGGTCACTCGGGATCGAGCATGGCTAGACAAGCAGCGCGACCAACAGCAGCAGGGCCGATTAGGATGGTCCACGTCTTCAGAGTAAAGTGGATCTCAGCTTCAGATAGCCGTACCTGAGCGCTAACCAGCTCGCCTACCCGTATTATCACCTGGGGTCGCAAGCTGTCACAAAGAGGCAACACGAAGCACAGATCGGATCGGTCATCATTCATTTCCGATCATGTCCTCGGAGCGTGCAACTTGACTGCAATGCCGGGCCTAACAAGACGGCCGCCGCCAGCCAAACTAACTGCCTTTGCCGTTTCCTAGTGCTCCCGAACACCCGCGAACCCGTCATCGCACCTAGTGTTTTATGATGGCTCTCGTTACACGAGGAGCCACAAAAAGCTCCGGGCGGGTAAGGGCGAGCCACGTCGCTTTTTCTTCTCAATTCTGACCTCTTTTCCGCCCTTCAAGTTTGCATTTCAGATTCCACTCACTTCCTACCTCTCCGCCGATCGCCCAAGCACTGGAGGCGCCGGCCACAAAACGTGGTTTCTGTTTGGAGGTGGCATCGATATTGTCTCTGATCGCACACCCTTTCCCCTACCGGGATGCTACCACTCCCTCCCATGACTGAGCGTTGGTGATTCAGGTTCATCCAATGTCGGACCCTGTTTGCTAGTGTACAATGCCAATCCATCGTCCTATTCACCATCCGAGCTCACATCTGCATGGAAGCGTCCGGTTGCCCACCCACTCCCTCACCTAATAGCACATCACGCACCCGCCTGTCTTCGATCCCGTCAAGATCCCGTCAAGATCCCGTCACAGTTTCAGCGGTTGAGTAGGCGCTACGCGTTCCACAACGAGCCATCTTCCCTGCCATGGCAAAGTGAGTCAGTCTAGCTTTCTTTACTGTGCATCTTGGTCAATTCTCTGGCGGGCTGCCGCTGCCGAAGCCTGCCAGCAGGTCCTTTACGTGCGTAAAATGGACGCATGAAGTACACGCACCACGTACATGCATATGCAGGCAGACAACGGTAGCGGCATGTCGGATTGGACTAGATGGTGGGATCTGGTGTTGTCTGCTCTGATCTGATCTGCTCTGTTTGTACCGCGAACCTTGCACCCATGTACTGCACATCTCTTTTTCGTCGGTTTCCTGCGTCCTTTGCCCTTGCTATCCCTCGCCACAAGTCGAATATCGCGAAGACTGCCCTCATGGCAGCGCAGACCCAACAGTTGTCTGGACCCATCTTACCCCTCCTTACTTGGGGGGGGGGGGGGGGGCGCTCTGCCTTCTTCTGCCAACAGCCTCCACATTTCGTACCAGTTCTCCAACCCATTCAAACCCCCGCCGCCGCCGCGCAGGAGTCAACCAACATCCCTTAGTTTGTGAAGAGATAACCCACCAACGCGACCATATTTTTTGGTCCGGAGGTAATCCACGCCAGGTGAGAAAACAACGGCAGGGCATGAACAATCGAAGCCATATAGCCTCGGGATGGGGCATCTGTGCGCATCGTATTTTGCCTTCGCCCTACACCGGGTTCAGGTAGTGCATCTCAATGACGGCTCAGCTCAGCCCAGACCAGCCCATATCTCCTCCTCCTTTCCTAGCGTTTCTTCTTCGTAGGTACCCGACGAAGGTACCAAGCGCTTCTCATCTCACGTCGTGGCACTGGGCCGCCTGGTAGGCGACCTTGAGATGACACTCCCGTCGACCATTGCCTACATGGAAAGGTACAGCGCCGCGCTTCAAACCAACCACTGCGCGTATTGGAAGGAGCCGGCAGAGCAGTAGGTATGGAGTCGAGGAATGGCAGTTGTCAATCCCCATCTTTCTTTCTTTCTTCTTACTTCCCCTTCCTCATATCCGTTTTGGAAACACCCATGCCATCGCGTGCAGTACGGTCGGTAGGTACCATTCATGTGAGCCATGGCATGGCATGGCATGGCAAGGTAAGGCAAGAATAGCAGATGTAGGGGAATGCGGCTTGCTCTTCTTCCCTGCTGCGCTGCATTGGATCTCTCTTGTTGCGTCGCCTTCCCTCTACCATGCTGCGCTTTCCAGGTTGACTTGCTATGCTCTGCCTTGCCTTGCATTGCTTTACCTGTCTCTTCTTTTTTTATTTTCATTTTTTTTATTCTTTTTATTTAGCACATGCCTTACCTGAAGTCGGGTAGCTCCATCTCAATCTCCCTTCCATGCTTTGTTCGCCTCCAAATCAATGCCGTTTCTTCTTCTTCTCGCGACTGTCCCCATGACTTAAAGCTGTCTCGACGGCAACCTCCCGCGTCACCTCATCTCTTTTCCCAGTCACATCCCAACGGCCTAGCTCACCTGCCAACTGCTGACCTTGCCGCTCTCCCGCAAACTACCTTCCTGCCGCTGCCTCTGGATCTTTGTCGTCGCACGCCCATCACTCCAACCCACACCCACCGCCCATGCGCATGTAGCCATCGACGGTGAGGGACACTCGACAGGAGAGTCAAAAGTAGGTACAGCACCGCGCCTCGCCTCGCCTGCTGTTTCCTCATACTTAATCAACTTCGTCACCATCAGACCCCTACGCAGACGCAGAGCAGGTGCAACACGGGTAACTACCTCACTCAAGGGTCCCATACATCCAGCAACCTCCTGCCATCTCGTCTCTTGTCTGTACCTGCCCGCTTCCCTTCCATTCCTTGCCACCAATCGTCCTGGCCCTGGCCCCTGGTTCTTTCCCGCTGCAGTTTCTTTCTTCACCGACTGCCAGTCGCCCTCGTGGTCAACGGATATATTAGGCATCTGCCTGATCATGACAGAGTCTCCAGAGCTCTCCCTCAGCTGTTTCTCCTATCATCTACGACTTCTTCTTCATCGTCATCATTTTCTTGTCTTCTCTTCAACAAGCCTTTATACCCGGCTGTCTTTGCCGCACACGCACAGTTTGGCCCAGAGCGGACTCGTCTCCACGCGTATACAAGCACACATCTGCCCAGTCACGGCATAGCTCTCTTACGGGACGTCGTCCAAAGCCTCGACCTAATCCAGGGCTCTCTTTCCGTACACCCTTTTCTGCCTCTACATCCGACGCCGCACGGTAGACAACCCAATCTCAAACGAACATCTACAGGTCCGTCTGCCCCTGTCCATGCTTGCTTAGGTTGGCTGTTGTTGTCGTCTGACAAGTCCGATTTCAGTTCTCACATCAGCAAGATGGCGCCTAGTGCTGTTGGCCCGGTCGTGGGTGCTACCACGGCACCCGCTGCCCACCACATCCATCACATTGAATACCACGCTCCAGTCGCGGAGATCCCTGGTCTCCCCACTGGCTTTCCCGAGACAGTGGTCGACGAATCAGCCTGGACCGGCCCGCAATTCACCAGGGAGTCGCAGTACACCTACAATCTCACCAATGCGGACCTCGAGGAGCTTGCCGCCGCCCTCAAGCACTTTAAAGGTATGTTTGGCCTCGGTCCTGCTCAACAACGTCTCGACGTCTGACTGCGGTTATGAAACTAGCCCTGGCCTTGATGGTGATCTTGTCAACAAGGACAACTTTCCCTTGCCCATCCTTGGTGCCGCTCTGGGTCGCGTTGCCCGTGATATCCATTGCGGCAAGGGTTTCGCTGTGGTCCGCGGCCTTGATCCGCAGAAGCACTCGGTCGAAGATCTCACGGTACTGTATCTTGGCATCCAGGGGTACATTGCCAACCAGCGTGGCCGTCAAGACAAGAAGGGGAACATGCTTGGTACGCGACATTCACCCATTGTCTTTGCCTCAGCAAACCTGCTTACTCCGGTTACAGTCCACATAGTTGCCGACAACACCAGCCAAGCCAAGGCTGATCACCATCGCCATTCTACTTCCGCCATTGTAAGCATCTTGTCCGTCGCCCTGAAGGACCCCATGTCACTAAACATGTCATCTTCAGACCTTCCACAATGAGGAGTCGGGCGACGTTGTCAGCTGGTTGACCCGGAACACCGCTGCAGCCGGTGGGAAATGCATCATTGCCTCTGCCCACACTGTCTACAACGTTCTCGCAGCCACTCGACCGGACATCATCCGCACCCTGTCCCGCTCAGACTGGCCATTCGCCCTGTAAGTAAATCAAACCCTGCTATAGTCCAGAGCATTCTGTGCTTTGTGGGCAACAATGGGTTTGTTTGCTAACTGCGGCTCAGCCCCAAGTTTCAATGCCGCCCGATTCTCTTCCACCACGACGGAAAGATCATTACCAACTTTGGACGGACTCCTTTGATGGGAAATTCAACCCATCCCCGCCCCGCCCACTTTCCATCCTTGACGCCTCGTCAAGTCGAGGCTCTCGACGCCTTTGAGGCCGTTGCTAAGGCAACCCAGATGGAGATTCAGACTCGAGCCGGCGACATTCACTTCATCAACAATCTGGCCATCCTTCATCGCCGGGAGGCATTCACCAACGGTCAGGGTCCCGATGAGAAGCGCCACCTCGTTCGGATGCGTGTGCGCAACGAGAAGCTTGGCTGGTCCATTCCTGCTGAGCTTCAACGCGAGTGGTTCGACGCTTTCGAGAAGCCTGCCGACCGCGTTTGGCATCTGGAGCCAATGCCCGACGCGTTCTTCCCCCTCAGAAAGTACCCAAACTGACTCTGGGACATGTTAGTCGTTCACTGTTCTGTTGAAAAGCCATCGGGAACGGGAGTTGAGGTGTCATGATTGCATTACTTGGGCTTGCATTGCTTAATCCTGGGGGCCTGGGCTCCTGGCATGGGGCCGACTACTGCATATTTTCTTTTTTGCCTTTTCCCTCACCGCATCCTATTACCCCTGCTGCGGCAAAAAAAAGTTTGTTGCCTTTGTCACGGTCAGAAAAGCATGGAGTCTCTGGGAGTTCAAACAGTAGAAAACGGCTGGGAAAAGCATGTATACATTGGTGGGGATGTCAAATCCGGCGCTGGCACGCAATACAACACACACAATTCTAATTCTATGATTCCATCTCCCGTGATTTTTCAGGGAGCTGGTGCTGATCGTTAACTGAATGGTCTCAACATGACGGCTAGCGGCTGAGTTGATGTTGCAAAGCAGAGTTTGAGACACCTTGAGAAGACTTTCCTGCCAGCCAATCGCCTGGCTTTAGAATAGAGACAATCTTAGATCACACGACCGTGGTGCTGGAAATCTGCAAGCATGCCGGACCGGTCAGACAGTTGAGACCATGATTGGGCGACTCCGAGACATCGGTGTGCGGCTGCCATGCCGCCAAAGAGGCCTTCCAAGCCACCTGTTTAAGATCTGGGTCAGCAAAGCCCTAGACAGCTACCTGAGAGTCACGGCCTTAGGCTGCGGAAACCTACATGGAGATCACACAAGGACAGAGAGCAACCGTACATCTATCATTTGTGTGTGGATAAGATTGACCAGCCAATAATCGCTACTGGTGCTACCACTTCCAGACATACATGTTCCAAAGGGCATATCCCTTCCGATTGACTGGAGCCCATGAGTTTGATGGAACATCGTTGGGAAGCATGGAAGTACGGCCGCTTCTTCTATTTGCGGTCCTACATTCCTTCTTCGCTGCACCCTATCACGGTGCTTAACCTACATCGCAAACGACATTGCAATGGCCATTTTCAGTTGTAATCGAAAAGCAAGGACACGCATTGGTGTCAAGGGTCAACAGCGGTAAACGTAGTCACGGTTCATTGAACAAATGTGGGTTCCTGTCAGTGGAATACTGGTCGCCCCTAGAGCTGACCGACGAATTGAGTAGGCACGTATGTATGTATATATGTATATACGTATATATGTCATATTTGTTTGGCTGCTTGGCCGCAGAGGCCAGGGCGCGGGCACCGACAGTGGGTAGCGACGGTCATATCGAAAGTCGAGACAGTCGGCCAGAATAGGCCAAGAGCCACATGGCCATCCCATCAAGCATTGAAGACGAAGCCGCCCAATGACGGGTGAGCAAGTGCGTGGCTGCAGCTTGTCGAGAAGTCAAGTTGTGTTTTGGCGTCTGCAACACGACTCGGCTGCCAAAGTGGTATTGCGGGCGATGGGGATGCATGCTCTCGTCGGGTGCATGAGCTTGCCGGATCGCTGGCAGCAGCCAAGCGCCCGCTCCCTGGCATCCGTCCAGGGTCAGTGACGGAGGATGACTCTGGATGATTCTTTGACGGGCCCCCAAGGTGATTGTTTGCCTGCAAGGGAGGCAGCCACCATGCAGGACGCGCATGGGAAAATGCGGGCAGTGAACGGGGTAGCCATCCAGCGGGAACTTTTGTGTTAGTCCGCGGGGTGGGCTGCGCCAGGTCGGTATGATAAAACACAACGGGCTGGTTGTATTATTGCCATCATTATTTGCTTTTGTCGTGTCTTCTTCAGTCCCAAAGGGTCTTGCGGGTCGATGACCACGCTGACCGGGGCCCTAGCCAAGGGCACATCTATCACGAATAAGGCTTGAGCGATGACACGAACCCCATGCAGAGAGGTGGGAGACGACTGCCACCGGGGGTTCATGTTGGTGTGCTTGCTTCTTGTGCCCGCATATGCGCATATGGGAATGGGGCTCTAGGATGCTGGGAAGACGACAGTGGCCCGAGGTCGGCATCGCAGGTTTGCATTTTGGCGAGTGGTTGCCGGCGTGCAGATGGCCCCACTTCGTACTGTAGATTGCTTATTGCGAGCCGGGATCCTCTCCTTTCGTTTCTTTTTTGAATTTATTTCCCTTTCGTCAAGAATAACATGCCTGTACATCAACGGGAAGTTGCCATCGGCCCCTAGCGTGGAAGATCGATCGGAGGGATAAGAGCGGAGCAACTTTGGACTTTCGAGAGTTCATCCTCCTGAGAGTGCGGGAGACCCCTGGTTCGCCAGCGGTGTTGGAGACACGTATGGGGCGCATGTGCTACTGCATCATTTCTTATTCCGTCTCGTACGCCAAGAGTCGATCAAAGAGGACGATGAGAGAGAAGGCAGGAAAAGGAAAAAGCAAACCTGGATGACGAAGCGGGCAGAAATTTTCGACTAGTGGTGCAGGCAGGGAGGGATAGCACAGGTGTTCAAACATTCAACTGCATGTTTGGAAGGAATCACTAACCAGCATTCTGCTGCGACCAAGGATTCCGATGGGGTTCATTTCGCGAAACCGCGGACCGCCAAGTTTCGGGACTAGACTTTCGATCTGGTGGCCGCATCGTCGTCGGTACTGCGACGGGATGCATGAGGCGTGGACGACTCTGAATCTCGGCTCTCTTAGCCTCGGATTCGTGTCCAACCCGCTCGCTTCGCAACCGCTCGGGATGCTACCCGTCTCGTTGATAGGTTATTAAGCAGCACACCGTGGCCAAGGTCTGGAACAGTAGTCGAACAGCGCAAATGTCGCCGGCGAGAAGTGGTTGGATAAAGCTTTACCGCCTCGAGATGAGGAAAAGTAAAAAATGGCCAGATGAGACGCCATGATCGACAGCGTCCGGTTTCCTCTGCAACGCTGGACGCGTTCTTGATAACAGCCTTGTGGCGGCTGAAGAGGCCCGTGACGGTTGATGGTAATGAGCTGAGCCAGGGCCCTTCTCCGGGGATGTCTTCCGCGGCTCTCTGGTCCGGCGCCTCTAGCAAGCCGTTGTCGTGACTATCGGCATTGCCGGGGCTCACGTGCAATGGAACCAAAGCGTCGACAAGGGGTACTGGGAGCCGAGAGGTGAAAGCGCTAACCACCATTCGGGTGAGCCAGCGGCTGGTCCAATTGGCCGGCAAGCCTGTACTTTCGGGACCGGATCCATCGTCCCGTTCAAGCTAAGGTAAGCCAGCCAGGGCCAGCATCGTCGAATGAGAGCGTCGATCCCGACGACACAATGTCCCCAACCTGTTGAGCCTCCCTACACTAATCACCCTAATTACCGTGGGCTCTTGCGGCCTTGTATCGAACGACACCTCCGTCACGACCTCATCAGCCAGCGAGGTCTCGTCTTTGCGCACAGCGACTCTTGACCGCCGTTTGCTCGCCTCGCTCATTTTGCTTTTCACTTCCGGCTCTTGCCGCCCTTTCCGCTCTGCAGTAGCCTCGCAGCGCATTGCCCATCCGGGTGGCCAATTGGAGAGGACACGGACGCCAGCAACCTCCCCCCTAAGGACGAGATCCGAGTTGCGGCTTCGAAAGAAGATTCCCTTCCCGTTTCTGCTGCATCGCTCAACTGCCAGTCGCCATCGGGTCGGCTACCCATCCATCCATCCATCTACCCCCATCTGCAGGCGCGCACCCCCACGACCTTCACACCTTGGCGTGTACGCCCTTCTCCTGCTCGCCCGCCTCATTGCCTGCCCTCGAAAGCTGCATGCAACCTGCGGATACAGCCTTGATCGGTGCAACGGCGCCCTCGGATGTGAAACGTGCCTCCCACCTGACGTACTTGGGTTGATCCTTCACTTTGTCAATTGGAGTCGGGGTCTGCGTATCGGTTTCCACACCGGCTTGTCATTGTGCTCGTGTGTGTGCGTGTGTGTATGTGTGTGGAGCACCGAGCCAAACGGGCTGCTTTTTGTTTCTTCTGTTCGCACGGCAGCCTTCACCGGGCCGTCGATCCCGGAGCCTACGCCCCCCACGTCTTCCCACGACGTGTATCATCTACTCGGCTCGTCTTGATCGCTGAGTAGCGAGTCGTCTACCTAGCTTCGGACGGCAACCATGGCGCCTCGACAGGGAGGCTACCTTCGCGTCCCCGGACAAGAAGAGGACGCTCCTCAGCGGCAGCCCCGCCGCTCCGGCTCCGCCGGCCGGGGACGGAAACCGTTGCCGAGCGAGAAGCCGCTCCCGGCTCTCCCGCCGCCGACGCCCACCCATACGGCGGGCTTCGTCGACGTCGACCTCAACGGCGGCATCGCCAACACGCCCAGCCGCTGCCGCCGCGCCACCATTGTCATCGTCCTCGCCCTCGCCGTCGTGGGCTGCATGCTCGCCTTCGTCGTCCTGGGCTTCGCGTGGGACAATGGCGGCGTGCGGAGGGGCCCCGGCGCGCTGGACGGCCTGAAGAACCTGGACGACTGCCCGTGCAGGCCGGACGACGACGTGCCGCAGTACTTCCGGACGAGCCCCGAGCTGTGGGCCGGTCCGACGGCGACGGGGAAGCCTGCCTTTATGGCGCAGACAAGGGTCCTGCCGACGGGGACGTTTGTGCCGAACCAGCCGCTGCAGACCGACATCCCGATCGAGGGGATGGGGAGCAAGAACGAGAGCATCTTCAACATGATGGGGTAAGTTGTTTTGGTCACGGGTGCCGGAGCATTGTTGACGTTGCCGTGTAGGTATCTCACGCCGTACCAGCCGAGTCCCGGGTTCGGAGTGGACGAGTATGCAATGCCAGCTGGGGCGGAGATTGTCCAGGTTCAGGTACGCTTGCGATGACCGTCGAGGCCCGCGTTTGACGGGATGCCGTGGGCTTGAGCGTGATTGACTGATGGCTCGTGTTAGATGCTTTCCCGGCACGGCTCCAGGTACCCAACCATGGGGTCCAATGTTGCTAGTTTCGGGGAGCGTATTGCGAAGGCTGGCAAAAAGCTCAAGGCGAAGGGCGCCCTGGAGTTTTTGAACGACTGGAAGTATCAGCTGGGTCACGAGATCTTGGTTCCCAAGGGTGAGCGTCACGTTAGGTTTCTATTCATGCGATGATGCTAACGCGGAATTTAGGCCGTCAGGAGCTGTTTGACTCTGGTAAGAATATTAGGCTTGGCCAAGCACCTTCTGATGCTGACTAGTTTCCAGGCATTTTGCACTCTTACATGTACTCTTCGTTGTACAACCCCAACAGCAAGATCATTGTGCGGACTACTGTGAGTCTAACCTTATATCTTGCAAATCCGGGTTCATTCGCGACTTACATTCATGTAGACACAAGACCGAATGTTGAAGTCGGCCGAGTACTGGCTGGCTGGTTTCTTTGGTCTTGAATGGTATGAGCGCTCCAAGTGTAGGCTAGAGGAGCCAATGACTGACTCGATCCGCAGGACCAACAATGCCACCATCGAAGTTATCATTGAGCAAGACCGGGCTAACAATTCCCTTGCTGGGTATCTGAACTGCCCCAATGCTCAAAAGCAGAATGGAGGGAACGATGCCGCCAAGGTCTGGATCTCAAACTATCTATCTAATGGTGAGTCCGCTGTCGTGCCGCTGACGTAGAAGTCGCTGACGCCTTCAGCTACTGCCCGCCTGAGGGATCTGGCGGATGGATTTGACTGGACCATTGACGACACCTACGCGGCTCAAACCATGTGCCCTTACGAGACGGTGAGCATTGCGACAAGTATCGACGGGATCAAGTGGACTAACTCGCATTAGGTCGCCTATGGCTTTAGTCGATTCTGCGACCTGTTTACCTACGAGGAGTGGGTTGGATTCTCCTACTCAGTTGACCTCGCGTTTGCCGGCAACAATGCTTTCCAGAACCCTGCAGGCGTAAGTCCCCCCCTCCGGAGTAGTAAAATAACTCTATTGACTCGCTGCAGCGCGCTGTGGGTATCGGATACCAACAGGAAGTCATTGCCCGCCTCCAGAACCACACTCTGGGCTACTCGGGCTCGCAGATCAACGTCACTCTGGACAACAACACCGTCACCTTCCCGCTCAACCAGAGCCTCTACTTCGACTTCTCCCACGACACCAACATCGCCTCCATCCTCACGGCGTTTGGGCTGAAGCAGTTTTCTCAGCTGCTCCAGCCAACCGAGTACCCGGGCCCGCACAATTTCACCGTCTCGCACATAACGCCGTTCGGCGCGCGCCTCGACATTGAAATCATCAAGACCCCGAAGCCGTTCAAGGCCGACCGGTCGGGCTACGACGAGGACGGCGGCGAGACCAAGTACGTCCACTTCATCCTCAACCAGAGGACGGTGCCGCTGGGGTGGAGCTTTCCCGAGTGCGACGTCGAGAGGAAGGATGGTTGGTGCGAGTTTGATACGTTTTTGAGGGTGCAGCAGGATATGCCCGAGCTGGCGGACTATGACAGGGCGTGTCACGGGGACATTGAAACGGTGCCGTATGGGGTTGTGTATGATGGCAGACCCTTGTAAGAGGAGGAAGAGGGCGTTGCGACGATAGGCTGTTTTGATTGTGTATGGAGTGTACATATGTTCCTTTCTTCCTCGAGGGTGGATTTGCCCTATCTATGTTGCTGGTTTAGAAAGGCGCTTAATTGATATTCCTGGCTCTGACGTTTGCCAACGGCGTGGGGTGACGACACACTCACACACGACAGTACTGCGGAATTATCTGGTCACGAACCAAGTTAGACATTGGCCACATCATGTCGCTGTTCTGCAGTGATTACTTTGAGACCTAGTCTTGCGCCTCGTTGACAACCACTTGGGGGTCGTGGAAGGTGATTCTGCCGCACCGAGTCCCTTACAATGAGTAGCAACTCATGCTTCCTGATGAGCGATCCGTAATCTGTCAGAGACGAGACAGGTACATACAGGATAACTCCAACAGAACCGAAAAACGGGGAAAGTCACGCGAGTATAATAACAGGCGACTGATACGACGATTAAGATATCGGTCACGGCTCTCGAATTGTTGCATGCGGCATTCAGAAAGTTCCACACTAGCAACGGACCAAGGCAACCTCGTCCTTTGAAATGGCTTGTCTGAGGTGTTACTACAAGGGGCCAATCACCGAAAAGCAGGAATTGAGGTCATTCTACGCGTGATAGACTTCATTACGACATCATTCCTACGCTGCTAAGGATTTATACTATGATTTTGCCTCCAGAGCAACTTTTCTGTTATAAATATTATGATATGAGTCGAACACGGTAAACCGACGGGTATTTGCTGCCTCATAGTGGGGTAGACTTAGCTGTTGTAGACTGTATGTGTCGCCATAACTAAAGAGAGAGCAGCTCAGAGGTTGCAAGTATGCTAGATTCCGCAAGAGTGCTGCAGGAAATTCAACCGCTTTTCATATTACCGAAGTTTTTGCCACGGTGAACGGTGAAGAAGTTATCATAGACAGAACGCAGTGCCTTTCTAGCGATAACAATAATGTGATGCCTGATATATCGATGCAAATTCCCAAACCTTTCTGTGCCATGCTACGAGTAAGGAAGTGACAAAAGGAGATAACAATGAAAAGACGAAAAGGACGAAGGCCATACTACATAATCTGCCAACATCTAGGTTGACTGAAAGTGAATTTACACGTCTAGTAATTTCACCCATAATACTCGTCCTGAGCTACAGCCAAGCGCAACACGTGATCCAGCCACATCCGACTCTACTGGCCGATAGTCCGTGGGAAGCCAAAGGAACCTCTTTCCATCTTTCACAATCCAAGTTCTATCAAAACCTATACCATAACCATGAATAAAAGGCTTGCGAGAAGAAGCCTCTGGAGAAGATGTCGCCGTAACGGATGGACCCAAGCTCAAAGTCCCAATATTAGTGCTGAGGCACGCATCATTCCTCGTATCGAAAGAAATTTGAGTTATGACTGTTTCAGTCTCGAACGTCTGAAGGCATTCGCCTGTTGCTGTATCCCATACCTTAACGGTATAATCGTTTGAGCCTGATGCAAGCCGCTGGCCGTCTGACGAAAAGGCTACTGACCTAACCCAGGAACCATGGCCCTTGAGCGTCTGGAGGCATGCGCCTGTTGCTGTATCCCATACCTTAACAGTACGATCGTCTGACCCTGATGCAAGCCGCTGGACGTCTGACGAGAAGGCTACTGACCTAACATAGTCGCTATGGCCCTTGAACGTCTGGAGACATGCGCCTGTTGCTGTATCCCATACCTTAACGGTATAATCGTTTGAGCCTGATGCAAGCCGCTGGCCGTCTGACGAAAAGGCTACTGACGTAACCCTAGAACTATGGCCCTCGAACGTCTGGAGGCATGCGCCTGTTGCTGTATCCCATACCTTAACAGTATGATCGTCTGACCCTGATGCAAACCGCTGGCCGTCTGACGAGAAGGCTACTGACCTAACATAGTCGCTATGGCCCTTGAACGTCTGGAGACATGCGCCTGTTGCTGTATCCCAGACCTTAACGGTATAATCGCCTGACCCTGATGCAAGCCGCTGGCCGTCTGACGAAAAGGCTACTGACGTAACCCTAGAACTATGGCCCTCGAACGTCTGTAGGCATGCGCCTGTTGCTGTATCCCATACCTTAACAGTATGATCGTCTGACCCTGATGCAAGCCGCTGGCCGTCTGACGAGAAGGCTACCGACGTAACATCGTCGCTATGGCCCTCAAGGGTCTGTAGGCATGCGCTCCAGTTCGCTTCTATATCTGGCATTACACTGATCCAGGTTGGTGCCTCTGCTTGGAAATTTTGTCTCACTAAGCTGCCAGTGGGACTAAACACAAGGGCCGTCATATAAATTTGCAACGGATAACTCTCCACAACCGATCTGTGAGACAAAACAAATCGACAGGCATCTCGGACTAGCTCGAAAAGCTGTTGTGTTCCTTCGCTTGCCTGTGGAAACGTTAATCGGTACCCTTTCAAAAAAGAAATGTGTCTAAACTTACAAGCAACGTCTCGAGTTTCTGCACTGCCAAAACTGCTTGTGACATGCTGCGCAGGAGGCTGAGAGCCTCCAGCCAGTAAAGATACTTGTATTTGAGGAAAGTATGAGTGATTTGCATATCGCCGCATATTGTGGCCTCCACGGAATTTGAGTCCTTTAGATGGTCAACCCAGTGTATGCAAGAGTACTTCAGAGGGGCCAAGGGATCCGGGTCAGGCGGAGATACGTCCTCTATATCGACCCCAGGGACGCATAGTCCATATATGTCGCGTCTGAGTTTCCTGGACAACTCCTCCAGAGACCTCAAGAAGATAGTATGGTGCTGTTGCGCAATGCCGAAAGGCAAAATCTGGTTAAAAGCCTTGTTTGCTTCGTCCAGTAAAAAATCCTTGGCTGACTGGTGTACGAAGTAGACGGTTCCCTCTCGGAGAGTCAGGAAAGAGCCACATGATCTAACGATTTCTTCCAGGAACTGAAGGTCATTATCAAACTGTGTCGGTGACTGCATGATGCACATAAGCTCTTGCAACGTGACAGGGCGGTATATGACCGAGACAGTGGCTAAGATCTCTTTACACAGGTCTGCATCGTTCGAATCAGAGATGTGATCAATCATCCGCCCGTACAGAGACTCAAGGCCTGGTGGGAATTTCTTTATGACGTTGAGTGTATGCCACTTCCGGACTTTGTCGCTAGCAAGCTCTTGACAGACCAAGGCCACCCAGAGGAATGTGCCATTGGAGTTGTCGATGAGGTAGTTCTGAACGGTATTACGGGTTACGTCATCATAACTCTTGAGTGCCGCTAATTTATCTACCTTGTACTGGATGTATGTGTGGACGGCTCCGGAAACAGACTTTTCGTTTAGCTCAAGGCGGATAGCGACTTTTTGCGTGGTGCTGTCTAGTGTTTCTTCAATATCCGGCCAGTTACGGCTCGATACAATCCAATTGGCACGAGAGGAGGATGATACCCGAGCGATGAAGTTGAGAAGCTTTGGACGGTCCACCCCACACTCGTCAAGGGCATCGATGATCAAGAGGACACCGTCTAGGATCGGATCAAGGAGCATAGTTTCGAGGACCTTCGACATGACTTCCCAGGCGTTCAGGCCCTCAAATCGCTGCTTGCCACCACTGTCGTGCTCATCACGAACGTATGATATAAGCCGCGGGTACTGTGCTGCAAGAGAGTAGATTAGACCTCGTAGTACAGCTGTCGCATTGTCGAGGCTTCTCTCAGTGGCTTGGCAGAAAAAGTATGATAGCTTGTTGGCAGGGTCCTTCTCTAGCTCGTCGATGATGCCGCACACGAGCATCGTTTTTCCCTTGCCCGGATCGCCCCTAATCCAGAGCAGGCGGCTCTGCGCTTCCTTACGCCATAGCTGGAAGTCCGGGTGGTCTAGAATCCAGCTGTACGAATCTCGAAGGAGGCCACCCTTTGTGTCCTGGATACGTGTCTTATCGTGGCGAGGGTCCGTCTGTAAGAGATCCTTCAAGCAGTCTTTGTCTGCCTGATTATGCCGGGTCTCCTCTTGTAGTCTGGCTAGGTCCTGGATAGCAGAGGTGATACCTTGAAGCTGCTCGTACTGAAGCATCGCGATGGCAGCCATATCTAGGAGGTGTTTATGCATCTTTTCGGAATTGTACTGTTTTGAGACGCTCTTTACGTGGCCCTCCGCAGCCTTGATGTCGTCGAGCTGGCCGGTCCAGTCGTCTAGTTTGACAACATCCCTGAAGAAGACGGCGACCAAGTTCCGGTGATAGAGACAGACACTCTTCATCTGATAGAGGAGGAGTTTCTGATATAGCTGGACGATGTGCTTCTCGAGCTGGCCCCGCAGCCCTTCAAGGGCCGGTCCCGCACTCTTCTCGTCAAGGAGGAGATCCACCAGGTTCCAGTACCAATCCATAGTCAACATGACGTAGGAGATGCCGTCACGGTTGATGCCTGGCTCGGTGAGCGGGTTCGCAAGTATCTATGAGGCGTTAGCGAGCGCACGCAGGTCTATACAGCAACTAACCTCAAAAGCAAAAGAGACGCCAACCCAGGCAATTGCGGCTTGGGGGGCAGCTTGCACGGCCTTTTCCATGACTGCCTTCACAGGAGATATGATCTGCATTCCGTTGCTGATCTTTTGCTTAACAGAGGCGCTCTTCTCCGTCCTTTGCAGCCCGGCCTGAGTGAGCCGTTGCATCTGGTGCCATCTCTTTTCCGAATCGACCTCGATCTGGTTCTTGGCCGTGATGGTACCCGAGCATCCATCCTGGAGTTCGGTTAAAAGAAATTTCTCATATGCTTTGACTATCTCGGATTCGCTCGACTTGAGCTCGTCGTATGCTTGGTTCCAGAGCCGGTCTTGGAGGCTTGCCGGCGACTTTTGGGGAGGCGTCGAGGCTGGTGGAGGAGGGGCTACTGGAGGCAGAGGGGAAGCCTGGGGCGAGCCTTGTCGTGAGCTGCGTTTCTTGGGTTTAACACTTCGCCACCATGAAGGGCTCATCTTTACCCTTCAGCCTTTAAGACTGCGTGTTGAGAGGGCTTAACCAGAACCGAACGGACAGACTTGGTCGGAGTTGTCAAAGTGATGCATTCGACGTTGGGAGGGGTAACGCAGCTGGCATTGGTTTGTCGGCACATTTTAAGAGTCCAATCGGACGCCGAGAATGCGTCGCGTGAGGCTGACAGTGAGGCACTGCATGTCAAGGTGCTTTGGACGTCGGCTTTCGGTCCCAACTGCATGGGCGGACCAATATCCGTATGAAGACGGCGAGCCCCACCTTCGTAGCTGAAAATTCGGTGGGCGATAGCAGTACAGCACGCACCTCATTTCGCAATGTGCTACGTCTGCGTTTCGACGGGGACATGACTGGTCTCCAAGCCCGAGCCTGATGACAGAGTAGCGCAGGGCTGCCGAAACGGAGTGTACTATTACACAGCATGGCACCGCCGTTGCGAACCTTCCATCTTGGACCCACACAGGCCCGTTCCCGAAGATGACTTACACCGGCCGGCCCCGGGCTCTAGCCTCCCACTGCGTCCTCCCGGTAATCAACTTAGCTGTTGACGGAAACCCATAGTCACCGTGCGCCCCGTGCGCCAGTGCCACACAGAGGCGGAACATCGACCGAACGACGAGGACTTTCCGCCACAACCGGAGGGTCAATATGTCCTACAGGGAAGCCGACAGAACACAAGCGCCCCAACGAAGAATTGTATCTGTTTGGGATGCAAAGCTATATGTTCAATTTTTTGCGGATGACAACACAGTGACAGAGCTGCGGCCGTATGTTCAATACTTGCCCTAAATGGTTGGCGATTGCCATTCAAGATGAGGTTGGGCCGGGTGTAAGGGCAGCAGCCCCGTTGGAAGATAAACATTGCCTGGAAACCCTTTTTTTGCGGTACCTTTTTTTTAGAATCTTCCGAATCCGAGAAGTGTGTGTTGGTTTCGTCCCGGAGATGCGCGTCTGGTCAGGCTTGCTAGCCGATATAAGCAACAACATCGTCCTAGATCACCACATACGACCATACCCATTGGAAAACTCGGGATCCCGTCCGCTCTCCCATAGATAAGCCAATGAGGGCCGGATTAGTAGTTGGGTCGGTGACGACCAGCGAATACCTGGTGTTGTATGTTTTTTTGTCGCTTCCGAGGCTTGCAAAGAAGCCCTTCTTGGGGCTGGGATGTATCGCCCTGGTGGGTGACGAGAGCTTCATGAAGCGTTGACTCTACTCTTATAAGCCTTGTCAGATTCTGCTTCTCCATGGCCTACCCTGCTTGGCTGGCTGTTTGTTTTTTTGGTACGGTATGCTTTGTTGTCTTCTGGATCCTCTCAGTCGTGCAGGCCTGGCCGTTGTCATATGTGAACGAGAGAGAAAGTCGCGACTTACTAAGACATCTTACAGCGATCGATGAGTAAACTGTGAAACGTGAAAAACAATACAAGAAAGTCATGTACACTGCGTCACGGTCAAGTCGTCATGGGTGCGACTCCAGAAGAGAACACGACTACCGGTGCCATCCTTGACCACAACCTATGGGCACGCAAACCAACTAGAAGGTATTTGAATAGTCACATGAAATCGAATATACTAACACAAACTGAATATCTGTCATACTCGTGGGTGTTTGCAATTTCAGTCGTGTTTCTATCTTGTCACGTCATGACTACTTATTTCTCAAAATCGTACATGTTCCGTGTCTCTCTTACAGGAAAGCCTTAGATATTTTCTCTTATCTACGAGATTGGCGCCTGGAAGGTCCAGTATGTCTTGTTCAACTGGTGGTTCATTTTACTTGTTTTATTTTATACTTGAGATTAGGATGCTAAGGAGAGTTCTAGGGTGAGTGGTCATCATCAGCCTACTACACCCACAAACTTCGAACGACGTTATGTAGCGAGTAACCCCGGCTCTATGATAGACGTACAAAGTCGATTGGTTGTCAGTAGGTCAGGCTACGGAAGTAGAAACGGGCCTTTTCCAACATGAATACTTTTTGCATGAGCGTAAAGTCGAGGACACTCCATATCCAAGCGGCCCATTGGGTGCTTACTGGCCTCCTTGAAGATATTGATTACCACCAGACCCGAGTGCTAGTACTTGCAAATAGGCTCTTACCAATTAGCCGGTCAGCCACCTCGTTGGTCCATCTCTCTCGACTGACGACTCTGGGTGTGCATATACAGGCCCCAGGGCCAAGTCTTGGAAGAGGATTCCTTCCAGCCCGAACGCCATCCAAAAGACTGAGCCTCATGCTCTTGGCTACATTGTTTTTGGACTACTTCAAGGCAACATAATGACAGATACTTGTGTCGTCTGCCAGCTTAGGTAGCAAATTGCGCCTGGAACGTCTTTCCGGTCCCTCCACGTCGGAGCTCGTCTACAAATTAACATGTCATCACTTTTACAATGTCGATCACTAGATTCCCGTTATTTGCCCAAAGCCAATTGGAGTCTTTGACTCGTAACATTTTTCCAATATCCAATTGAGTTGTAGCTAGCGTTTTCTTCAACCCAGCTACAACTACTCATGAAGCTCGACATCAAAACCTGCCTTGCTAGGCTTGGGGCCTCAAGACTCACCCATCTGACCAGCTCGGTTCCCATCCTCCGTCCATCCATACATACAACAGCGTTCAGCCACGCAATCAGCGATTGGACGAGGTACACGGCGCAGAGTTCGTAATATGTCACAACTGAGTATCCCCCCGAGCTGATCCCACACTGGGCTCGGCCGGATGACATTCCTGGGATGGGTAATGTTTAACGAGGCTCGTCCAAAGACAGGCATGATGGGCAACAACAAATAGGAAGAATGTGCAAAAGGTCGGCGCAGGAATATCTCCGTTATCTCTCGCGAAAGGGGCCTATATCTGTGTGACTAGTCAATGTAATCTCTGAGACACAGCAGTCTACATGATATAGCGTCGGTGGGATGTTGAATAGTGCCAGCTGCGTTGCGGTGACGCAAAGGAGTGTTCATTGGATCGAGAGGCAGCATCGTTCTACAGCCCACCACATTGACAATGCAACGAGACTAGCTGACGGTATTAAGTTCAGACAGATGGGTATCTATTCTATTAGGGGGGTTTCATTGCCCCATGCTTCTAGTTATTATACTACTAACGCAATCTAATCTATGACCCATTCTAGAATGACAGCCATTGGTGTAAGTTAATGTGGACGGGATCTATCTGATGGCTCTGACGCGTGGGCACCTGAGCAGTCACATCATTGTTTGATCAACAGCCCCCATCGCGAATGGCTCGCATGGTAAAACATCGACTTGATCACGGCCTCGTCGTGCCCCAGGGGCACCGGGTCTGACCCTGATCAAAGCAAAGTGTTGACAAGCCAGGAGGGGCTGGGGACTTATTGTGCACAAGTAGGTCTCGAACTTCCAGCCAACGAGCGCGTCCGATGGAGCTGTACCGAGGGCTTGGCCAGACACATCCTTGCGACCAGAACTGTGCCGGCTCCGAGGTTGACCTACTAGCAATGACGTGTTGACAACTGTGCGTCAGGGCCGAAGCTGAATTCAGCAGGGCGTTGGGAAGCTGAAGTGGCTCCCGGTCGACAACTATCGGGCTACAAAAGCTGCCGCATATTAGGGGCGGTGTTCGCGGCGCTGCTATTGCGTAGTTGGAGCCCTTGTAGCTATCTGGGGTTGACGTTGGCGAGCGGTTCTCCCCAAGGGAGAGAGGCGGGTGTAGGTACGTTTGCGGCAGCGTTCCGCCTGACGCATCCCGGCCCTCCGTACATTGCTGCAGAATGTCAGAGGCCGGGACCCTCACCAGGCAAACCAGGCTACAGCACGTTCACATTTCAGCCTCAAAAGACGGAGCACTCTCCCTCCGCCTGTCTGAAGGCATTCGCGAAAAAACGACTGCATGGCCGTGTAGTGGAACAAGATACCACCCAGGACCGCAAGATGCCAGAGGTTGTGGCTGCCGCCAATGTAGTCGAACATGCCGGGGCACCATCGCTCGGGGATCTTGCTTGCGTAAACGAACGCACCGAGGACGTAGACGAAGATGCTCTTGGCGATGGGGGTGTAAAACTCCCATACGAACTCGGGCCCGTGGGAGAAGTAGAGCTGCAGGATCGGCAAGAAACCGGTGGCGCCGAGGCCGCAGAAGAAGGCGACGCGCGCCCACGCCATGTCCGCTCCATTAAAGGTAGGGTGCCATGGGAGGATGACGCCGCCGATGCCAAGGAAGGCCGTCGTGCCCATGTAGAGCCAGCGGCTCACGGGGTCGCAGTAGAAGGCCGTGTACTCTGTCGTGACAATCGAGGCAGCGATAAGCAGCGAGATACCCGTGTAGTCGACGCAGGCGAAGATGGAAATGGCGTCGACGTCGGCGACGGCGTTCATGGTGTGCCAGATGGTCGAGCAGACGAGCGTCAGGCAAGCGGTGAAGAAGAAGACGGCGGCGATGAAGATGTCCGTCTTTGTGCTGAACTGGAAGTTGACGTTGCGCGGGTAGAAGTAGAGGGCGACGGCGAGAACGATGAAGAGGCCGATGGCGTGCGACCAAATGTTGACGAGCTCGTTGGAGAGACCAAAGGCAGACCAGATGCACTCGAGCTTGGACTCGGTGAAGCGGTAGCCCTCGCGGATGTGTGGGTTGATGCGCCACGGTACAGGCAGGTCGTCGTAGGCAATGAGCTTCGTCTCCCGGGCCCTAGCAACGGCGAGCGCAATCTTCTCCTCAAGGCTCTCGGCGGCGCGCATCGCCCTCTCGATACCCTCGTCGACAACCTCCCTCGCCAGCCCGATACCGCCGTCGACGACGCGGCGACCCTCGCTCATGAAGGCGCCCGCGGCATCGGCGGCGTTGGCGAGCCCCTGCTCGCGCAGTTTGTGGGCGCGGTTCTCAAACTCGGAAAGCATGTCATCGAGCAGCTCGATGCCGACGCGGGCCTTCTCGTTGAGGGACTCAGCCGAGGCCAGGGCGCCCTGGTAGCGGGCCTCGAGGGTCTCCACCATAATGTGCAGACGCCTGCGGCCGGCGCCGAGGACCTCTTCCGAGGCGTGGGAGCATCGGGCGCGGACGGTCTGCAAAGTGGAAAAAGCGCGGGAGATGCTCGAGTCGAAGGTGAGCTCGCCGTAGTTTTCTAAGAATTCGAGGCGGCGCTCGAGCTCGGATAGGAAGAGGTCGACCTGTGGGTGTAACACAAGCACATGTCAGCCGTCGGCTTTTTTGGGGGGTTGTAAATCTCTCGGCCCCGACATCGCTGATGTGGGAAAGAAAACACAACAGGAGCAACGCCAGACGGCTTAAACCGCCGAAGCAATTGGGCTTACCTTGAGTAGCAAATGCTCCTCCCCGTCCATGATTTGGTTGACAATAGACTTGCGTCTCGGAATAAAGAAGGAGTGGCGTCTTTTCCGAGCAAGTTCGGTGCCTTCGGTCTGAGCGCCGGACGTCGTGGCTGTCGTGTAGTCGTCGTCGTCTTGGATGGCAGCGCCGCTGCAGGGTGACTTGAGGGAAGTCATGTTGGCGAGAGGTTCCATAACTTGACCAACAGTTTTTTAACAACAGTAAATGTAGTTGGCTCCGAACGATAACGGCCCGGGCTCGGCGGTTAGGAGACCACAGTTGTTAGATCCGGTTTCGTCTATATCGTCCCTGATTATATCGTTCGCACGTGCGGATGTGGTCCCGTAGTGGTGGTTTGGGGTGCGTTACGCCGAAGATATGCAACCGCTCTCGTGGTTGGGGGTTGAGAGGAAGGGTTGCAGTTGTAGTTGTGGACGAGTCGATGTTTACGGATAAGCCCACGGGAGGGAGGCGAGGGAAACAATTGGCTTATACACCAAGGGGGAGGGGGTCAGGGCGGACAGTAGTAGAGGGGGGCAGGAATCCAAGAGCCCAGTCAGGGACCGAACCGGGAGAGAGATATGGGCAAGGTGACGGCTTCTCCACGAAATAAAAACGTTCTAGTCTGTTGAGGGACTTGGGCGGCGGGCGGCGGGATCTCAACAATGCGGAAACTGGATTGGCCGGGCCAAGCGGTAGGTAGAGTGCGGATCGACAGAACACCTGGACCCTGGAAGGATGGCGAATCTCGCTGCGACCGCGACCAGCTTTTGGTGCTTATGCGGGAAGCTGCTCCGAAAAAAAGGGCCTGGGAGCTGCCGACGGACGGCCGTCTCTCGCACGTGCGTCTGTAGTTGGGTGTGTATGTGTTTTGGATCTTGATCTCAGTCTCGGTCCTTGTCAAAGGGAGAGACAAGAAGATAACAGAGAGTTTGGCAAATCAAAGATGGACAGAGCGGGGGGCGAATTTCTCGAGACGAGAGAATGCTTTGTTCCAGAAGACAATATTCAACCTGTCGGATGTTTAGAAAGAAAAAGGGAGGAAGAGGAGGGAAAGAGGAAAGGAATCGAAGAACGGATTACGAATGAGTGAGCAGCACCCAAGCCTGCCGAGGGAAAAGAAAAAAGAGACCTAAGGTAGTAGATTACCTTACAGTGACCAGGGTGGTTGTCATCTCGGGGAGGGGGACTCTTCTGCAGCTGCTTGGGGCATGAGATCCGCCCATCGGAAGAAAGTGGGAGAGAGACTGTGGAGGGGCCTGGAAGGAAAAATCCAACACTAAGAGAAATGGGGAAGCTGGTAATCGCTTTGCCAATGTCGAGTGGTTGGAGTTACCTACGAGAAACTCGCTCACTGATGGAGTAAATGTCACCGGCTCCAGAGGCGAGACTTCCCTTCTCTCCCCTCCCTCTCTTTCATCCTGCGCATTGCGCATTGCAAATGAGTACCAACAACAACTCAATCTCGTTCAGAAGGCCTTGTTTTTGTTCTAAGTCGCATCTCGCATTTGCTGTCCCGGGCGGGTAATGCGTTGCATGCGCGCCGGTAAAGTTCGGGCCCCAAGGCGCGCGCCCAGCGAGGGCCACGTCCCGCCATGGGCACGCCACCAATAGTCGTCATCCGTTGCGCCCACGCATGGTTCCCACTGCCCTCCCCCCAAAGGGGACCTGAGGCACGCAGTAAGAGTGTTTGTTGTAACATCTCCCAATGCCAAACATGCAGGTAGTTGCCGACTTTGCCTGGCGACACGACCGTATGCGTAGACAGAGACGCCTCGGGATGACGAAGATCAGTGGTAATACCGGCATTGCTGCAGACGTGCCGAGCGGACAGGAAGCTAGGCGGAGCTGGGCCCCGGCGGCTGTCAATGCCTTGCGACTGTTAGTTGGAATGGGGGACCCGTCAACGGTCTCGAGTCGGTATCCGACATGAGCATTCCCTGGACCAAGCTGGGTGATAACAGCGCCCAAGCTCTCGACGATCCCTGGTGAATAGCATACCGCATGAGGGAGCTCGGAGGCATCTCATTCAAAGAACGCAAGCCGGCAAGTCGTCATGTGTGTCATGTGGAAAAGTCCACCGACGAAACATGCGCTCTCCGTCTCCATCCCCTGCCTCTCATTCTCCGGAATCTCCCCCCAAAAGGCTTGTCATGCTGATGCTCCTTGCCACTGTTAGCCGCGGCAGTCCGGCAATAGCACAGCTTGGAGAATGACGCTCGACACCAGGCCAAGCAGCCCAAGGAAAACCAACAAACCCCCGCCCTAGCGTGCCTTGTGATGGCGGCCCAAAGACTCCCAGCAGCGCGCGCCCTACGATAACGCCCTTTGGCTAGTGGAATATGGAAGATACCTAGCGCCTTAGCGACCATCCTGCTCATGCCCTCCAGACGTGATGTCTGGCTCAAGCGACCTGTCCCTAAATGCTCCGGCTGAGTCGCGGTGCATTCCTGCTGATACGGCCCGTCCGTGTCTTGCCCACCCTTGGCCTAGGTTCGCCCCAAGCACTAACGAAGGCTGACCTGGTGGCCAAGCGTGGGATTTGCCAGGGCCGCGTGGTGATTTGTGGATTTACAACTGGCTCACCCAGCACCTGGATGGCTCCTGGAGTCTTTAGTCGTTGACGGACAGAGGAATGGAGAGGGGTGGGGCGGGACGCCGTCGCCTGCAGCGGCAGGCACCAAACCCAAACGACCGCCCCCGGAGCGTTGAAGCTGAGAAGCACGGTCCGCACGGCTGCATTGATTTTCCAACGTCCGCCGTGTTGCAGCCAATGGGCCCCGACCAAGCGACACTGCAACTATCAGAAGCTCTGGTCAACCTCGAAGGGAAAAAATAACCGCCAGGAACGACAGAAGCTGCACTCGATCACTAAGGCCTGCAAACTGAGGCTCTATTTCTCTTGCTCAGGCGCCCGAGCCGTTTCTTGTCCCGTCCACCTGTTTGTTCTGTCAACACTGATCCGGTCCCGCCCACCTTCCAGCCTTGCGCGCGTGCGAAACCCACATTCCAACACGTCCCCGACGAAGCGCGAATTCCGATCTCCAACCAACACAAGCTTTCCCTACCTGACGAACCATACCGACCTTGTCGTCAAGCGATTCAGCTGGACGACCATCGCTCGTATCGGATCTGCGTCAACGTCCCTCCCCGCGACGACCTCCAACCGCAGCCATGGCCGTCAACGACCTGGTATCAGACAAGAAGCTGGGCGCGGTCCTGCAGACCTCCGGCTACGCCCAGGACCAAGCCCTCAAGCTCCTGCAGCTCCTCTCCGACATTGCCCGGGCTGAGGAGGCCAGCGGCACCGCCGAGCAGCTGCAGGCGACGCTCTCCAAGGAGCAGAAGCTGCTGCTCACGAACATCTCCCACCTGCGCGGCCTGCACCGCTCCGCCAACTTCGACGCCAGGGACACAAAGGCCCAGACGGCCGAGGCCCGCCACGAGGTCGACCGCCTGCACCTGCAGCTGCAGAACCTGTACTACGAACAAAGGCACCTCGAGGGCGAGATCGAGGCGTGCGAATCGTACGAGTATGTTGTGCCATTGCGGCGGAGAGGGTTTTGGGGTGTTTGAGAATACGCGCTGACAATTGGGTGACCAGCCATACCTACCAGAAGCTCCCTCTCATTCCCGTCGACGACTTCGTCGCGTTGCATCCCGAGCACGCCGACGACGACGAGAACGCCATGATGATTGCGAGGATCGGCCACGAGAGAGCGGAGCGCGAGGCCCTCGAGCAGCAGAGGCTGGAGCTTGTTGGCAGGAAACAGAAGCTCATCGCCGACAACAAGAAGCGCAAGGACGACCTGGCTAACCTCGACAAGGACCTTGAGAAGTTCATTGATGTTTGTTTTCCCTTTTTGCTGGAGTGTATGTGTTATTGGCGCTGACCCGTTGACGCAGGCTGCGAAACCCATTCAAGAACTCTTCGAGAAGGTTGTCTGAACTATTGTGGAGCGCAATGTTCTGATATCACATGGCTGGAAACAAGTTTGGCATGTCCGGCCTGCAGACGTTAGCCAAAAGAAGCCATGCCTCTTCGGCTCGCAGGATGAGGCGACGGTACATGCCGAGGTTCCAAAGACTCGGAGCACATCATGGCATACTAGCGAGCAAACACACCACTATCGAGACGCATCACGGGTAGAACAGATATCCGGGTTGCCGGAGGACTGGGTAAACCAAGCCTAGCTCATGCGTCTTCATTCAGGGAAGGACGAAGTCTCCTTGGCCCATCTCCGGTGTAAGTCGAGCAACGGAAGTACAGCTTTACGGCTCGAAGATATCTCGGCATCTTGCATCAGTGGGCATTGCAAGCCCCGTTGCCGATAGAACTGATGAGAGACGCCCATTCCTCCGCGCCGTGTTTCCGAGGGGGCGAGGAGGCAATGGAGGTTCATGAAGCGGGTATGCATGGAGACCAAGGAAGTCCGATATTCGCAATATAGACCCAATTCTGCATCCTCATAGCATAGGTGGCGCCATCACGACGACCCGCAAGGGCGTCGGCTCCTTTACGGATACATCAAGACACAGGACCGACACGCATATCAATGAGACCGCATGCTTTAGTGACTGTCGTTGGGCTTGAGCCATGCCCTGGAGTGCATCGATCCGGGTAAAAGTCGCCTAAAAGGCTGCCCGATCGGACATGAAATTCCACCGCTCGCCGGGTAGCCGCCGCCCACTCGCCGGCGCCAAGTGCTCTCCGAGCCGGCATAAGCCCGGGCGGCGACGAAACGGACCCGGCAGCAGCAGCAGCAGCAGCAGTAACAGTGACGTGTTGGTTTGCACACGCACGCACAGGGCAGCCGAAGGTCTCACACCGGATCCGATGATGCGACATGTCAGTCCCGCATGGTGACTGGTTGGTCGATCCGTCCGGCCATCGGGGTCATCGGGGGTGTAAGACCTTCGGGCGGGGTTATTTTTGTTTGGCTTTGGGGCGTCTGGGGCAAACCCGTTTCAGCGGCCACGGCGAAGATGTCCCAGAGGTCCGGTGAACCCGTGAGACAGCCTGACCTGTGCCGAGGACCCGGCCGTTTGTCATCGAGGCATTTGTCGCTCGTTGTTCGGCCACGCGGTTCGGAGAGCGAGGACGAAGGAGAAAATGGCAGGTCCCTGGTTGCACCCGTCTTGATAGACTTACTTACCCGAGTCGAACCCTGGAGACCCCAAAAAGGTCCCTTATCTCATCTCGTTGCTGACGCCACGTTACCCAGGGTTTTGCTGGTTTCGCTACGCGTGATGTCTGGAAAAAGTATGCCCATCTTGGCCGTCTTGCAGGGCCTGTTTCACAGTTGTTTCCCACCTTGGACCCCGTCGGCCGACAAGACGGGCCCGACAGTGGTGCGTATGCAGATGGGCGCTCATGCGGAGACCATGGGGCGAACTTCTGAATCGCTACATGTTGAGACATGCCACTCTTGACCAGACGAGTCTGAGTGTCACCTTGGTCCATATAGTCCGTGTCTCACGGGCAAACCATCGAGCATCCATCCCGCTTGTCGAACGAGACTGGCCACGGGTGTCGAAGTCCAACATAGGCCGACAAACGACAAATGGCCTGGTTGACTGGGGGGGGGGGGGGGGGGGGGGGGCTTCGCGAGGCTCTTTTGAGACTCTCAGACTCCCTCGTATGGGCAGCTTTGGGTTGCAAACACTATACATCGGATGTGCTGTGGCGTGCCGAATACGCATCCAGAACCCAGTACGCGCTGGCAGCCTCGGTTCCTGAGTCAAGTCCGAATTTTCCAACTTTAATTTCAACACCATGCTGGCAGCAGGTATGCGAGATTGAGCCAATAACAAGCATCAGCGAGCATCACCACCGCACTGCCGATAGGGCCAAACTCGCCAAGGGCAAAGGAAATCAGCAAAATTGTGATCACACAAGGGGTTTGATGGATGAATGGAGCCAAGCTCGCCAAGAAACCATTCGAGGACCAAGCAAAACCAGACGCGGTCGTTGCCCTTTGAACCGTGACAGTGTCGAATCGTCGATGTGTGGTGTGAGGTGTGACTGGGGGCGGGGGGTCGAGGGGCCGAGCTTCGTTCCTTGGCGTTCTTTCGTTGCTCCTTGGGTTCCTCTTCTCCGAAAGCCCGCCGTTGAGTCCGCGTGGAGTCTGCATGCGGTGCAGGATATAGCGATCCGCGGCTGCGGGTCAATGTGGGTGCCGCGATACCAAGGTTGGAGACGCCAGTCGTTGTTGGGGGTCAGCAACGGCGAGGCGAGGTGGTGGTTGTTCCAGGAAACGCTCCGATCCCAGACGAGGACGGCCGACGGGCGATCCCCAGAGAAAGCCCAAAGAACGGGCAAACGAGCATGTTGGCAGCCGGACGCTTTCAACGCGGCTGGTTGGCTGGTCAGGAAGCCCGGCACTCCATGTCTTTGTCCACTCGGCCAGTCAGCTTCGGAGCATCAGAAACGTTCAATCTCAAACGCCGGCCCGCCAAGGACTTGTTCACCCCACCCGTCTGGCAGCCCCCCCTACGCCTTAAGCCTATGGGACTTCTCAACGGCGTTCTCCCCTTTGCTGGCAGTTGGCTGAACTCATCATTGTGTCATTATCGGATCGCGTGTTAGCTTGCTTCTTGCTCCCCAGTGGAGGTCCACGACATCAGGAGGCACCTCTCCCCTTTACTTGCATTGGCCGCAGCCCGCGGAATAAGTACTGCGCATAAATGCGCAGAGTACAGGGGATAGGAGGATGTCTTTGTCTGGGTTTCTGGCTGAAGCAGCAAGCGGACAGTATGTACGCGCAGCGTGATATAATGTAACGTGCAGTATATGTGTGTTGTACAGACAGTATGTGATGCGCCTCAACAGCGTTGGGACGTAAAGCCCGTATCCGGTTCTTATCGAGACGGCGTGCTGCATCTTTCAGCACGGCGAAAAGCAACTTTTCGCTTGTGACTACGAAATTACGGAGAGCGGCTGGGAAGCTCTGCTGGAGAGCTTCAGCATGTAGGGGTAGACTGGCGTGGAGAAGGAGAATTCAGATACCGAGTGACCTTGATCTGCTCTGGAGGAACAAGCACCATCGGTTGCCAGGATAGTCGGCGTGGTCCGTCTTTTCCTGGCCTTCGCCCTTCGCTTGAGCCCTGCAAGCGCCTCTTGGTCGACATGCCCCAAAAGTGAGATGTTGCCGATGGTTTCGTGTCGTATACGGATGAAGTATACGGGTACTCCTCGCTTCCTCGCCTTACCTAGTGTGCTGATCCGCGATACGCGTCTGATCTCACATGCCTCCTTCATTACCGTTCCTAACCAAAGCCCGAAGAAAAGGCGCTAGAGAACTGGCTTCGATGTTGAGACGAATGCTTGTTGGCACGGATACCCGAGATGGCCTAGATGCGGTGGGTGGACTGCGTAGGACCGGCAAAATGCACTAGAAGCTGACGGCGGCCATTCGACGATGCTCATGCAGCTCCTGATGCCATGCCGAACCTGCATTGACCAATTTCAACCGTCCAAGTCCGTGAGCGCATGTGTTTGTTGACTGAAGAGTCGCGGTAGTGGGATGATATGCGCTTGTCAAGCACATGTTCCTATCGGGCGGCGGCGTGGCCAGGATATCCAAGCCGACGGCATGCAGGTCAAAATCTCCCGCACCGGCTTCCGTTGCTACTATATCCTGACAGGCACATTAGCAATGGCGGCCTGGTAGGCCTTGGTCCCCGGCGGAGGCCTGGCCAGAGCGCAGTATTTTCTTCTTCTGGTAGGTTTGCGGTTCGAAAATTTCTCATCAGGATCGTTGCGACCCTGCCAACTGCATATAGGAGAGAGGAAGAAGAAGGAAAACCGGGCAACGGGTCTCAGGCTCCCATCTTCTCGTCGTTTAGCAACAGTATCCCAGCACGCCACGAGATCCCAGGCCGGCTCTCAAGCCCGGTTGTGAGCGACCAGGAGGGACGCACTATGACTAGATTGGACCGGAGAAGAAACAATGCTAGACTCAGCGAGGGATGGGACAAAGGTAAAGGTTTGACAATGGTGGGATGACCAAGAAGGTGATGGTAAGGTCTCAGCCGCAGGCCATGTAATCTATGTGCTGCAGGGAACGCCATCATTCATTGATGCAATCCCCGGGAAACCGACAATGCGAGCGACCGCGACCCGTCCAAGTCGAATGTCAAAATAGCTAAATGGGATGACATGCTGGCAAGCATGCCGCCCTGCACTGTCGATGTTCACGCTGCGTGCATTTCGCCTGCGTGGACGTGTTTCGCTCGCTGTCTTCCTGGCACCCATGACCCCGTCTCTCTAGGGTAGCATCTCGTGGTACTATGACGACAGTGCAGTAATATATGGCTGCGGCGGATGACGACGGCAGCCACAGCTTGTCAAGTTCCAAGCCTCTAAGCCCACCTCTCGACGGCGGCTGAAGCTGCGACGACCTCTGCAAATATTGGAGAAGCTCATCAACGGACCAATGGTCGCCCGTGTGACTGCTGGCAGCTCTGTACATATACCTACGCTAGTAAAGAGAAGACCAACAAGAGGCACGCATTTACTTTCCCTCTCCCAAGCTGAGCCACGGTTTACTCCGCTTGGCGTACGTACCACTTCGCATGTGGCCGGGTAACTAGAGAGGCGCACTGCAGCACCGCAGTAGTAAATCCCCAGACCTGAAGCATGGCCTGGTGTTCAGAGATAGCGTGGTACAAACAACAGTATCTGCCCGCCGTGTGTTTCGGTTCGTCTTCGCACGCACGCATGGCAGAGGCTAAGCCACGACGGGTGGCCTAGGACATCGTCTTTGTTTCGTCGTCCCGTGGCACACCAGGCGGTATCCATGGTCCATGGCGCATGACAGTCTGCTAGTCGCCGATCTGGCAAACGCGGGTACGGGCAGCGAATGTTTCTCAGAATAACACGCGGATGCTCAGCCGAAGGATGAACGCACCGGCGTGTGTTTGAGGCGATGGGGGTTGATTTGTGACTGAGTCGAATGGTTGACCAAATGATAATGTCTACAAGGCTAGGACCGAGAAGGCTTTGTCGAACACCAAGACTTGTTTGGACCTGGATGCGCTGGGGCTGTTTCAACGGGAAGCTGCGGCTCCCTCATCCCACCTACCTATGTCATGCCCGCGAACGCCGACAAGATTTTGGTGATATGGACACAAGCATGCCAGACGGTTCTCACGGAGCACCGTTGTTTCTCGGATGGTTCTCCTCAAGACCGGCCAGCGGTCGAAAACAGACTCGGGGGAAGCCGGTATTCTGCGTCCATAACATTGGTAAAGAAGGATCAAGTGCGACTGGTCTCAGAATGATAGTTGCCCTGCCAAAAGTCTGGAGAAAGCTGCTTCACGAATCACTTAGCCTCCGGTGGCTCTTTCCAGGCCTGCGTTGCTCGTCACACCAAGACTCAGCATCGGCCCATTTTGGTGCTTACTGAGGAAGGCAAGGCGAGAGAAGCTTCCATTGAGAACCGGGCCTGGAAACACTGGACCTCGACGAAAGTGGTCCGGTTGATGAGGCGTCAGGCGGACAGCGCGAGGCGTTGAGGTTAAGCTTCGCCTGGCTTACCACACCACACCGCCCCTCTGAGCATCTTTCCACTCTATGTATATAGCTATGAATGTAGAAATGGCCACTATGGTAAGCATCGAAACCTGGCAAAAGTGCTCGTGTGTTGAATCCCGCCTCCTCCAGAACCTCCACAGGCGCCGGTTGTTATTCCCGGCCAATTCCTACCCACCGAGGGCCACCCAAACTGCCATCAGCTGGAGACAATAATGGGCTGTTGAGCCCTGGCCTCCCTTTGGATTGAAGCTTTTCACAGGCCTTCAATGGAGCGAGCGTTCTCGAGGCCTGTCCAGTCCCCGTCGATGGTTTGTGTACATCGTAGGTACTCCGTAAGTGCGATTCCGCGCCCGCGGACCCCAGCGCCGGTCAGACTTCCTACGGTGCACTATTTGGTAGGAGGTGGATAGCGGTAAGGAAAAGAGGACGAAGAGGGTCGACAAGCTGTGGACTGTGGACACCTGACCGGGGGGCACTGTGGCGCCCCGGATCGAGCAGTGCAAATTTGTTAGTTGGAGAGGTATTTTTCAAATATCCCGTTTGGGGCGAGCCAGCCCGTCAGAGCGGGAGGAGCGACCCTACGGCACCTTAGTGTCCCTAGCGTGGGTGAAGCACAGGCAGCAAGCGGTCCTCGACCTATGAACTTGGCACTGCTGCAGCGGACACGCACACTGTGCGGAGCCTCCGCCAAATTACGTCCCAGTCACTGTGAAAGGTGCAACCGCATGTTTGTTTGACTGAATGCGGATTGCCATGGCCCATGACCTCGAGAGTCCACCAAGCAGGGTGAGAACTGACGCTGGGCGCTGACGCTGGGGCAGGTTGAGACCATCAGAGGTTAGACGGAAAGAAAGAAAGAAAGAGAGAAAAAGCCTCAGCATCATGTCGGCTTCTCGAAGCCAGTGAGATGGCGGACACAACCGAGAGAGAGCCTCACGAGCAATGCCAGTGAAGACTCCCGCCAAGCGCGGCGGTGCTGTGCCCCGACGTGGTCTATAGTCAGCTACTATAGTCCTCAATGGCCATCACTCAACAATGACGCAGTCACATGCATTCGCGTTGTAACGACGCGGCTGTCAGCAATATACCTGAAGGAGTATCCCATGCGCTGTGTAGCGACTAGCTGGTTGTCGCTCTTGGCTTGATAGGCACCAGAAACCCTCCGTCGGTTGGAATTGGACGCACAAAAGGTGAAACCAGGAACTTTGATCCGTCTATAGCCCAGGTCAAGGTCTTGTGAAATGGGCATTGGCAAAGTCCCGTCGTGGTCACAATCGACAATCGGAGCAGCAATCGAGAAATCGAGAACGACGAACGGGTGTCTGCCGTGCCTTGTGCTGTTGTCGATTGGTCATCCATGAAAAAGAGGAGAAGCAATAACATAGCTAACGAGAGAGAAGAAGACATGCATGGCATGCAGTCTTTGTTCTCCCCCCCCAAAGACGACACACAATACCTAGTGTAGTGTACGCGGAAGCTGTACACAGTGCTGCATACTGACCGCTTACTCGGTAATTTCCCACGTCTCATTTCCCGCGGGGCGATTCAGTGCAAGCGCAGAAAATTCCCAAGGCAGCCAATCCCTGCCAGTCTGTCTGTGCCACCCCAGTCCCTTGTTTTTTTGCGCATCCACGTCCTTTCCGCGCTAAAGCAATTATCGAGGCAGAGGATGAGCGACAAGACTGCGAGGAAGACACAGACTGAGGCAGAGGCAGTGGCAGAGAGAGAGAGAGAGGCAGCCCACCAGACGCGAGCGGGCGAGATGCACTAGCCCCAGCACGGCACACACCCCAGTCCCTTCCCGGATGGACCACTAGCACAGCGGGACTGCGACCTGTCTCGAGCCAATCCCGATCCAGTTCGCGGACCAGGACCAGCCTAGACCAGCCAATGCCACACTGGAACCATCTCGACCCTCACCTTCATTCATCGCCTCTTGCCTCGCCTCGCCTCTCCTCTTCTGCCCAGCGCTGCAGCTTGAAGCTTCAATTCTCCAGATCCAAGGTACTTCAGTGACCCCTGTCTGTTACGGCTGCCATCACCAGTGCGAGGATGCCCCCAGTTCGTCGTCTCGCCAATCCAGAGGGCCTGTCCCATCCCATCGCCCAGTCCAATGCCCCCCAGTTCGGGTTCCCCAAGCCCGCGCTTCTGCTGCTGCTGCTCTGCACGTCTTCTCTGCTCTTGCATTGCAGGCGGCCTTGTTACCTACTTTCCTATCTCGCTTACACTGGTTCCGGCTCAGCTTCTTCTCTCTGATAGGTATTCCCAAGTTAGAGGAGGTGCTGCTGACACGCTGGAGGGGGGATAAACTGAGGCACATGGGACGGGGAGATAACCGACAAAGCGAGCGAGGTACCTGGAGCATCGGCTTCCCCACGCCCAAATTTGGCGTTGGCGCTGGTTTAGCGGAGGTACCTGAGACCCTTTTTCTCTCCACGTCCCTAGGGCCCTCTGGAACCAGTCCCCGTCTGATTCAACACACCAAGCAGCACGCCTCCAAGGGAAAGGCTCTGCGTGGTGTGTGTGTGTGTGTGTGGGAGTGTGGGAGAGAGAACGAGAAGACAGAGAGAGGGAAAAGCGCGCCCCCTTTCCCCCGTTGGCCCTACCTGCTCCAGAAACTGAGGTACCTCCCCATCGTACCTTTGCAGGCGACGGGGGACCTTACCACGCCTTTTAACCTGACGGGACTGTACCTAACTCTGTACCGTGTCCACCACGTCCATGTCGCAGTCCCTATCCAAGAAATCATCCACTCTCTCAACCTTGCACTTCCTCCCTCCTTCTCTCTTCCTCAGTCCCGTCCCGTATCCATTAGTCGCTATCCTTTTCGTGAATATCATCCGACAAGACGCACTCTAATTTTTCTCAGTCCCTCCCTTTTCTCTCTTCCTCTCTTCTCCCCCTCCGCCTCCTGTCTGTCACCATCCTCCTCCCCCCATCCACACGCGCAGCACCCAAGACAGAGCGAGAGCGAGAGACCACCATCGACTTGTTTGGGTAGGGCTCCAGTTCGACAGGTAGCCATTCCGCAATTTCGGGTCTGAGGTTTCCTGCTTCTTTTGCCTCCGCCCTACTTCCCTCTCCATTCCTCTCTCCCTCCCCCATCCCGTCGCCTGTAGCTTGTTGGTCTCGCTCTCCCTCGAGCAAACCTACCTTGGGCTTCTTTCCTCAAGCCACTCTTCCTCGGCTGCTTGCCTCGACAGACAGTCAACGTCGCCTTCCCGTCGTCAACCAACCGTCACTGTCGCTCTCCTGTCGATCAATCTTTCGCTGGCACCGCGCCTCAACAAACTTCATCTTCGGTCATCACCATGTCCATCTTCGCCTGGGCCTCGCGCCGCGTCGGCGGCTTGGCCATGCTGGGCCTCCTGGCCCTGAGTTATTGGGTCATTTCGAAGGAATCAGCTGCCGCCGCACACGGCTACAACTATCTGCACCAAGACAGCCTCAGCGTCTCGACCTCGGCCACCAAGGGTGCTGGTTACTGGACGGTCATCTACGCCTACTACTGCCTGTTCATCCACATCCTCGTCTTCGCTTTCCCTCTCCGATGCTGCTACGCCGTCTTCGACATGACCCGCCAGCTGAAGAAGATCGCTCGCAACAAGACCCTGCGGGACTACAAGTTCTCCCACCGCCGTCGCGGATCTTCGACCTCCCTGTCGAGCTCCGAGACCCTGACCTCCTCCCACGGCTGCTCTGCGTCCAGCAGCGAGGCTGGCGACACCGAGCCCGAACTCTACGCCGACGGCGACGCTGAAGCTGATCGCGTCATCCACGCCATCATCATTCCTAACTACAAGGAGGAGATGGATACCCTGAAGGAGACTCTCGAGGTTCTGGCTTCGCACCCTCAGGCCCGCAGCTGCTACGACGTGAGTACTTCCCTTTTTGCCTGTTTACTGTCCGAAACCGTTAGTCTTGGCCGATTATGGCAATGATCGCCAAGGCGTTGGATAGCGCATCCCCTCATGCACCATCCCATCAGCAAAAAAACAACAATGGCTAACCCGTCTGTGCAGGTGTACCTGGGAATGGAACAACGGGAGCCCAACGTGGAACTCAAGGCCATGACTCTCATTCAAGAATTTGTCAAGAAGTTCCGCAGCATCGATTACACTATTCACCCGTCCGACATCCCTGGAGAGTCCGCTGGCAAGGGAAGCAATGTCGCCTGGGCCGCCCGCAAGTTGAGCCCCAAATACTCTATGACTGCCCGTAAGGATGTTATCATTACGGGTCTTGACGGTACGTGCGCATGTCAGATTCTGAGAATCTGCCGCAGTCAATGTTTCCAAACTTTGCAGGTATAGGACGATTCGCTGACAGAAACTGGGGTACCTACAGCCGACAGCCACCTCTCTGCCAACTTCTTCGCCTTGCTGACTACGATGCACCTGGCCTACCCCGAAACAGCAAACACCACCCTGTATGCAGCTCCCATCATTTTTGACCGCAACGCCCACAGCGTTCCCGCTATTGTCCGTGTTGCCGACATCCTCTGGGGCGCCGGCGGTATGTCTGGACTGTACTCTGGCTCGACCATTGCGCCCCCTACCTCCGTTTACTCGGTGCCTTTGGAACTTGTCGACCGCGTCGGCGGCTGGGATTGCGACAACGAGGCTATCGGAGAAGATCTGCACATGTACCTGAAGTGTTTCTTTGCGCTCAACGGCAACCTGACCGTCAGAACTGTCGTCAGCCCCGTCAGCCAGAGCAACGTCTGCGGCAACGGCTCCAAGGGTCTCCGCGGTATCTACTCGGACATGCAGGCTCGTTACAAGCAGGCGATGAGACACATGTGGGGTGCTCTCGATTCCGGATACGCTCTTCGCAAGGTTGTCGAGCTCTGGCAGGAACGGAAGCACACCTCGCGGGCTTTCCGTCCCCTGCACAACTCCATGGGCGATGCCTCTGATGTCTACGTTCCTGAGCCCCTGGACCAACAAGATCCCGAGCAGCCCAGAGAGAGCGGCGTCTTTTCCGATGTCACCCACGACACTCTGCAGTCGCCCAACTGGGAGCGCATTGTCTACCTGTTCCACCGCCTTTTCGAAGCGCACTTTCTGCCTCTGCAGATGACCATTTACGTCATCTCCTCCACCTTGTACGTCTGGGTCACCGAGGGCAACGAGGAGGTGGCGCACCTCAGCTGGATCTTCGACGTCTGCAACATCCTGCGCACCTTCGGCTTCATGGAGATCGCTCTCTACCTGTTCCTGTACGAGAGCTTCCACCGCATCTGCGTCAAGTCTCGCCAGCGTGAAATGACCGAGGCTGGCTTGTCCGACGGCATGAACTTCTCTTACCGCTCTGTCAAGAAGAACTTCATTGACTACGCCATGGTTCCTCTTGTTGCGCCTCTTTACGGCGCCATCCCCTGCGCCCAGGCGCAGCTTTGCCATTTCTGGACACTAGACCTCGTCTACTCTGTCAGCAAAAAGGTCACCAGGCAAAGAGCGAAATCGCTCACGGCAGCCGATATCGCGTAACGACAATAATTCCCTTTCCGGTTTTATCATTTTACTACTCTTCGACGGGACCTCGCCTTTACGCGCGTCATGCGGAAACTGCGACGGCTCCTCTTTATTTCCTTCGATTCGACGCACAGCCCAATTCCAGCAAGACCCACCAAGCGGCGGTTTTTAACTCGATTATGTGTTTGAAGAAGCTGGGGCTCCCGAGAGCCTCATGTGTAAATAGATGAGGGCATTCTTGATATGCATGGCATGGCATGGTATCGGCATTCTAGAGATTTTCGGGGATTCATGGGGCCTCAAACCGGAGTTCTCGGAGCAACACGCAGGAACTTGACGAGCGAGAGAGCCGTCCAAGTGCATTCGCTTATACGAAAGACGAAGTGGGAAGGGGTAGGACATATCCACGCCAGCATGACGAGGTTCAACCACCAGCGGCAGAAAGATGCCAAGAGGGTGAGGAAAGACGATTGCATCCGCTGGGGACAGGGCGAGCCCAGCAGGAGCAGCTGAGAGTGGGTTCCAGCAGCAAGACGGGGAGGCCAACCCAATGGAATCCCGGAGCCCATTAATATGGACGAGTCCTATAATATCTAATCTTGTGTGTACATAGAACGATTCATGATCATGGCAGCTGACGCTAAGACGTGGATCGGAACGGTGGTCAATAGGAAAACGTTGCCACGACGATACAATTGATGTGAATTACATTATAAACGCTTCCCTCGAGATGTCCCTACGTGATTTCCTACATGGCTGCCACGGTGTTGTGAGATGACGTTGGAGAGTGACGCGGTACAGTCGTCGTCTCGTATCACATTTGCAGGGTGCAGCCTTTCGACCAGTCCAATCAAATCACATCGAGGATCTGGGTCACGTACGAACGGTAAGGTCCAACCAGAGACTGCGACGAATGACTGAGCAATGGACGACACTCTGGGCGTCAGCAACCTGAGAGACGGACCGGTGGCCGGACCTACGCAGCTTGGGAAAGGCGTAAGGGAGAGCCGTCAGGCCCCGAGACCCCTCGGAAGTTATGTCGTCCCACCCAATCAGAGCTCGCGGCGTCAGCCAGCGGCGGCCCGTGTCTCTGACTTTGACGAGCTCCCGGAGACTTATTCGAGGCGCCGGCCTAATCCGGGCCCGTGGTGGAGTGGAGGGCGGTCTTGGGTTCGGGTCCTAGGAGCGACGCTTATGGTAGTGGGAGTCGCGCTGGTGTATATAGATGGCGGATGTGTTCCTGCGATTTGCTCTAGGTACGAGACGTCGCATGCAAACAAAGGATACGTCAGGGTGTATTCCCATTTGAGGATCAGATTCAGTCTCACGCGTCAAGTCGCTTCTCGAGATACTTAAGCCAGCAGACCCCAGTTCATACGCAGTCCCTAGGGAAACACAGCACAGCATGACGAACAACAAGACGGTCAAGATCGGGGTGTTCATCCCGTTCGAGTGCCAGCTCCTCGACATGGCCTGCATCGACGTCTTCGCAATGATGTCCAAGGAGTACCTCGGCGGGTTGCCCATGCTGCCGAAGCACATCTCGGCGCTGGCGCCCAGCGTGAGCATCTTTTACATCACGGCCCCCGCCGCAGCCGGCACCGAGACCGCCGAGCCGCGCCCCCCGAACTTGTTGCAGCTCACGGCGGGCGTCAAGATGCAGGCCACGCACGACATCTTGCACCCGGACGTGCAGCCGGGCAGGCTGGACGTCCTTCTCGTACCCGGCCCGGACCCGGACGCGAGCTGGGGCGAGGATGTGCTCGGGTTCCTGAAGGACCATGCCGAGCAGAGGGAAGTGACGGACGTGTTGAGCGTCTGTACGGGCGTTTTTCTGTGCGGCGCCGCGGGGGTGTTGGAGGGGAGGATGGTCTGCGGGCCGAGGGGCTTGCAGGACATGTTGAGGAAGAGGTTCCCCGGGGCCGAGTTCGTCGGGGAGAAGTATCGGTGGTTCCAGGACGGGAACTTTTGGAGTTGCGGTATGTTTTTCTCTCCTTTCTCCTTGGACTCGGCTCGTCTCACACTCCCCTTACCCATGTCTTTAAAGAGTCGACTCCTGCTTGGAGCCAATGCCGAGATGGAAGGGCCGTGGCTGATTTGACGACAGGCGGCATCACGAACGGCAACGACCTCGTCGCGGCGTACGCGCGGGGCAGTAGGAAGCATTTCCCCGCGGCCATTGCTGAGATTGGGTGCCAGCTGGCCGACGTCGGGGATAGGCCGCAGCTGTACGAGCAAGGTCAGACGAAGTTCTTCTTGGGGTTCGTGTGGCAGATTGTCAAGGCTTGGTTTGGGGAGCCGAGCAAGGACACGGAGAAGAAGGACATCTGAGGTGTAAGGGGCCTGAGTGAGTTCTGTAGGCCAGGAACTCAACTTGGTGCGGGGCAGAAGGCAACTGGTATTGTATGTTAACGTGTCTTTTACTAATGAATCAATCAACTCATTCAATTGACTTTCAGGATGACAACTGGAAAGCAACTTGAAGATTGAATCTTGTGAACATCACGATGAAGCGCCGCAGGATGTTTCCCAGATGCAGGCTGCTCGCCCAAGACGCAAGGCCAGTCAAGAAACCCAATCGCGAAAGCGGGTCAAGGCAGCAGCTGCACCTTCCATGATTGTGTTTTCTCCGTTGGTGGGAATGGGCGCCCAGGCAGAAAGCGGTGTACGAATGGATGCTTCTCGGTGGCTCGATGGCGCTCTCACCGTCCACAAAAGCGCCGCTCTTTTTGCACCTGGAATCCATCCTCTGGGCGGGTTTTGGGCAGGGGTCCAAACGCAGCTCTTCCCCAGACGCACCTTCCCTGTCGTTGCGCAGCGGTTGCCATGGCTGGATAAGAGCGATAAGGCAGGATAAGGCAACACTAGCGGCTTCAGCGGTGGGGTCGAGACCAAGGAAGGGAAAAAAAAAAAAAAAGTTCGGTGCCGTCTGGTCGTCGGTCGAGGGAAAAAAATTTCAGGCAAAAGCTCTTCTAGAACCTCGCCTTTTCTGTACAACCTCCCTCTCACACTCTATCCCATCTCACCTTCCCTTTCCTCAATTCCTCCAATATCCCAACCAAAACTTCAAGCAAAAGGTCTTTGATTGTCTCGACCTCCTTGCAGTCTATAATCAAGTGCAAGAGCACCACCTTTGAACCTTCTTTTCACGTACCACCTCACATCCAGCAAAATGGCCCAGCTTCCTGTCGCTCTTTACGGGCTCGAGATCCCTCCCGGCGAAGTCCTTATTCCCGCCTCGCCCGACTTCCCTGCCACTGTACGTACAATCTCTGCTGTGGTTCTTCGTCTGCGCGTGTCTTGGTGTAGTCTGCGATCAAATCGCAGCATGCGCCGGCCGCGCGCCTCCCATTCGTGAGTTTTTAACTAACTCGGCATTGCCAGTTCCGCATCACCATGGCCGCTATTGATCCCACCGAGGCTCCTGAGGCCGATGCCGATGGCAACATCCCCGCCGTCCCCCGCTCTACCCTGCGCCTGGTCAAGCAGCGCTTCGGTGACGACCTCGAGGCCAACGAGGACGATGAGATCGACGAGGACTACCTCCAGTCCCTCCTTGCCGCCAACGGCGACGACGAGTCGTCTGATGACGATGACGAGCCCAACGGTGGCCCCAGCGACCCCTCCAAGAAGCAGAAGCAGGCCGAGTCCCTCAAGAAGCTGATCGAGGCTGTCTCCGCCGAGGAGTCTGATGAGGACATGGACGACGCTAAGCCCAACGGCAAGTCCAGCAAGAAGGGCAAGGCCAAGGCCTCCGACGATGACGAGGAGGAGGAGGAGGACAGCGAAGACGAGGACGACGAGGGTCTTGACCTCGAGAACTTCGTCCTCTGCACTCTCGACACCGAGCGCGTAAGTTGCACAAGACTATGCAAGCCCCATGAATCCCAGCTAACAACTCGACAGAACTACCAGCAGCCCCTTGACATCACCGTCCAGGAGGGTGAGAAGGTTTTCTTCGTTGTCTCCGGCACTCACACCGTCCACCTCACCGGTAACTACGTTATCGATGACGAGGAGGAGGACTCCGAGGACGATGAGGATGACGAGGACGGCGAGTACGATCTGTCTCCCGATGAGCTCGAGTACGGCATGGACGGCATGTCCGACGAGGACAGCGATGAGCTCGACGACACCGCCGACCCCCGCGTCATGGAGGTCGACACCGACGAGGAGGAGGCCCCCAAGCTGGTCGAGACCAGCAAGAAGGGCAAGAAGCGCGCCGCCGAGAGCCTCGACGACCTCATCAAGGCTGACGCCGACGACTCCAAGCTCTCCAAGAAGGACAAGAAGAAGCTTAAGAACAACAAGGGCGAGGCTGTCGCTACTGAGGAGAAGACCACTCCCAAGTCCGACAAGAAGGTCCAGTTCGCCAAGAACCTCGAGCAGGGCCCTACCGGCTCCGCCGAGAAGGCCAAGCAGGCCGGCAAGCCCGCCACCGGCGTCAAGGTCGTCCAGGGCGTCACCATTGACGACCGTAAGGTCGGCTCTGGCCGCGCCGTCAAGAACGGCGACACTGTTGGTGTCCGCTACATCGGCAAGCTCGATGACGGCAAGGTCTTCGATGGTAAGTTGTGATGCGCCGGTAGTATCTCTGTTCTTCCTGCTAACATGCAATCCCAGCCAACAAGAAGGGCAAGCCTTTCTCTTTCAAGGCCGGCAAGGGTCAGGTCATCAAGGGCTGGGACATCGGTGTCCTCGGCATGACCATCGGTGGTGAGCGTCGCCTCACCATCCCCGCCCACCTGGCCTACGGCTCCAAGAGCCTGCCTGGCATCCCCGCCAACAGCACCCTGACTTTCGACGTCAAGCTGCTCGAGATCAAGTAAACGGTGACTTGCTAAACAGCACCACCGCCTCCGGCGACGAGACGCCGACTCAGGATGCTTCCCACTGTATTCTACACACTTGCTCAGCGAGTCTGCCATGAAAGACATGGCTCGGACTAGCTCAGACCCCGGCGTCCCAGACGTTGACTTTCCCTTGTAATGATGTGTGACGGCGAGAGAGGAATCGCCATGTCGCGCTTTGCGCCGTGCCGCAATGGATAGTCTCCGACCTGTGGCTATCTGCGAAGATCCGCAACCACCTTCTGGATGCGAGAAGCAGAATCTGTTTGATGGGATGACGAGGCGAGGACTTACACTGCATTGGTTGGCGTACCATAAAAAGAGTTTTCTGTTGTAGGAATTTTTCTCACCGGACATGGATGGTTTCCCCCGGTTGGGTTGTACTTAGCTCCGGTTTTCTTAACGAAAAAATCGTCTCCTTACTTCTTACCACGTCTCTTCTACACATGCTCCTGCTATCTGCTCCTACAATATTGTGCCTGAGTTCTGCTGCTGGGTTCCGACACACGCAGCAGGTTCAGTCTTACAAGCTCCTGCCCCGGTCTGAAAGGCATCACCTGCCGACCAGTCCACCGTGATGCCGGTCACAAGTACTTCCGGTAACTTCCTTCACGGTCGTCGACTCCTGAATGGCAATTTTGTCCCTTATTTCCCGTTTCAAGGAAACCTCCATCTTTCACGTAACATGCTAACAGACTAAGTACCGTCATAGCTAGACGACCAGTCCGTCTCTCTTTTGGACTACGCGTTCTCCAGAAATCGAGTTACCAGCAATATTGTTTATCCTGCTGTCGTCAGGTTTTCATTGACATGATGCATCAGGTTACACGCGGCGGCAATATCTCACGTTCAAACCCGACCCCCGTCGCCCCGAGCATCACCGCTACCCACACGCTCTCAACCGACCTTAGCCCCGGATTCGATGGCCAGGCCCGTCACAGTCTTTGGAGCCCGCATGCTCGCTATCCTGCTCCCCAACTGAACGTACTTTTCAAGAACAAGAAACATCAACTAGGTGCGGATGTGCTTGGCACATACCATCCAGCACGACCTGGCACGACAGTAAATCCAGAGTCCTCGGAGAGTAATAGAGGCAGTACCAAGACCCAGAGAATCATCCACAAGTTTAGGGACATAGCAAAGCCAGCCTCCAAACTGATGCACCCTCACGGTTTGCGGTATCCGGTCATACAGCCTGTCATGAACCACCCTCTCAGTCCACCCTCCCCCGTTATTCCACACGATTCGGTTACCCAGCATCTCCCTACCACGAAGAAGTTCCAGGAACAGCCTATTTGGAGCCACGTCTCGGACAAGCAGAGGGTCATCACGGTGGAAAAGGCCGCCGCAGCAAAGATATACCTGGAGACATATTACAAGGAAGTGCTCAGCGATGGTCCGACCCCGCGTGAACTGCGTCTAGCACGGTTCCAACGCAACATGGACCAACAAGGTGCCTACATGGAACAATGGAAAAAGGAAGAGTATCGGAAACTGTATCTGAAAACAGAAACCGATTACCTTCGCAAGCAAAGAAACGCCAAAGCCCATAGCTGCAGGGTTGCGTAGTCTACAACCTCTGGCCATGGGATAATCCGAGGCTCGGACCTAGAAAACCTGGAGACGCTTCAGATCCTCGGAAAGGGGAGTTTCGGCGTTGTCAAGCTCGTTTGGGACCGTTCCCGTCGGCAGGTATACGCCATGAAGGTTATTCGAAAGTCGGACATGATTCGAAGCTGCCAAGAAGGGCACTTGCGAGCAGAACGGGATTTTCTGGCTGCCTCTGAGAGTTCCCAATGGTAAACACTGGTCCACTTTTCCTATCAGTGCTACGGCTATTTTCCTTGTGCTAACATCTCCTCTTAGGATCGTGTCTCTGATATCCAGTTTCCAAGATCCCACTAACCTCTACCTGCTGATGGATTACATGCCCGGGGGCGACTTTCTTGGCTTGCTTATCCGCGAGAACACCCTGACCGAGGCAAGGACTCTTTTTTATATTGCTGAGATGATCATTTGCGTCGAAGAGGCACACAAACTCGGCTGCATCCACCGAGATGTCAAACCAGACAACTTTCTCATTGGCGCTGACGGTCACTTGAAAATTTCGGATTTCGGGCTGGCCTTCGATGACCACTGGTCTCACGACACTTCTTACTACAAATGGCACAGACAATGGCTACTTTCGCTGATGGGTGTTAGGCTGGATGGAGATCGCGAAGACCGGAGAGCAGCCTGTGGTGGAGGACACTCCAGGCGGCGATCATCTCAGGCAGGGTCTTCAAAGCACGCTCCTCCAACTGACATCGTTCAATCCGACTCATCTTTCGTTCCAGCGACGGGCCCGGATATGCCCAAGAACGACCCTCTGACGGTAGATACACTCCTTGAATGGAGAACCGCTGCAACAAGCCGGTCGTACGCTCGCTCTGTTGTTGGCACAAGCCAGTACATGGCTCCGGAGGTAGTAATAGGCGATAGATATGACGGCAGATGCGACTAGTGGAGTATTGGAATCATCTTGTACGAATGCCTCTACGGATATACGCCGTTCCTCTCAGACAAGGGCCGGCACTATACCAAGCAAAATATTCTTGTAAGTTTACCTCAAGCCGACAACAGCCGTTGGCTTATATTGAGCACAGAACTACCAAACGACCTTGGTGTTCCCTATTGATGGAGCTCATGTCTCAAAAGTATGCCGACATCTGATCAGGGACCTGCTTCAGGACAAGAAAGACCGCCTCTCATCGCCAAAGTACCGTGACCAGGACGATCGACGAGCCCGGCAACAACTTCTGGGTTTTCCGGAAACCCCGCGCAACTACGTTTTCCAAAACGATGCGATCGAGATCAAGGCTCACCCGTGGTTTCGGGGCGTTCCTTGGGAGAAAATGCGTTCCGTTCAGCCGGAGTGGGTACCAGATATCAAAAGCTTTGCCGACACTCACTACTTCGAAGAAGACGAGCCGATCAGCGACTGGTCAGAATCGGTGGACTCGGATACGGGAGAAGAATCGGAAACCCGCGCCGACCTCGACTTCGAATTCCTGCAATTTGGCTTTGAGCACGACATACGGGCACTTGTTAACAATTTTACCGCTAAGCCCTATGATTCGACGAAGCTCAAACGGTTCGACCGTGACGTAGATGACCGCCCGGAGCTGGAAGACACCGAGAAGGAGTATCTGAAATGGTACGCTAGACGAGCCGGTCATAAGGAACGCAAACGCCCGAGAGACAAGTTGCTCAGGGATCCTTGGGTGAAGGACGAGGTCCTTCAAATGAGAAAGCAAACAGCGTTCTTGGGATATTCATGGCGATGCAAAAGTCCGCTACACCGTCAGAGCGTCGACGGAACACTTGTGAATCCATGAGACGACGCTGTTGAGGGTATGAGGTGGTATTTGGCGGAGACACAACCGTAGCAGTAGCTTTCTGATGAGAGCCTGGGCTGTGATTGAAGATGGTACGCTGCAGAACGAGGAGACGGAAACGGAGGCGTTAAATAGAAATAAACATTATTGTTTCTCATGCCTGCTTCCGATTAACGTATGCGGAGCTGCACCAAAGCTGCTGGGATCACGCTCCACGACTAGGCAGCCGTCATCCATGACTTTGGTTTCTGCATCCTTTGTCGCAAAAAAAGCATTTCTTTACATCAAATGGCATGTTTGATTAGTCTCAAAAAGACTTTTCCCTCGCAAAGTCCCCAGAAGCACCACTCGCTATTTTTCTAGCATTTGTGATCTCCCACTCAAACTCCTTTAGAGCCCTGAGCTCCGAGTTGAAGAAGAGTAGTGACATGAGACCGTCCACAACTCCGGCGACCAGACCGAGACTGCTCAGAAGCATGAGGAGGAAGGCAACAAAGTTGTGTGGACTAAACCACACGGCGACGAGACACGCTATCAACACGGCGAACCAGGCGAAGAAGTGCACCGCCCGCCAGGTCCGTTGGTTCTCTTCCCGGTGAACATAGCGTCGTATCTCGGAGAGGATCTCGTCATAGACCGGGATGGGAAGTGACGAGTTCTCGGGCGGGCTAGGCGGGTTGGCGGACAGGAAGGACTCTCGGTGCGAGCTGTCTGACGGGTCCTTGGGGTTGGAGGTCTCCTTGAGGATGGTGTCGTTGCCGACTTGGTCGGATTCGCTGCGGGGGGGATGGTACGACAGTGTCGCCTCCACGGAAAAGTGGTCGCTCAGAGAGCAGCCCAGTGTGGGATGCGGCTGGACCATGCCTACCCGCGCATCGCGGACCACCCAACCCCCGCCGCTGTCGTCGCCTCGGGGTAGGGCACTGCTGAAGAAGATGTAATCCAGACGCTTCCCCTTCCTGTCTGGTGCGTCCGGCGGTACCACGATTTTCTCCTTCCCCTCGCCTAGCTTCTTCTGCTGCTCTTTGGACCAGCGCCAGGTGTTGTACACATGGTCCGACGTGGTGCCGTTTTCCTTGAGACTAAAGTCCGCCGTCGGCACGGGCCGGCCGCGAGCCTTCTCCAACGGGTTCTCAACCTCGCCGAGGGACGAGTCCGGGTGCAGCGTCCGCCAGACGTCATGGACGGGGGCATGGGCGGTGATGATGCGGTGCGGGAGGCTCAGAGGCCGCATGTTGAAGTCGCCCATGGCGAGGACGAGGTGGCCGCGCTCCGAGGCGCCGCGGAGGAGCTTGGACATCTCCCAGGACTGGGCGAGGCGATGGGCGAGATAGCTGTCGTTGGGTTGGTTCTCGGTGTAGGGGGCGTGGGTGTGGGTGTTGAAGATGCTGAGGGTGTGTTCTCTGCTGCCCCCCGCGGAGGAGGGGTCGGTGAGGCGGATGCGGATGCGCGCGCACGCGATGCCCTTGCCGACGTACCAGTCGCCGCGCCAAAAGGCCGTGGGCCGCCCGTTGAGGGGGTACCGGAACATGGAGCTCTCCTCAAGGGGCCAGCGGGAGAGGATGGCGAGGCCGCCGCCAAAGGGGCCCGAGTAGTAGAACTTGCCGTACGGGAGGATGTGGCGGGTCTCGGCGCGGATGGCCTCGTAGTCGGCCGTCACCCAGCATTCCTGGAGGGCGACGACGTGGGGCGGCTCCGGGCGGGAGGCGATGCGGCGGCCGATTTCCGCGAGGCGTTCGGAGCGGAGCTTCGAGATGTACTTGAGACCCCAGCAGTTGAGGGTCAGCAAGCGGAGGTCCGCTGGAAGGTCTTCCATTCTGGCGGTAGGAGGTGGGTAGTATTAGGCTGAGATTGTACGACGCCGGGTACTGAAAGGGAAAGAAAGACGCAAAGACCGTAAGAACGATGATAAAGTAGCAGTGCAAAAGGTGTTGGTGGTGACGGTTGACTAGATCCGGGTGTTGACGGGGCTTATATCTAGTCGAGCATAAACATTCGTGTAAGATGGATGAGATGGCAAGTGCTTTCTTCGAGATTGCGCCGAAGCTTCCGGAGTGGGACAAGCAGCGCGGGCGTAAACTCTGAATAACTCAATGCCGCCTCGTCAAATGGCCGGTCCGTCAACAGCAAGCATAAGAAATCGCATTACAGAGCCGGTGAGGTCGGATCGCGGGGCACTCGTGAGATGAGATGAAAAGCGTTCACGGCCCTCGGGCGCCGCTTAGACTCGGTGACGTTGCGTCCAAGTGCATCCGTTTGCTTTTGCTGCCGGCAAGCCGGGGGTGCGTTTGACGGAGGACCCGGTTTATTTTACAGCTGAGAGCGACGGGATGTCCACATGCTTCACCATTGGCCAATCGGTAGCTTCATTACAGACATCACAGATCGGGCTTAGCGTGGCTACTTCTTATCTTAGCGTCCCCATCTAGCTGAAAGTGTAGGGCCGCAGGACAAACCGTGCATCTGAACGAGGCTGAAAGGTAAAGCGCCAGACGTCAAGAAGCACGCCCCCTGTAACTGGGGGGTCCAAAAGCGACGTTCAACTTCTGGTTCCCGTCTTTTTTTGTTCAGCCTTGTCCGAGGGTTTGCGCGCCGATCGTCAACCCATGCCGTTCTCACTACCTACCTAACAGCTTCTTAAACAACACATCATACCGACACTTACCCCTCGCACCTCCCAAGCGAAACGCCCACAATGTCAGATCTCGATTCCTCAGCAGCCGCGACGCCCCTCCCCGAACCCCCTCCCAAACGTCGCAAGGTCCTCGAACTCGGCACGACCGCGACCCCACGATCCAGCTCCCCCGACGAACTCAACTCCCCAGCCGTAATCCCAATCGGCTCGGCGGCGGCTGCTACAGCCGACAGAACTAAGACGACGGCAACGAAACGCACAACCAAATCCCGCCGCCTGGCTGCCCACCGCAGCCGTCCTAGCGTGACGCCCAGCAGGAGCCCCAGCGACGACGAGCTCAACGAGGCGTACTACTCCCGCTCCTCCCATTCCCGCACCCGCTCACAGTCAAGATCCCGATCCCCCTCCCGCTCGCGCACACGAACGCCCAGGTCGCCGACTGCCTCGCCCTCCCGCTCCCGCAGCGAGTCCCGCACGAGGTCGCAGTCGCCGGCCTCCACATCGGCAGGCAGCTCCCCGCGCAGCCTCTCCGGCGCCGTCGACCGCCGCCTGCGGCTATCCTCTACGAATGGCGAAGGCGCCGACACGGGCGCGACCGTAACGACGCCTGTTACCCCCGCGCCGACGAAGAAGGGTCCCGTGAGGCCGCGGTTCGAGGAGCAGCAGGTCTTGAGTGGGCACGCGGGGAAACCCGTCTCGCAGGTGCGCATTTCCCCTGACGGGCGATGGATCGCAAGCGCCTCGGCCGACGGGACCATCAAGCTATGGGACGCCGCGACGGGCGAGCACATGGATACCCTGGTGGGCCACATGGCGGGAGTCAGCTGCGTGGCATGGAGCCCCGACAGCGGGACGCTGGCGTCCGGTTCTGACGACAAGGCGATTCGGCTGTGGGACAGGGTGACGGGGCGGCCAAAGTCGACGGCCAAGGGGGTCGGCGCGCTGGCCAAAGACGGCGCCGTCGCGCCCTCGGCTCGCCCGATGCCGCCGCTACGAGGCCACCACAACTACGTCATGTGCCTTGCCTTCTCGCCCAAGGGCAACATCCTCGCGTCGGGGTCCTACGACGAGGCTGTCTTCCTGTGGGACGTCAGGGCCGGAAGGCTGATGCGCAGCTTGCCGGCGCACAGTGACCCGGTCAGCGGCATCGACTTTTGCGGCGACGGCACCTTGGTCGTCAGCTGCTCGACCGACGGTCTGATGTAAGTTTCACTCCAATGTTCCACCCCCTTTTCTCCCGACGATTCGCTGACCAAGGATCCCCCTCTGCAACAGCCGCATCTGGGACACCTACACAGGCCAGTGCCTCCGCACCCTCGTCCACGAGGACAACCCCGCCGTGACATCCGTGTGCTTCGCGCCCAACGGCCGCTTCGTCCTCGCCTTCAACCTCGACAACAGCATCCGCCTGTGGGACTACGTCGCGGGCTCCGTGAAGAAGACGTACCAGGGCCACGCCAACAGCCGCTTCGCCATCGGCGGCTGCTTCGGCCTCATCCCCTGCGAGGGCGCCTTCGTCGCCTCGGCCAGCGAGGACGGCGAGATTGTGCTGTGGGACGTCGTCACCAAGGAGGTCGTCCAGAGGATCCCCGCCCATACCAAGAAGGACCGCGTCAACGGTGCCGGCGCCGGCGGCGGGAAGCGGGGCAGCAGTGTGTGTTTCTGGGTTGACGTGCACGGGGACGTCATGGTCAGCGCGGGGCAGGACGGGACGATTCGGAGATATAAAAGGGTGCCGAGCGAAGGCGAGGATGGCGGCGGCGATGCTGTGGCGACTGCCGCGGCGGAGGCGACGGCGGCCGTGACAAATGGTCACGCGGCGGGTGCGGCAGAGGAGGAAGACAAGACGGACGAGGTCGAGACCACGGAGCCGCCGATAAAACAGGAAGAGGACATTGACATGGGCGGGACGTAGTGGCACGTCACTGGAGGGGTCGACACGACAAAAGAGATGCAAACCAAAGCCAGCCTGTGAGCAGCTGCTATGCCGGAGAAGTGATACCAAGCAGCGAATAGGGGCAGCGAAGATTTTAGACCGCAAGAAACCGGAGCTTTGCTGAGCATGGACTACAGCAATGTCTCATGCGGAAGACTATTCTAACTTTGAAAAGCTTTATTTTATAATCAAACAATCTTGCCAACCTGCTGAAACTCCTCCCTTCCATCCCCAAGTGACCGCCCTCTCAAATGATGTATGTGTGTGCTCTGTCAGTAAACAACAATGGCGAGCATATGCAATTCTATCAACTCCACACTCGTAGCTCTCTTGTTGGGAGCGTCTAGGTAATCCACGCGAAACCCCGCCCCTTCCACTCCATTCACTTTCGTCATCAGTTCGACCAGTTCCCGTCAGTCGAGATCAGATCGTCTCCCAACCGCCATTGTTGATCTCGGCCTCCAGCTTACGACTAATAAAGCTCGGGATGCCGTGGCTGAGGAACGTGTTTCTCAGCATAGAGTCGTACCGCTTCTGGTTCAGGAACAGCTGGCGGCCGTGGCGCAGACCCAGGTCCGTCTCGCCGTACTTGTCGATGTAGGGCGCGCTACTGAAGGAGCCCGATAGCCGGAAGAGGTAAAAGATGCAGCACTTGCGGATGTTAAGGAACAAGCCAATATTGCCTTGGCACCTGGACGCAAACATGTCAGCATCATTCATATGCATTCAGGGGGGTTTTATGTGTTTGGTTCAACTTACTTTCGCATGTGTTGCTGCGAGCCGCCGATCCTCTGGGGCTCGCGATCGCCAGGCGACGTCTCCTCCTTGAGACAGCAGACAGCCTGGCCACAGAAGACATCTCCGCAGAGCAGGCAAATCATGGGATCCGAGACATCCTTGCCTGTCGTTGGGCACTTGCGTCGAGTGGCTTCTTCAATGAGTGCGTCGTAGTTCTTTGGCAATCCTACCAGCTCAAAAATGCCCGGATGGCTGATGAGTGCAGAACGGGGGAGTTTGTCCATGTCGTCACCAGGCCACATGATCTGGTGCCGGATCCAGCCGCTAACTAGGCTTGTGGTCGAAGCTGGCCATCCGCAACTCGGCCCATGGTCAGTGATCGCGGCGCACATCTCGTCAAAGGTCGGAACTCGGAGGACTTCGGTAAGGCGGTCCAGTTCATCCGCGTCCGGCTGAGGGGAGACATGGCTGTTGAAGTCCACGCCATACTTGACGTAGAGAAGAACAACGCTCTTTCTGAGGAAGGTCAAGGCATACTTCTTGACGAAAGTGTAGTAGCCCTCTAGGTTGTCCAGCTCCGGCTGACCGAATCCACGGTTGTCCCCTAGATCTGCCGGCATTTCATGGTGGGACACGTTGATCTCCATGCCAACCTTGGTGATGGCGAGACAGAATTCGGCAAAGTTCTTCAACGCAGGGTCTTGAGTCTCTCTGTTCAGGAGGTGGCTGACCCATGTAGACACTGGGATGTTGCGCCCCATGTGGTAAACGACCTTGACAATTTCTGCGAGATAACAGAGTCTCAGGATGTGCGTTACGTCGAAGTTTTGCGCAGGGATCACACCAAAGACGCACTCCGTAAGGAAGATGAAGGGGTCCTCGCTGAGCAAGGGCGGGTAGGCGTCGATAGGTCGTCTGACATGCTCCGTCTCTTGTCCAAAGTACTGCGAAACGAAGAGCTGGACGTGCTGCCGCTCGCTGTCCAATCGGAACTCTTCATCTATCCAGTTGTCACCACCAGCCTTGAGACCACCAACGGCTCTGTATGCAGTGGCCGTCTCTGCCAAGATGCGCAGATGCGTCAAGCTCTGCTCAGGGATCTTTTCCAAGAGCGTCATGCCGTACTGGGCCTCAGTGCCGCGCTGCTGGATTTCTGCAGCTGAGATTGAATAACCAACCAGCTTCGACAGAATATCACTGTGGCAAAGCTCATTCCTCTCTCGCAAGTCAATGTTACGTTTTTCGTGGCGAGTCTTAAAGCCATTCGACCGCACAGTATCGCGAAGACGACGGTATACCCTCGCCAGCTCACCCATGAGGGTGGAACCGTCACTCTGTATAGATCGACGGTTGCTGATTGGCGTGCTAGCCATGGGGAACAGAGACGTCAGAGGTGTGCTAGCGATCACAGAGTCAGAACCCGACTCATCGGCAGTCCAGGCTTCTTCCAATAATTGAGGCGCCTTCTCCGCCAAAGCGCCGGTGACTTGCCCAGCCGTGTAGCTGGCAAACGATGACTGTATCTCGTCAGGTGGGCGGTTCGCACCCAGAATGTAGTAGCCCGATCTCATCTGCATATCGAGGAAGTCTGCAAAAATGCGCTGAGACTGGAGCGGCCCAGGGAAACACTCCTCCTGGCCCTTCCAGATGATGGGCAAGAATGCGTTTCCGAGAGCCTTGCACAGCGGGCAGACGAACTCCTGTCTTCGGAGGTTCTCCGGGTGATGCCTTGCGATTTGATGATGGTGCCGCCGGTTGGTCGCATCAAAGTACATCTCGAAACAGGTGTAGTGCATCATATGGCCACAGCCGGTTGAGACAGGCCCAGGGCGGGAAAGGTTCGATGGGAAGCCCTTGCCTATTGTCTGACGCTCCGAAACAAACTTCTCGCCCTTGGCGTTGACCTTCGTAACTTCTTGCCGGTTCTCGTGGGCGACCCCAAAAGGTCGAATGTCCTCTGCGGATCGATCCAGGCTCGAGGGCGTGTGGAAGGCTTCCCGCACAAAGTCGGGGTCCTGTAGATCCGTCTGTCGAAGGATGTGGCTCTCGTTGAAGAGAGCAAACGTTCCGTAGAGACGGCGGTCGTCCGTATCCTCCTGGCATAGAATGCAAGTACCGGTGGGGTATTTCCAGTTGTTCTTACGATCAGCGGTCTGCTCCACCTCTTCCTCGTCTTCAAGATCCGAGCCCCAGTCGATGTTGCCCTGGTTTTCCAAGAAACTCTTCTGCTGCTGCTGGAATTGGGCCATGACCTTTGCCTGCCGGCTCAGCGCCGCCTTCTTCTTGCGTTCGCGCTCCTCCTCTGCAGAGTTGTTCGCTGGGGAGGCGGTATCAATGCGATCGACCGAGACACCAAGTCGCACGTAAGCATTCTCAAAGTTGCGCGGCCGCTTTTGTCGCATTCTCTTGAGGATAAGGCCAATCTTGGGGTGGCATGCCTTGAACTCGTCCTTGGTGGACATCATGTCCAGCAACGCGACAATAGTCTTCGCGTTTGGCGCTTCTTGCATGAAGTTGCTTCGGGCGGTTCGTGTCAGAGCGATGAACACAAACGAGTTGAGAGACTCCTCCGTCATGTCGCTCTCGTCTGCCTTGTCCTCAGAGATCGCAATAAGGATAAGGTGGAGTACGACTTGGAGAAAGGTCTCGATCCGAGTTGTAGGCACGCTTGGCGTGAGTCTGGTAGCGACGAGTGGATACAGCAGTGAGTAGTAGATGATCTGGCCAAACATGCCGGTGCTAGTAAATGCAGCCAGATCCTTGAAGAGACCCGAGGGGATCGGTCTAAGCTTAGGCTCGTATACAATCTCCTCAATTGGCTTGCCAGTCTTGATGGCCATCTTCTTCCGATATGCCAGCTCAGACTCCTCTCGCTGATTCTTGTTATAGTGAGCGATGTAAGGGTCGATATGCTCAACGAACTCGGGCCGGAGCTCAAAGGTGCCTACGTCTGAGACACCTTCGGGGGGTTTGAACGATGCCATCTCGTCGAGAACACGGTGGAAATCCTCCTGTTCTTGCCACTTCTCAGGCAACTTGTTGCTGATTTCATTAAAGGAGAGTGGCTTGAAGCATAGGATGTGGGTAAGATCGCGGCGGATGGCAAGAACGTTGGCGTTGGGCTCATCCTCGGGCGCAATCAGCGAGGTACGATCGCTTAGAAGCACGATCAGGAGGTGAATCATGTCCTCCACCACGTCCAGGTGCTGCGCATCGTCTTGTGCAGCAGACTTCTGTTCGAAGATTCCCTTGACCCACTTCTCCATACCGAATCGATCAATGATGGATGCGAGGACGCGGCTAGGATCAGCGATGACCATGGCGGTCTGAAGGAGGAAGATGTCTCGGTGATGGGAGACATCTCTCTGACTGACTCCGCGATACGTCGCTGCCTGATGCCGCAGGCTGATACCATTGCGCACCCACATGTTCGCCTTGATTTGCGCCAGCCAAGCGCAGACCCTCAACGGATAGTCGAACGCAGCCATGAGATTGTCTTCTGGAGAGTTATCCCGTCGTGGCATAACCTTGCGACCCATGGAGCGCGGGGGAAGCTTCAAGTCTTGCGTGGTGAAGCTCAAGAGAGCTCGCATGCTTGAAGCAGGGAGAGACTTTCCGCACTCAATCAGCCATGAGAGGGTGTAGTGCAGGGCATGATGGAAGCTGATGGGGTCTTCCTCAACCGTAAACTTGACGACGTCGTACCGCGCTGACTCGTTGTCAAACTCGAAATCGCCCAGAGTCTTGAACTTGATCTCTTCTTTAATCTCAGCCTGCTTAAAGCGATGGCGTTCGGCGCCAACGGAATGGAGAATGACAGCCTTAGCTGTCAGTCTGATCGCCTGAGCGACGAAGTGAGCCTCGTTCTCCGGCACGTTTCTGTATGCGTCGGCAAGCTGCCGAGCAAGCCTGTTGATTTCGCGTGTCACCAGCGAGGCAGTTATCCAGCTGTCGGTTTCATATTCAACATGCTCTCCAACGGCGCGAACATTCGGTCCAATGCCCTGATGCAGCTTAACGAGGTCAAGGAATTGCAAGAGGTACCGTTCCTCGGTCCGAAGCTTTTCCTGAACCTGTGGCGAGCCAAAGAGGTATTTCAAGTCCAGATAGAAATGGTACATGCGGCGGTTCGTCACTGATCCGGAATCGAAAGCAAGTACTGCGTTTGACGAGACATCCCATGGGTAACCCACTTGCCTCGTAGTGAGGAAGGTGTAGAAGATTGCGAGCAGGCTCGTCATGAAGTTGCCCCGTTCAACGATCTCTGCGGTGATAGACGGCGTCGTAAGCATCTGCAGAGACAAGTTGATGATGGAGTGGTCAGGCTCTCGGTCCCCAATCAAGTAGAGTTGAGCCAATGTCGTGTACAGTCCGGCAAATCGAAGGCCTAGGATGCGCTTAAACTCGGGTATCGAAACAACAGTTGAAATGTAGAGCGAGCGGAGGTCGTTGCGGACCTTCTTCCACATGCGAAGGTCGAAGAGAATGAGCCAATCGAGCCGAACCCTTTGAAAGACGTCTTCCGCGGGTGGAACGTTCTCCCGGTTCATGTAGCCGGGAGGAGTCTCAAGCCAGTACCTACCTGGCTTCGGCGAGGGCGCCTTCTCACCTTGTCCAGGCGTCTTCGGGATTTCCAGATTGGCCTTGGCATAGATTGCAGGTGCAATCAGCGGTTCAGCTGTGTCGGAATCTGAGGGCGTCAAATCGCGATCCCTGGTGGTCCGCCGAGCAGCTGCAGGTGGGGGCGGAGGCGGCGGGTAACCGGCCATTGTAGCTTCATCTTCTTCCAAAGCTTGATCATTACCACGCCACTCGAGACCAATGTCCCCGGGGCCGTCGGCTCGAACATCAACCATCATGATATCTTCATCGTCAATATCGTCATCTTCGTCATCATCTCCCGCGTCACTGTCCGGGGTGCCGTTACCCCTGCCCATGTCGATATCCTCATCGTCGCTATCGAGAGCCCGGGCTTGTTGTTGAGCGGCAATGCGCTGCATCTGTAGGAGGACATGCTGGGTAAAAGACTGAGACTGCTCGAGGTTCCTCAGGAATCTCTCTTCGTCGTAGATGCCGTCCTTGCCCACTATGGCATGGCTTCCGGGGCTACCCTTCCGCCATGGCTTCATCATCTCCTGGCAGACAATGTTTCGCAGAATAGTATGGTCCGATCCAACGCTGCATCCGGCGATGTCGCTGAGCCACTCAATCATGGCCCCGCACATTTGTTCGCGGAACGTATCGCGTGATGACCTGATGGTAACAGTGACCTTGATATGCTCCAGTTTGGTGGCCATCTCAAGCAGAGCGTCCAGATCGTCGAGGCGCTTCAGGATACTGCGGCCAATGAGATCCGTTTCTGTGGCGCGCTGCAAAGCCTGGGCCTCTGTTGTTCTGCAAGCTCGCGCAATCTGATTCTGTACATCCTCCATTGTGTGCTTCTCGTCATTCCAGAGAACCAGCGCATATTCGGGATGGCCAGAGGGGCCTTCTCCGTAGATGTCTGGGGACAGGCGTGAGAGCTCTTCGTCAGCTTGAATCGATTCCACCGTCTTGCCCTGTCGCAACTGTTCCGGCGAGCACGATATAACGTCGCAGATGTAATCAAAGACACGACCAATCGTCATCTGCATGTTCTGTACGAGATCCTCAGGCAGACCAGCCGGCTCCTTCCCCTTCCCTTCGCCCTTTTCCGGGTTCGTTTCGGAGTGGATCGTACAGAACATGGGGAGCCGCCAGGCCTCGTCATCGCCACAGTCGCAGCAACCACTATTGCCGACCGAGATGCTGATACGGACCATGTGGCCGGCGTGGTCGGTCGAGTCGAAGCATCGCATACACAGTACGCAGGTGTCGTCAGTGCTGCATGTTCTACAAGAGTAGGAGGCTTCTCCGGGCTTGAATATGTGACCGCATCGCTTGCCTCGAGCGGCTTCGGTGTACTCGGCGCCCTCGACTGCGCCCTGGGCATCGTGGAGCTTGTGGTTGTGGGAAGGTCGACCGGAGGGAAAGAAGAGGGGCATGTAGCGCTCGCCTCCCGCCAACGACCAAAAAAGACTTTCGAGGAGGTCGTGGTGTGCTTGGTCGTCGTACTCGTAGTTCCATCTTGCAGGAAGCTCTCTAAGAAACTCGCAGAGCTGGCGCTCTTGAGTTGACATTGTGGGTTCCATTATGACGGCTCGGTCATGGCTATAGGTGTGCCTTTATGCCCAAAAATTTGACAGGTGGTCGGTCAAGGGAAAAGGAAGGCGCGGGTATGTAGGTGTAGCAAGTGTGGTGGAGGTTGTTGGTAATCGGTGATGCGCAAGCAGTGTCTTGCGCAGAGCTCTGGCGGGGTCTTTCGGGCAAATAGTGGCGGGTCGTCTATATGCGGTGAGTAATCCGAGCCTGGAATATGGTCCGGGCAGACAGGTAAAGTGTGCGGTATGGATATTGTGGAGAGAGAGAAAAGAAAAAAGACCAAAAGGAACAAGTCGAAACGAAAATGGATTACATACAAGGAAGTGCCAGTGGAATCTTCACAGGCAATAACGGTGACGTTCTCTGCTGAAAAGAAGCGACAGGACAACGTGGTCGCGGTGTTGGGTGTTGGAGGAGAATGGTTGATCAAAGCACGGCACGCGGCACAGAGTTGGGAGGTCCGAACTTCATACGTACCTAGGTGGTGGCGGGCTAGAGTGGAGGTCAGTTTTGTTGGTGGGGTGGTTTGAGTGGGTTAGATCAGCGGGAAGACGTTTGGGTTGGAGAGCCTGAAGGATTGCAGGGGTGTGGACACCTTATTACTGGTAAATGTCACTATCTTGCTTAACCGCATATGCCCATCCGGTAGCTTGACCTCCCTGTACCCCTACTGAGTGACGCTTAGAAGTAGTTAGTTCACAAAGAAAAGAGAACAGACCGACTTACATTAACTGACTGAGACATTTCTAGTTCAACATGTTCACATGCTATGCAAATGGCAGTACATTGACTGGTGCGGGAATAGAGGGGTAGGCAGGCCTAGTGACAAGATCTCGGTCGTATGCAATCCCTCCCTAAATACCCTCAAGAGGGTGTTCAAATTTACACAACGCTTGAGAAAGCCGGATATGTGGTCCCATTGCAACTGCTCTTCGACCCTTTTTGTACTATAGAAACAGTGCAGGTGTGTGATTCCGGGACTATACTTGTGGCTCTTGGTGCAGTTTGATGATAGTGGTTTGCATGCATCTTATTTGAGCATCCAGCCAACACCCAAACCTAGACTACCTTTCATATCGTTCGATAACTTCTTGGAGGGCTTTCCTATCCCGACAAGTGGTCAGACCTAGTATGGAGTAGATCTTCAGACAACATATCCCCCCAACAGAGATGAACCTCAAGCGCATAATCGGGGGCTAATCACCGATATCTAAACGTTTGCCAATATGAGTCCACATACCCAATCGGTCAATCTCGGCTATATTTATCAGTCACTGAACCGCGCACACAGATTCCTTCCATTGGTAAAACCCTGGTGGATGTTTGTCCAACGTCGTAGAGTGTTCGCGATTGTCTCGGTCCGGTCCAGCAAGTGTCTCATGTTTACCGCTGCAGCCATCTCCGTGCCCGGGACATGAAGTCTGTCCCGCTGAGCCTGCGCCCAAAACCCATCGCAGATTTTACTAACATTAACCAGCAGCGAGTCCGCCGATGCCTCCGCAACCCCAGCCAACGTCTCAGAGGCTGAAGGGAAACCGTTACCGAAGCCTTGGCGGAAGTTGGTGTAGGGAGCAAAGCGGAATAAAGCTCTCGGAACGGTACATCGATGTTGGCGCAGCTCGTACCTGCATGTTCGCCTGCCGTTCTTCGAGATACCTCCGTGCTGCCTGGAGACAGATTTCGTGGATGCGGTGAACCCTTGCCTCAAGTGACATGGTATGCGTACTTTGCGGTGAAGAGATGTCTTCTGGATCTTCATTCTGAGTTTTCGAGTTGCCATTGTGTAGTTGAGATCGTGGTTGGCGATTGCCGACGTCGGAAACATCTTGCATGCAGTAGGGAGAGCTTTATGACACAGCTCTCATCGATATCCACCGCTTCAATCCTGGTGTTCGGGGATAGCTTCGATGTCCATTGCACTATTCTCCAAATCGTTCGAGGTGGCGGGCTCTTGCTCGATGCGGGAAGCATCTAAAGTGGGAAGACGCTCAACTATTGGCACAAAATAGCCAGCACGGATACCTCGTCTCACAGCATCAGGCCATGCCAGGAACGGGTCACATGGCGGTTACGCAAAAGAAAATCGCGGTACGGGTGGGGCTTCGGTCGACGACATGCGTACAACATCGGCAGCGGTGTTGTGCTGTCTGACAAGATCGTAGATGAACTCATTGGGCGAGGGATGAGAATCGAGATGCCCCATGCTAACGTACAGTTTGGCGACGGCAGTGGTTGATGTGAGAACCGTGGCTTGAGAACGAGATGCCGTAGGCGACCTGTCTGTGAACGATTGGGTTGTCGAATACCGGGAGCATTTGCCCAACTTCCTCAAGAGAGAATCGCCGAGGAGGCAGTCAGACGCTAATAAGTTAGAGATTCAAGAACAAGAAGTAAAAGTATGAGACATTGTGGTATTCCATTGAAAGCTCGCTATGAAAGGTAGTCTAGGTGCTCCAAATGACGATCCTTCCGTCGACGCCGCTTGCTTCATGTCTAGTCAGCTTTGAAGGTCAACATCACAAAGGTTGAGAGACTTACAGGAGAACTTAATGAGGCTGTCGCCTGACGACTCGTAGGGACGAAGGGTGGTGATAGTGTTCTGGTGGACCGTCTTGAGCTGGGTGTCATCCTTGACCTTGCCCTTGAGATCCATCTGCCTGAACATGTTCAGGGCAGACTCCTCGCGGGCGTCGCTGAGGCCGGGGCGGCCCTTGGACTCGAGGGTGCCTGCGAGGCTCCAGCCGTCCTCGCCACCCTTGAACCGGAAAGCCTCACAGTCATAGCCTGCAGCAATGATCTCATCCTCTGAGTTCCAGAGAAGACTCATGAAGGGAAGAAGCTGGGTGGTGATCGTGACAACGGCCCGGGGAGGCTGTTCTGGGGCACTGGGGTATACGACAGTGATGCTGCTGTCGTGAGCAGCAAAGGCCAGAGCGTTTCCACTAGGCGAGAAGGAAACGGAGTGCACCCAGCCGGCAGAGTTGTTCAGGTACTCTCCGCAGACGGTATTGAACGGCAAGCGTTCACCCCAAGCAGTCGGTTCGGGGCGGGCGTCGACACCCTTGATAAAGCTGGAGAGAACACGGGCGTGGGCATCGGTCGATCCGGCAGCAAGAAGAACGGAGTTTGGGTGCCATGCAACGGATGTAATGGTGCTTCGGATAGGCTTCTTCAAGTGCTTCGACACCCACCAGTCGTTCTCCTCCTCGAAATAGCAGACAGCAATAACACGGTCGCCCGAGCCAACAGCGAACTTAGTTTCCGAGGGAGACCATCGCACAAAGGTCGCGGCGCGGCTGATTCGAAGGAGAACGAGAGTAGGCTTGTATCCGGTCGGCGAGGGCTCCCAAACAAGGGCGTTTCGGTCTATCATGACAAGTCAGGTACTGTTCTCACCTCAAACCAGCGGAAACGGCGGCTGCGCGCATTGACGTACCTTGAGAGCAGGACACAATGCGGCCGCTGTTGGGAGCAATATCGACACTCGTGACAGTCTTGTCGTGTCCCTTGAGCTCGTCCTTGAGCTTGAAGGCGCTGCCGGCTTGTCCATACAGCTCAATGGTCGAGTCGCGGGCGATGGCCAGCGTCTGACGGTCGGAAGAAAACGAGTGGTCCGCGATGGGAGCGTGGAAGAGGTGGTGAACCTGAGGGGCCGCCATGATGAGAGGTTGCTTCGTGATAGGAGTATAGCTCTCTACTATCACTCTTGTTTTCCGGGTCGGATTTGTTGATGGAGGAAGCAGAGGGAGATGTCGAGGTTGTTGGCAGACGAAGTTGCGACTCTTGGGGCCAGTGCTAGGAGATGCTGGCTGGCTGACCTCGTCCAAGCAAGGCAAGGTACCTCCCCCAGGCAGTACATACGTAAGGTGCATGCATAGCATACATTACTGCGTACCGTCTGGGAGGTGCACCGTGGTGGGGCAGATGGGGGGGGGTTACGTAGGTAGTGGTGCTTGAGAAGAGCAGCATGGCAATTCGCACCGCTTGTGCATTTTCAGGCATTAAGGCCACACCCTGGGGCGTCGTCGAACTGAGTGCAGAGCGTCGGCGCTAGCAATGAAGCTCCCCAAAGGCGTTCAGCCAACTAAACTGTGTGGCCGGACGTTCAACACAAAAATTCAGACCGCGACGATTGTACCACGATAAAACACGACGCGCCACCTCGAGACGACTACGACGCTGAGTCAACTTCTAAGAGTTTGACATTATATCCGAAACCTGTTGATACTATCATCCACGTTTTCCGCACACAAATTGCACAATGGCGGCTGTTGCTCCTCCTCGTGGCCTTGCGCCGAACGCATCACTGCCCGCCAAAGTTGCGACGATTCCTCCGAACCAGACGTGAGTGGACACTGTCGCATACCTTGAGCATTCTCTGATGTCTATAGACTCTATGTAACGAACCTGCCGTCCAACAAGATCCAGAAACAAGACCTACGAACCGAACTCTACCTGCTCTTCTCGACGTATGGGCCCGTTCTCGATATTGTTGCCATGAAGACGATGAAGATGCGAGGACAAGCGCACATCACCTTCCGTGATGTGCAAACGGCAACCCAAGCCATGCGCTCGCTCGAAGGCTTCGAGTTCCTTGGTCGTCCTTTGGTGCGCTCGCCCGAGAATACTAGACTGCAGACCGTGATTGCTGACCAACCGAGTGAACAGACTATCCAGTACGCCAAGTCAAAGTCCGACTTCGTCGCCAAGCTGGACGGCACATTTAAGATGCCCAATTCTACGGCTGGAGCTTCCAGCACCGAAGTGACGGACCTCCAGAAGAGCATCTTCAATGCCCCAGCACCAGGTGCCGCATCAGGCGCTGCTCCAGGAACCGCCGCAGCGAAGCCCTCGACTGGCGGTGACCAACCCATGGGTGATGCACAAGCATCCGACGCGAGGGGTCAGAAGCGGACGAGAGATGAGGAAGAAGAAGAGGACAGTGATGTTGCCATGGAAGAGGACAGCGACGACGATTGATCTTCTCGAGGGCCTTGCGAACTAGTTCAACCAGGGGTGAGATGACGGGAGGTCGGGTGCGACGTGCTTCAGCCGGTCGAATCCATGGCCATCTCTTTGGGCACCCAGAGCCCCACGCAACCGCCGACCAGGCCGAGCCACAGCATCATATACTGCTCTTTGGAACAGTTGAAGCCCGACATGGCGTCTCCGAGAAGGCATGGATGGATGAAGAACGAGGGTAGTCCCGTGAGGGGGTGATGCTGCAACCTTATGTGTTAGTACAGACCTGCAGGTGGTCTCTCTCAGAGTTGTAATTGACGGGTTCACAGCTGATGGGCACTCACGTCGCCGGAAATCCCCCCGATGCCGCCTGTCCTCCGCAGGGCATCCTTGAATTGATCGGGCACCAGCCGTCGAAAGACAGTGTCGAGATTGAAGGCTGGCTCGTCAACCGGCAACCCTTGCAATGTAAACCATAAGCATGGCATCCGATACGTGGGATGCATGTGCACTTCATAGACGACGTATCCGGAGTCTAGTACGCGGGGTTTGGAGAGAGCAGCCTAATATTTCACCTGGTCAGCTAGCTGGCCACGGAATTTCAACCTCGAGGACATTACCTCATCAGACTCCTCGGCATCAATCATAGCCTCATCGTCGAGCCCAAGTGCGTCTCTTTCCAGACTGCCTTCTGCGAAAGAAAACTTGTCCAGAACCGAGGAGAGATCCCCACAATCCAGCGTAGCCTCAAGCGGCCGGATGATTTGCAAGTATGTTGTGTATTCAACGCCAGAGGCAAACGATGTATCGAGTGCTGTGCATACTCTCAACTTGAACCGTTGCCGCAACGGGCCCAGCGTTGCGCGGCAATATTGGCTATCGAAGTGATGACACACCTCGGAAAACTCCTCCGGGGTCAAGAAAGGGAAGTCCTTAAAAGACATGATGTTAAAGCGTCTTTGTTGCGGTGAATATATCGCAGTCGATTCCGTCTTCGCGACAACATCCAAATATGCGCGTTTAATGACTTCTAGCACCGGAGGAGGTGCGGATCCTTTTGGTCTGTGAGTGACTCATTCGCCTTGTACCAGCCGATGATCTTGCAACGGTTTGTGGTCGGTATATTGGTGACACGTGCCTTTCGACGGTGAGCTCTAGAAACCGTTCCGGAAGTTGCAGCGAGTCGAACTCGGAGATCCTAACGCGGTAAAACTTAGGTCTCCGGGACGGTGCCCGCTCCTTGGGGATGATCGGATGCTCGCCGACCTTGTGCCCTTCCAGGCCCCACCAGGCCGGATACCGGTGTTACAAAGCGCCCAAAGTGGTGCTTGGGTGCCAGCAGATGAGGTAAGGTTGTGACCGACTGGCGAATGATTCAGTGCCCGCCCTACCTATGTTCTCGGCGTCGGTAGGATCGGCACGTTTTTGCGCCGGTCCACAAGAGACTACGCACAGCACTGCCAGCCCTGGCAGCGTATTTTTTGGGGTTAGCATCCGCCTTCTGCCTCGACTAATGAGGCCGGTCGCGTCCATAATCTACAGGTGGCCTTTTCTCAGCGTCCAGGGTGGGTAGGGTGGTTCCGTTACCAGCCAAGGCCAAGCGAACTGAGCGTGCCGGTCTTTCCTCCCACTGCTCCGAACAGCCCGATAGTGGGCGCGTGTGCAAGGAGAGACAGCGGGTTGGCGGGTAAAGTGGTTACTGATCCACGGTTTAGCTCGACGCCTCCGCGGCAACGAGGGTGTCTTTCGCAGCTCGCTCCAGTTAATTCGGAAAGTCCACATCATCGAGATTCGCGTGCGCTGCTGTCTCAGTCTCCGTTGCTGTCTCTCTTTTTCCAATCGTCATCTCATTGTTGCAACAACTGTCATTCTTGTTGCTTCTTGTCGGGGGTTGAAATCAGCAGCCTCGCCCCCCTTCTACAGTAGCTTTTGACTTTCTGCGACCTGTTCGTCCCGTCCCTGTTTGCTCGAAACCACCGGTATCCACACTGCGACAATGCTAAGAGCGTAACATGAATGTTCGCGACCCTTTCAATCTACACCGGAACACAGCCCTCAACGTTTTCAAAGTGACGGCTTCCCGAGCTGCCCAGAATATCAAAGAAAAGGCGGTCGAGGCCGGAGCTACTGCCCTCAACGACATGGCTTTCAATGTGCCCAAGAATGTCCCCTCCTTTAGCAACCCGCAACGAGTACTCGAAGATCGTTACTGGGGCGCCTCCGCCGTAAACAGCCGATCCGGCCGTGGAGGGAACTCTGGTATCTTCCACGGCGTGCAAGGACGAGTCGAAGACCTGCTCGGCACCAAGGGCCAGCTGCCCATGTACAAAGACAAGCCCTACGCCCACCACGCGAGTCGGAGGTTTCGTCCTCTGTGGCGGAGGAAACGTTCGATCCTAGTTACCCTGCTGCTTCTCTTCTCGGGCCTGTGGTTCTTTGGCTTCTTCTCAGAAGGCTCCAAAGCCCGCGAGTCGGCATCGACATGGACGGGTTGGCTGGGCGCTTCTGAGCCTACGGGCAAGAAGGTGGACTGGCTCAAAAGGCGGGAGAGAGTGGTGGAGGCCTTCGAGCTCAGCTGGGACGCCTACGAGCGCTACGCCTGGGGTAATGTCGACTCCGGCAATGAATCCGCTTGATGATTATGTTCGAAGACTAACAACCACAATTACGAACAGGCTACGACGAGTACCACCCCATTGCGAAGACCGGACGACAGATGGCACCTAAGGGTCTCGGCTGGATCATCATCGACTCGCTAGACACAATGATGCTAATGAACCTGACATCGCGCCTGACCCATGCGAGGCAATGGCTCGCCAAAGACTTGACGTGGGATCAGGACCAGGATGTCAACACGTTCGAGACCACCATCAGAATGCTCGGCGGTCTCCTCTCTGCGCACTACCTGTCGACCGAGTTTCCTGAATTGGCCCCAATAAAGGACGACGACCCAGGCGCGCCGGGCGAGGATTTGTACTTGGAAAAGGCAAAGGACCTAGCTGATCGCCTGATGAGCGCCTTCGATTCGCCTTCTGGGGTTCCTTACGCGAGCGTCAACTTGGCTCAGTACAAGGGCATTGTCTCACACGCCGACGGAGGTGCTTCTTCGACCGCCGAGACGACCACTCTGCAGCTCGAGTTCAAGTACCTGGCTAAGCTCACCGGAGAAAAGGACTTTTGGGACAAGGTCGAGAGAGTCATGCAGGTTGTCGACGACAACGGCGCCCAGGACGGCCTCGTCCCCATTTATATCTACGCCACGACGGGAGAGTTCAGGGGCGATAACATTCGCCTCGGCTCCCGCGGTGACTCGTACTATGAGTACCTGATCAAGCAGTACCTGCAGACGAACAAGCAGGAGCCTGTCTACCAAGAGATGTGGGACGAAACTCTCGAGGGCGTGCGCAAGCACCTGATCACCTACAGCAAACCCTCTGGATTCACCGTCCTTGGAGAGCGGCCCTCTGGTTTGAACAATGAGCTATCCCCGAAGATGGATCATCTCGTATGCTTCATGCCCGGAACGATTGCTCTGGGAGCCACTGGTGGTATTCCGGAGGCAGAGGCCAGGCGGCTACCAACATGGAACAAGAAGAAGGACGAGGACATGAAGCTGGCTCGCGAGCTCATGCAGACCTGTTGGGGCATGTACAAGTGGATGGCGACTGGGCTTGCTGGAGAGATCACCTACTTCAAAATCGACAACCCTCCGGCGCCTGCTTCAGCCTCGCATCATCCGCCCCAGGACTTTGATCCCGACCCTCACGCCAAGTGGCGGCAGGATTTCGAGGTTCACTCCAACGATGTCCACAACCTGCAGCGACCCGAGTCTATCGAGAGCTTGTTTTACATGTGGAGAATCACCGGCGATCTGAAATACAGAGAGTGGGGGTGGGAAATGTTCAAGTCCTTCGTCAACTACACCGCGGTTGAGGACGGTGGCGGTTTCACCAGCTTGAGCAACGCCAACACGATCCCTCCCGCCGTGCGTGACAACCTGGAGAGCTTCTGGATGGTAAGTCGAGGCTGGGCATGACCATCAAGCAATGTGTGACTAATGTGAGAACTCCAGGCCGAAACTTTGAAGTACTTTTACCTCCTGTTCTCGCCCAACGACTTGTTGCCCATGGACAAGGTCGTTTTCAACACCGAGGCCCACCCGCTCCCCCGCTTTGACATGGGCAAGTTGTTCAACACCGGCTGGAAGCGGAAGCCGAGAGACGCCAACGGAAAACTCGTTGTCGAGCAAACATGATATCATTGATGGAGGCTCTCCCTGTTATGAACAGTCAGGGAGTGTATGTTTATATAGTAGCATGTCTGTGTCTTTGGAGGCTTTCCAAATCCCAAATGGCGCGGCCTGGCGTTGTATGTGGAGTAGTTTGGTCTTCACAAAAGCAACTCAATATCCCAAATTTTATTTACTGCTTTTGACTCGTAGCTTCTTATTTGGTGTCCGTGAGGCAACTGGATGCACTCTAAATGAGATATGCGGGTGATAGTGGTAGTACCACCACTCCCTTGCTACTCTTACAACCAATGACAAGAAAAGCCAACGTTCAACGACTTGATAGTCCGTCGGGAAAGGCGGGTGGAACATGAGAGTACGGAAGAGGGGAAAGGGAACAGCCTCCTGCCCGGCTTTATAAGACGTGCCAAGAGCCTGCTAGTGACATCCTGTTCCCAAGGCCAGAATAACGACGTCTTCAGGGGCTCACGTCAGATCTGAGCACTCAGAATTGGCCAGTTGACCGAGGATTGTTTCAACCATTTCCGGAATAGAGGTATAAGGAGCAACTGAGATGGCCTGCTGAGAGTTGATTGCAACTTTGCATCTCACTCAGATCAAAGCAAAGGACTAGGGGTTTCTCCCAACTTACACCTCGGGTCATACATCAGCCATTTAAACAAGGAACATGCCTTCTCTACCAGACCATGCCTTCACCATTACGGGCGGCTGCAACTGCAGCGCCATCCGCTACAAACTATCTGTGCCGGCACTCGCGGACCGGCCCCCGACGCACATGAAGATTCACCTCTTCCTCCCGCCCGAGCAGGCGCACAAGGACTGGCGCCTCCCGACCGTCGCCGTGTGCCACTGCGCCAGCTGCCGCCGCGGCTTCGGGAGCGTGGTGCCGGCGATGATGCAGTGTCCCGCGTACATGCTCTCCGTCTCGGCTCTCCCTGTAGAGTCGACCGAGAAGACGGAGGACGTTGGGACGGGAGGGTTTTCTGCGCTGACGCCGCGCAAGTCGGCCGGGGACTTGGATGACCAGCGGCAAGCCGAGTTCCGTCCGGCGGCCGAAGTGTTCAAACCCGGCCCCCAATCCGGGAACACGTGGGTCAGGTTCTATCACGCCTCCGGGTGCCTGCCGGACGCGGCGCGGGTGTTTTGCGGGCGGTGCGGGGTGCACTTTGGGAAGGCCTACCGGATCACGGAGGAGCTGTTAAGATTCATGGACAAGCCGGCAGGCGGGTGGGACGAGGTGGTGAACGTCAACATCGCGACTGTGGACGACGGGTTGCTGGAGCAGGAGTGGATGGAGCCGGCAGCGCAAGCTTTCGGGTCGTTGTGGGGTGTTCCATGGGTTGTGAAGACGGTGAAGATGGGCGGGGATGAGGGCCAAGCTTGAACGCTAGTTTTGAAGGTTTAGGTGATGCTTTCCTGTCGTGAGAAGTACATGGAGTAGTCGAGGAGGCGCACTTAGATACGTATGTCGGCCACCAAAGCGCATATGGACTGAACGCTACTTATACCTGCATGCCCCACCTGACACTGAGATTTCATCTTTACGTCGCAGAGGTGACACGGTTATCCAAGCAGTGATAAAATACGGCCCAACATAAGAGACGAGCACAAAGAAAGGAAGCGAACCAGATGGCGTGTTTGGATGTTCGCCAACCGCCAGTTACCACCGGATCTCGGCATCCAAGAAATGGGATGACTTTGCAATCGAAGCCCAGCCCGATCTGTGCACCTGTCAAAAGGCATTGCTGAGTGAGCACAGACGATACAGCGCGCATTCTGCATTTTCCAAAGTCAATTCGTCACGTTTTCTATGTAGCCAAGCCTTCAAGCCTCAAGATTCCCGTTGCGTTGCGACGTTGCCTACACTAAGGGGACAAGGAATGATGCGGCTTTGCAAGATGTCTCGAGGTGTCCTGGACAATGCTGTAAGAGACCGGGTACCCTCAGGAGTGGGGGTTCCCCATATGCCACAGCCTGAACGATGGCCCAGGTCATGCCTGTTGGCCCCCCCGTCAAAGCACCCCAGACAAGCACATGCCTGAACCGATTGCGACTCTGTTAAGCGAAGCAGCAACTGGAGTCGAGGTGCGCGGGAGAGAGAGATAACGAAGTGGATTGTCGCTTTTGGGGGGCATAACCGGGGGGGCGGAGGACAGAGACGGAGGTGGTGCAGGATTCGAGGCCCAGCCGTGGCCACAACCCCCCTCATTCGCCCGATGTCCTGCCCAGCCCGGCCTTTGCCTGTTCAAGGAAGGAAACTCGTTCGTCCTGTCGCCGACCTGACGCTTGAAGGGACCGAAGGTGGTGTTGCCAGTCGGGACATCCTTGTCGCAAGATAGTGAGCACCCCCAATCCCATCCCGTCACCTTTGGAACAGACCAATGCGGCAAACTGTGCTGCTGGTTTGGTCTGGTCTGGTCTGGTCGGGGGTTCAGCATGATAAGCCTTCCGCTCCACGACGAGTCAACCAACCCCTTTCGGTGAGAAAGTAATCATTCGCCGCAACGTCCGTCCGTCCTGCAAAGTGCAGATAGACACACTCGTTACCGGAACAAGCACTCCATCGACGACCCGATCTAGCGACGACACAGCGCTTCAACAAGTCGAGCACGCGACCATCGAACCGATTGCAGACCGTTTATCGCCGTCGTACGACCTTCCCTTGCGACACCATATCCCCTTGACGGACCGGGATGCGGTCCTTCGCGGAGCCGACCGACACTTAAAGAGCGGTATCTCGACCGGACGAGCGAGACGACTTGCACCTCTGCATCTTGCGAACCGGCTGGCGTCAATCAGCGGCCGATCGACACCGATCCCAACAAATCCGCGGCGCTTCCTCCCCAAAAAAAGCCTCTGGGTGCGACCAGCGGTGAAGAAACAGAAATCTCCCCCTCCCGAAACCCTCGCCTCCCTCCAAACCGCGGAACGGGATGGCGCCGTACAACGAAGACGTGGAACTCAGCGCCATCAAGATCAAGGAAGACTCCCTCACCCTAGGGAGCAGCTACAGCATGCGGCGCGAACCCATCTACGACCCGGGCCCCGCGCCGGGCCTCTTCTTCCGCGTCCTCGAGAGCTTCAAGCGCGACCCGAGCCAGATAGCCGAGAACAGGCGTCACGTCCGCCGGGGAAGATCGAAGAGCAACTCGTCCATGGACCTGGAGCCGGGCCACGAGCGCGTCCTCAACGGCGTGCACTACTACGACATCCGCCTCGCGAACCAGCAGACCTCGAACACGCTGCTGAGCAGGAAGCTCAAGGGCAGGCACCTGCAGATGATTGCCATCGGCGGGTCCATCGGCACGGGGCTGTTCGTGGCATCTGGCCAGGCGCTCGAGGTCGGCGGGCCGGCGTCGCTGTTGATCGCCTTTTCACTTGTGGGTGCCATGCTGTATTGCACTTGCCAGGCTCTGGGCGAGCTGGCCGTTGCGTTCCCGGTGGCCGGTTCGTTCTCGGCCTACTCCACGCGGTTCCTGGACCCCTCGTGGGGTTTGCCATGGGCTGGAAGTGAGTATACCACCCGCTGTCCGTCGTCGTTCGCGTTATCAGCCCGGGTGGCTAACGTCTGGTGCAGCTACGCTTTGCAGTGGTTGATTGTGCTTCCTCTCGAAATCATTGCTGCCTCCATAACGATAACGTATTGGGACCCAAGCATCACCAAAGCGATCTTTGTCACAATCTTCCTCGTCGGTATCATTACTATAAACCTCTTTGGCGTCAAGGGATACGGAGAAGCCGAGTTCATATTCTCCATCATCAAGATCATCGCAGTGATTGGCTTCATGTGAGTTCCCCCCCACCGCCCTTCAACCCCGTTTCTGCATGTCTAACACTGCCCACAGCCTGCTGGGAATAGTCCTCAACTGCGGAGGGACCCCGGACTCTGGTTACATCGGCGGCCAGTACTGGCAGACTCCCGGCGCGTTCCACAACGGCTTCAAGGGCCTCTGCAGCGTCTTCGTCACCGCCGCCTTCGCCTTTGCGGGCACCGAGCTGGTCGGCCTGGCGGCGGCCGAGGCGGCGAACCCGCGCAAGTCGCTGCCCACGGCCATCAAGCAGGTCTTCTGGCGCATCACCCTCTTCTACGTCGTGGCCCTCACCCTCATCGGCCTGCTGGTCCCCTACGACGAGAAACGCCTCCTCGGCGCCAACTCCTCGGTCGACGCGGCCGCGTCCCCCTTTGTCATTGCCATCGAGAACGCCAAGATCGATATCCTCCCCTCCGTTATGAACGCCGTCATCCTCATCGCCGTGCTCTCGGTCGGGAACTCGGCCGTCTTCGGCTCCTCCCGTACCCTCGCCGCCCTGGCAGACCAGCACCAGGCCCCGCGCTTCCTCTCCTACGTCGACCGCAAGGGCCGCCCGCTGATGGCCATCGGCGCCGCCGCCTTCGTCGGCCTCGTCGCCTACCTCGCCGACCTCAAGCAGCAGGACCAGGTCCTCGACTGGCTCCTCGCCATCTCGGGCCTCTCGTCCATCTTCACCTGGGCCTCCATCTGCCTCTGCCACATCCGGTTCCGGCAGGCCTGGGCCCGCAAGGGCCACGGCCTGCACGAGCTCGCCTTCCGCTCCCAGGTCGGCGTCCTGGGCTCCTGGTGCGGCCTGATCATGAACCTCCTCGTGCTCGTCGCGCAGTTCTGGGTCGGCGCCTTCCCCGTCGGCTGGGAGAAGTGGGAGGCCGAGGCCGTCGCGCGCAACTTTTTCCTGCGCTACGCCGCCTTCCCCATCGTCGCCATCATGTACATTGTCCACAAGTTCTACTTCCGCACCGTCTTGATCCGCGTCGACGACATGGACGTCGACACGGGCCGCCGCGACTTCAACCTCGGCATCCTCGTCGCGCAGGAGCAGGAGGAGAGGCGGTCGTGGCCCAAGTGGAAGCGCGTCTACAAGTTCCTGTGTTGAGAGCGCGGGGGCGGTATGGCTGTGGCATGTTGTTGTTTTTATACAGAGGATACGATAAAGAGTGATGGATATTTAGCGTGGCGTTTGGACACCGATGGGAATCATTTTGGATATATATCAGTTGGGGGGCTCTGGGATAGGAGCAGAGGTTTCTCGCCTACGCATTGGGCCGCATGTCTTGACCAAGAGACGAGGCGTGAAGGACGATTTCTGGGAAAAGAAAGGAACTATATAGGACGGACTGTCGTGATTGAGACGGGACCCATGGCCTGCCTGTCCGCTCCAGAGGATCCGTGGTCCAGACATGGGTCACTGCCACCTGCAATGCAGACTTTTGTCACGTTGAACAGCTTTCCTTAGCGGCGCTTCGCTCCATCGGCCGTTGATTATGTGTGTGCCTGCTCAATGGAGCACTGCGTTCAATGTCGTGCCGCTACTCATCGACGGAGAGATTCATGGTGGCCGGTCAGTCAAAAACACCCTACGGGCCAGACCATTGTGAACGCACGCGGCAGTCAGTTCAAGATAGTCAACACCATCCATAACCAACACCGAGCGTTCAACACGAGTGTCGTGGCCAAGCCAAGTATAATAGAAATGTGTTCAGTCTGTTGGATATCATGGGCTTAGTACGCAATACAATAATAGAGGAACCTATGGTCTTTCCTCGGCGTCCTCTTCTCCCGCCCTAGTCCAACACAGCTTTCCTCTCACCGTCTCGCCTGCGGTGATGGTACAGCACTCTTACATCCAGGTGTTCCAGGCCAGAAATCCACTTCCCAGAGGCCGGTACCGATCGCATACTAGTTGTGCGGTCCCGCGACTGGGAAGAACAGGTAACGTCTGGCAGCAATAAGACGCTCCCGTGATTCGTGGGCAGCGTGTCAGAGACATGTAGTCGTTACAAAACAATCAAGAGAAGCTCGGCGCTCCTAGGGTATCGAGGACCACAAGCGCGAGCCTGCGACAATCGCATCTAGAAGTCCCAGAAGCTCTTCTGGGCCGCCGTCATGCCCGAGCCCTTGGGCGGAATGGCCCTGACAGGTTCCTCGGGCTCGTCGACGTCGCCGTAGAGCCAGTTTCGGTTGGCACCCTTCTTGCCGCCCATGCCGTCACCAGCAATGTGGATACCCTTCGACTCGGCATCCTTGTCGTCTCTAGTCTTCTTCGAGCCCATGCCGTCTCCAGCAATGTGAATGCCACTGCCGGGGCCCTTCTGCGCCTCAGGCCTGTTCTCCTTCTGCGATGCGGGAGACTGGTCGTAGGAGTCCCAGTTGGAGTTCATCTGGGTAACCGCCTTCTTGCGAGAGTCGCTGACCGCCGGCCGTCCCTGCTGACCAGTCTGGCTTGGCGAGTCATCCGTCATGGCGAAATGGGGATCAAAGTCCTTCTGACGGTGGTTCAGATTCGTGATGTTGCCCAGAGCACGGTCCGGGTCGGCAGGAAGAGGCTTTCCGTCTTCACTGTACAAGTTGTTCTCGTACAGGTGGAGGCCGGTGTTGTGTCCAGTACCCTTGGGGCGTCCTGGCGGTCGGGGCGTGACCGCCGGGCCGTCGTCTTCGAAGTCGAAATGCGCTTCGGCGTCACGACGGCCCTTCACTTGGCCTGCCCGCGCCACCGGGGTCTCCTTGATCGCCGAGTTGTTGATGTCGGTATCCCAGTGACGAACATCCTGGGCGCGCTGCGTCTTGCCGGGCTTGATCTTTTGCGGGGTTACAAAGTCGTCGAAAGACCAACTGCTATCATGCTTGCTGGCCTTGGGACGGCCCTCGGCAGGCTTGGGAGTGTCTTGCGGGTCCGAGCCGTCGGCGAAGTCGAAGTGCTGGAACTTCTTGGGGTTCGGTCGGTAGAACTTCTCGGGGGACTTTTGCTGTTCGGGGCTGTCGGGCACATGGGCGTGCTCGTCAGCGTCGAACAAGCGACTGGGCTGGAAGTTCTTTCCGGCGCCGATCTTGGGAGCGATGGCCTTGCTGGGCGATTCGTCGCGCTCGCGCCCTGCGCTGGGAGAGCCGGGCTCCTCCGGGTCGACATTGCCCAGGATATCCGTGAAGGACCGTTGCTGCGGTCGAGTACCCGCATAAGGTGATACGACCGCTCGGGGGCTTTCTTCGGCCTGTTGCTCTCTGGGCGCGAACAAGGAGAGAGAGGCGTGCGGGTCGCGGAGCACGTTGGTCGAGCTGCCGCGGGAGCGGCTGATCAGCTCGTTGGCGTCAGGAGCTGTGTCGGCCTTGCCACTAGCCTTCAGGCCCTTGGTGATGAGCTTGATTTGCTCGGTGCTGTCCCGAATAGGCCAGTTGCGGCCCGATTTCCCAATGATGTCGCACTGCTTCAAAAGGGCGCCCTGGTCCCAAGTCTGCCTGATCTGTGTGATTCTGCCATCGCTGTCGAAGTTCACAACGTGCATCTGTTGGGGCCAGAGGCGTCAGCTGGGTCAGACAACAGGTATCCTGGGCACGGGGCAGTACGAACAATAGGAAGGTAGACAGTTCGGTCAGCCAGGAAGTTGTCATCAAGGCCGGGCAGGTAGGCGCCTCCGCTGGTGACAAACTCCAGGGTGGTGTCTACCTCAACGGCGATAGCATCGCGACCCTCGACGATATCCAGGACCTCCTCCTTCTTCTTCTTGACCTGGTTGCGCAGGGTGTTAAGATGCTTGATGATCTCGGTAGGGCCACTATAAGTGGTGGTCGTGGTGATGTAGTATAGGGTCGCGTTCGGCGCGAGCACCGACGAGTTGGGGGCAGTTAAAAACTGCTTGTACGTGGCGGCCATCGTAGCCAAGGGTAGCTTTGGAATGCGACAAGATGCGACGCGAAGGTGGTGGTTTGTCTATTCGGTGTTGGTGGAGTCCTTGCACGGCTCGAGGGGGTTCAAGCTGTTACAGAGAAAAGCTCAGCAGGCCAAAGAGAAACAGAGACATGGACAACTGGGCGAGGTTCGTTTGATGCAGAGGAGGAGAAGAAGAAGAAAAACAACAGATGGAGAATATGTGGGTGGCTCAGCCCAAAACAAGAAGACCAGATGAGTTGTTCTGGAAGGGGGAGAGGGAAAATGAAGGGATGGGCCTGCGACAGGGAGCCGGAGGGAAGGGGAAAGCGCGACACGTCTTTTTGGAGGGGCCCATTCGGGTCCTTGGAGGCTTCCAGGTATCCAGTACTCGCAGCACCCTGAAGGCTAGCTTAAACTCGGCCCAACAGGTGGAAGCAGAGTGTATACGCTACCTTGCGAATTTGGCGGCCGAGCGCCCCCAGACTCGGCCTTGGCCTGCCATTGGCCGCCCACCTGTCCAGGTACAAGATCCAAGACAAAGGGTCAGGTACCTGCCAACACCTCCCGGCGTCACAGAAGACGGACTGGTTCGATTCGAACCATTACGACCGTTGCTATCGTTCCTTAGCAGCGGCCCGCTCCATTTCTGCGACTCTGCCAAATGGGGCTCCAAATGTATTTGCTTACATTGTACGATGTCTCCCACTGCCTTCTGTACTGTGGCCTGCCTCGACATGATTCTAGTCTGGCCGTGCGAACGGCGTCGAGGTTCCTGTAGTTCCCCAAACTCGACATAGCTCGACTTGTCATCTCATATCATCTTATACAAGTCAAGCGGATATGGTCCACCGATCAGCATCAATACCTGGACTTCAATCATAATGGGACCTCCATTGTCTCCGATGCGTTGTATTGGCAGATACGCGATACAGTTACGCGCGTTTGAGTTGACAACATGCTCTCTGGTTTACCACACAGACGTTGCTTGGCAAGGCTAGCGTAGGCTAAGTTGCCCCGCCAAAAGATGCGTCTTTCGTCAAACAAAGACGTCGTGTCGACGGTCAGAGGCAAAAGGGGTTGGTGCACACCTGTTATGGTCGGCAAATGATCATTCCTGTCATCCAATGAGGTCGACATGCCAATACAATACATGTTCACTTCAATATGGACGGACATGCACCAGAACCACACACCGGAAATGTAGTTCATGCACAACACTGAGTGCATTCTCCTCCGCCCCTCTATGGCAGGTCGTCGGTTGTTTGTGATTGGCCCCTTTTCATCCTACCTAATCCCCTGTTTCATCAATGCAGCTCCACCACTACGGTTAGCGTTGCCGCCTGGATCTTTATGGGTTAGTCTCGTACCGACAAAGGTAGCCCTTGAGAGGGGGAGGAGAAAACTATCTGTGGTTTCGCAGCTACACATGTAGATGTTCGCCGGAGACAGACATTCAAGATGAGTCCTTTTGCTCAACAATCCATGTTTCTTATGGAGTAGCACATCTCGGAGAATTCGGTACCTTGGCAATGCACCATTAAGCAGCAACGAAATTTAGCATCTTAGGAGCAAACGTGGTGTTCATTCATCATACGTCATTGTCCTGGTCGTACTAGATAATTACTACTGTTACATGCCTCCAGCGACCAGATGATTCCGACTATGCTTAACCGTTAACAATAACACCTCCGTTGCAGTGGATGGTCTGTCCCGTAATGCTAGCGCTGTCGGTAGAGGCGAGGAACACTACGCAGGTCGCAATCTCAGAAGGCTGAGACGGGCGTCCGATGGGGCTCGTGAACTGCTTCTGGGCGTCGTCGTTCATGGTCGCAGGAATCAACGGCGTCCAAACAGGGCCCGGGGCGACTGCGTTAACGCGGATGCCCTTGTCGCAGTACTGGTTGCTCAATCCTCTGGTGAACGAAATGATGGCGCCCTTGGTGGACGTGTAGTCCAGAAGATCCGGTCGACCAATGTATGCGTTGATGCTCGCGTTGTTGATGATTGTTGAGCCCTTCTTCATGTGAGGCAAAGCGTACTTGGACAAGTAGAAGATGGGGTGGATGTTGGTGTTGAAGGTGTGGATCCATTGTTCCCTACAATGGTGTCAGTGGCGGATCTTCACGTCTCACTCCAACGACAACGTCAAGATTGGTACACGTACTCCTTCAGGTCCTTGATGTTTTCAACCATCATCTGGTATGCGGCGTTGTTGAACAGAATGTCGATGCCGCCAAGCTTCTCCAGGGCGGTGTCGACAATCTTTTGGCAGTTGGCGCGATCAGTGATGTCAGTCGGCACAAGGTAGCACTTGCGGCCGTAATCCTCGACACGCTTCTTGGTTTCCTGTGCGTCCTCCTCCTCATCGGGGAGGTATGCGATCAAAGAGTCGGCCCCTTCCATGGCGAACAATATGGCCGTGGCGCGACCGATGCCAGAGTCACCGCCAGTGATAACAGCCTTCAGTCCCTCAAGCTTCCCAGCAGCTTGATACAGTTTGGAGCCGCCATCGGCTGTCGGAACTCGGTCGAACAGAGGGGTGACGGGCAGTTTTCCCTCCTTGCCTGGGAAGTCTTGGTGTGTTACCGGCACCTTGTAGCCTAATGAAGCATTGTCAGCATGCCATCTGAATGAGGCGGTCGGGTCGGTGCGAAAGCAAGGGAATCATACCCTCCTCGAATTGTCCTTTGTCAGTCATGTTGATATGTTTGGTGTGTTTGGTTGTGATGAGTGGTAAAGGTCCAAAACTCAGAATGTGCGTCAAGGATGGATGGAGAGGGTTTTAATGGGCAATTCTAGAGATCGAAGGTAGGACATAAAGGAGGCTGTTGTGTGTATATGTCGTCAAGTCGAACGAAAGAAGGTGTGTAGGTTGACGGGCTACCCACCTACCTCATCAACGACGTCATTGTGACCGCAATCGCTGGAAGCATTATACGGTCTGGGCCCCAGCCGCTGCTTCCTGTCTCCGTCATGAACACGCAAGTAATTGGTCAATCTGTTGGAATGAGGAGCCATGCAGTAGCCGTTCGGCTCTCAGTTTTCTGATCGCACTCAACCGTTCGATTCTTTGCATAAGAAGGTCCGGACCTAACCGCCCGGCAGCGTATGTTTGGTCAAGCTAGCTGCTGGAACAGCCCGTGCTGCAGCGGCCCGTATTGCCTGTCTCGGCTTAACATTTATCTTTGGAGTACTAAGCTCAATGATAAATATTCGGGGGGAAGCAACCCGAGTCGTAACGACAGCTCCATGGCAATGACGCTTGCATGTGACTACGGCAACAGGTCCGGATACAACGGGCCTATGGTCTGTGCATGCCGTGAGAACTGGACCCCACTCCATCGCCGACCGTCCGTTACCGAAACCCCGCGCCTGGTGCCGATATGGCATGTTGTGACGGCGGGGTCCTACCTGGCCGGAGGCCCCTACAGCCGAAGTGATCCTTACTGATTTTCTTCGGTACGCCGTTCCTGGCTCCATCCGTCTCGTCATCCCCCGCCGGTTCTACCCCTCCCCCTCCTGGACACACGAGCCAACCAACGCTTATGCAATCAGCGTCATAATCTGACCATTCCTCTCTACTTTCTTTTTCTTCCCCTGGGCACCTTGGGGATCAGAAAATTTGTCTCCGTGTACGGATGGGACACAGAACAGCATTGGGAACAAATCCGTAGCTTTGTCGCCACAGCTATTGCTTGGCTGTCTGCAGGTCTTCGCGTACGTTTCCGGAGGGTGAAGACCAATGGCAGAGGAGCCTACTCAGTTATCGAGGTGGGCGCTATGTGCACCTCAATCGCCCTGTCTCATTTTCATCCTTACAGAGCCACTACAGACCGTTGATGCAAGTCTCGGGAAGATAAGTGAGACACTGACGCTGTGCTCGTGGCTTCCTCGAGAGTGGCTGGCAAGCCTCTCCCGAAAAAAAATTGGCGTCGAGAGACCAACCAGCTCAGACAGAAAGGTAAACGGTGGTGGCGCACAACTGACATGAAAACCCCGCGGGTATTTGGTGAACACATATTTGAAGGTTCCGAACCACAAAAGTGCTCACAAGTGACATATCATTTTTCTCGAGCAATTTCAGCGACTCCATCCGACTGCGCGAATATCGCGATCCTGTCGTCAAATCGATCAGACTTGGACCTCGAGTCTGGAGAAAAGAAACGGTCCAAAGGCCACCACAAGCTATGTATATGTGTTTAAATAGCTTGACACCGTCAGCGAACATAAACGCGACCCGGAATGCCTGGGCATGGTCCTTGTTAGCGCCCGGGCGAGAGGATCAGGAGCGCGCGCATTGTTCGCTTCCTGAGCTGTCGTCAGTTGAAAACGACTTGACAGACTGATTTTGACTCTGCCCTGTGCGCTCCAAGAAGCAACAAGTAGATACTTCTGCCGGTTCTCAGATGCAACCCGTCCCCTCAATACGACTCTGTTGACACTGACGGGTACCACGCCTTGCATTAGTATGGCACTGCGGCATCTATCCGGCATTGCACGTAACTGTTGAGATCTTCCTCCAGCAGGGTCGTTGCAACTGTGCCCCGGCTAGTGTGAAGCACCTGACATGTCGCCGGCACCTCCACGATTGGCGAGTTCGACCCAGACCCTGGTGCAAGCACCTCCCCGAAGCCTGTGCCACCCTGGTAGTTGCTACCTCTCCATTAGACATCACCCGTACTCCTCCCACTTCAACTTTCTTTTCTTCACAACCCTAGCCAATTCGACCTCCTTGAACCTGCCGCTGATGCTCTCGAGATGTCCCGAACATGCCATGGCCGTGTTCCGATCCTGTCAGCCCGTCCTCCACTTTGCAACTGACAGGTCAGTTGAACTGCATCGGCTCAGTCTGGGTACGTTTACCCGTTGCATTCACCTGGTCCACAGACGTGATTTGCAATCTTGGTCGTTGGCTGATGAATCTGGCTCGCCTCGAAGGCTCGGCGATCATTGGTCCCGCCACGAGAAGGGCTGAAGTAGTGAATGGCGCCTCCTACGGCCGGTATGAGTGTGGCCGCATATGCTTCTGCAGCTGCCCATCCACCGCATTTATTGCACTTCCTGTCAGGCTTAGTGTATTGCCATGGAATCATACGATATACATACCTGATAACCCGTTAGCGTCGTCAAAGGTATTCGATCTGAACGCTAGAAAATAATCGTCCCATGCGATTTCCAGTAGGAGCCGTTGTCAGCTTCCCCGATATTAGCTCCAGGTTGTAAAAAATCACAATCACCACGATTCTTCTAGACAGTTTTCGCGGAACGACACATACAGCAGAACTGGAGTACTCTGTTGCTCATCGATGGTATTGGTTCGTTACAACCTGCGTGGCCATCGAGGATCGTGTCTGCCACAAGCAGATGTTACAGCTCTCGTCACAAACGAGAAGTGGATGGCCGGATCGTGCGTCATCCATCTCGGTATGCGGCTCGTCGTTGAAACTGTTTCTTTCTTTTCCCAAATTGATCCAAGTGGTCAATGCATAAACACTGACGAAACCCTGGATCGTTTGAGCTACGGGCCTCCAGCCACCAGATGTCTGTAAGCTTGTATGGTAACCAAGACAAATTTTCCCTGCCACGTCAAGCTGGACCAGAATACCCCATTTGTCTTTTAGTCCTCCGTTACAGGGCCAAAGCCACGATCCGGCTTGTTGAACTCCAGAGTCCGCATTCAAGACGGGAACTCCAGTGCAATACTAGTGCCAGATTGCCGCCTCAAACCCGTGGCTGAACACAAGGTCCCTTCCATTGTAGACATACCGGGCCTTGGGAGATTGAAGCATCAGCCCTGTAACTTTGGACAATTGCTTGGCAGACCAAAGCATACGTTAAGGAGACAGAGTTGATCATAAATTGGTTTAGTGGAGCCCATGTCCCAACTCTCTCAATTCACGTCACATATCAGAGTTTCCGAGGAAACACCCATCTGCGTATGTCGCCCCCGAGATTGTTCACTCTGGAGAACAGGTTTCTGTTCGTCTGAACCTCTAGTTTCGTCCAATGACAACCGTCCCTATCCCGCCCAACCTTTCCTATGCCCATCTAACATCTTGTGGAGAATTTCTTTTCCGCAACTGTGGGTTTACATCTCCAAGCACATCCAACTTGCAGATGAACCACTTAGAACCACGGAATGGTCGGAGACAACAAGTGTTGGATACGCGTCGATTGTCAGTTTCTGCTTTGCGTTTTTTGCAGTCTTTGTGGGCGACCCTGGCACTCCGTGATCGCCATCGAAACCCTAGATGGGTGACCTGTTTACCTCTCTCCCGGAGTCGTCTCTACAAGCAGCAACCCTTGTTCACTCTCCACCAAGATGAAAATGAACCCTTCGTGGCAACAAGTAGACTAAGCAGAAGGTTTGTTTTATAAGCCATCAAAACAGACCTTGTCCCACACCAAATTTTCTTCCAAATGGCCATATCTGATAGAATGCGGATTGTCGGCACGGAGAACCTGGCTCGTTCTAAACAAGTTTTCCTAAGCGAAATTCCGCTTTGAAAGAAGGTTTCCGGAAAGCCAGTCCTGCGTTAGAAAAACACGATCTGGCTTTTTTTGGTAATGACTAAAAAAGAAGGGTACGAGATGTTAGAAAGATACATTTGGGGACTTTGTCCAACCCTGGAGAGGTCCGGGACTAAGCACATTTCTTTTTCCTTCCTTTGCACCCCCACCAGGGGGATGTTTCTTTTCTTGACTGATGGGTGGCGCAACTTGGCATTGCGAGTCTATGTGCCTGGCTGGGTTATAAGTTGCTGCCATCCGCCGTCATGAAGCCATACAGACAACGCTCTTGATCGTTTGGCCAGATAGCTTTATCGCTTTACAACATGGACAACTCACTATACACACGAGGCAGCGATGACCTCCAATACCGGGGCATGCAGCTGTTCGCCGTCCAGCTGGCGTTCCTCATCGCAGCTGGCATATTTGTACTGGCGAGAGCGTACGTCAAAATATGCATTGTCAAGAATGTAGCTGTGGACGACTGGCTCATTTTCGGTGCCATGGTTAGTGAACAGTGTCCAACCTTCCAACTCCTTGATCTGTGATTGACCTCATTCTAGATTGGTTACACGGCATATGGAGGCATTGCTTTGCACGGAGTCACCAATGGCGCCACGGGGAAGCACATCACAGAACTCACCGTCGACCAAGCCGCCGTGTCTCTGAGAGCCTGGTACATCTGCGAAGTCCTGTACTCCCCAATCACGCTGGCAATTCGAACGTCAATCGCTCTCCTGCTGCTCCGGCTCGCTCCCAACAAAATCCACCGCTGGATCATCTACGCTAACCTGGTCGTCGTTTGGATGATCTCGATCGCCTTCTTCTGCATCATGACATTCCAATGCATGCCTCCGTCCTACTTCTGGAGGCAGTTGTACGGGGATCCTGGGTCGTGCATTGACCTCAACATTGTTCCGGACGCGACCATTGCCCACAGCATCATCTCGGCCCTGTCGGACTGGTGTATGGGTTTACTACCTATCGCACTGTTGTGGAACGTCAACCTTAACCGACGGACAAAGGTGTTGGTTGCTATTCTCCTGAGCATGGGCATGGTGTAAGTCACATATTTCCAAAAACAACTCACTTATGGTATCCTCTCTAATGTCCTCGAAGCGCCGGTGTCGCTCTCATAGTCCGCATACCTTATGTCAAACGTCTGGCCATTTCGGCAGACTTCCTCTACGAGACAATGTAAGCCCCCTGGCCCCACGAACCGTACAACCTTGTGCTGATCATGACATTCCGATAGCGACGTCGCCATATGGAGTGTCTTGGAACCCGCTCTTGGAATCATCGCAGCCTCGGTGACTAGCTTGCGACCACTCTTCCACAACTGGGGGTTTGGATGGAGCAGCAAGAGCAAAGAATCCCATCCTTCGGGGTTCAATACCAATGATCCCAACGGAAGGAAAGTACCCCCGCCCCCCAACGTCAGAGGGAAAAATTTGGACAGCTTTACCTCCACGGGCGTGACGTACAACGACGTTGACCGGACTCTGGCCGGCACGGGCTCGGACATCGAACTGAACAAGACCGTGCGGGACGACATGAGGGACGAGGACGACGATTACGACGGCTCACGACCGTCTTCTGACCTCGGACAGAGGGGTCACGCTCAAGAGACAACGGATTCAGACAACAGGCGGGTGATCAACGTCCGGACGACTATCGACATCTTGACGCACTCTATCAGCCGTGAACTCCCCCCGACTGAGTGTTCGGCTGGTGACAAAGAGGAGGAGAAGTCGGAGCGCGGAGATGTGGTTGATCGCAGGAGCAGGGCCGTCTAATTCCCGTTTTCGGACTTTCCTTACCCCCTTTTCTTTGCTTACCTTTATATGTTGATCCTAGAAAGGGATCTTTGGAGTTTGGGGCGTACAGTCTGAAAGTGGCGCAAAAGTGTCTAAATAGGGAGCCCATATGTATCCCAGCCGGGTAATTTGACCTAGGCTATTCATGATATTCAACGAACTTATGACCCAAAAATGACTGAGCACAGGGAATAGGCCTTCATTTTCATTCAACGACGGGAATTTCAATTACGTAAGCCTTTTACAGAATGCGTGAAGACTCGAATCGAGGTGCCATGGATCCGAATTGACAGATCGGACCAAGCAGCCCACTATGAAAAACAAGCTCCGAGACCATTTCTATGTCTAGACCTTCGCAATTCTTCACTCCCTCCATCAGAAATACCTGTTCTGTGCTATTGATGGCCCGGCTTCCGGCATTGCGGCAATGTTGTGGAAAGGCTCCAGACGTTTCGGTTGACACAATACCATTCTGAACGCAAAGCCCCGTCTCAAGTACAAGCGATCGGTCCTAAAATAAGCAAGGAAAATGATATGTTCGTTTTTTGACGTTGCGTGTGAATACGTCTGGAAGAGGGTGCAGAGGTCAGCTTCAAATCAGTGACCTGGTACGCACAAATCAAGCAAACATCCGGTAGGACCACTCTTCGCCTCAATCTACACTGCACACAGATACTTTGAACCATGAACAAGTTACTCAACCGCACTCTACTGACTGCAGGCACTCTACTCTTCACATGAAAAACATTCTCAGCCTAAGTTGTTGACATCAAACAACCCTTGACGAAACTTTCGCACATCGCACCCCCTAACGACACCCTTCCCAAAATGCCCTCTACATCCGCGTCACCTCGAAAGTCCTTATAAGCCTCTTCCTTTACTTTTTCGTCACAAAGAGAAAACGCCGAAAACCCACCGTGCCCAATGGCGCCGGTCCTCAACGCGACGACATGCGTCCCCCTCGAGGCCGTGAGCGAATGCTTCGGCAACTACTACTGACCACAGTTACACGACCGTGCGCATTTCATGTTCATCACCCTGGGAGGGGCTTGATGTCTGCTTCTGAATCATCTGGTGGCTTTTTGGCGCCGTCGTGTGGTGTTTCATCTCTTGGCGCCCTCATGCAGCGAGTCGCTACAAGAACCTTACGGACGTATCTTGCCCTTGCAAGGTTGTTTGACGCTTCGTTGGGAGAGTATTTGAGTAATATACGGCTTGTTATCTCTCTATTGAGGTCACCGGCTGCTGTCGTGTTCAGACTGTTTCTGTAGCGGTGGGCGTCCTGTAACGTCTCGGCATTGTTTCTTGGCATCTCTGGGACGTGGCGTTATTGAGAATGACTCAGCGACTGTCATATTGCGTGATGATCTATAGTGACGATGCTTGCACTTTATGCTAATCATACTTACTACCATTGCCCTGGTCACGCAGACGCACGGTACTTGACGTGCTCCTTCGCATCAGTCTAAGCTGGGGTCATCATGGGCGTTCTCCTAGAGTGCGATCCGCTGGCTTCTTATCAGGCACTAGGACGGTCCTGAGGCTATGGAAGTGGCCTTGCAACGAGGAAGTTGACACAGCCGTCCACTAGCAGACAAGGAACACGTTTTCGAAAGAAGGAGGACATCAGAAAAAGAAATGCAACACCACATAGAAATGATGGGTACGGAAACAAGGCCTCATCGACCTCTGATGCCAAACATGAAGTTAGTTACATCGACTGCCTTGCGTTGAATCTCTTGCAAAATCCATCCTGATTCCTCGTCGAAGCTACATAAGTTCAAGATCAATGATACATTCCTTGAAAATCTAGAGTACACAGTAACCCTTCTTGGGACGGGCGCTCATTGAACGGTCCATCTTCTTACGCCTTCGAACCGGCGTTTGTGTAACTCTCACCGGTATCGAAACCTCTGAGCGAGCACTCTCGTCTTCCTTCGTCCAATTACTGGCACCGTCACTGACAAGTAGCACCTTGATCAGCAACCTTGGCGATCTTGCTCTGATTTCTTCAAACAGCTTGTGGAATTCAGCGAGCCACAAGAAGGATGTTGATGGATTCAGATTGCGATCAAGAGTAGACAAGTCAATCACCAAGTAAACCTGAGACTGAACTTGGGATAATGCAGACCCGAGCAGCTGTAGCCAGTCCTCTTCTGTAGTAGCTCTGGGAAACCGTCCGCATTTGAGCGAGAGGCTTTTCTCAGAAGCAGAGTTCTGGTCTAGCTTCAAAGCCTGGAAGACCAAGTGCTTGAAGAGATCTATCACTGAAACTCTTTCAACTTCTTTCTCGTCTCCCGGCCCAGGTAATGCCCAGAGGACGGGGACGTGTTTGGATTGCAGCTCTTGTATGACGTTGACGGAGAAATTTCTCATGGCAAAACGGGCACGAAAGTTTCCGTTCAGGACGGCCACTCTAGATTCTGGAAGCGATGACCAACCGTTGAGCTTCGGTGATTGCCAGAACTTGTTCGTCGCCTCGAACGCCCGGCTGCCAGCCTGCCGCCTCTGCATAGATTGGTTGAAATGAATGGCCCTGAGGGGGTCTCCAAGTTTGCCCGCAGAGAGATGAAACATGATTTGTGAAAATTGTAAGTCAGAGAGTCGTTGATTGGTGTCGACTAGAGCACTTGAGTGCATAGCATGGAAAGAGTCAAGTTTGGAAATAACGTCGTTGAGCTTTGAATTCACTTCACGAATTTCAACGCGGGCACCAGACGCGGCGAGCTGGTCGATTTCACGAGAGGCAGCGGTGATGTCTTCCAGCAGATCCCGATATCTCAATTCCACAGGTCGTGTGATGCTGTGAAGCAGGTGCCGGAACGAACCTTCAGAGCACCATTCGTGAGCTCTGATGAAGAACCGCATAAGGGTCGCGTAAAGTCTACCGACAGCCTCTTCCATACGGTTTGTGGGGTAAAGGATTGACGCTAGCTCGACCCGAGGCAGGCAGTCCGCGATCTGAGAGAGGGCCTTTGACAGAAGGCATACTGTACTTTCGTGATTCTGTGCGGCCTTGTCTCTGTCAACTTATTGTACTCGTCCGAGACTGTGTCGAGCTTACCACGATGACGAGCTTCATCGCTCCCCAAGCAAGTGCAGTGTACTCGGGGTGATGTTGAACGAAAACATCCACAATGTTTCCGTAGTGGTGTGCCCTTGAAACAATCCTTTGAAGCCATTTCTTTGCACCGGGATGCCGCCTCTCATTCGAGTACTCAACGAACGAGTCGTGTAAAAGGCCTTGGATTTCTTGTATGCTTTCAATTCCCCTCGCCAACTTAATCTTTTCTGGATCCATCGTCATCTCTGAAGAGAAAATGCGTACCCCTTCCTCAAAAGCCTGCTGTGCTATTGGCGATGCATAATTCCTGTATATGCCAGTATGCTCGTCAGAAACAACACCGAAATCTAAGCTCGTGGCAGAAATTTACTCATCAAGCGAGATCTCAACTTACTTCCCTGAGCTCGATTCGGCGGAGTACCAAGAACTTAGATATTCTGATGTAGAGGGTCCAGTAGCCATGTTGAAGGTGGAAAAACAAAGACAGGTATTGAAACAGAGCTCCCTGCAATAAGGATGCAAGATACATACGCTGGGCTTACTATCAAGAAAGGAGGTCAGACTGACTGTTTGTTAGCTGTAGAGAGGTTCTTCGTCGAAGAACTTGCCAACCTGATCTGCTTAAGGACATATCCAATCAGATACGATGCTGCCTGTTATGGCACGTCTGGTTGAGGGCTGTGTGGGCTACAAACAGCCAATGCATTTTACGGCAAGCCCAAAGTGGAATTATTCACTTGCATATCAAACCAGGTTCAGCCTGATCTAAGAAGCGGGGTTGGGTCAAACCGGACATTCTAATAGCATACTCCTGCCCCTTACTTGTCAAACTACGACCCAGTGTAGATTATTTTCCACTGCTTTGAACTCAAAACCTAGGCATTCGGAAACCCTGGCGACTTCGCAGAATTCAGAAGGTACCAGTCCGTTGACGGGCCAAGGACACCCTCAGCGGTTGGTTGGCCCAGAGAGCTGGACCCCAAAATGGTCGAGCGTGCAAAACAATCAACTCAATGACGTTTTTTTCTCAAAGACTGCCCATTCCTACGATAGTTATTCCAAAATTCCCAAAACTTCCAAACCAGGTGACGAACATAAACTAGCGGACGAGACCGAGCGATCAAGCGAAGAAGGGGCCGAGTGGCAAGAAACAACCACGAAAGACGAAGACGACGAAGACGATGAAGAAGACGAAGGAGAAAACGACGAACAAGACGACGAAGATAACGAAAGCTATATAAACTATGAATATTACTACAATAGCGACAACGACAAGCAACAAAACACACTAGCGGAAGAGGGAGAGGACTTTACGATTGAGAAGACCAACAAGGTCAATTCCACAGGAGACAACGAAGAAGACTTACTTCTAAGCTATAGTCCCCTGTCGTACGTGAAGATAGGCCCGGAGAACTTCGTTTCTCACCAAGATCAAGGTCTTTTAGCGCCCGATGATACCTGGAAATACCGTCGGCATTTCACTTTATCCCGCGATCAAACACAGGCCGGTTCCTTTGAAAAGGAAAAACTATTAATTCTTCAACCGGTCCCGGAACCCGAGTCCTCGTTCGTAGTGAGAACAAACCTTATGTTATTAGATTATTAGGCACAACTGATGCTATTAGAACAGCCATTTTCTGCGTTAATGGACCTGCAGCGGATAGACAGAGAGGTATCCCCAACTGTGCTTAGGGCTGTCCAAGGAACAATGCCTACGTCCATTGTCTCGTCTCTTGCCTCGCCCCTTGCCTCTTTGGCAGGAGCCACGGAGGGACGGGCAAGCTTCCAAGCTCATCAGAATTCGGATCAAATCGGTCAACTGGAAGAGGAGATCCAACGGCTCAGAGGTCTACAGCAAGCTCTCGGATCTACGACCTGGCAAGTGTTCCACCGAATCATGGACGAGGACACAACCTACTTAGCGGAGCCTTCATGGACTCTCGATCAAAAGCGCGACTTCCGTCTCAGGGGCAATTCACCACTAGCGGATGAGGTTGGGTATCTTCGACAGAGGCCTGACTTGGCTTTTGTTGTCTATAAGCACTACAGACATGACTCTCAGTTGAAAGCGATACAGGAGGCCAAGACCGAAGGCCAAATGCTACCTGACCCGGCCCCAGTGCTTGCAACTATTCAGCTACTATCCGAGAAAATGGTCTCGGCCCTAGAAGTGTTTCTCAACGCACAGCCGACTTTTATAGAAGACTTCCCTGGCTGGAGTTCGAGGAAGCCGATCGAGTCCCCGTTTTTATTCTGGTACCATTACCGGTCAGAAGGCTGCCTCGAGGCATTGAAAGAACCTTCTAAGAGTCAAATGTACCTTCTGACTCATTGGATTAACGAGAATTACGAGCACATATATAACAAAGCTCAAGATCAGTTCGCCAGAGGATATATTTCCCGGGCAACCATACCGTTTTTCATTCGTCCAGGTGAACTCTTGGTGTCCAAGAGTAAGGAAGGAATTCAAGGCCACGTCGCCGAGTCTTGGGCAGTAGACATCGCGATGGAGCTCCACAATACCCGCTCTTCTTGCCGTGGAAAAGAATCGAGAGAAGCAACCGAACGCTGGTCGGTGAAAGCTTGGGACTATGGATTTGACGGTCGCTTCTACCGCAATGAAAGAAATCTCTCGATTGGGTTTCAACACGACGAAGATGACCCGAATGTTGATATTGCGAAGTTGGAAGTTCTCCCTCTGAGACTCACAGGTCCTGAGATCCACGCCGAGCTTGAGCGTCGGGGTAGAAAGATGTGGTCTTGTCGGCACAAAAAACTGATTGCGTACCATAAAAAAGGAGAAGGCGATCTGAACGAAGTGAGCTAAGGAAATGCACCCTTGTTATCACCAAAGCGGCCACTAACCTTCAGTAGCAAGGGGAAAGATACATGATCGACTTCGACACCTATAAGCAGCTTCATTCGGATTCGTTCAAGTTTAAAGAAGCTTACCCATTCCTCAACAGTCCTAACCGAAAAGAAATGAGGGCGGAGATGTGGGAGCTTGATGATCTGCCGTCGGGACAAGAATTGTACGTGCTTCCAAGAACGATGGTTGGATATAATCTCCGACACAAGAAGTGGCGTAAGTACCATTCTGTTAATCTCGTCCTTTGTGTCGACTTAGTGTCTCACAACTCGCATACAGAAGATCTCCAAGTAGACATGGTCCAAGATGTGTCATGGAACAAGCAGGCTTTTGAGCATCTCGTCATCGAAGATGACACAAAAGATCTCGTGCAAGCCCTGATCACCAGCAGACTCGAATCCGAACAAAGCACAGACCTTATTCAAGGCAAAGGCAATGGTCTCATCATTCTGCTGCATGGAGGCCCTGGCACTGGCAAAACCTTTACGGCAGAGAGCGTTGCAGAACTAGCAGAGAAACCTCTCTTCCGGGTCACTTGCGGAGATATCGGAACTAAGCCTGAGGACGTTGAGAAATATCTGGAGTCCGCTCTTCATCTCGGAAAGATATGGGATTGTGTAGTGCTGCTGGACGAAGCCGATGTTTTCCTTGAGCAACGAACTCTGACTGATCTTGAGCGTAATGCTCTAGTATCTGTCTTTCTACGTGTCCTCGAATACTACGAAGGCATCTTGATCCTGACCTCTAATCGGGTCGGCACGTTTGATGAGGCCTTCAAGTCCCGCATCCAGCTGTCTCTTCACTACGAGGCACTCAACAAGGGCCAGCGGCGGACGATCTGGAAGAACTTTGTCGACCGTCTCAAAACGTTGGAGAAAGAAAGCAACAACGCTACTGCCCTCGGGCAGAGAAAGGGAAAGGGAAAAGAGCCGAAGGGAATTGACTTTGATGACATTGCACGTCACTTTGGGGACTTGGCCGAGCAGGAGATGAATGGGAGACAGATCCGAAACGCCATCACAACTGCTCGACAGCTTGCAAGGTTCAAAGACGAACACATGTCGTACAAGCATCTACAGCATGTCATCAAGGTCTCAAAGCGCTTCGATAAGTACTTGGAGAAGATACAGGATGGTCTTACCGATGATCAAATAGCTCGTGGAGATGGACTTCGATAAGCCCGACAGCTAGTGCCTCTTCTTTAAACTCAATACATCTTATTGCGATATTTGCCAAGTCTCACTGGGGAATGAGGCCATACCATCTCAAACCTGGGGCAGAGAGCTTTAGCTTGTCTCTATCGACTACTATGACGCCGATCAGTGACGTGAAAACTCGCTTGTTGAAGCAGACGAGTCACTCGGGACCTACTTCCGGACTATTGGCCGTTTGTTGTCCAGGGATGAACAGTGTACTACACGAATGATCTCATCATAAGGCGTGATAGCGACGAAGATGCCGGGAATGCTAGTCATATAAAACGTCTACTCAACGGGAATGAGAATTACTTCAAGAGAAGACCAGAGATACCTGGGCGGATCAAAGAAAGTTTGAGCAGTACTGAATAGGCGCCAAGAGAGTTATGAAGCTCGAATGGGGTTTGGCGTGTTGCAGTTTACGACTTGTGCGCGTCTCCTACATGCAACCAATTGCCCATTTGGTGAACTGTGGAAGTGTCCACATGGAATCACCCAAGTCCTGTATCTGACCCAGAAATCTGATCAGCTTGTCGTAACGTTTTCCCAACTGACTGTATGGCGACCTAGTCCAAGCCACGGCCTCCGCAACAGACCTGAGGCAAGACTATGTCTGTGTGGACCCTTTCGCAGAAAATTCTGACTGCTTATTATATACTGAATTCCTCACGAGCCTCTAAGAACAATTCTTTCGTACATCGAAGCCAATGCTGTCACTTGACGGAACAGCATGCCCCGCCTCAAGTGCGATCTCGGCCAGCCTCCCCTAGATAATGCTACCCTCTCTTAGACGCAGAAGACCGTCTAAACTGAATGCGGGCTCGAGTCGACCCGCGCAAAACCCAACATGATGCCAAACGCCAGGAAACCGTTATGTCTTTTAATGCCATGCATTCTTCCCTTATCTTATATCGTTACAATGCGATCGCGCCTCGTCGATTCTCGCGAACGTGGAGGAGACCCTGCAGGCCGCAGAAGAGGAAGAAACCCTGTGTTGTATGGTTAGCTGGCCCTTCTCCCAAAGGGTTCCGTGCCCGGAACGCAGGAGGAACGTGGGGACGTACGATGTAGATCATCACGGAGACGAAGATGGTGCCTGCAACGGCGCTGCCATCTTCAGGGTCCTCGTCGCTACCAACGAGCTCAGGGTGGTTCTGTCCGAACAGAATTCCAAGGATTCCCAGGATAACGATGGCGAAAACAGAGATAACGGTGCTATGGACACAGATAGGCAATTAGCATCGAAGCATCGCTCAAGGGGTTCGGTCTCCTAAAGGAACGCACCATTGCCATGCTTGCATGGCACTCACGACGGGCTTCATTTTTGCAGTTTGTAACGAAGGCGTTGCCCTCCGGGTGGTGTGTGTGATGGGGAGGGGATGCAAACTTGTTGCGTCGTGATAGATAGGCTGTCTTCGTGGAGTACGTTCGCGATGATGAGGCGGCTGCTGTTGCTGTGTCGCCAAGCTCCACACTAGGTCGGTGACGTCCAATTGTTGTGCCTGAATGACCAGGCCATCAAGGTCTGCACCAGCCACAGGCTCGTGAAGCTCCAGCCACAGATTACTGAGAAGGAAAATCATTTCCCCGAAGTCCCTTACTAGGTGGGACTTTCTTCCGATTGAACTCGGGTCCGGCCACGTCCATCCCGCCCGGACCTTCACTGTGCAGCTTAATCGTCTTGCCATGCCATCAAAGTTGCTTCTGCACTAAAGCAGCTTAAGATTCAAGATTGCATGCCGTGATCGATTGGCAACATTAACTAAACAGCCCGGTTGAGAGAATTAGACGGATATGAACCCTTCCGAGTCCTGAGGTGCATCGGATCGTCCCCGCAAGCTCGCAAACTCGCAGACACGTTCACTGTAGCATTCATCACAGATCCGCAATGCAGCTAGAGAATACGAAGATTGTCAGGAACTACTGCTTTTAGCTGCTTCAGGTCTAGCCAAATGACACCGGGCATACCCGGTCCACATTCACTTTGACATTTGGAAAGTCGGCGGGCAGTTTCGTCTGCTCAAGGCCCTGAAGCCTGAAACACGTCTATCTTTCCATAGCCTTGGGCAACACGAACGTAGAGACCAAAGAAAACGACTCGTCAAAGTGTGCCTCAGTATGAACAGGACGCTAGAACAATCCACGGAATTGACAGAAAATATTAGAACCAGCACGCTAAAGTCGTGCCCGAGGCCTGTCTGAGCTAGCCGCGCTATCCATCGCCTGACACCAGCGGACGGTGTCATGTCATTCATGGGAGGCTCTGCCAACGTCTGACGGCTACAAGCACCAAATAAAACTGTTCGTCAACGAGGAAGGAGCTTGAGCGCGATAGATCAAATGCCAAGAAAAGGCCGTCCAAGATTGGCACTGACACTTGGTATGGGCAGTTCGCCTGATGGGAAACCGAACGCGACGTCTGCCACCGAGCGATCCGCCTTGGATGGGCCTAGTAAGAGCAAACGGGCAGGGTCGCCAATGTGTTCATCGCTTGGGCGGTGACATGACATGCTGAAACAGCGTCTTTGATCCAGGCGGGCGGTCCATCTCCCAAACGGAGGAACTCTCGTGGCTTCGAGCCCCAGGACATACTCTATCGAAACACAGACAGTGCGCAGGATCTGCAGTCTAGAGTCTCCCCGCAGGTTCACAAAAGAGGCATCACCTCCTATGCTTCCGAGATTATTTCCTAAAACGTCGATTTTCGTCATGTAGGCACACCAACGTTCTGATGACGATAGCACAGAAGTGCCAGCTGTTCAACCGGACGATAGCCGTCATTGCTGCATGACGAAAGGGTGCTATGAACAGGCTCCGAGTCTGACAGCATAGGACGAAGGAGCGGCTCCATGGAAATTGGACAGTTTGCTGAGCTTGCCAACAAACGCTTGGCTGCGGCTTCATCATTTTATCCGCGGAACGAACAAGCACTTGTGCCAACCAGGCCCCAACACCACCGTCAAAAGGTGTTCCTATCTTCAAAACACAACCATGGCTTCACCATCCGTGATTTCCATACTAATCCGGCTGTCGGCACAGCTCCTCGTATCGCCAGAGTTTGTCTGCAACCTGATACCTATTGCCCTTGGAGGGGGGTAACATTCTAGTAAAACAGTCTTAACAGTGATGGAGGCACTGGAGGGCTAGGGTATGAGAGTCATTCAATTGAGGCTCGCAGAGTTGCAAGCAATTTGCCAGGCACTGGCGCCGAGGCTTCTCAAATTGTCAGCGCTAGTAACACTGTCACTCGGCTCGGAATGGTAGTCGAACCTTGTCAGCCAACCACAGCGGGCTGCGCAGGGCAGCATGGCGAGTCGTCGATAATTACTATGCGACAGGCAATCATTTGAAACAAATTGGCAGGGTGGCACAGGATGCAAACCCGGAGAAGCAAACCAGATGGGAGGGAGTTCTCAGTGTCACACTCGCACGACCTCTCTGCGTCTTCGATTGGTCATCCAGGTATGCTTTGTTTCTGGCCAAGATATGACAGCGAGAGCCGGGTTCTACTGTCTGGAGCCGACACGAACGGCTGGAACGAAATCATTACAGGAGAAGACGTCGATGACGACTACATGCGGGATTCAACAGGTGATTGCGTGCTACATTTCTTGAGCAGGACGTCGAAAGACGTTGCTTTCCGAATGAGAGCATCGGTAGTCCTGGAAACCTCTCGCCAATGAATCTTTCGATGGACTTGCGTCAGGCGCTTCAACTAGTCCCAAATAAACCAAAAACGTCCGCAAGGGGTTTGTTGAAACAACTGACGAGGGAGGGTAAGCAAGAAGCCAGCCTTGGGGGCGCAGAGCGGACAAACTGGGTAATGCTTGGTTGGCATTCATCCTAAAAAGTTGCAATCTCTCTGCAGCTGCCCGCCCTATCCCCAGCCATCCCGTTGTCTGCAGGTATGCACATCTGGTGCCTGTACTACCTACACCTGCAATCCTCCTTGCGCAGACTGACTCAACAAGGATCGCCGGGGACTATGGGTTTCGGTTGGCCCCTTGGTCACAACCAACGCAGCAGCATGTCAGCAGACAGATGCACTCAGGACCTTGCAGAAGTCGTTTTCATTCAAAACGCACCCAAGGGGTTCTATGCGGTAAGATTAGGTGACGGACACATCCGAGCGAAGGATACAGCGCGCTTGGATGCAGGTGCGCCGTTGCGAGAGCATCTGCTCGTCCACCATAGTGTCGATGGATGGATATGGGGGCCGTTGGTCATGACAAGGCAACTAGTTCCCCGCTGGGCAGTTGGACACGCTGAGGCACGTCGTTCGTTTAGTGCCCCCACAGCCTATGGCAGCCTGAAGCGACGCCTCGGGTTCCGGCTCCGGCCCCACCTCTCACTCTAATCTCAACCCCCCCAGTCTATTGCTTTGAACATCAGCACACCATCTTCGCATCCTACCACCTACCTAGCCCGTCTCACGCCAATGCGGCCGCGGCGTCTAAGCAGCGTTGTCGAGGTTGCGCTCCCGTTTTTCTGACGTCTACGACTAGAGCTTCACATCGACGCTCAGCCCAGAAGTACGCAGAGTTTGCACTCGGGATTCGAACCGGCATGGCACGAATAGGTTGGATGACAGTGTTCCTAGCCGCTACCGCGGCCACCGCCCTGTCCACTGGTGTACATGTAGCTCTGTTAGTCTGGCTTACAGAAAACAGATACACTGCGTGGATACTGCGGCAGAACGGTGGCTTTGCCTGGCCTCGTCCTTTGGCCCCCCCTTCCCCCAATCCACGAGTGGCTCGTCTGCCAGTCAGCCCTGCCCTTTCAGGTGGCTGTCTGCATGTGTTCAGCAACACGCATCTCCACGTCCCTTCAGAAAGCCTTCGAGTCAAATGTTTGCTGTTGGCACGTTCCTTTCAGACGTGCAATCTATTTTTGATTGGCAGGGGCTAGACGGTGTTTCTCAAGTGGCGCAGTGCAGAGGGAAACCAAGTCAGACATCGCCAGCCGTCTATTTTCTTTTCACCTACCACACCGCATGGTGCCAACATGCAGTCCAGAATCCAATCCGGGTCTCGTATGCCCTGTGGCAGCCAACAGATTCCCCTGCCCCCTTTCACTCCTGGCGCGCAGCCCCAACCTCCCCTCCCCCTCTGTGCCCAGCTGGGCTGCCAGCTCGGGTAAGCTGTGCTAGCCGGAGTTCGTCCTTTTCTGTATGTTCCTTTGGTTACCTTCCACTTGCAGCCAGAAGACCAAAAGTCCCGATGTTGGTGCTTGGCCCCCTGGCCCCCAATCAACAGAAATCACCGTTTGTGTGTGCGAGAGAGCGTGTGTTGCCGAAGTATCCGTAGAGGAAAGGCCCGCCGGCTATTGAGGCACAGAGAGAGGTCCGGCGGCGCCATCATTGAGTTCAACCTTCGCCGCCTGTCACGACTCACCCCAGAGGCACATCCTGCCCGCCCTGCGAACTCCCCTCCTCTTTGACATCGTCTCGACCCCTGCCCCCCATCATCTCTTCTCCCGTCGCACAGGGCGCACAAGGTTTCCCCTGGAATGGAAGGTTCGATACGTACCTTGCGAGAAACATTCTTTTTCTTCACTTACAGGCGCCGACGGCTAGGTGCCGTTGCCGTCTAGGTAGTCGTACATGATGGATCAAAGCGTCCGATGTTGGTACTCGCACTTCTTGACTCTCGTTCCTTTCTTTGATTAAACCAGACTTAGCGTAGCTGGAGTGTGTTGACCCTGCCGTTGGTGCACACATACCATGTTTGCCGAGCTGCGGCGACATTGGGGGTCTTTGGTTGGTCCCATCCTCATCACATCTCGTGGTGTGCGTGTGTGTGTGTGGGCCATATAAGGATTGTAACCCAATACCTACTTGCCCTTTGCAGATCTCTATTAGCCTTCCATCTTCAACTCACGTTCATTAAGTGATTACACACAGTTGGCTCGTCACTTGGTCTGGGCATCCCAACAGTCCTTGCTCTTTAAGAACCGTCCAACCCCTCGGATGTTCTCATCGAATTTTGCTTCACAAGCCCTCCCTTGATCAACAGCTTGTTCCATTCCACCCACTCAGCCTGTCTCCCAGTACCCGACAGCATTACAATACCACAAAATGAAGGCCTCTTCTCTGGTTTCCGTCTTTGCTGCCGCGGCTGTGGGCCGTGTTGCAGCTCAAACCACTGGTGTAGGTTGCTCCTGTCTCCCATATAGTAGGACTCTGTTAGCTAACATTGCCTCCATGTAGGAGCTTGGTGATGCCACCACCGTAAGCAACCCGGCTGGTGTTGTTTACGAGGCCGTCTTGCCTGAGAAGCCCTTCTTCAAGGCAGGATCGCTGGACGGCAATGTCCAAGGCTCCATTGTCGCCGTCACGGCTCCCGATGGAAAGGGCGTTCAGTTCAAGGTCCAGTTCTCCAACCTCCCCAAGGAGGGTGGCCCTTTCAGTAAGTCCTTGTGGGAAGCGGTATATACTCGAGGATCCTTCTAACATCCGACTAGCCTACCACCTTCACGTCGACCCTGTTCCCGAAGATGGAAACTGCACCAAGACTCTCGCTCATCTGGATCCCTTCATCCGCGGTGAGGCCACGCCCTGCGATGCCTCGAAGCCCGAGACTTGCCAGGTCGGCGACTTGAGCGGCAAGCACGGCAAGGTCACCGGCGACTACGAAAAGACCTATGTCGATCCCTACCTCTCCATCGTTGAGGGCCCCGGCTCCTTCTTTGGAAACCGCAGCTTTGTCTTCCACTTCGCCAACAAGACTCGCATCAGCTGCGCCAACTTCAAGCTCATCACGAAGCCGGACACGCACGACAACTGCACCTCCACGACCATCAGCGGCACCGGCACAGTTCCGACTCCCACCTCCCCACCGACCGTCGTGCCTTTCCCCGGTGCGGCTTCCACGAGCGGCGCGTCCGTCTCTCTGATGCTCATGGGCTTCGCCGCTGTCCTCTTCGCGCTATGAGCAGCATCTGACTTTTTCAACCACTTCCGGCATGAAACGAACGCAAAGTTCGGCTTACCACACTTGCGAAAACTGGCGTTATTTGAAGTTACGATTAGACAGTACGAGACTGTTTTGTGGGCACTAAAGACATTAATGAGCAAAGGATACGTCTAATGAGGAGCATGGCAGACGGGACTTCGATGAATCTGTACATACTTATCCCCTTTGATCGGAATATTAGATGATACCAGGACGACATAGGGTAGTCCAAGAAACACACAAAAGTCTGCCTCAGTTTGCAATACTCACAACCATCACTGCACATGGACATTGACTCGGCCCAACCGTGGGGGCGTACCTTGATAGGGTAACGAATGCGGATGTATGCTTTGCTCAAAGATTCGAACCAACCCGCGAGCGAGGGCAAGCACGGACCTGGAAGCATCATGGCTGACGACTGACGGGCCGATCGACATGCCTGTTGAGCCAAGAGATCGATAGCTTCCACACCTCGATCGACTGGTGCCCTGCATTGGTGCCAAAGCCAAAAACACCGAAAGCGAGGAACCGCAACACGACAGGTCCTGGGCCGTCCAACGGAGCTGTCCTGTAGTTGGCTCGAAGCGCGGCGGAGATAGGGTTTGTGGTGCATAGTGGTTGGGCGAGGAAGCAAAGCGAACATTTTGCTTGCCGAACACGTTGCGGAAGGTTCCTCGAAGCTTGCGCCGGCGCACCGGCTGCTTGGTAGTAATTAGGGTGGGAGATCGACGGCGGCAGGGACGCAGCCTGCTGTTGTATGCACCCTTGACGATGACAGGGCGATGGTGAAACGGAGGCAGAAGACGGGGAGGGGACGGTGTGGTTTGGACAGAGTGATGTCTCCTGGCGGGTGACGTCGAGTCGAAGTGCGGGGAGGAGGGGACCGCGCTCAGAGGGTTCCAAGTTTCCCCCTATCGCCGCGAGAAGCTTGATCGCGGCCGTTTGGTGGTGATTTACGATCGAGAGATCGCCTTACCACTGCGCCAGGGTTAAGTATAGCCTCCCTACGAGGTGGTAGAAATATACATGCCAACGCTCCCCAAAAAGGGCGCGTGAATCAGTGACTAGAACTACTTTCAGAATCCATAGGACCGTGAAGGATTGCAGCTGAGATTACAAAGGCAGCGAAAGCCACATATGGCTGACTGAGGGTTTGTTTTCGCCTGATACCATAGTAGTTTGGGGGGATAGGAAACTTAGTTACCGACTGTTGGGGGGCTTGTTGGCCTGTACCTATGGCCATCGCCTGATCCCCCCTTGCCACATTTCAGAGGACTTGGTTCGGACTCAACAGATAACAAACGGTAGAGCACCGCTCAGAGTTTGAAGTCTAGGGTCAATGGTTCGTCGAGGCCCCGACGGACACACCCGGCCATCATGTGCCATTACCGTGTACGGTGCTCAGGCCACTGCTGGCTGGTTTCATGTATTGCCATTGGACGCCTCGTGTTCCCCAGTGTTCGGGCTCCGGCACAGGCATTGTGGGGCCGGGACCGGCCGCCGGTTATCTGAGTCCGCTCTGGTGCAACGGTGCTGAATCATACGGGTCGGCGAGCAGGACATCATGGCGATTACAAACCAATGGGGATGAGCGAAAACGCGATCTGGACGTTATCACAGCATTTGTTTCGCGGTGTTTGGCTCCGACTTGTTTTCTTTTCCCCTCTGCATCAATCGGTGTAAGAGTTCACCATAGACCCCAAACACAGCCGGCCGGTCGTGGAACCACCAGTTGCTCCGTGTGCCCACCCATCCAGCCCCGCGCGGCCAACGGTCCCCGTTCGAACGCCCGCACCTCCAGTATATAGTGTTCCCACGTACAGACGAAGGGAATAGCCTTTAGAGTTTTGACCCAGAAGGCCGGCGAAATGGCGAGCTCGAGGAGATGTTTTGCGCGCAATTTCCGGCTCGGCCGCTCGCGATTCAACCGATTTCTAGATATGGAGACTCACGGTGATTGGCTAAGTGTGAAGCGCGATGTTGATATGTATGGCGAGGACCTCAACTATCCTTATCTTGGGGGGGGCTCCAGAGATGTCCCAATACTCTCCGAAAAAAAACTTACATCTAGTTTTGATTCGGGTACGTGCTAGTCATGAAGATGAGCGTCTAGCCACTCTGCCCCTGCAAACCTTTGTCGATCTCGGTTCCTCTACCGATGAACTAGTCTGCTTCCATGGTTTCCTTTCGGATCCCAGCTGACCGAAAGTCAGTTATCTACTGCCCGCGATTGAGTCTGTACTTGAACTATGATGGTCTATAGGCAGACTAAACCATGTAGTACGGCGCCTGCTCCCTTGGGTCAATGCCCGATGTCTCATTCGCCACGCTCGGGAAATGCCAGAAAGCTTACTGGGGCACTTCTGGGTGGCCAGACTATTTGTCAACGAGCACTATTGGGCAGTAGAACATCATACTTTCCATCATGAAAACGATTTTTCAATCTCAAGCGCGGGCACAAAGTTGCAAGGGATGGCATGCAATACCTCTGCTGAGGCGGCAGCTCCATGGATTGGGGTGCCGTGTCGAAGAGCCCATTAGTTCAAAGCTAGGCCTCCATGGGTTCTCTGCTATTTGGTCTATCTCATCATGTATGCCAAAGTCTGTGCCACCCGAACAGCCTGGCGGCGTTTATCTGTCTACAATACACCCGTGATGGCGTTCGCAATCTAACGGCAACTTACTTCCACCCAACGATCATGCGACACACGCATGCAAAGGAAATCTGCAGGCAATAGGCGGTAGGCGGCTCTCCGGTACTCATGCGAAGGGACAGTCTACTAGTGATGATCTTGACGGGCATGAAAGCAGGTAGAAGGGAAGCTACTACAGTACCCACGTAGCACAACGTACGGCAGAGCTCCTATGTTCTCTCGGGATTTCGATGAATGAGTTGCCGACACTGTATTTTTCGGGTTCTACGATATTCTCCGTGTATGGTTGAGGCCCTCGACATGACAGGTGATAGGGTTGCACTGTTCCATGGGGAACGATGCCAGATCAATGGTGAAGGCATGCCTGCTTGATACTTCTTGCTGACTACAATCAGCGCGTCCAACGATCAAAGCAAAAAACTGAACTTGGTGCTCTTTTTCGATGGCTAAGTTGATGGATTAATGTCCGTGGGCTACCTTGTGTTCGTTGTCGGGAGTGCAAGGTGTAGGGGGTGACTCAAGAGTACGATTGCTGTGCGCCTCCAGGAGTTCGGAAAGTCCTTTACCGTTCTTTCCGCGTATTCCTGCCAACTTTGGTTCATAGGTGTTATTCCTGAAGATCTTTTGCTTTAGCAAGGGGTCCAGGTTACGAGACTCTTCCCGTCTTTGGGGAGCCTGCTCGACTCGACGTGACGCGTCCGGTGAGCCCAGCCGCTTCTGCTTGCCGTTATTGTGTCATCTAAGTTACTCCGGCTCCTGCTTCAGTCTGGTGAGCAGTTACTTTACCAAAGTGGCGAGTTCCTGTCTTCATCACAAACATTCCTGGAACAGAAAGAGAAAGAGACAGACCCAGTAGCCTTGACCATATTCGATATTCCATCCAGCTCCTCTCCAACCTCGCCCGGGTTCGATCTCATCTGGGAACTTTCTTTTTCAATAAAAATTCTCCAGAGAACCTCGGAGTTCGTCCGTCATCAATGTCACACGAACCGCACTATACGTGACAGTGCTCCTGTCATTAAACTGCCTCTCCGAGCCATCTGGAGTGATGGATACCAACAGCAACCTCGTCGACCTGTCGAAAGTATGTTGGCGAAGCCGCCGCACCGTTGTGCAGAAACGAACACTCATCGGCTTTTCGAGGTACGCCGAGCTCTCTGGTCGGCCAACAGGTCGAACTGCTGTCTGCCTTTAGCTCGTGAGCACACTAGACCCGGCCTTTTTTTCCTTGACAGACTCAATCAGGAAAGGAAGTTAGGCCCAGAAAGACACAATGTTGGCTCTGCAACCTGGCATTGACAGACCTGAACCAAATGCAACATGGTTAATGCGTCGCGCACTTCCGGTGGCAACCTCGTCTCTGGAGAAACTCGAGGGCCATCGCCCATCGTAGCCACTTCCGGCACGGCATAGCACATATGCAACTCTCTACCGCCTCGACCGAGATTTCGAAGGCCTCACGAGTCCAAGACCCAAGGCTGGCCTCAATATTCAGTCGGCCGCGACAGCTATGTGACCATTGCCAAGAGCGACTTAATTAGCACGGGTGATCATGGCCCACACCGAGTCTCACGGCCTCCAGACCATATCCGGGCCGCGCTCCGAATTTAACACATTGGTCGCGGGGTCTCTGCTTGCCGATAGAAGGGCCTTGCTATTTGGTTAGCAGCGGGGGCAAGAGGCTCATGGGTAGGGGAAGATCAAACCTGTGAGTGATGTCGGCCTTTCTCAGATCCAATGGGGGAACATGTCTGCCCGGAGGGTGTAGCAGATCTTCCGGAACGCCGCCTGCCACTGTGCCGAACTGGGGTTGCGGAAGTAGGTAAGCGTGTACTGACGGATTATTTGCATCATGGAAAGATGTTACCCGATGTCCTAGAGGCTGGCAGTTGGCCCTGATGAATCAGCAGGCCCACTGCCGGATGCATTCAGGAAGGCCAGGGTCTGGAACAGGAAACTCGGAGCTCGAGGTGTCTGACGCCTACCACGGCAAGGATATGACTGTCCTGAGGGGGGAAATCAAGATGAGCTATTGGTGGTGTTCAAGTCCCTGGTGCACCGTTAACCACTGGCCCATGTAGCCTGATCGGCAACGACTTTGACATTCTGGCTTCATAAGCGCGTGCAAGACCACGGCGATCCCTTCGTGGTACGTACGCAGACTGCCCCGGACGACCGGGCGGCAGATCGCTTTGTGGACTCCGACCATAACGACGAAGGGTGAACGGACCATATGCGACGGTCCCTTTTCCCATCTAGGCACTCGGGGATCGTGGCCAACAACCTGGTTCGCTCAAGCTAGGATCAATAGAGCCGCGACTACTG